CGTAGGTTCACTCTCCCCGGCCATTTCGTCCAGCTCTTCCTTTTGGGACCCCAAGGCGTGGGTCCTGGGTCTTCCCTGTGGTCTTGTACCAATATGACAGATAGGACGTGCCCTGAACACCTCACCAGCAAGGCATCCTAGTTAGATGCCCAAGCCACCTCATCTGACTGCACTAGACCAAATAAAAGTCAAATTCTTCTGCCAACCTGACACCCGCAAATTTGTGTTTCTCTAGGTAGAAAGTAAACGTTGAACATTAATTTCAGTGGGGTCCTCGAATCAGTACTCAGGCCTTAAAAAAAACACATGTGGTGTCATTTATTCAGGCTAAACTAGAGTAAAATTAAAAAGGAATGGTACAAAATATGACGACTTTTATGTCTATGACTTTTCGTTGCTTTTGGGAAATAAATGTTACTATTTTTAATCTAAAGTAACAAAATATCCAACCACTTAAAGCACTCAGAAAAAGACACATAATTTTCTCTAAATATGTCTTTATGTGGATTAGATCAGTAAATGTCTTTGTCCTAACCCTCTTTATGTCTGCACAGACACGAGCAGATGGAGAAGCTTCCTCAGTACCATCTGCTGTTTTTTTCACTTTGACTCTGATACCCTAGGCAAACCAAGGACACTGGAAAGGTCCTTCACTGTAATAAAGACACAAGACTTGCATTAAATTTGGAATTTGCAATTGACATTGACGAAGGGTAGTATTTATGATTATGTCTCTTCTTAATGCAGCCATCTGCACCTCAATAAAAGCTTAAAGAGAAGAAATTAACCAAACAAAACAGCTTGTCAGATCAATTATGTTTGAATGATCAAAAAACTGACATGTCAAACATATCTTAAATATTTAAGGTAATACTCTATCGTGTCTTGAGTGAGATATTGTCTGAGGCATTGCAGAAACATAACACATAAGGTCAGCCATTGAGATTACAAAGGCACAAGCTTCATAGATACCGACAGCTTTGCCATACTTTCTTGACTTTAGCAATATCTTCCTGCTACAGCTCCTCTTTGTAAAGAAACTGTTGTGAGTCTGACCTTTGAGAGAGGCTTGTCTTTGAAGACTTCATTACAACTAACTTAACAGGTTCTAGGAGTCATATCCTGGAGGGTCATCATTAGACTCTACTCAACAAATTACACACCAGGTTGAAGCCGCTGCAGCACAATCCAATGGCAGGTAGGGCAACACACTAACTGAGGTACTGCTGAGAATAGAAAAGACACAGACAAATACTTAGTGGGGTGAATGATTTGTTTGTCAGATAGTTTTGACACAACTGTGATAAGGTTCAAGGTTGCAAAGACAGAGACAACCTCTAGAAAAGTTATGATGTGAGGTTCAAGGGAAATTATTCATTTCAGGAGGTTTTTGCCTTTATGTTGAGAGTAGAGGACAGCAGAAGGAGCAGAAAATAGGGTGAGAGAAACAGGGGGGGCATGTTGGGAAGGAGAATCAAACCACCATCTGATTTGGGACCCATGCCAGCAGCCCTGTGCTTAGTCTCTCACTGTACTTCATTTTGACATGCTTGAGGTTTTTTGTGATGGGGAAATTTAGTCAAAAAACACAACACCTTTCAGTTTGATGCTTTAATTCACTTCCTTTGAATTTGGCTCCTCAGCAGAAGTCAAAGGCATTAAAAATGTTGAGATGGAAAAGGCAATCTGGTTTCTTAAGAGGCTGATGAAGAGGCCCTTGTAAAGAAAATTGGGGCCGCTTTCAGAAACATTTTAAAGCTCCCATATAATAAAAAAACACGTTTTTCCTAGCTTGCACATTTAATCTTGAGTCATTCTTCAGTCTAACAGCTCTGAGAACATAGAAGTGAAAAAGCCTTGGCATTGTTTCTGTGTCTAGGCTACAGATAAACATAGCTCCTCTTGGGTGTCTAAACCCGTTCCTGTGGTGACATCACCACAGGAGTGGTTTGCATATTCATATATGCAAAGCCACTCCCTCTCTTCAAGCAACTCTGTTTTCGCCTATGCTATTGTGGTTTTACATAAGGTTAGAGCCAGGCACATCAACTGCTCTTGTTGGTCGGAAAATCTAACACAAATGAATATATTCTGTCTTCCATATTTTTGGATCAATTCTTATGGCAGTCTAATTTATATCAAGTCCAGATTCAAAGCAAGAAAGTGGAAAAATTTGCAGATGTCCCAACCGCTGCTCTTCAGTTACCATGATTCGCAGTGGTGCAAGGGCATGTGAGTGGGTGTTGCCAATCTGATAAGCTAAGTCAGCACAACTTTGGGCATATCTCTGTTGGAAACTGTGAGGAGAGGAAATTTCTCTTCACCACATGGATCCTACCCTTTTTTCCTGCTTTAGGCCAGACTACTCAGCTAATCATCTGTCCAAGTAGAAGTTGGTTGAGATGAGGTTTCATAACTCCTGTAGGTGGGAGGTTTTCTCTCCAAACAAAAGTGGCCCACTGAATGGAGAGTGAGTTTTGAAAGGCCAGAAGTTAAGCAGCCGGAAAAGTAATGGCTGAGTCATTGGTATTGATTCATAACCTTTTCATCCTACACAGATGTATTATTGCCATTTGGTGCCTCCAGCAGTTAAAATAAACTCTTAGTTACTGCACATTAAAAAAAATACTCACCTCATTGCTTCATCCCTGTTTTACCTGGGATGCCCCAGAAACCAGACCCAAACTCTAACTTAAAATATAGATTGTTACGATCAGATATCACTTATGCTTATCCATTTTCTAATGTGTATCTTAAAAATAACGGTTAATGATATTTTCATGTCAAAATTCAGGCTGTCGTGTCCCTATTATTCAGACCAAGTTAATTCATAAGGAAGTATTTCCTTAACCTAACCTTCTCCATATTTCCCCAATGATTCCTGCACAGTATTTACTCTTCCTCATCCTTACATAGTCACGCCTATGTCAGAACTTGAGTCCATAAGTTTAACTTTTAGAAAGCCGTCTTTACAGTGCAGTGTATTTACTTTTACATCAGAAATTATCCTCCACTCCTCTCCACAGCTCCATAGTAATTTACAGCAGCAGGATAAGGATAAATGTGATTCTGGTAAGTGAGAATCTTTGTAGCAGAATACCATTGACATGTTTGAAATTCACAAGGTCAGTCTTTCACAGACAGCTAACAGAGCAGCTTCAGGTTAAGTATCTTGACGACTTTGTAGATATTAGTGTTCATTTTCAGGCTTTCAGAGGGAACTGCTTTTTTAAAAGAAATGTGTAAGTGACATTTCAGGGATAAAAGTCTTTTATCCATTTCTACTCTGTGAAGGTTAATTATGGGAAAAGGGGGATTTGTAATCATTCAAAAATGTGTAAATTTGGTTATTAATTGTAGTTTAATTGAGGTTAGAATCAAAATGCAGTCAAGGTGATTTATTATGTTTCTGTCTCTGCATGTTAAGTGTGAATACTGTCCTGTAAGCTGCCATGATTCATGAACTTCTGGGAATGTTCAGTAATTATTCATGACAAGTTAACGCCTCCTGTGTGTGGGTGGGAGCAGATCAAGTCATATTGACATGTTGCAGCAAGCAAGTCCTCAGATTTTTCACACTGACGCTCTTATGATTTGTACAGTGTTTACACCATTTGGTTGTTTTCCACTCTGTGACTGAGGTTGCTCATATTGAGATGTCTTGTACATGAAAATGTAGAGACTGTATGAGGCTGCCTGTAAACCTCAAGGCTCCAACATGTTATCCACAACAGGGGATTCACGGTAGCTCACTGACATCATAGCAATCTGGTGAGGGGTCAAGCGAACTAGTTTTCACCAGAATTTACATGGTATTCCTTCAAAATAAAACACGTTTCATCAAAAGTGGAAATGAAGCTCAATGTTGTATAGAAGTCAAAATAAACAACAAAAATAACAGAATTTCATTGGAAAGACTGACAGCCATGTATGCTGAACTGATTTAACTGGTAGATGTTTATTGTTGCTTCAAATAAATTAAATCCACCAATACGATTTTTTAAAATGTTAGTTTGTTTTATTGTGATAAAATATATTTTTTGATAACAGTGATCCAAGAACTTCATATGATCAAAATATGTAACCTTAGACAAGCAAAATCACACAACAATGATAGATGACATAACAGAGATACCCTGTTGCTATAAGAAAAGTAAGCTTTCTTATCTTGAGTCAAATGACTAAAGTAAACTTTAGTACAGACGCATACACAAAAATATATAGGCCCCACTGCATACAAAATTCCCATCAATTTGAATTACTCAGATTTAACATAAACAGGCCAATAGATTTTATGTGCTGCATGTTTGTCAATTAAATGTAGATGAAACAATCAGGAATTAGATTTATGAAATAATACAAATAAACCCAGTGTGTTGAGAATAAATAATGATGATTTTTGTATTCATCATTGATAACTCCAATGTGTCTCTGTCTCTTAAAATGTAATTCAATGAATCTTGGTTGATCCATAGGTTTAAAACACAGTCATACATTTTAACTGATTAAACTGAATTGTTTTCAGAATAACAGATTTATTCTGATTTTCAGAAATCTGAATAAATAAAATACAAACAATTGAAAAAAAAAAATAAAAATCAAATAGATGTAAATACTTGGAAAAAAACTATGCCATGATTTATTTTTTCTGAGTGTATCTGCTTCCAACTATAATGCCTTCTTTAGGTGGGCTTTTTAACTGATTAAGAGAAAATAATCAATACTACGCGTACCAGATTGCATTAGGCGATGAAAACAACCAACTTTATAACCTTTCTCTCGCATTCTTTCAGTTTTTGTAAAAATGTTGTGTAAATATATGATTACGAAATGTATCATTGCATGTATCTAATATTGAAAGCCCATAAACTAATCTACGCTGTAATGAGTATTGGAAAATTATTGCGATTACAAATCTTCGATGAAAAACAGATGTTTACTGTTTGAACCCCTACGCACGGGCGGCATGTTATTTTGAAAAGCCAAAACGGAAGTCCGCTAGAGCACGTATTGACTTGTACTTGCGCAGTGTTTTTGTTTCGCCTCCTGGACAGTGATCGGCGTACAGGAGGAGAAGTTTATTTCTAGTTTCCCCTTCTTTTTCGCCATGGAGGCTCAGGCACATTTCTCCCGAGAGGAAATCAACAGCACGGTGTGGGAAGTCCCGGAGAAATACACGCGGCTCAAACAGATAGGGACCGGGGCGTACGGCTCCGTGTGGTGAGTGACTTGTCAATTACTGCATGAAGTGTGTGTGTGGTAGTAGAGACTGGGCTGTGTATGAATGCTAGGAGCCTGAGCCAAGCATTCATAAACCTGTACTGTACTGGCTGCATGCAGTCTGTGGTGGGCCTGAGATTTAATGTACATCAGCACAGTGTCCATCTACAACACAGAGAGAAACTCGTGGGGACAAGTTACACCATGGTAGCAAGTTTTAACACCTCACAGCACATCCAAACAAATCTCACAACCCTTATCTTAAATCTCTTTATCTGTATGGCGATAGAGGGACTTATAGCTATGACAGTAAAGAAAGATGGCCACTGTCCTCTGTGATTTCCATGGACAGCTTTATTTAAAGTTACAGTATTGTCTTGTGAGGGCCACAGAAATAGATCATTTACATGTTACACAACACCCCAGGACATCGGAGGAGGCAATATGATGTAGCCTGCTGTTGATTTTTTTTTACAGGGTCTCTTTGTCTCAATGTGTATAGTTAATGTATGGTACAGTTATGTTTTTTTGCACATATATGTGGGGTTAAAGGGGGCCCCAAACAGGGGCAGGTCCAGACTTAATGACTGGGGTAGACCAATCAGAGCTATGCTGCTGACTTATGCATGAGGTAGTGCGCATACACAAACAAATAAGTAGCATTTATTTACTACTAACATGAATTCAAGCAAGAGATCTTCCTTATTGACAAGTACATCAAATATGATCAATAATCATTATAAGAATCATCAGTCTTCTTACTGATGGTCTTGTTGTCTTGTTTTCTGTTTTATATATTAAAAAGGCATCAGTATATATTTCAATGTGACTCACTGGAGCTTTTTTTTTTTAATTACATAAACTATGATCACATGTAAATGAAGCATCCAAGAATGGGTATTTAAACACCGAGATAATTAAAACAGCCTTCAGTCTATCTGACAGATGACGACTCTGAAAATAGGCATACCTTCAATCTGTTTTTCAGTGGTATACTCACCCTCACATTTCAAAGCAGTCTTCATTCATATGTCCTCTTTGAGCATTACACTCTGTTACACCATATTTCTTGGCTGTCTGACAGCTGTTTAATTGAGCATGGCTTTTTTCCACAGAAAGGCATCATAACTTAGCTCCAGTTGTAGGTTATCTTGTCATGCTTATGTGCTACGTTACTTATGTCTCTATGTCTACCTGTCGTCCATCATCCTTGCAGTATATAGCAGTAAGTGACGTCAGGCCTCAGTCATTAGGGTAGCACTTGCTTTATAGATCAGTGCCTGGTCCTCTTTCTTAGCAATTGACTACTGATCCCCAGATGTAAGACAGTTCCACTTTTTTTCCAGTGTCAAAGGAAAGTAAAGAATACTCAGGTGAATATTTCTGTGATTTTTCCACTTACACTGGACAGAGCGACACAACAGAGTTTGAAGTTTGAAGTTTATTTCGATATGGTCATATCCATTCAATATATACAGTAAATTACAAGAAAAGAAAACCGGACCGAAAAGGCATAGGCTGAAGAGTTACAAAAATTAAATCTTATATGCCTGATTCTTTAAGGAAGATCTGTGTCCAAAGTGCAAAAAATCTACTGGCACCCTATTGTAGCACAGCCTAAACAATTACCAGGGCTATAATACAATCATGTTTAGGAGTTCAAGGTGGTTCCTGGGCTGATCATTCAGATTGACAGTGGGGCCAGGGCCACCCCAGCCGCCCCTCTTGGACAGAGAAGAAATAAAAGACAAGCTTCACTTAAAAGTGACTGTTGCTTCTGTGTGTGTTTGAGCTCACAGAGTAAACATATCAGACACACCCAACATTATTGATTTACATGTCGTTCACTTAGCTGTCTATGTAAATGAAGTCAGTGTTAGGGCCAACCAGCTTTGAAAGACTAATGATTTGTTTGCCATTTGTCGTAATTGTCATATACCATATATGATAGACAATAATAAGACATCAAAAGTCAGTAAATACCTTTAAAAAGAACCATTGTGATTCTGAAAGATTGTACATCACACATCACAAAGTTTGTACATTTATGACAACATGAATACAAGCTGCTGCCGCCAGTGTTGGTAATATAACTAGTTTGTAACCTGCTGTAAGAGCCACAGTTTAATTTAAGAAATATGGGTAGCTACATTTAAAATTCCCCCTACCCAACTTCATCATAGACTGTTTTTTTTTCATATCCCAACATTTAAAGTAGTTTTTACCAATGCAAATGATCGATTTGGTTTGTATTATGATACGTCTTTCTATTATAAACTTAGCCTCTCTTATATTATTGTACCTTTTTACGGTCTGAAATGTGTCAGGCTCACTCTCAAAAACTCAACATGTGTAATGTTGGTGTTAACATCAAAATTGAACCTTTTATATCATTAACACCCCCAGCCTAAATTGCCTAAACCATGGAGTACATTACCAACTCTCCTGCAGCCTCACATTGCTTTCATCTCACTTCTGTGGTCGACCACACGCACTGGAGTCAATTACTCCCGAACTCCATTTTTGTGCTTTCATTTCATCTCTGCGCTGCAGGTGATACAGATTATATTCTATCGAAGTACCCTGGCAGTATCATATACGACGATGTGTTTGGTAAATTATTTCTCCTTAAATTGAATAGTTTTGAATTGCTGCAGCACAGAACCTGGATGAACCTTAATGAATAATCAGAGGGACAGAAACACTGAGAATGGTAAATGGACTGCACTTACAAAACTGAGAGCTTTTCTAGTCTCCCAGCACTCAAAGGGCTTTTTATGCTACATCACATTCACCTATTCACACACACACACACACACACTCACACAGGTTTATACAACAATGGTGATGGCTGCTCTGAAAGGTGTACATCAGATTTGGCTAATATCCTTTATATGCCCCTGGCTTTGCCACGTGGAACAGTTTTGGCATTCAGTACCTTGCCTCGATATGTGGACTGTGGGATGGAACCACCAACCCCTGGATAGAGAGGCAGCTAACTTTACCACGGAGCCACAGCCACCCTGATTTAATGCATTCTGGCTGGTATGGGTGTCAGGTGAAATACAAGCAGCAGTCTCCAATCTTCAGAGAGGCAGGAGTGCTAAAATCTGCAGTTGTCTTTAGTAACCACCAGGGATGTGAGATAAATTACTGTTAAATTGTTTCATAATGTTAACTCCAAACTTGTTACTACTGCTAACAAAGTGCGTGGTTTAGGACTTTAGGGTGGCCAGTTGGAATCGAGGGGTTGCCAGGGCCACCCACAGCTCCACCACTGGCCCTACAGGAATTATTGTAAATTCAGGGAATTATGATGCCACCCAGCTGACTAGTCATAAGGTTTGCAGTCTGAGTTGTTCTGACATGTAGTTACATTTTAAAGAGGGTGCACATCATGCTACATGTGTAGGTACAGTGAGCTAAGTGAGCCTCCGGCAATCTAGAAGTATAAATCAGACTTTAGCATGGAAGCTAAAAGTCTGCCTCTGCTCCGCCTCTTTGTGCCCACCAAAGTTTAACCAAAGACTGTGTATAACACACAACAAGTGTCTAAACATCAACACTTGGTTTTTGGAGTCAAGTTTAGAGCCCATAAGTGATCACCATATTTCAAAAGCTGACTCAGCAGAAGGGGTGTGAAAACGAAAGAAATGTGCAAAAAAGTTCATCACAATGTCTTAAAGCTCAGAAGGATTTTTTTTCCAAATCCTTTTTGTCCAAAAAAACAAAACAGCTCAAGGACTCTTTTATAAAATAAACAATTCAAAGCATGAAACTAGCTCATGTTCAACATTTTCACAAAAAAATAAAAGTAATAATAGTGCCTTAGCTATTACAATGTAGGAATAGTGGGAGTTGTAAATGTCTAATCAATGCAGCTGTACTCACCTTTTTGCCCGCAAGCCCTGCTAATGAAGCTTGGAAGGTAGAAGTGATCAAGGCCTTGGGGAAGTGAAAAGAGAATCTGAAAGTCAAAGTAGTTTAACATTCATCCATCATCGTTGATCTTTGAGCCACTGTTGTCAGAGCTGTAGTTATTAGCATGCTAACCATGGTCACTGGGGTTTTAGGCTTTATAGTGTGGGAGTTGTGGTCTATTACAGCTCAAAATGTCTGACCTTTAAAAGGAGAGCATCTGATAAAGCGGGAGCAGCCCACCAACATTATCTGTAATAATTGCACTTCTCTCAGATACGGTCTGCAGGGAAATAACAGAGGCGAGGAACTAATAAACAGAAGCTAAAGCTACGCTTTCACAGCCACTGCATGTGTGAGATTTACTGTACAGATTTATAAGCTGCTTCATGTTCTTTTGATTATTTACTGTAATATCCCACATTAGTGCATCAACATTGTCCACAGCATTATGCCTGAGTGATGTGTGTAATGTGTGTTGGTGGATGCGGCTTCAAATAGCCTAACATGCCGGTCCTCCTACGATTTGTTGCCTTGCAGATCAGTGCAGACGTGCAAAACAGGAGTTGCCAAACATTAACATGTTGGTGCTCAGTAAACCACAGACACCCCCCCCACACACACAAACACCTGCACATAAATACATACATACACCCAGCCAGAAGATGAAAGTCCCATAAAGTAGCATTTTCATCTGACAGTCTTGCTTTTGATTTCATGCAGAATTTTTTCTACGACAGTGAAACTTTAAAATAGACCCCCCTGTCATTTTCCACCGCCCTGACTTCAAAAGAGCAAAATCGTAGTGAAACTGAAGAGCTCATGCAGCCTCAGAGTGCAATGCTAATGACTTGTTTTTCCATTATTTACCACAGCTCAGCGATGAACGACAAGACTAAAGAGAAAGTGGCCATTAAGAAGCTCCACAGGCCTTTCCAGTCAGAGATCTTTGCTAAGAGGGCCTACCGAGAGCTCCGACTGCTCAAACACATGAAGCACGAAAATGTGAGTAGATTGTACAGTCAAAACATTTCCTGTTTCCTTGAACAGACTGTAGTTTTGCTGATATGAGTTTTTACCTAGAAATACCACAATGGTCTCTGAGTTGGTTCTAAAGAGTTAATTCTCACATCTGCTCTCATGTCTCTGAATCTTTCCAGGTGATAGGACTTCTTGATGTGTTTACACCTGCTACAAGCCTCGATGAAATGCAGGACTTGTGAGTATTTATTTTTTTTTTTTTTTTTGCTGTAGTAGAACAGTCTTTGAGGACAGGCAGATAGCACCTCTGATGTTTTGTAGGTGTTGTGTTCACCTGCTGAGAAGCCTGCAGGACTGCAGGACCTTTGGGATCAAGGATTGTTTTTATATTTGTAGGAACAGAAGAAAATCTCAGTCTCCAGAGTGATGTGAGGATATCTGTCTGGTTTCTCCTCTCACTTTTGGAAAATAAGATACTGACTGATCCCTTTTTTAAAACATGTTTGGTTTGGTCTAACATGCACTTAGACAATCATTTAGGTTTTTAGGATTTTTATCAGGAATTGGGTGGTAAGATATTAGGGGTGGGAAAAAAATCAATACAGCATAGTATCGCGATACTTTGTCTGGTGATATATCATATCGTCTCATTTACCAAGCATTGATTTTTTTCAAATTAATTGCTAATATGAAGTCAATTCTATGATAATGAAAAAATAAAATCAACTATTTGTCCAGTGACATCATAGAGAAGAAGAAAGTTAGTACAACAAATATAGCAGCACCTGGAAAAAGACATTAGGAATGCAAGCAGAGCACAAATGAGATGGACCTGACACATAAGGTTTGCAAGATGTGCTACATGAAATAAACTACTGTGTAATTAAGACAAACATAAAAGAAAGACAAATGTTAAATTAGCTAAACAGTTGAAAAAATTTTATAAATTGCAATATATTGTATCGCAATACTCACTGTATTGCAAAATGTTAAAAATCTCAATAATATTGTAAAGTGGTCCAAGTATCGTGATAATATCGTTTCGTGGGGCCACTGGGGATTCCCACCCCTATAAGATATGAAGAATTTAACAAAATGTGAGAGTGTGCATGAAGCACAGACCCTATGCAATGCCCTAAACTGGCCAAATCCCAGCTGTCAAGAGGCGGGGTAAATAAACCCTGGACAGGCTTCCACTCTATCACTGTGCTGTTATGAAGAGATAGACAGCTCATTATACTCTCACCTACAGGCAATTTAGTGTCATTAATTACATCAATTACAAGCATGTCTTCAGACTGTGGGAGGAAGCTGGAGTACCTGGAGGGAATTCATGCATGCATGAAGGAAATATGCAAACTCTGCACAGACCAGCTCCTGTCTGAGCAGGAACCAAGATCCTTTTTTGTGGCTGCACTGGTTGGAGGACTTAAAATAATGCCTCTAAAAATAAAGACGTAATTATAGTGTTTTTTTTTTTTTAATTAAACAAATCAGACACAGTATTATGTACCATGAAAACTTTAATACATAAATTTAGAGCTAGAAAAAGATAAAAACTTGAAAATGAAAGTAACTGAAAATGACAAATGCATTTTCATATATCATAATTTACTGTTCAGTTGTTACATAACATCTCATTAAAGCTCCTCTGAGGAGTTTTATAACATTAATGAAAGCAACCTAAATTTAAACCAAAGCTTTTTCATAAAATTAAAAAAACAATCACGACTATCTGCAACAGGACTGACCATTTATGCTGTCATTTTTGATGTCTGAAATTCGTGCAGGAGGGTAGGTGTCAGCGAAGCAGCTAGAGAGACTGCCCTGTTTTTACATTTTCCAATTATGATATTCACAATTAACAATAAATTTGACAGCCAACAGTCAGAATGATGAAATTTAATGTCAGTGGATGCAACATAAGCATAGAAATTTAGGGGCACCAAACTTGAAGTTCCTCACAGGAGCTTTAAATTCTATTTTGAAATCTATGACTCAGTTCAATTCAAAGATTATTTAAGTCTGACAGAGCTAGATTTAAAACTAATCAAACTAGTTGACACAAATATGATGATGCTGAAAGTACCTGATGAAAGCCTGATCAGTTTTGTTGCAATCCAAACAAGGATTTGGGTTGATTCTTGTTTCAAAATCTCACTGTGACAGTGGAATTGACTTTTCAGAGCTAAATCTCAAGCATAAACATCACTGTGATGAAAAAAAAAAAAAAAAAAAAAAAAAAAAAACTGTACAAACTGAAAACTGACTGATGTTACAGAGTAGTATCTGTTAAGACCTCAGGGCACTGATGTTAGGAGAGTGCCAAAAGCAAACCTGCAATTATGGTAATGAAGGTATGATGCCAAAGGTGCTGCCAAGACAAAACAAAATGGAGTTCTGTGAGATAGTAACTGTAAAGTAATATTGAGTACTTCCTGAACTGATAACAGTGAGAATAGTGCTCCTTTCTTTTACAGTCTACACCTCAAACCCATGCCCTTTTTAAGCCAGTATGATCAACCCTAAAGGGTAGCAAACACTGTTCATTCCTGCCGTTAACTGGGAAATGTCAGAGTAGTCTTCATGGCTAGGACAGAGACACTGAAGAGATAAGGAGACTAAAGACTGAAAAGAGTTCATGTAGGTTAGTGAAGGAGCCAACAGATATAGAAGCTTTGATTCTGCTGAGTGTGTTCAACTTACAGACCTTGCTGTTAGACTGCTACCTGTTTTTGGGCAAACATTTTCAAGCGCATCATTATGTTGTGTTTTCGACAGGAAGACATACACACAGGGCTTTGCATTTATCCTGATTGGCAGGTGGCCATGAGTGACCTGCAGCATGAACACGCAGGATTATGTAAAGAGGAAGAATATATTTAACGTCTTATGAATACAAGTGTTACATGAACATACACAAGCACCTTAAGCTGCTTAATGGAAGTCTGAAAAGATGGATTAAAGGGAAAAAAACAGCAGACTGCTAAAGAAAGCTTTATTGTAGACATTAGCTGTGCTCTAGAGTGGGAGAAGCCTGTGTGGTGTAGAGCAGTCTATCTCCCTCCACTTATTGCCTTGCTCACTCTGCCTCTCTCCCTGTCTTTATCTTAGCTACCTGGTGATGCCTTACATGTTTACTGACCTATCCAAGGTGCGAGGACATCTCTCAGAGGATAAAGTCCAGTTTCTCGTCTACCAGATGCTCTGTGGACTCAGGGTGAGCCGCTGACCTTAGAGAAAAATATAGTTTTTATCAAGAGCAGTAAAAGACATTTTGTAAAGTATAGAAATCATTAAAAGCTTTCTGACAGTTATTCAATGTCGTTTTGTGGCACAGTTGAGCAGTTCAGTGAATGCTCATTTTCTTACAAGGAGACATTTAATATGATGCAAAATGCTCCCTAGACTCAGCTTTTGTTTCTTTTATGAGTGATTTTAACACAAACTTGCAATTTAGTTGATTTAATCGTAGAATTCAAAACCGTTATGTGCAAAAACACAAAGTCCAATGTTTTTTCTGAAGATACAATAGCTTGTTTGTCTCCTAAAGGGTTTTTGCTCAAACACTGTTTATCCTGAGTGAACTTAATTTTGTCAATAACTGGATTTCATAGTGTAGAGGAATTATTACACTAATGGGACCGGGACTATCCCAATAAGATATTTTTTTCTGTCTTCCTGCAGTATATTCACAAAGCTGGAATCATCCACAGGGTAAGAACGAGTCAAACACATTTCAGCTCCAAGTTTCTTCACCTAACTCCTTCTTTGTTTGGTCTATGACAAGTTAACCTTCAGAGTTTTAGTGGTGATTTGCACACACATTACTCTGACTCAGATAGCACACAGGCACACACACATACACACACACACTTCCTGCACCGCTGCTCTACATGGGAATGTTGATTTAATTTGTCATTGTTATACAGTCAGATCCAACTCTGCCCCAACAGGTAGGATGAGTTCACTCCTCTCTGATGTCCCTAAGCATGTCGAGAGATGTTTGGTCACACCCTAAAGCGCGGGACCAAGCGTTGTGGGTGTGAGTGTGTAAAAGAGAAATCAGACATAGACAAACACATCTGTTACACGAGCTTTTTTATCTCTTTGAGATCAGATAACTGAGGGCCTTCTTGGGGCATTTTAGACTGATGTTGCCGGAAATAACACAACACATAGATTTAAATCAATGCCCGTCTTATTCTCACACATTTTAATGATAAAAATTGATTACTTACTACTTACTTGTCTACACAGCAAACGCTAGCATGTGATTGTTGAGCACTGATCACTCTAACACTCTATTTACATGTGTTACAGTCGAAAACAGGCTCATACACTCTCTGAAACAGTCCTTTGTTGAAGAGTTTCAAACACAGTCAAGTCGTCATTAATGCTCTTTAACACAGCCTCACTTATCCGTTGTTATATCATGACACTTTAATGAATGAGTGAAGGAAAGCTGCAGTGAGTCTTATGGTTATCCGCGCTGAGTCACAGCATACCTGCTTAAAATCTCTGTGGTTTTTTATGCATTGAGTCAAACAGCTGAGCCATGTGAGGTCAGAGGAACCATGTGGACTAAAGCCCTACGCAGAGACAGTTTTTACTGCTATGTACAGACTCTATAAAGTGCTGTTAAACACCACGTACAATTCGTATCCATCACTCAACTCATTTTCTTTTACAGGATCTGAAGCCTGGAAACTTGGCAGTGAACCAAGACTGTGAACTGAAGGTTTGTACACTGAAGACTTACACCTGAAAAACACTTAAGTGCTGCTCTTGTGATACAATAGGATTTCACAGGTCATAGAAAATGTAACACAGAGGGAGCCACATGTGGACTTAATAAAAGGTGGACATGTTAGTGTTTTGGTTCTTACATAAATCTGGTTCATAAAAGCTGAAAAACAAAACATCAAAACAAATGTGGATAATAAGATCATTTTTATACCCAATTATGTTGATTATTAGCTGGAAATTGAAGAAACTCAATTTTTTATTATGGGCTTGACGCAGCGTGCTGCAGCTTCACTCATCATCTTCCTCTGCCCCCTCCCCGCTGGATCCATTCACTGAGCCTGTGGCAGTGTACATCAAAACAAAGCTAAGAAACTGGTCTTTTAGAGAACCTTGTTCACGCCCTTCTTTTAGAGAAACCTCTGCTTAAAGTCGCATCATTTTATCCACATTATTGAACTTGTTTACTAGATATTGTGGACTGCGTCTCTCTACAGGCAGACAGCAGCTGTACTGGTGGCGTAGATGTCTATCACCGCCTCTTAGTGGGAGAGGAGGTGTTAATATGGACAGTGAAAGTCTTGTGTATCTGGCAGAAAGCTTTCTTAAAAAGATCTAACAAAGTATGCACAAAATTCAGCAAAAACCAGGCTGTCTTTAACTGTGCTCGAGGGCACTTGCTCTATTGATGCTAATAACTGCCTAAAAAATGTTGCTAATATGTTATTTTGGTATTTTATGACCACAAGAACTGTAAGTTGAAAATCGGATGTCATGACAGCCCTGGTATTCTCTAATACCATGTAGACATTTTAGTCTAAATAGATGTATGCTATGTAGTGTTCATATGCCTGATCTTGATCTGTTTCTTTGCCTCGGTACAGATCCTGGACTTTGGGCTGGCTCGCAGCACAGACGCTGAGATGACGGGCTACGTGGTGACTCGTTGGTACCGGGCGCCTGAGGTCATTCTGAACTGGATGCACTACACCCAGACGGGCAAGACAATCATAGCTGTTACACATTTTACCCTCTGTTCTGGCTAGATGTGCGGTGTCAGTGCTGTCTCTGTGTCTGTTTGTTGTTTTTCCATCTCAAAGCGCCCCAGCTCCAGGTACAGGGATGTGTTTCTCTCAGCAGCAGCAGCTTGTCTAGTACTCTATGAGTCAGCAGTTTTGTAATCCTCTCGTCGGTGCATTTAAAGCAGCATGGGTTTCATTGTGAAGATAAATCTTTTTTTTCTTGCCTTAATCTTCAAGCGGTTGACACAGATGGGTCTGACAGCAGCCTGATAGTGCAGACACTCAGTGACAGAGCTGTCACTGCATTGGAGCAGACTCTTCCAGGATTTATCTTTCTATAGGAGATAGTGGTTTTTCATTTTGTAAACAGCCTCTACAGAATGAAATGTAGCACTGGAAGGAAATCTGGCAAGTTTTCACCCTTCATAGGGTTGTATTACTCACCAAATATTCCCCGACATAAAAAGCACAAAAGATCCTTCACTGTCTCCTGTGAATGGGAACTTTGCTCCGGCATATAAATGTTACCTTCCTTGTTTTTACTGCACTAAACTTGAGACTATTTGTATTCTGCTGGGGTTTTCACTGAGGCTTTTTTTCTTCCTTGTTTATTCTAGTGGACATCTGGTCTGTGGGCTGCATCATGGCAGAGATGATCAATGGAAAAACGCTATTCAAAGGCAAAGACTGTATCCTTTCATCTACATTACCCATACGCTGGACCCCATACATCTGAAGCCTCAAAATAATAACAAAGCTATCAGCATTCAGGGCTGAAACCTTGGTATTCTTTTATTATCATCACATTAGCAGAGCTTAATAAAGGTTGTTTGACTTAATGACAGTTTTATGCCGTATTAAGCTCTTTAAATCAAGTGCAGACTGGAACATAAAAAGTTATTACCGTAAATAACATGCAGCAAAAACAGCATGTCTCCTCAGGCAGCATATGATGCAGCTCGAGTTGCACTACATACCACACTTCTCAGCACAGTTTATATGTTTATGTTTATGTTCATTTTGACATCAGTGATTTATAGGTCCTGTTGGTAAAGCTCTCACTGCTTTACTCAATGGCTTACAGTTCCTTCTAATTTTCTGGGTTTGTGGTCCTGTTTGGAAACCCTGCTTTCCACTCCCATTGAGTGGACTTTTTATGAACCTCCAGAACAACCAAGGTTTCAAATTCCTTGATTGTTCCCCTTTTACTGCCAGACATGGACCAGCTGACTCAGATCCTGAAAGTGACAGGAGTACCAGGATCAGAGTTCATACAGAAACTGGACAGTCCAGAGGTAGGACGAATCAAAGTGTCTCAACAATATGTATAGATGTCATCAAATACAGTCAGTCAGAGTGTTTCTAGAGGGACCAAACCTAGCAGTCATTATTTTCCAAATGTACATTTTAATTAAAATGATTAGTTTGAGCAAGTGTTAAAAACAAACAGGAACTCTGTCTTTTTAATGCAAAAGAGCTGTACAAAAATACTCTATTGTGATCAAACTCATCCTCTTTTTATTAGGATTAAAGCTCCTGTAAGAAACTTTTGGTTTGAGTTAAATTTGGTGCCCCCTGTGGACCAAGTACTTTTTGCTTATGTTGTCCTTAACATACTTGAATGGCGGCTTTTGATGAAATCTAAATGTGTAATTCATTGTGCATGTTTTATGTAGACATTGCAAAAACAAGACTGTTTTTTGTTGTTGTTGTTGTTGTTGTTGTTGATGATGATGAGCTGATATATCTATACCCTTGCCCCAGTTTGAGAGAGCATTGATATGAATTTCGGTGTATTTCATATATAAAATGCTCTTCATTCGGGCTTGAATTTACTAAAATACCAAGAAAAAAAGTCTGAGAGGAACTTTCAAACCTGAAAAGGCAAATGTTTAAACTCTCTTCTGTCAGGGGATGAACCAATAGAGAATTTGTACCTGAAAACGTGAAAACATGCAGTAAAATTTAATTCAATATTGTGATGTTGATATGTGATTCCTGACAATTGCAGCTGTAAAAAGAGTGGGAGTAAAAATGTAAAATTCATCCTGAGGGGGGCACCAGAGGAAGAGTCTGGGAATTTTTTACACATAAAGCAGGGGAGGGTGATGGGAAACGGAAACTTTGGTTTCAAGGTACTTTTGTGAATATTTAAACTGTTTGTCTCATCCACACAGCACTGTGAGTGAGTGCCAGTTTGAACATGTCTTCACAAATTAGTGTGTCTTAAAAAAGATCTTATCTATTTAGCTATTTATTTTAAAACCCAGAGACAAGTGCTGAAGGACTGTTAATAATAGATGGGATAATTGTGAACCACGTTCAGGTTTAAACATGTACATGTCTGATGTAATCTGTCCAAACTCAACTACTTCAGAGAGTTACTTCTAACAGAACTTAAATTATTGGTTATATCACAGTTCTTAATTTTTAACAAAAACATTATTTTAATGTTCAGTTTTTCCCCACTTTTCTGTTGGTGTGGGAGAGTTTTTTTCAGTTATAGCATGACATCCCTGGCTCAGTCAGGGTTCTTCCGTTTTCAAAACGCGGGTGAAATTTACTATGCTTTGTTTTGACTGATTTTAGATACCAAATCTAGAGGTGAAGTACAAATCTGCAAACAGAATGGATATTACATAAGCACTTCTATTGACTAGGATTGCGTTGTTATTATATTTTTTATAACAGCTTTGTTTTATCCTTCCTCTCCCTCTTCAAACAGGCAAAAACTTATATCAAGGCCCTCCCTCGGTATCCCAGAAAAGACTTTTCAACGTTGTTCCCCAGAGCCAGCGCAAAAGGTGAGTTTAGCCCCAGCCTTTTTCTAAACTCTAGTGGTGCTGACATTTCAATTTAACCTTTGTCCACACTTCAGACTCCTTGATAAACCATCCACTCCTGCTGCTGTGGACCAAATGTTTGTCAGTAAAGTTATCCCCTGTTTCATCAGCTTACAAAGTTTATTTTGCTCTAGTCTGGGAGTGCTGCAACTCTCCTGGTGCATAGTTCATGAAGCTTTTGAAGCTACTTTTTTAAACAATCTGTGTCAGCTGGGTCATGAACAGAGGGTTTTTTATGTTGTGCATTTTATATAACTGCATATTTTTATCATTTGGAGTCAGCTCACAGGTTAACATTGAGTAGATACAGAACACTCGGTAAATCCTGTCTTTTAAAAAGCTTGCAGGCTTTAACGCTGAGTTTTGAGACATTAACTGATAAACAGTTTTATCATTTTTGACCAGGTTGTTGCACTACTAATGTTTGCAGGTATTGATCTGCTGGAGAAGATGCTGGTGCTGGACGGAGACGAGAGACCCACAGCTGAACTCGCTCTGGAGCATCCTTACTTCGACAGCCTGAGGGATCCAGACGACTTTCCTCAGCCCACGCCGTACGACGACAGCCACGACAATGCCACACTTTCCCTGGAGGAGTGGAAGCGTAAGTAGAGTACACTGAGCAAACATTTGTAGAAGAAGTCGATAATAATACGATCAGTGCTGCCTCAAGAGAAAGAAAATAGTCATACTGTAACGAACAAAGTGAGCAGTGGTACAGAATTCCCACTTGCACTACATTTCCTGACTCTAAATGTTTTCCATGTTTGTCATTCTGGCCTATTTACAGCAACACAAACATACCACTGCAGGGCTGCCATTAATGTGCTAATTAATAATTTATTTAAAAATTCCCTGCAATATTTCTCTAATGGCTTCTGTTTAAATGAAGACCGGAGTAGTGGAAGTGCTGAACGTGCAGGAAACAAATGGTCTTCCACTTTTGCCCACAGGGTTATGTTTCAGAGAGGTGAAAAGCTTTGTTCCATTCCCACGGAGGGACTCCAAGAGGAAAAACACTCTCACCATGTCTCCCTGATGCTCGATGCTTGTCTTCTAACTGTACAGCCAATGGTGCCCTTGTATACTACAACCATGGATTCACTCTATTTCCTTTACCCTGGATTTGTTCGGATTTTGACCCAGTGTTCAGTAGAGTGGTTATTTTAAAACTATTACACCTTTTTTTATGTGCAATTGTCTACAAGTGTAGATTGCCCTTTTAAGTTAAAAACTCCCTGTCAGTGGAGCATCTTTGTAAATGTATTTTGACCAAATGTTTGAGGCTTTACTGTAAGATTTACTGTAGTATTGTTTTTCCAATTAAAAACCAGTAGAAGATGTGTATGAAACTTTGTGTTCAAAGATTGTATATGTTGCTACCCAAAATGAAAACCAAAATATGCTGGACTAACCTATAACCAACCTCAGTGTCATTTTATTATATTCTTAAATGAACATTGCATCTTTATACCTTGTATGATGTTATCATACAAGGGCCAAAGTGAGCGATATGCCCAGGAAACTTGGAAAGCATCTACAAGGCTTTGCAGCAACCCTCATAATTGATTAGAAGTATTCACAAAAAAAACAAAACTATGATTTTTGTGATTCTCAATTTGGAAAATGTCTCAATAATACTCATAACATCCAAGACTCTGGGTGTTTTAAGTAAAGTGAAAGCACCGTATGCGGTTATTAACAATTATATAATCCTATAACACATTATTAAGAAGTAATCAGCAGCATGTTGTGGCTGCAAGTAAGGCATCAGGCAAAATACTTAACAGCATTAATACATTTTTACACCTGTAAATGTTTTCTTTTGCAGTAAATACATTTCATAAAAATAAAAAAAACATACACACACAAGACATCATGCTTGCTGATTAGAACTCTTCATAAACATCACTATATCAGCTGTTATGAATGCATATTATGACTCATAAGGGTTGATCTAAAGCCTCATGGATGAATTTTGAGACTTTATAAATGTGCCAGTTATGCATTATAAGAGGTGGGTTCATATTAAGTGTTCCACAATCTAATCCTCACCTCTTTAAAAGTCAGATTCGAATCTCTGCTGCGGGAATGCAAAAAGACGTGCTGTAAATTACCTCATGTGTCACCCCTCTTGCAGCTGTTTCACGCATCAATAACAATTATATGGAAATGCCATGCACTAAGCTGTCACACCCCACATGTCCCAGAGCAGAGATTACTGCTCATCTCTTCATTTTTGTAAAACCCAACTTTATAATACTTTTTTTCAGTTCTTTATATTAGTTTGGTTGTCACACAAACTCAAGAAAACACAATTTCCCTCAATTTATGACAGCCCTGAAGTCTTGCTGCTTTTGTAGTTCACAAAGAGACCCAAGTATTCATTTCAGTCCATGTCATAACCACATGATAACCTCTTTCGGGAGCTTTAATGACAAAAGCCCCTAAAGACCTGTAGTCAATCACCTGTCAGCTGGAATATTTGAACATGACAAGGTGTGTGATGCTGAAACTAACATTTCTTGCTTTGCTTTTTCTGTTCATGGAGACATGTTGACATGCTTTCTCTGTTTTTCTGTATGGATCACGACTTCCCATTGCCAGTAAGATTCAGCTAAAGTCTGTTGTGTCTTTCCAGTATAAGTAGCTTTGTACTGGACTGGACCTCATGCAGAAGCTGTGTTTTATATTGGTCAACCATAAGGGTTTAAGACTAATCTGTTGGAATGTGTTTACTATTTGTTTCTGCCTTGAAACCTTGTAGTGTGTCATTTTAAACTGATATATTTTCTGATTAGGTGAGTGCATGTGTATGTGTGTATTCAGTGTGTGTGTGCAGATCTAATAAATCATGAGAGTGTGCTCTTGTTTTACGTTCATGAAGAGACAGAAGAGGTGTCACTGCTCAATTTTGGCGACAGCTATTTAATAATGCTGCAGGCTTTAAAACTACACATCCAGAAACGATTCTGCAGCACTGAGATCAACACAGACTGTGATCTGTCATTGACCCCGTTAAGTAGCTTGCGCGCGAAAATCATGCCCGGATGACGTCAAGGAGGCGGATTTAACAAGAATCAATTTCGGTACGAGAAAAGCGGAAGTGACATGTTTCCCCTTAAAATTAAGAGTGTATTATGGCGTAATCTTGAGAAAAATATTTTTTGTTACCAAGGCCAATTTATATCCACTAATTAAGAGACATAAGTCTGACTGTAAGTCTGAATTAACTGTTTAAATATATTCTGGACATATTACAAGAAGATTTATGTGTACGAGTGCAGATTTTATTTAGAGACCCAACTGGGAAAATTCAGGAAAATCAAAATGACACACAAAAAGAAGACTTTCAGGATTTGTCAAGGTTATGAAAACCTTGGGGTTACTTTCTGCAGAGGTGAACATTCCATTAGGTTTTGGCTTGGGAAGTCACAAAACTGAAATGCAAGATTCTGCTTTTTTTATTCATATAACCCATGTACACTCAATAAAGTCAGTATATTACAAATGCCGTAAGTGGGCGTGTGTCCAGTAATCCTATTTTGTTTTCTCATAAAAACACATTGTTTTTTAGGTTGTTTCCCACCTTCAGTAAAGTTTGCATTATTTTTACTTTTTTTTTTGACAAAATAAAAGTAGAAGTCAAGCTTTTGCAAAAACAACCACACATTACATGTCTAACGGGGAAATGGGAATAAAACAGAGTATGTCAATATTATAGAAGCCCTTAGTGGACAAAGCACCTTAAAGCCAAAATAAGTGCTCCACTTAGGTGTTTTACAAAAACAGACATGGGCCTAACACATGCCAGTATAGTTGCCCCTTGGCTTTTCCACAGCCAAGGTGCTGCTACAGAGCACAGCCCTGTCCCTGGCCTTTCTCTTCTCCAAAGACTGCACAGCAAATAAGCCCCATTGTGATTTCCCATGATAAGTAATATCTGGCTATTCTTTTGGAAACATTTATTTTTCTTCCATCTCTTATTTTGGGGTAACAAAGCTTGTGTTTTGTGATATATGGCTCCTATTTTGGTGAGCTATAAAACAAAAGAATAGGCTGGATATATCTGTGAAAAGCCACACAAAACACACCATGCTGCCAGTAACCACACTATAACAAATTAATCCTATTTTCAATACCTCTATGTTTGTTTTGTGCTTATCAAGTCAAGAGGGTAAATCATAATATAATTTGTGTTGTCATCACAATTACTTCAGGATGAAATCATGTTTTCAGTAGTACAAAGGTTGTCCACTTTTACTTGGGTACATCACAAAGGTACGTTCAGGTAGGTTATGCTCATGATAAGGGATCAGTAAGTGAAAAGCTCCACTCACCGACCAGTCGGTATGTTGGATCACTTGAGAGACACCAGTTCATAAAATTCTACAATGAAAAATGTTGATTAAAGTTTTTAAATTGGTTCTGTACTTAAAGACAGAGACATCAGGAAAATATCAGAGATGTTAGACATAAAATGATGTATGTTTATTACTTAAATCATGTTTCCACTCCATTTGATACTATTGGTGCTGTCAGCTATGTATTATGCAAAGCACAAGAATAAATTGGAGCAAAAATTTGTTTGGTTTCAGGGAATAAACAAGTTCTTGGTCGGATCCATCAGGCAGTAATGATGGGAAAGTGATAATAACGTTCAACTCCTAATTCCTACACTTACTTTGTATTTTTTTCTTCTTCTCTGCTAGTGCTCTTTTCACAACACAACTGTGCGGACTCTTGTCTGGATTTTGAGTTTAACTTCGTCTTATCATCGTTTGCTCTGCATTTGTAAAATATGACTATCTGCTGATGGTAAACTGTTCATGACTTTGACTGATCATATTTTGTTTACACTATCCTGGCTATGTGAACGCCTGAGGTGAGTTATCAGATTAGATAAAGTCAAACCTTCTCTGTGTGTAGTGAAGCTGGATAACCAAAGATACCCAGGGTGTGCCACACTTGCTTTGCATTGTGGGCCTCTACCTGAGGTTACCAAAGAAAGCCGAGAAAATTAGAAGCATGGATGCATGTTTGCTCAGGGATTTTTGCCAAATCTCAATATGTCCAGGAGGAACAACAGAAAATGATTTTTTATTCTGAAAGGACTAACCGGAAGTCTTGTGTTTTCACTTGGGCTAGCCTCCAGTTAGCACATACCCTAGACCCAAATAGCTAGCCAGCTAGCCGAAGGAGGCTAATATCTCCTCCTCACAAAATTGGGACGACAGTAGGCTGTTTCACAAATTAATAATTCATAAATACTACTCGTGCTCTTAGTGGGTGTTTTGAATTGTCTTCATGCCTCCCACCTGCCGTGTTGTGAGGAAACGGAGGTGTTATAAAGCAGTGAAATATACCGGCTGTAGCTGAAAACTGCAGCGGGCTAACGGCTGTTAGCTCCGGAGCTGCTGCGAGTAAGGCGGCCAGCCAGGCAACCATTACTGGCGGAGAGGCTCCAGGACGCCGGCTACCTGCGTCAATCTGTTGTCATAATAGGTAGGTTTGCCTCCCTTTACTTTCGTAGCTGATAGTAAACTTTAAACTCAGTCTAAGTTGGCCAGGGTTTGACTTTTTTCTGCTGCCCGAAATGTGAAGTTAAGGTTAGAAGAATAGCCATCTTCTTTCATGCCAGAGTACCTAAATTCTCCCAAAGCACTGTGTTTTTCTCACCCAGATTTGGCCAGTTGTATCATTTATTCAATAGTTCAAAAAATTCTGAAATGTTACACATAGGGGGGGTTTTAACAGTGTTTTAAAACTGTAAATATGGCTGACATTTTACTCCCGAAATAGGGACAGTGATCTGTTGAGCCCGTGGTATACTGTAATCTGATTGGCTCTTTGGCATGTCGGTCTAACTTTCCTGTAAACTGATTGGATGCGCCCGTTTTGTTGTGGCTAGCCCTGATAGTAGTTGCCAGCAGTGTGAGATAAAGTCACGAAAAATCTATAGCTATTTTTTTCCCTCGTCAGTTCTCTATAATGTTTTTTTTTTAAACAGCTATGACTAACTTTCAGTTTGACAGTTGATATCTTTCAATGCCTTGGTATGTGCTCTTGGTTTCTTGAGATGAATGAGCTTGACTTCTTACTCATTAAGGCGTGTGAAGGAATGTGTCACACTTAATTGAATATTGACTTCACCTACAACACTGTAATGCAAAGTAAAAGGCATCGAAGATGATTTAGTTAAATTGAGTTGATGAAGAAGTTCAAAGTTCAGCTGGCACATCTCTGGCCCATTTTGGCATTAAAATTATAATCCATATTCCATGAAAATCTAAAAAATTCATTATGTCACTGGATGGGGATTGACATGATAGAGTTTAAATTAAAAATAATAATTAAAAAAATAAACAATGTAGTTGATTACTGAAAAGTAAAGATTACACTGAAAAACTCTCAACAACGTTCTAATTGGAGTCGTTTTCAGCAACGACATAAGTTTTAGGAGATTTATATTTTGCTGCATTTGAAATTGAGGATTTTTTTTTTAAATCAGCAAACAAACAATTATTAAAAAATGATATTGGTGATAAGTTCGGCCTTCCCAATGCTCATGTGTCACAGGGGTTTGGAGTACTGTGCTCCTCTTTTCCTTATCCTACATATAGTGAATAGTCACAGTGAAGTAAATCTCTGTTGCCTGCAACTGCAACTATCTGTAGTGATGGCAAGGCTGTGATGTATCCACTTGGTTTTCAATACCTCTGTGCGTTGCTTCATAGAGGTTGAGAATTACCTTGGTGCAGAAAATTGTGCAGAGGAACAGGAGCATTTTCATTAGTGATGAAAGCCCATTTCTCCATCCAATAAAAACAGCCACATATATTCAGCAAGGAAAACCTCCACTGCCTTTATCATATTTTTGTGTTTCCCTGAGCCAGTGGGGCATACATGATAACACAGCAAGGAACTATTGCTTTTTGGATGACAGTGTTACCTGTTCAGGTACCTCGCTTCCAGACAGTTATACCGCTCAATGACGGCACTGCTGAGTCATGTTGAAAGTGTTTTTTTTTTTTTTTATTAGAGCAGGCAGCACATGTATAATCATATCTGCAGACAGCATTTTTTTGTTTGTTTTTTATTTACCATACCACAGATTTAAAAGACAGCAATGCTTCCTTATCTCTTCCACTGCTGGAGGCTTACCATGTTATTATGTTTTTATTTATTATTTGTAAAATCTGATTACAGTATTGTAAGCACCCCCCAGTTACAGGCCTGAATGATTAATGTATCCTTGGAAGGATGTGGACTCAAAGGGACTCAAAAACAGAGTAAATTCAGAGAGGAAGAAGAGGCATAGATGCTATTTATACCCAAAACCAAAAACACAGCAGTTCACATATCAAACTAGGGATGCTATTTCAAATTATATTGAGAGTTGTCGCATCACAGTATGAACAGTTTGAAGGATTGGGACATGGCAAACTTCCATAATCTACTGTAGGATTATTTATTACTTATTCTTTCAAAAAAAGTCCCAAGCATTCACTTTTTTTATTTGAAGTCTGACATCTCATTTTCCTCTTAATAACTCTTTCTTGTCTAAACCAACAGGAGGGACAGTGAGATTGGTGGCCTATGAGGAAGCCACGTCGAAAAGGCCAAGTGGCTGCAAGTGGAGGTGGGGAAGATGTCAAAAAGTCTAATGGGACAGTTGGTGGGCGTGGGGGCGCCCGCCAGCGGTCCCCCTCCCCGTATAGTCTCAAGGCATCTCCAAGCAGAGAAACCCTCTCTTACGCCCAGGCCCAGAAGGTGGTGGAGGTTGAACTGGATGGTAGGCTCCACCGCATTTCTATTCTGGAGCCCTTGGAGGTCATCACTGAAGATGAGATGAAGGCTCAGGACATTAGTGAGTGTAACAGTAACAAGGAGAACAGTGAGCAGCCATCACCTCCCACCAGCAGTGCCCAAACAGCCCGTAAACCATCCACACCCCGAGGCCGCAGGAGAGACTCCAAATGTCCTCCTATCAAGTCGCCCCCACCTTCTAAGAACCACTGTTCTAAATCTCATCCACCAACACCTGAAAAGGTAAACACGTCACACCATCACCACATGACCCTCCCTGAACCCAAGTTTCGTGTGCTGGAAACCTTTACACCAGTTGAGGCAGAACCGCTTCCTACTGCGTATTACCGTTACATTGAACGTGCTGCAGAGGAGCAGGAAAACGAGGCAGAATATGACATGGATGAAGAGGACAGCGCCTGGTTGGACATGGTGAATGCCGGTCGGACGTCAGAGGGCTACACAGCTGTTTCCCAGGACACCTTTGAGCTGCTGGTGGACCGCCTGGAGGAGGAGGCGTACCGGGAAGCTCGTAGTCGGGCTCCCTCTCAGAGTACCATAGACGATGATGCCTTCTGCTGTGTGTGCCTGGATGACGAGTGCCTCAACAGCAATGTCATCCTTTTCTGCGACTCCTGCAACCTAGCTGTGCACCAGGAGTGTTACGGGGTCCCCTACATACCTGAGGGCCAGTGGCTGTGCCGCTGCTGCCTCCAGTCCCCTCAGAAACCTGTTGACTGTGTTCTGTGTCCAAACCGTGGCGGCGCCTTCAAGCAGACCAGTGAAGGCCGCTGGGCTCATGTGGTCTGTGCAATATGGATTCCTGAAGTCTGCTTTGCAAATACAGTTTTTCTAGAACCAGTGGAAGGGGTCAATAACATTCCCACAGCACGCTGGAAACTGACCTGCTACCTGTGCAAGCAGAAAGGCTGTGGCGCGTCGATTCAGTGTCACAAAGCGAACTGCTACACTGCGTTTCATGTCACATGTGCTCAGCGCGCAGGACTCTTTATGAAGATAGATCCTGTGCGAGAGACAAATGTCAATGGGACCACCTTCTCGGTAAAGAAGACAGCATTCTGTGAGGCCCATTCACCACCAGGACAAGAGAGTGCCTCAGATGAGGAGAGTGAAGGAAGAGTAGTGGGCAGCAGAGGGAGGGCTAGTAGAGGAAGAAGCGCCTACACAGGTCCTGTAACGCCGAAAAAAGGCAGAAAGTCTGAGGATGATGCCAAGACGGACAAAAAGAAAGGGAAAAAGGGCACAGAGACCACAGCACAACACACCACTTCACCACAAGTGACAGTGCCTCAGATACCCACGAGCAGGTTAGAGTTCCTGTTTTTATAAATCAGAAAAGTCAAATGTGCTTATTTCTCAGTATTTGAATCGTGACCTTTTTTTTGTTGTTTTGTTTATTTGCCTAAACATTTTCACCACAGATTCTTGAACATTTCTGGGGAAACCCAACTTAATACAAACATCTAACAACTTAATTAACAAGATGCTATTTGTTGGAGGGTTTTTGTTGTATTTGTCATTCAGTTAAATTGAACACAAGTGTCCTACAGTTTTCAAAAACACACAAATCATTCTCTTGGAGATGCCTGAGCTTTTGTCTATGACTGTTTAAGACCCTCTTGGATCCTCTTGTTTTTCCTAGGCTTAATACTATATGCAAAGGAATCCTATTCCAGAGGAAAAACCAGTTCATGCAAAGACTGCACAACTACTGGTTACTGAAGCGCCGGTCGAGGAATGGTGTGCCGCTGGTTCGGCGTTTGCACTCAAATGTCCAGTCCCAAAGGAATACTGAACAGGTCAGGGAAGGAAAACAGATCTGCTGCCTTTGCAGTCTGTGCTTGTACTCACAGCTGCAAAGTTAATTTTAATGGTGTTCAACACAACAAAGTATTTATGAAACTAGACTTCAAATGCATTTCTCAAAGTGTTTTCACAATGAAGCTTCTAATAATTTGTTGTACTTTGTAGCCTGAGGTGGACGAGAAGGTTTCAGCTGCCAGAGAAGCACTGAGATACTGGCAGAAGCTGCGCCATGACCTGGAGAAAGCTCGCCTACTGGTTGAACTCATACGCAAGAGGGAGAAACTGAAAAGAGAGCAGGTAACTCTTCAACATGCTTCAACATGTTCAGACTAGCTGTATTTTATATTCAGACTTGTAAAGTAACACTTTACAGTGTACACAGTACACAGTACACTTCACACACAGTGAAAAGTTCTGTACAAAGTTAATTTAACATAAATTGCTCACAGGTCAGGTTTTCATATTGATTCTCTTCCTTCTGGCATTTGGCAGCCTGTGAAAATGTTTTCTGAATTCTTATTGTAGTGGAAAGTTTAACTCATGTTAACACAGCATGCAAATTTCCCTGACATCTACAGGTCAAAATTCACCAAGCAGCTTTGGAGCTGCAGTTGACCCCTATGCTGGTGCTACTCCGCTCAACCCTGGAGCAGCTGCAGGAGAAGGACACGGGCCAGATCTTTGCAGAGCCAGTCGACATCAAGGAGGTCAGACACATCACTGACAAAATGTATTCTTTATTGAGCTTTCAAATATTTTATTAAAACCTACCAGATTTTACATGAAACTTTCTCTGCTATCACAAAGATGTTAGATGGAAAGTTGTTATAATTAAAACACAACTACACCCAAAATATAGCCACTGAATTTACCTGTGGAAAACAGTCAATTAAACTAATAATTAGGGCAAGAGAAAGCGCTCTTCTGAGGTCCACTCATTATTGGAGCCTGTGACAATATTTAAACTCTGTACTCGGTGTAACTCTTGCATCCTTCAAGTTGATAGATGATTTACCTGGGGGTGTTTGTGTCCATGTAAGCTGTAGAGGTGTCCCAACAATGAATCACTTTTTAATGTCTGTATGAAAAACTGTATTTAGGGACCAGGGTGCTCAAGTATAAGACATGAGAAGAAAGTCTAACAGGAGTGCTGCGAGTCAAACATGTACTGTGTTTTCTTACTTGGTCAGGTCTATTTTTCACTTTGTGTCCATTACTGATCAGTAAGTTTTGGAGTTCTGCCTGTTCTTTAGGTCCCAGACTACCTGGAGTTCATCAGCCAGCCAATGGATTTTTCCACAATGCTCTCCAAGCTGGAAAGTCACGCTTACCGCTCAGTGTCCGACCTGGAGGCTGACTTCAACTTGATGGTGTCAAACTGCCTCCTCTACAACAACAAGGACACAGTCTTCCACCGGGCGGCGCTGCGTCTTCGAGACTTGGGAGGAGCCATACTGCGTCATGCCCAACGACAAGCTACCAACACTGGCCTGGACCTTGATACAGGAATGCTCCTCCCGGTCTCACCGCAGAAAAGAGACTTTTACAGCTGCACCTGGGAGGACAGTAAGTCACAGTTGTGATACTGAACAGGAAATTTTATATACATGATTGTGCTTAGGGGATTCTACACTATCCGAGATTTTGAGAGTCTGGATTAACAAGTATTTTGCATTTGTCCAGTTTAAAAAAAAAAACTAGTTGAACAAATTAAATGTAATTTACAAGTCATCACAAAAGTAAGTTGAAGACAAGACACAGTTAATATGTAAACTTAAAGCTATGGTCTATGATCTGAAAACCAGTTTGGCTGTTGAGACAGATTTGAAAAACGCAGCCTGCCCACCCTTCACTCACCCCTCCCCTCTGTGTTCCAAGATCCCCCCCAGCTCGTGTCGCCTCCTAACAACACGCCCCAACCGATAAAGCAAGAAGCCGGTCGGCAGAAAATATCAGCAGCAAAGCTAGCTTCGAAAACAACTCAGGATGTATCTGATGCAGATAAAATTGTCGAGGCTGCTGGGGCCGGTGGTCTCTGGAATCCGACCTTCATTGGAGTTGAAGCGAAATGAGATTTCTCATTGCAGAAAATAACAAACTCAACAGTCATCCCCCCTGTAACACACAGTGGTAGCCATTTCAATTGGACCAGCGCGATCAAAACCACATATTAGCGGGGCGAAGCGGGTCTGGCATTGCCACTGCTAGCTGGTCATAGGAGCCGATTGTAGGTGAGGCTTTACCTTTCTCGGCGTGTCTTCACCAGCTCAGTTTACAATGCATCAGATGCATGGCTAACTTGTGCTAAAATCTATTGACAGAGCCTACCCGTTCCGACCAACAACGTTCAGTCATTAGCCAGTATAGGCACAGACTAACCAGAGTTATTCAGCAGACATCTCCCACTGTAGTAAACAAAGTTATTACCTGTTCAACAGAAATTCAGCTGTCTCAGTTTTCAGTCCCAAATCCTTCTGCAGCTTTTTCCACCGGTCGTACGTTTCTCCGATGTAGACTCTCCGTTGGCACCTGTATCGCCCATGTTTCTTCCTTACTTCAGCCTTTCCTCGAAACTTTTACATTTCCTTCCCTTCGATGTGGAGGGTAACAGAAGCAGCCCCCTAGTTTCGGTGTTTGTCTTCTCCAGGTCCATTACGCTTCAGCAGCTGTGCAGCTTGCTAATGACATGTACGTGAGGGAGGTAGTGGGGAGGAGGGGGGACCATGGGCGGGATGGTGCGGAGCAGGGTAGACAGGGGATTGGACAGACTCACGGACCACTCCGAACTGCCGGGGTTACGGCGGTTTGGATTGGTCAATTATTATGCCTTTTTGCAGCAGATATACTAAATGGATTTTTTCCGTTCTTTTTTATCTTTATATTGCGTAGATCGGACCATAGGACCATAACGGCCTTATAAACGATGTTATTGATAAGTACCAAGATTCCAAATGGTAGACCATAGCTTTAATATATAAGAATATTTATTCTATGAATGATGTCACATGATTAAAGAGGGAGGGTTGCAGTCTGTATTTGGGCCCTGAGATGTAACTACTAGTCCAAACTGTCACCTCAAGTAATTTGTTCAGTTTTCCATTCACCGAACCACAGCTGTCACAGTGTCATTCAATGGGAAACACTGGCGTTCTCTTCATCGTAATCATATTACAGTTTACATTCAGTTAGGTCTGAATATTTTCAGCTCAGATTCTGTTTTAGATTTGATTAAATCTGGTATGCTATTTCAAATGTGATAAAAATATTTTTCATTTAAGCTGAGAACCAAATCTCTCTCAAACATGACTACAGTTGCTTCTGTTTCAATGGGGAGTCATTAGGAGGAGTCAGAGGTCTGTTTTTTTAGGCTAATCTCAGCTCAGATTGTGCATTCTCCAATTATGAACAGAATGTGTGGCCATCAGTATCACGTTGCAGATTGCATATTTCAGTAGAGCTTTTAAACTGGTACTTTATTAAGTATTTACATTTAACTGTTTTGTATTGGGCTGACTAAAACTGATAACATGATTAAACAGCACAATGCATATCCATAACATTAGGATATGTTAAAAAATGTATCCACCTCATTTTCAAACACACATGGTGCAGAATATCAAAAATACCTTTCATTAAAATGTGCACAGATTCAAGGAGTCTGATCTAAAGAATAATGGCACTATTAAGTACTAGGGGTAGGAGAAAAAATCAATTCAGCATAGTATCGCAATATTTTGTCTGGTGATATATCGTAATCTCTCATTGACCCAAGTATCGATTTTTCAAGTTAATTGCTAATATGAAGTCAAATCTGTGATAATGGAAAAATAAAATAAACTGTTTTTCCAGTGAGGTTGGCAGAGGTGACATCACAGAGCAGGAGAAAGCTAGTACAACAAATGGGTTTGCAAGACATGAAACATGAAAATAAAATACTGTGTAAATAAAACAAACATAAAGAAAAGACAAATGCTAAAGTAGCTAAACAGTTGAAAAAATTGTATGAATTGCAGTGTATTGTATCATAATACCTACTATATTGCTGTACATTTGTAAATGTTACAAATCGCAATAATATTGTATCGTGCCCCAAGTATCGTGATAATATTGTATTGTGAGGCCACTAGTGATTCCCACCCCTATTGAGTGCTGAAGCTAGTTTAATACAAGAGTTTGACTCGTGTTACAAACATTAACGGCAGCAGTAAGTCTTCATTTGTTGCGCATATGTAAAACATGTGTGCCAGCTTCACTGTCATCCCTGTCTTCTTTTGCTGTGTCCAGTTGACAGCGTCTTGGACCCCAACAACCGACTTCACATGACTGTAGAGGAGCAGCTTAAGGAGCTTTTAGAGAAACTGGACTACGTCACCTCCATGAGATGCAGCGGCGCACGGACAAAAAGAATCCGCCTGCTTCGTCGTGAGATCAACAGCATCCGCAGACAGGGACAAAACCCTCGCCACAGCCTTCACAATGGGCATCTGAGGGATGAAGATGACGACGACGAGGAGGATGATGAGGACGAGGACGAGGAGAAAGACACCAAGGCCGATAACGGCCTGTTGTCCTCAGATAAAGGTGGGTGACAAAAAGCCCGGATGTTCCAACAGTATGAAATTGCCAATGCATGAAGCTTTGAAGCCTCTTTTTGAAATGAGACCAGTTGTGAACATAAGCTAACGGAACATTGTCCTCAGGTAATTGAGCCAGGGTCCCCCCCACGCACCAACCCCAACCACCCCACTGTCTTCAGTCTAGTAAGTAGGGGCCCACAGAGTCTTGTTAGCCATGGCTGCCTCACAACTCCTCTCTCCCAGTGCACTCTATGTCTGCACCTCTTTTTTACATCACTCTCATGGACTCACCACTCTCCATTGGCCACATAGTCATGCCATACCATCCCACTTCAGACCGCAGGATAGGCCAGTCAAACAGTTTCTTGCTGTGTAGAGGAGGGCAACACAACGCCTCTGCTCTGTGTCAGCTGAGCTGTAATGATGCCGTGTTACCAGGATGCGGGTATACAGCTGTGAGAGCAAAGTTATCTCCTCACTCGTCTTGATCAGGTCTTCCATATCTACAGAATACCTCACCGCCCTCTGGGCTGTGGTCAGACTGTCAGAACTCAATGTAGCTCATTCTGAAATGACACCATTTTCCAGTGTGAATACAACGCCACATTACACTGCATACTAAATGGGCATTCGCTTTTAAACAAAGGCTGAATGAAATTGAGTTTTATTTCTCTCCTTTCAACTTCCAGAAGATCTTAAATCCACATCACCGCCCACACTGGAACCTACAGGTCCTGCTCCACCTCCACGACAGGGGGACACGCCTCTAGAGCCGCCCACCCTGCGGCCAATCACAGGGGAGTCCCAGCCCCCCAGCTGGCCCTGCAAACGCCTAAAGCTGGATGGAGACCTCTCGGACAGCACCACAGAGAACAATAATTGCACTAAAGTGAAGGAGCAGCCAGCGACACCACCTCCCATTTTGCACAGCGAAGGACCAGCAGTGGCAAACGGTCTGCCAGAGCTCAGTACCCCCCCACGGCCCACCACAGGAGGGGTGGGACGTAGAACCTCTGTGCTGTTCAAGAAGGCCAAAAACGGAGCTAAGCTGTTCAGAGAGAGGGACAGTCTTTTGCTGAATGGAAAGGGACCTCAAGACAGCAACATGAGCAGCACCTCTTCTGCACCCAACTCTGCAGCAAGTACCCCTTCCTCCACACCCCTGTCCACTCCATCCAAGACCCCACAGAAAAGTCCTGGACCACCCACTATCAACAAGAAATGTTCGCCCCCTCGGGAAATGTGTTCGGATAGTGAGCAAGAGAAGACATCGAATCATACACTGGAAAGTGGTGAGGACCTTTCATCTCTTAACTCACATTAGACCCGATCACTCAGGGTGATGTTGTCAGACAGAGGGCATTCATTATGGTGTGATCATATAAGGATAATATTTCACTAAGACTGCTGTAGGGTTGAATGACATAACAGTTCAAACTTCATCAAGCCAGCGACCTACATAGTAAACGACTAGACTACTGTGCCTCATGTGAAACTTTGTCTGTCTCAACATGTGAAACCAAAACTGAACTATGGCAGTTGGCTGAGGTGTCAAAGTCAGAGCAAAGTCGAATGATTTACAGATATTTTGGCTGCAACAATAATCTCAGCCTGATTATATGATATCCAAATTCAAACCTTTATGTTTATTCAGGTGTCTAATGATTATGACTGAATAGGCAGGCTATAAATATTTACGCAAAAGCCATTGGAAAATCTACTCAAAATGTTGATCTTGGTTGCACTTGTATCACCATAATTTCCCAGGAGCAAAAATAATGTTCAGACGCAGCATATGATCAGAAACTCATGCTCACATCAATGAAATGTTTATTAGTCGTTTCTCAGACTGTTGATTCTTGGCTTAATGGATTGAGGGTGAGAACATACTGATCCCAAAGAAAGAGCTCCTGGGCACCCGTAGTCGGGCATTTTTCTTTTTGGTACAACAGTGCACCCCAGGAAGAATAGTCTCCACCATGGTATAGACTAATGGGGATCCTTAATAAACTAACTAACTAACTAACTGCACACAAAGACCAACATTTCATCTACAGGAATGGTACGGTGGATGAAATTTTCCCACAATAGAGAGTATTGATCAAAAACAAAATGGGCTTATTTCCACTGATTTATCATCAGTAAGCCAGTTGAAGTGATAGCAGTGTTTCTGCAGAGAGTCTGCTGTCTCTCAGCATTTCCAAACTTTAGTATTTTGGACTTTTCATGGTGTTAATCATTGTGCTGTGAGAAGCTCCCCGTCACCTGTCTACAGGAAACAACAGTTAGATAATATATAAGGCCCAGGTGTCTCTCCCCTCTGCTCTCCCTCCGTCTGTGCCAGACATAAACCTTAAAGGTGCCTGCTCCCAAAATGCTGAAAGGACTCAATAAACCGTCTGTGTTGCTGACCTGTAAATCAGAGCAGTATGAGGCTCTCAGAGCAGAATGCTATAGAGGCACACACACACTGAAAACAGGGTGCAGTGCTGCAGACAAGCTAAATCCAGCACCTCTGCAGGTTTGCATGGAGTTGTGGACTGTTTAGCCGTTTCATTAATTTATAACTTTCGTCTTTTATTCACTTCCTGTACAGTTTGAAGAGCACTGCTGCTCTTTCTGTTTCTCACAGCAGCTTTAGGTTGAAAATATAAAATGTAGACCTGTTAACTACTACTGAACATTAAACTGACAGACAGATATTGTATCATTTTTTCAAGCCTGTGGCAAGGGAAGATATTGAAGTATCAAAAAAAGAGGTTTTCTAAGCAAAGAGAGGACCTGATACAAGCTGAGACTAATGCCCCACAGACAGGAGCTCCCTGGGAAAAGTGCTTTAAAGGTTTATAAAGAGAGTTAAGTCATGAAATAGGAAGTCTGATAGAACCTGCTGACTTTTCATCTGTGATTATCTACCAGTTCAGGCCTCTCAATTGTCAAGATTCAATCGATGAAGGTGTCAGACAGTATGGTGTCTAGAAAAAGACAATTTAAATTCTTACAGAGATAGAGAAGACTGAGACTCAAGGTGCTTCATGTTGGTTCCTATCTCTGTTTCAAAGGAAACAAAGCATGCCACCTGATCTCAGCACAGGAACTTGTTTCTTTTTGCTGCACCTGATCAACAAAACAAGCCAGCACACTACTCCTGAATCCCTCATTGTCTGTGATTGTTGTGTTTTTTTTGGTCCAGACTCTTTGTTGTTTTAGCCTTTGGGGTTTTGGTTTTGGGGTTTTATTTATTGTGACGGAGATAATCCAAGACGTCTTTGCTTTAATTTCTTTTATCCTGCCAGTTTTCCTTATGATCTTGTTTCTTTGCAGGCAGCTTATCTGTCATTTCTTTCTTTTCCTTTCAGGACTGACCAACGGCTTCAATAAGCACAAAGACGGCGGGTCCGACTCTGAGTACAGCCCTTGTCCAGTCCTTCACAAAGAGATGTAAGACATTGGATCAGTTTCCAGTGGATGTTTGTTTGTTTAAAGTGATGATTGCCAATACATTGACAGTATAACTCAATGTCTTGCAGCAGCTCGCCTCCCAAACGAAGCCTCGGAAAACCAGCTCTCTCCAAAGTTCCCTTCCTGGACATCATCAACGGAGACTCCGACTACACAGGTATGATTGTTTTTTATTTGTGCACTTTCTTCAGGCAAAAGCTGCAGCATCTTTATGAAAATATGCACCCTCAAGTCTCTTTATTTTCCTGGTATTAATTCAGTTTTTCAACAATTGCTGTTTTTTTAGGGAACGGTAGCCAAGCGTGTGAGGATGATTCAGAGCTGGAGCCACTGGAACTGGTGTGGGCCAAGTGTCGGGGGTATCCCTCCTATCCTGCTCTGGTAACCCCTTATTCTACCTGATATTACTGAAACACAACTTAATCTATGCCTTTGAACAGGTGGCAGGACCCCGTTTACTGGAGGTCTACATCTAGTTTAGATTAACCTTTATTTTACTTGTTATCTTTTGCAGTAAAAGGCTCTGTTGTGTTTTCAGAGCTTCTTGCTTTCAAACTTCATGTTTTGTTGGCGGCGTGTGTTTTGTTGTGAAATCATCAATCTTCTAAAATATTTCCAAGTAGCTGATTTAGTCCAGAGACAGAAGTTAGTGCCCTCTTCATCTTTATTCGACTGTTTGCTTTTATCTGTCAGACATGTGGTAGAATACAAAGTCGCAGATGGGCCGTAAAATCCATGTTCAAGTTTTTCTTTAAGGTGACGCCTTGGCTCCATGTTTCCTCTCTCCACGGGTAATATTGGAGTGCGGAGTCTTGATTTAATACATGTTTACAGATTGATGTCAGACAGCATCTCCCATCAAACCACAGTTTGAGAAATTTAAAGTTTAACAGTCAGGCCCTGGGGCCACTGGACATCTGTTTGCAGTGCTAGAAACAGAAGTAAATATCCTTCCAGGCTGACTTTGTGTTTGTCTCAGGTCATTGACCCAGAGATGCCCGAGGAGGGCCTGCTGCACAACGGGGTGCCCATCCCTGTCCCACCCAAAGAAGTCCTCCATCTGGGGGAGCAGAGGCAGGAGGAGATGAACGAGAGGCTCTACCTGGTGCTCTTCTTTGACAACAAGCGGACATGGTGAGAGTCAGACAATGCAACACATAACAGTCTGATCAATTTTTCACATTTCTATCCCCGTTTATCCAAGATATTTGCAGACCACTGATACAGCAGGAAAAAAAGCCCTCACTATGTTGATTGTCTATCAATTCTGCACAATAATGACTACAGAAGGGTACATCAAATAAAGGGGAAAAAACCTAGCGTAAAATAACAAGCATAATGATACAATGAACGACATCAGAACTTTTAGCCCAGAATGTGTGGTATGTGTTTTTATGTTTTCTTTGTTTTATTCTTGTCTGTGTTTTTCAGGCTTCTGTTGTGTCTATTATGGTTTCTGCTCTTTATTTTTCTGTGCAGCACTTTAGTAAACATGGTGAAAATGTGTTTTTACAAATAAAGATATAATACCCCTATAAAAGACAAACAGGTCTAAAATCAACCACCCTTCCTCTGCCAAATGCTCACACACACTCTCTTTTTCCTCTCGGCTTCTGTAGGCAGTGGCTCCCACGGGACAAGGTGACACGCTTGGGTGTGGACGACACAGCAGACAAGCTGCGCATAATGGAGGGCCGCAAGTCCAGCATCCGCAAGTCGGTCCAGGTGGCGTACGACCGAGCCATGATCCACCAGAGCAGGGTCAGCCACAACCACGGCTTTGTGGCCTCTAACTACCTGTAGAGGGCGACAGCGAGCCCTGTCTGCACTCTCAGTCAGCCACTATGCATTTCTCCTTCGTCTTAAAGCAGCAGGTGGGCAGAGTCCTGCTGCCAGCTGAATCTGTATTCACACTGTGGTCTGAAGAGGTTGCCGTGGCAGCACAGAGGCCTGAACTGTAGTTCTTTACCAAACCACTAGTGTGCGACACACAGAGCTGTGCTGAATGCCTTTATGTCCTGGTTGTTGATGTGGAGCTCCAGTGAATGAAGTCACCTTTAGGTCTCACGTTGCTGTGGTCAATAAGTGTTCAAGCACTGACCAGGTGTGTATCAAGGTACCTGTTTATTTCACCTGGATGTGCCGCAGGTGTGTGTGTGTCAGGATCAAGTGTAAAAGAATTCCCCTTTATTTTGTATAATGCTACTGCCAAGGAATCAAATTGTCAGAAAAGAGATTTGACATATTTATATGAGCGCAGAAGACTTATGAATGGATCACTGCCATCTTTTATACAATAGCTTTTTACATTTTAATCTTTTACAAAGACACTTGTATATTATAAAAGGCACACTTTTGTGTACATATGTACGTGTATTATCAAACCCAATTTAATTTAATGTTGCTGTTTTTAAAATGCGTATTTCAATCAACCCACCAGGGGCAAAGCGAGGCTGTGTATATTTGTGAACATAAAATAATTCCTGACTTGCTGCAACTTCTTAGCTTGTCTCTGATGTAATTTCATTGTGCTGTGTGTGTAAGTGAGTGTGTGTGTACATTCAGAGCATACAACACAATGAGCCATTGTTCTTTATATTTGAATTCTCTTTTTGATACAGAGAGAAATAATTTATTTATGGAAGACAGAATTATAGAAATAAAGCTATATTGGTTTTAAGTGGAGAATTAAATCTTATTTAAAGCAGAGTGAGGTTTTAAAAACATGCAGCCAGCATTTTAACAGACAGGTTCTCACATGTTCGGTTTTGATGTTGATGGTTGAAGTCGAGATCAACCACCTTCATTCACATTTGACCCCCCAGAAGATTCTATTTATTGTCCAGAGCCCCATTTTATCAAATGGAAACATACACCTTTATAAGCTTGTACTACCTGCATATTTTACCTGCTCACCAAATATTTTGTCTGAACCAGTATTTCCACATTTTGGGAATAAATGCTCTATTAAAGACCTTTTGGAATACTTCACTGCGGTTTCCTGCCTTTACTTTTTAAAAACAGATGTGAGTTCAGGGGATTTTACTCTGAAGCTGGATTCTGGGTAAGTGAGGTGGGGTGATCCGGAGGTTTCTGTGCCAGGAGGGAGTTTTATTTCATTCTGGGATGTGTTGCCATGGTAACATATATACACATGACCTGCCTTGGAGCAGCATGAGCAAGAGTTAACTGATCAAAGCAGGGAGGCAAAGAAATGAGTTCAGAGACAGACTGATTGAAGCAAGATTTATGTGTTTTGGTTGAACAAGTAAGCCTGCAAACTGCTTTGGATTATGTGTCTTTGAGCCTAATTTCACTCTTGTGTGACCATATGCTCAATGACCACTAAGACCAAGCTAAGCAGGCTGAGCAAATCTGGTCACCTTGTAGTCACCCACTGGTCTGTGGATTGGTTTAAAACTGGTTTGAAACTTCTAGTTAGGTATGGAGTATGTCTCCTTGAATCCAGAAATGACCATGTGTAATCTGGATTGACAGATTAATACATATACCCTGCTTTTGTTCTTTTCCTCTGAATGGGATTTTAATCAGTCGCTGACTTCAAACTGAAATTTATCTATTCAATGATAAAACCCATGTCGTTTTTTAAATGTCACAATATAAGGTATATTTGTAATCAGTGTTAAATGTGCATTTTAGCTGTCTACAACAGATATAAAAACATTTATAAAACAATGCTGTTGTTTTTTCTCAAAGCATATAAAATAAAGTCCACGTTACAACTCTCTCGAAAGCTGAACTTTAACATCGACTCCAGGACTGAATAAGCGAAGTAAGGATTTATGAGTCAGTACCAGGTAAAAAAAAACTAACTTCATAACAAACGTGTAGATTTTCTCTGCTCACACAGAACCCAAGAGCATGAAAATTTAGGAATGAAATTCCCCCGAGATGATTGCGCTGCATGTCACTATTTAACAACTGTCTTCATCAGAGTCCGGGCTGCTGTCTCGTCAGGAGGAGGTAGTTGTGACGGAGAGTTCGTAACTCTGTCAGTCTGCCCAGCAGGCGGCCAAAACGCTGTGGTCCCCCTCGTGCAGCTCCAGCCTGAGCCCCACACACTCTGGACAGCAGGTCCAGGATCAGTTCCTGCATTTTTTCAACACAGCTGGCTGCATGTAGGGATGCACGGTCTGCAGGACGGGGACAGAAAGACAAATGTACAACAAATAATCTCTGTTTTTTGTGCAAATGTATGACTTTGGGTTCACCGCTTACTGAGCACAAAAACAACATAGTCTGACTGAGTGAATCATTTAAAGGTGTTATTCCTCTATCACATCCTGCTGAACAGCTCCAGATAGTTTATATTGATCATCTAACACTGCATATAATGTCTGTGTATCTTTGCTGTACACGTGATTGGATTATCTGAGAACAAACATCCTCAACTTAAAGACCACAGATTGTCTGACCTGAGCAGAGCAGAGCTGTAGCCGTGAGCAGCGAGTATTCAGCCTCTGTCACTCGCAGCGTCGCCATGCTGTGGAAGAAATTGAGCACAGGGCCGAGGAGATCCTCACTGCCTCCTGCTCACACCACAAAAATCTTTAATCTATTTGAAATACATTTCCTTAACTAACTCTAATCAACCTGTCAGATGTACAAAACCCAATTCCATTGAAGTTGGGAAATTGTGATTTTTTTTTTTTTTTTTTTTTTTTTGGCATTTTCATTTTCTTTTTGCAGATAATCATTAACTTTAGAATTTGATGGCAGCAACACGTGCCAAAAAGTTGGGAAAGGTGGCAAAAAATACTGAGAAATTTGAGGAATGCTCATCAAACACCTATTTGGAACATTCCACAGGTGAGCAGGCTAATTGGGAACAGGTGGGTGCCATGATTGGGTATAAAAGCAGCTTCCCCAAAATTCTCAGTCATTCACAAGCAAGGATGGGGCGAGGTTCACCACTTTGTGAACAACTGCGTGAGCAAATAGTCGAACAGTTTAAGGACAATGTTTCTCAAAGTACAATTGCAAGGAATTGAGGGATTTCAACATCTACGGTCCATAATATCAAAAGGTTCAGAGAATCTGGTAAGTAAGCGGCATGGCCGGAAACCAACATTGAATGCCCGTGACCTTTGATCCCTCAGGTGGCACTGTATCAAAAACCAACATCAATGTGTAAAGGATATCACCACATGGGCTCAGGAACACTTCAGAACACCACTGTCAGTAAATACAGTCCGTCGCTACATCTGTAAGTGCAAGTTAAAACTCTACTATGCAAAGCCAAAGCCATTTATCAACAACATCCAGAAACGCCGCCGGCCTCTCTGGGCCCAAGCTAGTCTAAGATGGACTGATGCAAAGTGGAAAAGTGTTCTGTGGTCTGACGAGTCCACATTTCAAATTGTTTTTGAAAATAGTGGACGTCGTGTCCTCCGGGCCAAAGAAGAAGAGAACCATCTGGACTGTTATCGACTCATAGTTCAAAAGCCAGCATCTGTGATGGTATGGGGGTGCATTAGTGCCCAAGGCATGGCTAACTTACACATCTGTGAAGGCAACATTAATGCTGAAAGGTACCTACAGGTTTTGGAGCAACATATGCTGCCATCCAAGCAACATCTTTTTCATGGACGCCCTTCCTGCTTATTTCAGCAAGACAATGCCAAGTCACATTCTGCACGTGTTACAACAGCGTGGCTTCGTAGTAAAAGAGTGCGGGTACTCGACTGGCCTGCCTGAAGTCCAGACCTCTCTCCCATTGAAAATGAGCGGCTCATTATGAAGCATAAAATATGACAACGGAGACCCCGGACTGTTGAACAACTGAAGCTGTACATCAAGCAAGAATGGGAAAGAATTCCACCTTCAAAGCTTCAACAATTAGTCTCCTCAGTTCACAAACGTTTATTGAGTGTTGTTAAAAGGAAAGGTGATGTAACACAGTGGTAAACATGCCCCTGTCCCAACTACTTTGGCACGTGTTGACCCATGAAATCTGAGTTAATTATTTGAAAAAAAATAAAGTTTATGAGTTTGAACATTAAATATCTTGTCTTTGTAGTGTATTCAATTGAATATGGGTTGAAAAGGATTTGCAAATCATTATATTCTTTTTTTATTTACCTTTATCACAATTTCCCAACTTCAATTGAATTGGGTTTTGTAATAAGTTTTCTGAGAGAGAGTGTGTGTGTCTGAGTTCACCTGGGTTGACTGGGGTCCGGCTGTGCATGTTTTCCTTTGACTCCACATTTCTGAGCCAGTTATGTGTTGATACACTGAAAAGCTGCAGGGCTGATCAGGAGGGGGGACAGATATTTCACAGAGTAATGAGCATCTAGACCTGTCGTAGACACTTAGCTGCATGCATGAATCTTGAATGCATGTGTGTTGCTGTTCACCTGGGCTGGGGCTTGTTGGATTGTGTGAGAACTGCTGAGCAGAGAGCAGGAACATGACCTCCAGAGAAGAGATGGACAACAGAGAGCTCTGGTCTGAGAAGTCCAGGAGGTCAAAACCTGTAAGGGGGGGAATTTCAGTTCACCTCTCCAAATATAATCCTTATATACACCTTTCTTCAACCCACACATGTTCATGTGCCAAAAAAGAATGCTCATTGTTGTTGTTATGAACATAGTGAAGCAAAATCTATTATAAAAGGGTCACATGTTCCCCTCCATCTCACCTGGTACTGTCCTGGCAAACTGCAACAGTCTTTGCAGGTTTGGAGATAAAACATCAGATAAACTCTCCCCTTCCTCTGTGCACGTCCACTCAAACTGAACAGACACAGACATGAAACCATGAGGGCCAAAAAAAAACATATCTATTTGTCTTCATCTATAGAGTCAATAGACTTACTCTACAATTGCTGCTGTCCTGAGCTCTGTACTGTCTGTGGGACTCCACCATCCTGTCCACAAGGTACTTCTGCTCTCGGGATAAACTGGTGGACAGAGCCTGGTGGAGATAAAAACCAGCATAAAACACAATTAGACCAATGTCAGACTTATTCTGTATTAACCACATTAAAAAAACAACATAAAGTGTGCATTGAGAAATTCACCACCTAAGGAGAGACCCTTTCAATCATCCAACTTGCTGCACAATAAATACTCTATGAGATCATCTACAGATTAACCAAAAGAGGCATTTCCTTCTATCTCTTATTCGGGCACAACTTTCTAAATGGGAAAATTTGACCAAAAACTGCATAAGCTGCACATTTTCATGATTCCATCTATGACTTACCATTAGCTGCACTTATTTATTTCTGTCTGTGTCCTTAACTTTGAGTCATCATGCCCAATTAGTCACTTATACTGTCTTCTCTGCATCAGTCTCTCCTCAGTCCATCTCTTTCTTTCTCCATCTCCCTCTCTCCTCTCTCTAAACCCAGCTCAGTCTCAGCAGATGACTGTCTAACATGAGTCTGGTTCTGTTCGAGGTTTCTGCCTGTTAGAGGAAGTTCCTCCTCTCCACTGTAACTTGCTAAATGCTACAAAGTGTTTTACTCATGTGGTTGAAGATGAAATGCAGACATCTGTTCATGGCGATCAATCCCTGAGTAGTGATGTGTAACCTGTGCATAAACCAAAGGAGAAACACAGACTTGGTTTATGATTATGATGTGTTTGTCATTTTTCCACGTACAGCTGCAGCTGCGGCTATTTGCCACTTCTCCTACAATAAGGTGACTACAATTCCAGAAAGCTTTAACTCAATAAGTACTTTAAATAGATTTAGCGCTAAATCACAAACCTTTGGTGACAGCCATTTCATGTGTGAAATTTCACAGCAGCACAGAAAATCAGTGTTTTTGTTTTGGCCACAAAGCATTACATTTGGAAATAACCTTTTTCAGGGGGTTGATCACACATTATATAGACCTGCTTGCCTTTTTTTAGAAGATTTTCAGGCTTCTTAGATACTTTTTAAATGTCAAACTGTTTCCATAGTTCTTAATTAATTTTAAAAACAGCACTTGTAATGTATAGAGCAAGAAATAATCTACTGCCAAATACAATCCGGGAAAGGTTTACAGAAAAGGAGGGAGGGTATAATCGAAGGGGAAACCTGAATTTTAAAAAACAAAAGGCTCGAACAACAATGAAAACTTCCTGCATATCAAGCTGTGGGGTGACTTTATGGAACAATTTGGATATGGAGATAAAACAAAGTACAAACATCAATCTGTTCAAAGAGAGGTATAAAAAACTGTTTATGAACAAGTATATGGGAGACGAAGTGTGTCATTAATGAGAACAAAGGCTAAGTAAATAAATAAATAAACCATAAAATTATGTTGAAATTGATTAGTATTTTGCTATATAATATATGAATATTGGATATAGTTAAAATATAAATAAATATGGGCAGGAATTCAAAAAGTATTTACTTCTTCCATCTCCTTTTCGAACATGTACAATTACTTCACTACTTTTATTTTCTTTGTTTGTAAATGGCATTTTCTATTTATTGAATTTCTTTGCATACATGTTCATAATAAAGAAATACATTAATTTATTCATTCAAACTCCAAACATTTTAGCTTAAAGTCACCCTACTAGTCTGTCTTTCCTTTATGTACAGGTTATTTGTGCACCTTTTTTTTCAATCTTCCATCAACCACATTTGGATTGTATAAAACATCCCGCAAAGCCATGCCACTTTTGGCATGTGATACTTCCAAAACACTCCCAAATACTAAATTGTGCGCCCTTGCTTGACACCAAAATAAAGGGTCACACTTTGGCTTGTTGGAGGCGCCAGAGCTACATGGATGGATGTGGGAAAAGGTCATTGTTTGACCTTTGACACTAACTTTTGGCTTTACAGCAAACAGACACAAAGTGAGCTGAAGAGAGGGAATATTAGATTTGTGAGAGAGTCATATTAAAGGTTTGTCACTTGGATGAAACAGTGTGGATGACAGGATGAGCAAAGGCTGGTTTGTCCAAAGGGGGCATCAAAATAGACACAAACAGAAGTTCCTTACAAGAGCTTGAAAACAATGATGAACTAGGAAAGCACTCGGAGAGCGCAGACCTCCGCCAAGCAGCTCATGCCCCCCCCTTATATTGTGATTCACACCAAAACCTTAACTGCTACGTGTCTTTTATTAACTTTTATTTGTGTTTAAACTGGTATGTTCACTGTTCATAATGTTCCTAAAACAACAAAGCTCATATTAGATACATAAATGCATGATTTATTATGCAATATTTGTAAGCGTACACTTCCTTGTATCTTCATTTTCTACCGCTTATTCCCGGGGGAGTGGCTGGAGCCTACCCCAGCCCCTTTGGGCGAAGGCAGGGGACACCCTGGACAAGTCACCAGTTCATCGCAGGGCTGACATATAGAGACGAACAACCATCCACGCTCACATTCACACCTATGGGCAATTTGGAAGTGGCCAATTAACCTAACTCCACTTAGGCATGTTTTGGGGATGTGGGAGGAAACCGGAGTGCCCGGAGTAAACCAACGCAGTCACAGGGAGAACATGCAAACTCCACACAGAAATGCCCTGACCCAGATTCGAACCCAGGACCTTCTTGCTGTGAGGCGACAGTGCTAACCACTACACCACTGTGCCGCCCACTGGTTATCTTTCAGCATTGAAAATTCTTGAAAATTTTTGTGTGTTCTGGATCACAGTATCTGGAATTTTGTCTGGATCAGGATCAACCTTTGACACCTCATAAAACTCATTGAGATCCTTTTGTGTAATTTTTTACTAAAGACTCTGGCCATTTTTATAGAGTTAAATGGAAAAATTCCAACATTTGCCCTATCTCACAATGATAAAGAATCCTTCAAAAAATTCCTGGATCCAGAAGGCGATCCGGATCACCACCAAAATGTAATGGGATCCTCCCGGGGCTGAGACGCACCTCTGGTGAAAATTTCAGGTCAATCTGTCTGCAACTTTCTCCGTAAAGTTGTTCACAGACAAACAAACAAACAAACCAACGCTACCAAAAACATAACCTCCTTGGCGGAGATAACAATGAAGTTTAGTATGAGTGCACAGTTGGTGTTTACTTGCTTCAGTTTCAGTCCATGTCTTTATATGTTCAGCTCTATCTTGGCCTACCAATGCCATGCTCAGTCCATGTCACCATGACCTTTGTTAAAACTTCCATCCAGTTCATTCTGCCATCTAACCATTTACAAAGAGCCAGCCCTCCTCTCTCATACCTGTCCAGGTAGTCTGCTGGTAGAGCTGACCCTCCTACTGTCTGTGCTCTCCTCCTCCTCCTGTCCTCTTCCTTTTCCTCCTTTTCTCAGTCGTTTGGACTGACACTGCACCTCCGTCAGAAGGCCTGAGAGCAAGAAAATGCATTTTTAGACTTACATAAAGTTTGAAAAATTAGTTAAGTAAGACTTTCGTTCTGCTTTTTACTTGCGATAAACATGTGTGACTCACACTCAGCTAACATCCCCACAGCGCGACACTTTCTCAGCCTGCAGTCTTGGCACTTTCTCCTCATGTACATGTCCATCTCACATCCACCTCCACTCTTACAGTGATACACCGCCTTTTTGGTCACACTACGCCTGAAGAAACCTACATCCAGGGGGAAGAAGAAAAGGTCAGGGAAGTTTGAAAAGAAATGTTGGAGGTGATTCGACTGAAGCCAGAGAGCTACCTTTGCATCCCTCACAGGTGAGCGCGTTGTAGTGATACCCTGACGCCTTATCTCCACACACCACACACAGCTCATCCTGACCTCTGCTTTTCCCTCCCAACCCCATCCGAGACCTACGTCCCAGAGGCAGCCCTGCCACCCCGAGCCCCTGAACCAGACCCCCACAGTGGGGCTCGGGGCTGGGATCACAGGGGACCTCCAGGCAGTGAGGGCTGTAGTAGTACTGAGGATGGCAGGGCTGGGAGGAGGAAGAGGAGGAGGAAGGAGAGGAGGTGGAGGAGGGAGGAGAGCCATAGAGAGGGAAGGGCAGGTTGGCAGGGCTGTATTGTTGTTGGCTGTAAGGGAGAAGCTGGAGGTCCGGGTCCTGCAGGGGGTAGCCCAGGGGGTCAGTCAGCATGTCTGAAATGAAAGAAGATGGAAGTAAAGGGACAGTCTGTGCATTCAGTGTTTATTCAATGTGAAATTAAAGTATGGAAACAAAGGGAAAGACCATTTCATTATGGATCTGCAACTCTGTGTTCAATTTTCATTCTGTTTTCATGTCTTTTTCTCTGTTTTTATTGCCAAACCTTTTATTCCTATTTCTTTTCTTTGCCTTTCAAATTCCTTCTCCATTTGAATTATGCTCTCCACATTAAGCCGCTTTGCTGTTTCTTCTGATTTGTGATCTGATTAGTTTTTCCTGACAATACTTCCTGGAAAATTACACAGTGGGAAATTTTGGAAAGGGATGCAAGCAAGGATATTTTTAGTTCTGGCATTTTATGACCGCAGGGAAAGAAACTTCAGTGCCTTTGAAACCTTCAGGGAGGTTCAAAACTCAGACCTCGACCTCTTCAACCTTTAGGTGAGTTAAATGAAGGGACAGAGTATTACAGCCACAATGTAGAAGATAAATGAAGAGATTTTTGGAACAGAAATGTGATTTACAAATTTTAATAATGTTCAATTATATGATTTATCAACATCTCTAAACTTCTGTCCTGTGCTTTGTTTAATTTATTGTTTTATTTCCTGCACTGTAAACTTTGCTTCTTACTATTTTGAAGTATGAGCTACTTCTGGTTGATCTTTAAATTACAGCGCTGACTGAAAATGAGCAAAGAAGCACAAGCTCTGACATTGTTTTTGAATTCACAATGAAAAAAAAAAGTGGTGGATCATCTCTCAGAGGAATGCTCTCATTCGTCTCTCCTCTTTTTAGAGACATGAGGCAACCAACAGAAAGGGCCACTGTGAACTCATGGTAATACTGTATGATCATGTTAAACACAGTATCATTAATTTAGTAACTCAAGAGGACAGTTATGATCATTACTGGTATATTTCAGCAGCTCTAGGCCTTTCGGGATGCCTGTGTACACTTCCGCAACCTCTGTTCGTTCTCAACTTTTAACTTCCCAAAATGATTCATGTTCCTCATTTAAGTACAAACAACAAACTGCTCTTCTTATTAATGATATTTTACATGTTTATTAACCATCACCAATAATAATGATGTATTTCTCACCATTTTACAGCTTTATCACAATTTAATTTGGAGCTTATTCTTGTCAAACAATGTCCTTATCCTCAAAATTTAAAGTTTTTCATCGTTTTTGAGGCCTTTATCATCTGTCGAATATTAGCTTAGGTTGTTTATTTATTGATCTAATTTACAAATATTATCTATGGTCTTTTTCATGCTTTTACTGAGCGGACAGGACATTAGATTGAGTTGGAAACAGAGAGGTGAAAGTGAGGAATGCGATACCACAGAGAGACCGAGGGCAGGAATCAAGCCTCTGATTTGAAGACAGAGTCTCTGAACACAAGAGGCATGATTGAACTTTTAAGTTTAACCAGCGTCTTGCTCATCAGTATCCTGGTTCAGACTCTCCAGCTGCTTTTGATCTTCTTTGGGGTTTTAATATTTATGTGGAACATGACCAGGTTCTTGATGCACCTGTCTGCATGAGTGCATTGATATGCACAAAAGCACTCTGGGTATGAGGGATTTTTGGTGTGCAGAAATACTGAATCTCGGTTCAAAGAGACCTTATAACCGTTTTTTTATGTTTTGGATGTCTACACAGCATTAGCCATGAATGTCATTGAGTGTATTTGGGCTAACAGTTTAGAAGAGAAGCGTGCAGCAGCAAGCATACAGTGCGTTAATATGATTAAATCAGGTGTGAGTCTCAATATATATATATATATATATATATATATATATATATATATATATATATATATACATATATACATATATATATATATACATATATATATATATATATATATGTATATGTATATATATACATACATACATACATACATACATACATAGAACATATCAAATCTAAGCTCCCTGAGTCAGAGTAGAAATAACATACATTTATTTACAAATCTACTGAAATAAGGAGCAGGGCCAACCTTGTGCTTCAAACTTTTTAAGGAAATGATGCTTGTTGTACCAGCAGCCATTTTAGTAGCTACAGCCTCATTTTATTGTAATCATTGTATCTTGAAATGAGTTTGTCTGATATTTTTTAAAAAATGTGGCCTAAATTAAGTGATATTATAACTAGACATAGCACTGATGCACCAGCTAAGATTTGCGATTCTACAGCATTGCAGTTGTTGCAGGTTCACCCTTAACTCTGACTTATCACTGCATGTTATCCCCCCAAACTCTGCTACCCACATTTCCTGTCTCTATTCAGCCACCTCAAAAAATAAAGACAGAAATGCCATGAAGATAACTTTATAAAATAGGAAAAAATATCATTTCAGATACATTCATCTAAAAACACCAGAAACAACATTTTATTTTGAGATATTAAAAGTGAGACCTAAATTGCTTAGGAAGTCAAAGAGCAGAAAGGACAGAGTAGCAAATAAAATAGTGTTAAAATAAGGCATCTGGGGGTGCACAGATGGCCGAGCAGGTTGAGGCGCCCCATGTATGGGGACCATGGTCCCTGCAGCGGTTGTAGGATCGAGTCCGGCCCCGATCATGTGCTGCATGTCCACCCCTCTCTCTCTGTCTCCCCACATTTCACCCTGTCCAATCAATCAAAAGGCAAAAATTGCCCCAAAAAATAACTAAAAATAAATAAATATGGCATCTGTTCTCCAAGAAATCAATTAAGATCTCCTGTTAGATTAAAACCAGGACACCCAGAAGCAGTGGTGTATTCAGATAGTTTGAGGGTCAGGGGCACAAAAAATGAAAAAGCACCCCCTGCATGTCATTGGGCACTAGCACACAGAAAGTTCTACTAAATGACAATGACATTTGAAGACCATAATTTGAGCTCCTGACTTTTGACTCTTTGTGATCATAAGGCATAGATTCACAAGAAAACCAGTTCAAGCCCGTTAAAAAACACAGTGGTGGGTTGCTAAAACTTTTATATGACAGTTCTGCTCAGTAGATTGCCTGGATGTTACAGAAACGAAAGGGCAGACTTCCTGGAGTATTAAACTTGACTCTCAAACCTTGCATGTCAACTTCACATATACAATATAATGAAGGTGAACCTTTTAACCTTTCATACATTGGACGGGCATTCAGAGGGAACTTCTTCAGTCTTAATTTTACATGGAAAAGGCACCAGAGGGGACATGTTCTGGCATTTTGTTTACTTCAGGAGCATCCAAGGGAGCACAAAGGGGGTGGCCACCCTCCTTCCTCCCCTAACTACACCACTGCTGGGAGGAAGAATTTACCCTCCCTGGTTCTGACAGTACCCAGGTCTGCCTGTCTTTAGTTGTGCCTTGATTCTGCTTTAAAAAAAAGAGTTTTTACATAAGATGGTAATCAGGTTCAGAGCACTTTGGAAAGCATGTTGAAGTTCTAGCTATGAATTTATCTGGGCTTTACATAGAAGGATAAGATTATTTTTCTGCGTGCAAATCATAAATAATCCTGACTAGAACTGGGGTGAGCCAGCTCTTAACACCATTTCTGAAAATTAGACTCACTTTCCATGAATGTGGATGAAAAGCAGCACTGTAACAAAGTCAAAGTGCGTCACAGGATGGTGGTCTACGTGTTTTCACTGCCTTTATGGCTCTTGAGGGGATACAATAAAGAGCTGAGAATGAGATCTTGTGAACTTGCTCTGACTGCTCAAACCGGATGCAGCTGAGATCGTCGAGCGCCATTTAGGATGTTTTGATCCTCTTTCCTGGATATGTCGGGCTGTACTGTCTGTTCAGTGTTGTGACGGGCTGAGACGACTTTGACAAGGGGTCGGCAGTTTGTGTTTTGTTCGTCTGGGGTCCTTTGAGAAAACATGTGTGACCACTGGCAGCCTCTTAAAGCACAGCTGGACCAGAACAAGAGGGACCACTGTGGGATCTGTCATTAAATGATTAAACAGGGAGCCCACCCAACTGCTAAAGATGGGAAATAAAGAGTAAAACATGTCTGAAGATGAGGGTTCATGTTTTATCAATGTGATGACGAGAATAGTTTATGTTTAAAACTGTGGCTGGAGTCTATGCTTAATCCATCCAGCCCTGTAGAGATGCTTAAAGAGTTGGTTGCCAGCTAGCTTGGCTGAGCTGCAAGACTGAAAAAAAGGAAACAGCAAGTCTGGGTCTCACAAAAGGGAAAACTTAATCTAAAATCCAGCACTTCTGAAGCTCAGTGTTTAAAACCTCCTAAACAAGTGACTCTAAAGCCCAGATAAATAAAGGCACAGCTCACTTTGACCAAACAACTTGTCGTTTGGGTTTAAAAGATTACATGTCAGGGGGGTTTGGAGGTGGAGTTGATGGATTTAGTACCCTCAGCCAGAGCAAGGTCATTATCAGCCCAGGAACCAGACAAAATCTGCAAACTCATGTGTTACTTATTGTGGCATATTTATCTAGCTGCCCTGCCAATCAAAGAAACCCAAATATGGTCTTATATCACTACATGGTTTGTTTCTCAGATTGGTTGAAGTGTCCAGAGTAGGGGTGTTAGCAGACATTATAAACCGGGGTGGCCAAATAGGGGCACCGATTTATGCAGGGGTGGCATTAAGTATGTACAAAAAAAAAAAAAAAAAAACGTTTTATTTGGACTTTCTGTCTTAATTCTTGATTTCTATTTGACTTCTACCATGCACAGTATCCAAAATATTCAAAAAGCAAGGCAAAACACCAATGAATTTATTTCCAAAGGAAAAATATTGTCATTTCAAAACAAAGAGTTATTAAAGTTCCTGTGAGGAGTTTTTTTATGTTTTTAAAATAGAATGAAATTCATATTGAGACATTTTTGTGGTATACCAAAGCAAAAAAAGACCAACATAGACAAGACAGATTGTTTCTATATTGTAAATTTTAATTCCTAAAACCATTGTTAGGGGGTAGGTGTCAGAGGAGCAGCTGAGCCAACAGCCCTGTTTTTTTTATTTCCCACTTAAAGTTAATGGGAGTTTAAAGTTATTAAAACATTTGACTGTTTAAAGTCAGAAGGATGAAATTTTGGTTAGCAATTGGGATTTCAGCATTCAGTGGAAAACATAAGCTAAGATTGTTTTGTCCACAGGGGACGCCAGGATTCGCCTGGACCAAAAGTTTCTCACAGGAGCTTCAATAAATCAGCAAAAGTTGGATTGTTGGTGAGTTCACTGACAGGTGGGCACATTGTAGCTATTCACCACTGAGCTTAAGGCCCTCTCCAACTCCACCTCTTTGGGCTCTATTTCCGTGTCTGCCAGGGAGGGTGGCGGACCCCGCACAGTAGTATTTTCATCTGGCGGAGCCCGGCATACAGCCAGTTTGGTATTTTCGTAGACTGAGGCGCACCGAGGTCCGCCAAGCTGGGCGTGGTGGCATGGCAAGGGAGGTGTTGACAGAATCAGCTGGTGCAGGGACATTTTCGTGCTCGCTAGTGGGGTATAAAGTGCGCTGAAAGCTCGCCGCTTCAAACCTGGTCAGCTTTCAGCACAGGCGGAGCGCAACTGGTCTAGTGGTATTTTGGTAGACCTGCGGCGTATCTGCATATGTCACCGATGCCTCACCGACAGGTTTCCACAGTGTCAGGCACATTTCAGTGCAATAAATAATCATCAACAACTAATAATCTGAGTCAGCACATACATTTAGATCTATATCGATATATTCTGATCTATATCTGATCTGATGAGAGCATTTGGCACACATTTGGCTGACTAAATCAAAACAGCTGAAACCGCATCAAATTAAATTAAATATCTAGTGAATAGACACACATGATAAGGTGAACAAGATATGTAATTTGTCTCCCTCCTTTTCTTCCTTCCTCTTTCTCTTATTTCTCGCGCAGCACGACCTGGACTTTAAGCCGAATACAGTGTATGAATATTATAATATTCAGTTTTGTGAGCCAAATTTATTTTATATGCCAACATCTATGAAAGAAAGAGCCAGGCCGAGAGCGATGCGTCATTTACGCACAGATGGTTCCAATTTTAATGCCATTTTTGGAGTTAATGTTGTGATCTGTGCGCACAACCCACTTTTGTCATGTGGGGTTTGAATATGAGCAAGTTTATGTGAGTGTCTTTATTTGTGGAAAACGATGTTTGTCTTACCAGGGTCCAACATTACACACACCAAATCAATCTGTGCTTATATGAGAGAGTGTGGAGGATGCCCAATGCAGTGCTTACAGTGACACTTGTTGAGGAGCTGCCTTCTGTCACCATCTTGTGGCATTACTGTCTTCAGAGATCTCTTGATCTCTTTGACTACTGCACGAAAATTGTAATATGCCTCGCCGGCAGTGGATTTAAAGGCGAGGAGAGGAGCTTATGTTATTGGTCAATACAGGTCTCAGCTGTGTTAAACCCACTCCACGCCCTCTCTCCTCCCTCGCTCTGACTTACGCCGCTGGGAGGAGCTCACCAAAATACCAAATTGTGCTTGGGAACGCCTTGTCGGCACAGCGGACCTGACTTACGCTGCGCCTGTGGCATATCGACGGCGAAGGACGAAAATAGAGCCCTTTGTCTGTTTCTGGTCAGTCAGTAGTTAAAATGGGCCATCATTTTTGATATGGCAACCAACATGGTCTTCAAAACTCCCCTTCAGAAGGTCACATCACTGAGACAGAGTCCATGTTTTACACAGTGTGGTTACAACACAGCCTAAATAAGTGATAATGTCCAGTCTCTACCTGTGCAAACTGCCAGTCATCATTGGGTTTAGATCAGCACCTGAGAAGGAAGACATCAAGATATCAAGGTGGGCCTAGGCCACCCCTGACCACCCCTCTAGATTCACCCCTGGTCTATTGGTGGCATATTTACAATTTAGTGGCACCCTTATTCTGGTCTGTCTCTTGACGAAACATCAAGTAGTCATGACAATTTGTTCCTTGATAGGTAAGAAGGAGACCTCTTACTGTCTTCTAATAGATGCTGGTACTTTTATAATTTTGCTTTTGTCATTATTTTTAAGCCCTTAGTCTGCAGCCCAGACTTAATGACTAATAGATACTTTACTGAGGAATTCTTTGCAGCAGAATTTTCTCAATACTTCGGAAGTTTAGGTGACAGTAAATTTAAAGGACTGGTTCATTTAACAGATGAACACCCCAGAAAAAATGTCCATCTCAACAGACTCGTCACTTTTAAGGACCTCTATTAATCTCTTTCTTTACTTTATCTTTTTGTTGTCTCTTTAGTTTTTTCTCCAGATGTTTCCTGTCTCTACCCGGCTGTGCGGCGATGGTTTCAGGGGAGTCCTTATTTTCTCAGTTTGTGACAGAGCTGTGATTCGCACACTGTTTGTAAACCATTCAAACACTGTCTAAACACTCCTCAGCCTCCTTTCCATCCCACGCACGACAGGGAGCCAAACAACACCAGCAAATCACCCCCCATAGCTGCCCCCTCAACCCCAGCGCCTCAGGGCAGGAGGGGGGGAAAACGAGGGAATTTGTTGATGATATAGGTCTTATAAATAGATCCTGTAATGCATGCTCAGTCTCCCTGCATGCTGTGAATGCAGTGAGCCGGCTGAACATCCTCAAGAAGTGTTTTGTTTTTTTACTTCATGGGGTCATTAAATGAGGTAAATACATGTTTGGGCCCTTTCGTTTATCAGCTGTGAGAGTGGAGGAGATAAGGCTGTGCTGGATACCTAATGCATTCATGTCTGTGCTATATAACTATACTGTAAACTATATTTTTGATCTTATTAAAAGTAAATTTGCAAATGTGGTCCCACAACAGCAGCAAAAGCAAGAAAAAAAAAATCCAGATTTAACAAAGTGACTCATTCATACAAGTGTTACAAAATCTCTTCAAAAGTTTACAGCTAACATTTCTCACCAAAAGCCAGACCAATCAAACTTCAATATATATATATATTTTTTCTGTCTCTCTGACAGAGATGCACCCAGAGGTGTGGCCAGGAGTGATTAATCATAAAGTATGATCAATCACCCCTGGTGCCAACCCAAATTCCTACCTGTGATAGGCTGTTTATGGTGTCAGATGCAGAATGTGAAAATGGACCATATGGGCTGCTAGTGGTTTTCTTTGCATTTGAATGTAGCACAGTTTTATGGTTGGTTCTTCTGCAGAAAACTTGTTTAATAAAGATGTACAGGAGAGGAATCAGTCCAACAAAAGCCAAGCACATATGTGCACACTGTCAGTCAAAAAATGCAATATGTCTGCAGTCTCTCCCTCTCAAAACTTGGCTGATAAAAATATTGCTGATGGACAGTGCGTTGATAAGTATTTTGATTCGTTTCTTTTTAAGTTCTTGTAGAAAAAGGTTAGATGATTTACATTAAACCTTGCCTCTTTGGGGTTAAAAAATAACACACCAAATATGTATAATCCATACAATACTCAATTATTCGTGATTAAAGTAGACAGGATAAGTAGGCAGAGAAATGGTTCATAAATACCACACATTCATGTGCACTTACAGCGCATTTCATGCCACCCCTACAAAGGTCAGCGCTCCACTTAAGCCAAGCCATGCCAAAAGGTCTTGGCACATTCCCACTGTCAGATATTTCTTGAAGCTATCGAACAAACTGCGAGACTCAATGATGACTTCTTATGATGTCTCTGAGAGTCCACATTACAATGGTGAGTCATGTCACATTAAAACTAAGATTAAAAAAATGGTTCAGGCAGGGCTGAGGCTGTAGTACTATGGTAGGCCTTTTCAACAAAGTTTGATCACAATAAAGGGTAATTTCACTTAAATTGGATGCAAAAACCCCAAACAACAAATAAAATTCCCCAAAACAATGGCAGTATCTTACCATGTAGATAAATCAGGTCATTGCGAGTTCACAGACTAAGTTACTGCTGAGATGCTCAGTCGGCTTAAAAAATACTGATACAACCTCCAGTAAAGACGTTTTTAATGATACAATCAATTATGTTTCACAGCACTGTTCGAGATCATTTATCATTTATAGATTGATACAACTGACAGTGAAAAAATTCATGGTTCACGCATCCTTCTTCAATAGTTAAAAATGCCATTGTGAAAAAGTACCAAAGATGATTTTAGAGGGTGAAAAGAAAACTAGAATAAGTTAAGAGACAAGCAGTAGTGTAAAACATGTTTACAGGAGGAGCAGCAGAGACAGCAGTGTGACCGTGGACTCACCGTAGTACTGGAGCTGCTCTGTGGAGCAGTAACCATCCGAGGAGGAGAGGAACCCTCCTGCTGAAAAGCTCATCTCCCACTCAGTCCACTCTCTCATCTGGACAGAAGATCCTCTCTTTAGCTCCTAATATCAGATCTATCTTCACATACACACATGCAAAGACATAAACACACACACACACACACACACACACACACACACACACACACACACACACACACACACACACACACACACACACACACACACACACACACACAAAGACAATTACTGAGAGGATTCACACAGATATAAAGAATCTGGGAAGTATTGAGGCATTCCTCAATCCCCAGGATGAATCCAGGTCTCTTAGCTGTCCAGGCTGATGTCCCAGCCTATTTTTAAAAAGCAGAGAGTGAGAGAGCAGCTGAGGCTCTTGGTTTATGGTGGATGAAGTGCTGGAGGAGGTCTTAACCAATCCCGAGGGGGGACTGACAAAAGGAAAGCAGGGACACCCAGGAAGCACAGGGATGGGACTGTGGTCCAAACAGCTGGACCTGGACGGTGTTTCACAGATCAGAGGAGATCAAGGATAGATTATGGGCTGGAAAGATGGAGACTTTAACCCTCAGGAGCAGATTGGGTGACACACGTAGTGTTTTTGGATGTGTGTGTTGGGATCTGGCCTGAATGGACATGTCCCAGGGTGCAACAGCTGGGTAAAGAAAATAATTGATTTTTATTAAATCTGATGAGACAAATAAGATAATCTACATCGTCAAAGCTCCTGTGTTGAGTTTTTAAAGGCCTTATATTATAGCAAATATTTCTCTCTTGTTCAAACATATATGTACTTTATTCTTCGCCCAGCCCAGCAACCCTGAGATGTGGAAGCAAAAAAGGACTCTGTATTGTTCCTGTCGTACGTCTTTTATGAAAACATCTACAAGGTGATTTGAGTTTTTATCTATCTGATGTAATTTGTCTACAAGCCACTCCCACTCCCTCAGTAAACCAGATTTCTCCTTCACTGTTGTGGTTTTGCTTCAGTGTTGAAGAGTCAAGATGTCAAAAGATACATTCAAACAAGAAAGCCCTCAAATTTTGGCACTGCCTTCTCTAATTCAGGGTTAGATGCTAAAACATACTGGGGCTGGTTCTCCTGGAGAGCTCGCCGTTTTGGGGGGCGGGTCTCTGCCTCTGCATCTGTCTGCACTAGTCCAAACCTTCACTTCCAGACAGCCAATCAAATCAGTGGCTTTAATTTTATGGCCACGAAAACAGTGAGGTTGAAAGTCTGATATTTTGCCAGCACTACTCACCAGGTATCCTGCTTCATGTCAGGTTGTTGGTATTTTATTTTGCATAACAACTGGCTGACTAAACATTATGTCTCACAGGAAACAGCTGCTGTGAACCAGGTTTTAGATCAACTGATTCACTGAAAACTTCTTTTTCATATTTGACATTGATGGCACTTACTGAGTCATACTATTAACCAGTAAAGGTAAACCTCTTACACCAGAACAGCACCAAATGAGCTTTGTTCACAGGGAGAGTCAAACTTGACTCTAACTTAAAGCTCCTCATGGTAGCTTTAAATCAATGTGAAATGAGCTGAATATGGAATTAATGCTGCTTTTAACATTTATTGCATTTTAAACCAACCTTAAACAAAACCTACCTTTTACATTTTAACTGTTTACTGGACTTAATGTGTGTGTGTGTGTGTGTGTGTGTGTGTGTGTGTGTGTGTGTGTGTGTGTGTGTGTGTGTGTGTGTGTGTGTGTGTGTGTGTGTGTGTGTATCTGTCCATGTTTGTCCTCCAAGCCCTGGGAGTGTGTTTACTCTGCCTTTTGTTTACCGCTCTTCTGTTTGTGCTCCAGTTAATATTGGACAGCAGTTAGATTGAAAGGGCTCTGGGACCTCCGCCTCCCCCACAGACAGTAAACCAGAGCGGGTCAGAGCGAAAGGAGTTGAGGCCTGAGCCACCCAGAGGAGACAGAGGGAGTGACCTCCACACTGGCCTGTAAATCTCTTAGCAGCGCTGTTTGACATGCAGCATGCTTACTGAGGATTAACGGCGTCCTCCCACCCGCATATCATCCTCGCTCACTGGTTCATTATGAGAACCAGGACTGACTCAGAGAGTCACAGAGGAGCCAATCAGGCTCTCTGATGCTGCAGCCTTCAGTGGAGTGACCACAATCGATCTCAGAGACAAATAACACAGGAATTCTGCTGCTAGTGCTCAGTGTCCCCCCTTTGAAGATGGTGTCCAAAGGGTAAATTTGTACACAGGGCTAAAAGATAAATTGTTCTGGAGGGACAAACATTTACCGTACTTAAAGAGCAAATAAATAAAACCACATGTCGAGAACAATCCTTCATGAGTTTTGTTGTCATTTATAATCACACAAACATCTATTATAACACAAATTACATCAAATCTCTCTATTAGGAGTTTTGTGGTTTGATCCTAACTCTGGTTGAAGAGTAAGCCTCCTTTAGCAAAACACTGAATCCCAAATTGCTCCAAAGTGCCGATTAGTGTGGGCTAACACTTAGCATAATATCCTTTGGCATCGGTCTATGAATGTATTTTAGAAAGTGTGAAGGGGGCTTCAAGTGGTTAAAGGACTAAAAGTGCATCAAACAAGAGAAGTCCAATTTCTTTTGTTGTATTTATAGGAAAAACTGTTTTTGCTTTTACATCCGTAGTATCCAGCAGCCAGACTCTAAGTTTAAAGGCTCTCTTGCTCACCCTACTTACTAGTCTGTCGTTGATGGCCTTTAAAGACAAGACACTGCGGTAATGCATTGCAAACACGATGACACATCCATCAAGATTTTACCAATGAAATCATCTGTCTGACGAATTATTTTGCACGTCAACGACTTCATTTTCTTCTTCTAGGTTATGAAATATTACAGACCCTGCTAAAGGGGGACATTTTAGATTAAAAAAGGCTCATTATAAGCTAACTGATAGTCATTGCTATTCTGCAAAAAAATTAGGTGCCATCAAAGTTTGTAAGTTTCCATTTTAGCTCACTTTTTGAGGGCCCAACTTCTTCGGCATTACTGTATCTGTCTGCTGTTTTAGTCTTGCTTTAAAGCTACTGTAAGGAACTTCTGGGCTGCATCAATTCTGGTGCCCCCTGTGGGCTAAGCAGGGCAATTTATCTCTTTCAGAATTTCATCCACCTTTATTTGAATTGTAGTTCATGTAACTTAAAAAATAAGTTTCAGGCCTGGAAAAATGTAATCAATGTCATCTAACGTGATCCAGTTTGGTATTTCAGGTCATATAAAGGCATCAGGATCAATGTCAGTCTGTTCTATAACCTAAACTCCTTTTAGAAGCACTGATGTGTTGATCTTGTATTTCAGAAAGATACTTGTCACAGTAAATCTAAACTTGTAATAAATCCCATTGTGCTGAGTGAATATAACCTGCTTGGTGAGAAGAGTATCATCAGTATAAAGAGAGGTGTGTCATCTGCATGTATGTGATAGATCCGTGGGAAGTGACTCACTGTTTAAAAAAAAGACAGGTGATAATCCATGTTTTGTGATGAACATATATGGCAAAAAGAAAAAAAGCCAATATCCATCTGTGAAACAGTCTCTGACCTCTAAGGAGCGGATGTAGAGGCGAGTGCAGGCAGCAGCATCTGGACTGACACTAAATGATGGGAACAGTGACTGGGAGTGTGCAAATGTCACTGTGGATCTTCTGGAGGTGTCACATAGTTGGACGGATTGTTGGACACAAACACAAAAGCCTGACTCCTAGGGCTCGGCCCATGGGAGAAGAGAGTCACGAAAGACAAAGAGGAGGGAGAGACTCATCAGGCACTGTTATTTGTTAAGACCTGAAGTGTTTTATTAATAAGTTTCTGGGACAAAGGTTTCCGAGAGTGTGTGCACAAAATAATGAATAAAGTTTGAAGAGATGAACACAAGAGGAACAAAACAAACATACAAACCTTTCCTCAGAGGTAGAGACAGGGAAAACCAACATGATGGCGTGTTAAAACCCTTAAAGTCATTTGTTTTAAATCACTCAAGCTACATGTCTGCAGATAAATTCAGCACATCATAAATCCAGTTTGAGACGTCCTATCAGTGTGGCTCTCTATCAGAAAGCTGCTGACTGGTAGCTTCAGCTTGATAACGGCCTGAACTGTTTACTGATCCCTGCTGGAAACCAAAACTTACATTAAAGTGGCCCCAGTCATCTGAAGTCAAGTCTACAGCTTGTATTTAAGTGAGGGAAACAAAAGCTACACCGTGCCTGATATTCTGTAGGGTAGACATATTAGACGTCTTTGGTAATGCAGCGCAGTATGCTGGATAACAATGCAGCATGTTGAATCTGGGCATTGAAATATTACTTGTAATCCAAATCAGCTGATGTGAATTTCAGGGAAACCTAAGCAATGGAGTGTTTAGTGGTAAAATTCACATCAGCAGGCGGTGGAAAATGGAGCACAAGATATTTGCCTGTAAGTTCCCGCAGAAGAGAGTCTCGCACATGCAGACACAGTTAAATCAATAGGTGAATTATTACTAATCCACACTTTCTCTGCTCCTAAACAATCACATTATACGCTCTGTATGTAAGTAAAAGCAGAAGTTGAGGACTCACCACTGATGTTGTTGCGCTGGGCGTCCTGATGTGCTCTTAATTTGTCCAACCTTTTGAAATAATGGTCCCAGCCTCCATCCAACACTTTTAAATACACACACACACACACACACACACACACACACACACACACACACACACACACACACACACACACACACACGCGCGCACACACACAAAGTAAACAAAGAGAAAAGAGATAGTTGCTCCTGATGTGTGTCTGAGTTGGACATACCGGAATGTGACCAAAGATCGTCTTCTGCTCTTCCATATTAATTTGCTGGAAAAAGTTTATCAGAGCCAAAAACTAATTCTACTCCAATAAGGAAAAGAGCTAAGAGCATGTGTAAAATGTCACCAAAACCAGAATTTAATGGTTAGAAAATGATTTAAACACCAACTAAAAACAGGACAAGGACAGAATATCAAATGTGTGAACTGAAAAACTTTTGGGGGGAAAAACTTACACTCAACGTTATTTTCATACAACCAACAAGTTTCCAGAAAGTTGGTAAAGGGGCATGTTTACTGTTGAGTTGCATCAGCTCTTTTCCTAACAACACTGGTGACCAGTCTCTGGAGTTTAAAACCGAAAACACCGTTTCATTTTTTCCTGACACTGACTTACAACTACTCTACAGTTTGGGGTCTCCTTTGTTAAATGCTTCATCACCTGATGGGCCACATAAGAGAAAAGTCAGGACAGACAATTTTGACATCTGGACTCTTATACTACAGAGCTGTACTGTTGTCATACTTGCAGACTGTGGTTTGGCATTATTCTGCTGAAACTAGCTAAAACTCCACCCTGAGAAAAGCATTGATAAATAATAGCATATATTCCTCCATTAGTTGTGCCCTCCCAGATTTATAAGTTTCCATTGTCAGATAACAGCGTCAGTCAATCTTATGGCTTTTCAGGATCATATTTATGCTGTTCCTTTTTCCATGATACAGTTTTAACCTGTGTTTGTGGCTGCAGAAACAAACCACATTCACAGACATTGGTCTTTGGGGGCCTATAAATCACGGCCATAATGGCTTTCACTAAAGATTATTTCCAAATTGTTGAACTGTTTGCTGATGCCAGTGAACCTCTTCCCATCTTGACTCCTGCAAAACTCAGCCTCTCTGCAATGCCCTTCTTATACCCTGTCATGCCTGTTGCAATGTTACACAGTAACATTTTCCATTTTTAAGATATATGTTGTCTTTGCAGTATTTTGAGTTAAAGGGATATTTCGGCTTAAATAATTTAGGGTCAAACACACCGTAACACTGAGTTAGACACCCCCTCGAGAGAGGAATGTTGCCGACTGCTTGCTTCTCTAGTTATACCAACTTTAGTAATGACCACAGGATAGCAATACACAGCGGTCTGTGAAGCCATTAACAAGCCTCAACCAAAAAGCCACTCTATAGCCACAAATAATGCTCAGAACAGTCCATTACGGAGTGCACTGCAGACACAGTAGTTCTTCTGCCTTAGCGTCTCGGTCTGATTGCATTTCCATGAAGAAATGATCATAAATGTTCTTCCTTGAGCTGCGTCACCCCGCAGCAGTCTGTAATGGACTGGCCCAAGGTCTTGCTACAAACAAGCGGCTGCTAAAAGAGCGTAGGTGAGTTGTGTTTAGTCTCTTTGCTAAAGAAATCAGGCAAAGATAAAAAGATGTGAGGTGTCTAGTACTATGGCTGGGACCCTATATGTACTGTTGATGAAGTTAGGTGCTGTTCTGAGCATTATTTGTGGATATAGAATGGCGTTTTGGTTGAGGTTTGCGCATGGCTCCTCAGACTGCTGTGTACTGCTATTGCGAGGCCGTAACTAAAGTTGGTATAACTAGAGAAGCAAGCGGTCAGCAACATTCATCTCTCGAAGGGGGTGTTTCACTCGGTGTTACGGTGTGTTTGACCCTAAATTAATTTTATGCCAGAATATCCCTTTAAATCTGATTGCAAAAGGATTCACAAACCATCAGTTCATGTTTTCATGAACAGGTAAAACATACGACCCAGGCTGAGAAAGACAAACATTTGAAGGAAATATGTGTCACCATGTTGGTTGGCTGCATATTTGAGTTATCACAAGTTTACCTTGACTTATTCCAGCTCTGGGACTTTGGCAACAATGAGGAATTGAACTCGCAACCTCTTAAGTCACAAAGCCCTCCTCCTGGCTCTGCTTATAGGAATCATCTCATTAAGAAATTCCCAGTATGGAGTGTTTATAAACAGCTTCTTGTTCATCCCTCGTGATGGATGGATGCTCCCTATCACTGGCTCTTCCTGCTAACTCCCCAGCCTGCTTTACAAACTCTCTGCCACTGTTTCACAACCCCACACACTCTCTCTCACACACAGACACACACTTCCTGAACCCTCGATACTGTCTGTGCTGACCTCGCTCCCTCTGTGTGTGGGCCCTTACAGTTTTGAGTGTGGGTGATGTGATTGCATTAGGTTTAATAGTGAGGTAAAGCGTGTGTGCGTGGGTGTTGCGAGGGAGGAGGGTGCAGCTGAGAGGCCAGTGTGAATTTGCTAATGAAGAAAAACAACATGGCTGTCAAGGCCTCTTAGGGGCAAGTCAAACACAGTCTCTGGGAGGTGTGGGTCAGCAAGGGCAGAAGGTCCAAAGTCAGCACCAAGGCCAGGAGCAGACCTTGACCTCAGCTGGGCTGAAAAAGTGGGGAGTGAAGAGAAACAAAAACTGTGAAGGAGGAAGAGCTACTGGAACTAGTGTTTGCAAGGCGAGTAGGTTTTGAATATAAATTCATACATTTCAAGGGGTTAGGAGATCATAAAACCGTTGTGGAGTTTGTCATATGGAAGTCCAGAATCCTGCATGAGAAAAATACAGAGAAACAAGAAGTATTTCAAATACTGTGAATAGATCATGAGCAGATTTAAAACTTCCGGATTAGATACCATGGCTTCAGGGGCACATCTGGGGTGAACATGGCATGGCACTGACTTTTGCAGGGGTGTCATGAAGTATGCGTGTATACATATTAAAAAATAGACCTTTTTTATCTACCTTCTGATAAAAAGTATATAAAAAGGTCGAGTGCATCCAGCCCCTTTTTGTCTTATTACTGTCGACCCTCTCAGCCCCCTCTACCTCACCGTTTAACTAAGTTTGAATGAACTTCTTTATACTGAAATGTAGTCTTAATGTTCATGGGGTGTTCATGTTATACTTCCTGTAAGGAACTTTTAACTGCTGATGTCTCCCTGACACTTGCAACAGCGAATGAGCCCATCTGTGTGAAGATAAACTATTTCTAAATAGTAAAAACGGGGAAAACTGGAGCCAGTGGTCGGGACGGGACCACGAATAAAACAATTTACAGCACTCAGAGCAGGGTTTTTTCTCTTTATTTTGCACTAAATACACAAATATTACTCTCACTATACAAACGGTGACAACCTCTTGCAGCCGGAGACTCCTGCAGACACTGTGGAGTGAGAAGCTCCTCCGCACCGGAGACAGACAGGCAGAGCAGCTCTGTGTCACTAACCTCAATAGCCCTGCTGCTCCATGTCTGCTTTACAGTCCGTGGTGGGCTGACCAGAACTCCCTTCCTATTTTAAATACATTTACAAAGTAAGTTGTCTCAAACTGCTCACAAAAAAGTTAAGTTTATGGATAAGTGTCGTAAAGACACTTATCTGGCTTATGTGCAAGCCAGATAAGTGTCTTGACGACAATACGCACAAAAACATTACCACTTTTGTCCATAGTGGCTGCCAAAATCAACAGAAAATGAAAACTCCTTCCAGCTGCCTTAAATAATTGATCAACTTTAACAAAAGATCCTCGTCCATCTAAGTATTTATAGAGTGTGATTTTTTTTAATGGATTTAGGGTTAGCCAGTAAGTTTTCAAGGGGGGCAAATACTACACTAACTTTAGTCATCCTTCTGGACACACCACTGCTTACAAAAATAATGTATCAGAAGATACATTTAGTTTCATCTTTTGGGGGCATTTTGTAGGAAAAGATGCTGAAATCTCAAAAGCCATTTTTTCAGTTTGACATTGACTCAAATCTCCATCATTTAGCTTCATATTTGGCATTTCAGTCATCAATGTGCATCATCCAGCGGTTACAGTGGTGGGATTTCTTTTTTGAAACACAGGACAGAAAATCTTCATTCCACTGTATTTTGTTTCTTTTAGGACAAATAACACCATCTCAATTAAAAAGTACAGACATTTTCCATTTTATTCATCTTTACAGTGACCTGTACACTGACCCAAAAAGAAAACAAATTTCACATTTCTCAAAGTACAAAACAAACGTCTGTTGTGCAAAACAATGAGAATGAAAAAAACTTGAAAATTTCTAAATTAAACATGGTAGTGAAAATCTGTTTCATTACCAGTGCAAACAAAACTGGTCAAGAGTCTGTATTAGACAACAATAAAACATAAGAATAGGACTTTAATTAAAAAGATACCTAAAATGTACCAAAAAGATACAGGCTCAAAACATTATGTTGATTAAAGCACATGAAAATCGACTAAATATACAGTTGCAAGTATGATGCAAAACATTCATGTTGATAAGACACGTCCCTAAAGCCCCTGTGAACAAACGATTCGAGTTACAGGAGCTTTTTCTGAACACTGTAAACAAGATCAGACAGGGCTTCACGTAGTGGTTAGTGTCAGAACCGTCAAAATATTTGGCAACTTAAAAACACAGGAATTAGTTTCAAGACACCTCCAGGTGGGTCTGGAAAGCCAACCAGCTGGTTTCTGAGGTCTGTACAAGGTCTGGCATTCAATTCAGGTTGTGACCTAAAAACTGGAAAGGACCAAGTTGACATCGAGAGTTTCTCTTCATGCATCTTTAAAACGTGAGGATAAAATGCAGCTTTGATTGCATCACTGTAGCTGGAGACAAGTGAAGAGCTTCAATTTTTACAGTACATTTGAATTTAAAAACATGGTAAACATCGATAAAAGAGCAGAATAAATAAAATCATGCAATAAAGTTAAAAATGTACAACTTGGTCATCCTGATTTGGTTGAAAGTATGATTTTGAGGGTTCACTTGATATGAGTGTCTGCTCATGTCCCTTTAGTGCACTCATGCCTCGTTGGTGTAGCTCCCCACCAACGGCGTCCTCTCATCACTGTCACTGTCCACCAACTGCTGGGGTTTACGATACATCAAGAACTGGACAGAGATCTGAACCACAGTGTTAAAGAAATCTGGTGACATTCTGAGAGAGATTGACAATTCATGAAGAAACACACATGATAACAGACACAAGATGCATAGGTAGGCAAATATGTTTGAATTCATGCATGTCTAGGGTTTCCAATATCACATATCACAAAGTCTGCATCATTTAAGCCACAATGCAACTATTCTAACACCAGTTGCAAACTAAGCATTCATACATTCCACCATGTAAATTAAAAATGATAAATTTAATATAACAAACACTTTTTCATGTTTGTCTTAAAGGGATATTCCTGCGTAAATTTAAGTTAGGGTCAAACACACCATCTCCACGTACAAACCTCAACCAAAAAGCCACTCTACAGCCACAAATAAAGCTCAGAACAGCACCTGACCTTATCAACAGTACATATAGGGTCCCAGCCATAGTACTAGCCACCAAACATCTTTTTAGCTTTGCCTGGTTTCTTTAGCAAAGAGACTAAACACAACTCACCCACTCTCCTCCTTGTTTGTGGGGGAGCCCTGACGAGTCGATCATCAAGTGCAGCGGAGTTTCGCAGCTCAAGGAAGAACATTTATGATTATTATTTCATGGAAATGCAATCAGAGTTCTTGTGTATCTTGTATGTGCACTGTAGATGCGGTAGTTCTTGTGTCTTAGTGTCTCAGTCTTATTACATTTCCATGAAGTAATGATCATAAATTTTCCACTGCACTCGGTGATCGACTCATGAGAGATGTAGATCTCTGTGTATTGCTATTGTGGGGTCGTTCTAAAGTTGGTATAACTAGAGAAGCAAGCAGTCAGCAACATTCATCTCTCGAGAGGGTGTCTACGCCGGAATATCCCTTTAACCTGCGAGCTGCAAATGGTGGCTCAGCTTAGCATCTTACAAAGACTGGATAATGCTAACCTGACTCTGTAAAAAAGGGGAGAGCATCTGCAAAATACACACAGGAATTTTAACTATGTTAGGGCTGATTGAAATTAAGATTAAAATTTAACCCCAAAGCTGAAAATCTCTGATTATGATATTATGAGAACTAAGATGATTATGCAGTTTGTTGTGTAAAAATGTTAAGTTTACAGTTACTCAATAACAGAATCTTGTTGAGCACATTCACAACAAAGTTCTCAAACTTAGATACTTTCAAGAATAGAGTAGTACCTACAGACACAACTGCTGCAAGAAGTGGTTGGGTTACACAGAAATACAGTATAGAGAGCTCTAGCACCAATGATAAAAACAAATGAGTGAAACAGAAGGTAAGATGACATTTACCAGCATGTCAAACGTTGGTCTCTGTTCAGAAACTTCTCTGAACCAGCAGTGTTTGCAGCATGATATGAAGAAAATTTAAAGGATACCTAATTGTGGATGCCTAGGAGTGTAACTTCTATTTCCGTGGTATCTACAAAGGTACTGATGTTGTTTGATTTTTACCAGAAACGTATTAAAGTTTGCCTTTAATTTCAGGCCAACATTTAACTGGAAATGATGCAAAGACAATATTAAAACTAGGGTTGAGCGATGAACCGAAAATCTACTGACACTGAAATTTACGACAATAACTGACGTCATTTTGGCCATATCAATATATTCAGTGTCAAAAAAATGAGTAAATAAATAAAAGTTGGGTTTGGATATGAGTAGGTAGGTTATGGTCTCATGTCCCTTTAAGATGCTGTCCTACGTCAGAGACTTGACTCGACGCATCCAGTCCATAACAAAGAAGGAAAGACAGGTGAGGAGATGGAGGACAGTTCAAAAGTTGGAGCGGCGGCTGAAGTAGACAAAGTTAATGTGGAAGGGGGTGAGCAGCTTGTGGAGTAGTTATCGTCCATTTATCATTATCAAGGTGAACTGCTCAATATATCGTGATATTGATTTGAGGCCATATTTGAGACCTAATTGAAACTGAAAATCTTACTGGTTGTGCTCAATTTAAATTAGATGCCACTTAGACACACATACTGGACAGCTATGGAAATCCCTGCATGGGCTCAACATCACTCCCAAAAAACCACTGTAAGCACAGTTTGTTGTTTTATCCATGAATGCAGGTCAAAATTGCACAATGTAATTAGAAAATCATAAATAAACACGATCCAAAAATCCTGACAACTTCTCTGGGCTTGAGTTGCGCTAGAATGGACTAAAGCAAAGTGGGAAAACTGTCCTGGAGCCCAACAAAAGATTTACATATGATGCAATCAAGACAAAGCCTTTTTCAGGGAAGACCTTGCACATTTCTGCAAAATAATGCCAAACAGCATTCTGCTCATATTACAACAGCATAGCTCTGTAGTAGAAGAGACCAGGTGCTTAACGGGCCCACTGTCCTGACTTGTCACCAACCAAAAGAAAAACACACCACGGAGCCCCCAAATAGCCTATCAATCCTACATCAAGCAAGAAAAAGACATTTTAAACAACCCCAACAGTTCTCACTAACATCCTGAAAGTACGACAACTATCCTCCATCACGCTCGAACCAGGGTCCTTTACAGGCATTCCATCTGGATTTTAATACTAAGCTGATTACTGTGTCATTGATATTTTAGATGTCACTTTCAGTTCATCTCTATTAAGAGACGCTGGTTTGGGAGACAAATGGTGCAGCTGAGGTCAAGCAATGACCCATGTGAGTGTTTGGACCTTCGATACCCCAGATTGTATTTCTACGAAAGCAGTCATGAGACCTGCAATGATTAATTGTGTCCTCTCTACAAGCTCAGCACTTCCCTGAAATGTAGCATGTACGTGGTAATAGGGAGAGCCTTGAGGCCAAGCGACCGCAGCAGTTCTGGTTTGTTTTTTTTTTCTTTAAAAGGATACCATGAGGTCCAGGGAAAGGGTACCCAGGCTGCCGATGAGCCAGGGCAGGTGGTGGACCAGGTAGCTCGTCTCCCCGTGGCCGTCATCAGGGTTCTTAAGTAGGACACTCAGGCCATACAGAGTATTTCCCAGGATGACCAGAGCGAACAAGAAGTATGACACCCCTTCTGTGGACTTCCTGCTGTACTGTGGGGTGAAATACAGGAGAAAAAAGGATCTTAGACTGCTGTTTCCCAGCAGAGTGACGTCACTTCTGCAGAAGCTACCTTTGATGCTGGCTTTGCATGACGTTTACTTGCACTTTCACTTCCTCATTTTTGACCATCAGAGAAATTTGACTCTTTCATTTCAATTTAAGTGCTTCCCTACATACAGGTTTTGGCCCATGAGCACAGCTAGTACTACCTGTACCTTTACCTGTACCTTTACCTGTACCTTTACCTGTACCTTTACCAAGTCTGATCTCTCTCCCTGGTCATGAAATCATTAGACAGTGGTAGTACTTTTGTATCTATTAAAAAAGAACACGTGCAATACGAATCCTCAATCCTCACCATCCTCAGCACAAAGTACACCTCCAGTTTCAGCTGTTTTTTTTTTTTTTTGTTGTTGCAGAGATCTCAGCACTCTCTGAACAAAACAGTTCAATTTCTGTGCTTGTCAACATTGTGTCTTGATCACCAACCAATCAAAATCAAACAGGGGCGGGACCTCTGATAGCAACTTAGTCAATAACAATGACGCAGGTCCACACAGGGGGCAAACTAACCACATTTGTGTTCTTGAGGTAAAATTTCCAGGTCTAGAGCTTCTGAAAACGGTACGACACGGTTTCTACCAAATGTGTCCATTTCTAACTACTATTGACTGAAAGCAAATATTGAACATACAGAACACGCTGAAACAGACTGAACAGCCTCTACCAAGAGGAGCAGAGGTGCTGTGAGACTACTTTTGCAACCCAGCAACAATGAGAAGCAATTAGAGGTTGAGATTGTGGGCGCTCCTAGCTCAAAATGCAACATCAATGGACACACTCCTTTAGTCGTACAGAGTATGGAGCAGCATCCCTAGTCTGTCCCAGTATTAGTATATTGGTCTTGTTATAATCTATTTTTAATTTTCAAAGAATAATTGCCAAAACCTAATTTCAGCCTTTAATTAATTTTTTAACATTTTTTGTGTTTTTATTGCTCTTATGCTTTTATGATTGCTCTTGTATTGTATTGTATTGCATTATTTTGGCTTGGGAACGGACCTGGGTACTAATTTCGCACCACAAACTGTAAAAGGTGTGGGGTATTCCAAATAAAGTTCCTTAAATCCTTGAAATAGTATTAGTCGATGTATGGAGCCACAAAATTCACTCAGTTGAAGGCGAAACCAACTTGGTCATACTCACATTTGTGTACATCTGTGGAAGTCTGGAAAAGAGGTAGAGGACTGATGACACTGAGCCAATGGAGAACCCGATGATCTCTTTAGGGGTAAATGGCTGAAGAGACAGAAAAGCAGACTCGTTACACCAAAAGAGAACAAGCAGACACAACTTCATCACTCCTCACTGATCATCTGTTAAACAAGCAAGTATCACTCACTTTGATATGGTCACTGCTAACAGTTGAGAGCAAGGAGCGACTCCTGAACCCTGAGGGAATCATTTCCTGTTGGATGTCCAAACCCTGGAGGCTGGCAAGACCTGAAGTGAAACCCAGGACGCAGACTACACCGACCACATTCATAATTGTACTGTCTGGAAAAGAGAGGACACCTGTTTTTACCATCAATATCTACAGAGAGATACATCTTAGCACATTCCACCAGGCAAGGGTGACTGTGTCAAAGGTCATAGGTAAGGAAACAAATGCCACAACAACATGAGGTATGTGATAACACTGTTACAGAGTACAGGGATTACCCTCTTCCTCTGTCTGGACTTGTGTTGGATCATTAAAAGAATCAGTGCTGGTATAAGAGATCTATAACTATAGTTATACAGCTGGTGATAAGAGACTCTGTTCAATACGTTCACAAAAGGCCGACGGGTTCAACAGCTCCCGTGACACCAGAGTGGAAAAAAAGGAGTAAAACTTACACAGCACAAAACTTGAACTTGGATTTAAAACCACACCAGTTAAATTAAAAACAACTTACCGTCACTCATTTTGTTCCTGAATTTGTAGTAGAAGTACATGGCAAGCATCACCAAGTCTGCTCCGACGTAATATATGGCTGTGTATGTCTGGATAACGGAAGGAGACAAATATTCAACAATGTCATGAGTGAGTGTGTCAAACTGAACAGAATTTAGCAGAAGAGACTTGGAATATAATCACCTGAATATTCAAATAATGTTGTTTTTGTTGACTTAAAATGAGTCTGTTGTATCTACATAGGAAGTGGTCGCCTTCCAGGATACTGCTGTCTTGCTACGCCATGTTCTACGGTGGGACAGACTGGATAAACTGTTTAATGCTGCATTTTCATATTCAGTAAAAAGCCACTTGATGCGTTTAGGTTGGAAAACTAAGAAGATAAAGTGAGGAGTTGTTGTGCGTAAAAATTTTTCTCTTGGTCAAAGTTTTTCATGGTAAAAACTTGACAATAGAGAATCATACTCAGCACCAAATGCACGAGTTTCTAGTCCTGAATTTTCACAGGTGGCATAGGTGAAGAAGGGAGCACTTTAACCAAGAATCTGACCACCAGATATCACTAGATATTTCCATTTCTTCCCACTCTACATACAAAGCTGCTTATCTTCAGCAAATGAGTATGAAAAAGTCTGTTTGATTTGGAATTTGGTTGCAAAAAGAGTTAATCTTGCAATTGTGAAGAAACTGTACCTTGTGTACAGATGGGGAACACACGATAATAGAGGGACATTTTGTTAAAAACAGAAGAAGAGGAATACCCTGGGTTCAGTGTGAAGCATGTACGACTGTCTGTTACTCTCACTTATTCTACATTTGTGTGTCAATTAACATGAAAAATGTTTGTCTTGATAAAAACATGGTGGTAGTTTCTGTTACCTGAATTTAACTACCTTTTTGTAGTTTTTTATTCTTGCTATGTTCTTACAGAGTGATAAGCACATATTTCTTAAGGAACATGTGTACACTAGGGCAACATTATTTGTCAAGCCATCAGAATTTCAATTTTAGTCAAATCATTATTGATAATAAATCATGTAACGAACAACAATCCAAGTCATTAAACCAAAATACTTTAAATATTGCAGTTCTTTTGCTTTTTTTAGCTATATAATTAATGAAATGAAAAAGAAAAGAAAAGTAAATGGGTCCTTTTTTCTTTAAAACTCCTGATGCTGCATCGCTTTTCAATCATAAACACTTAAGATTGATGAAAACAGTTTTGTATTTTCACTATAATTTGGTATTACAGTCCTAATCTTTCATGGGAAACGCTGTGGCAATCATGTGGCTGAAAATCACCTGAAGTGGAAGCTGGTCAGCCAAGAAGGAGCCCACCAGATTGCAGGAGTCACCTCCCAGCCACAACAGCAGGAACCAAATGGAGAGAGCACTGTCCATGTTCCCTGTTCTGCAGGAGTTGTAGTACTGTCTACAATCAGAAGGAAAAAAAATGATAAATTTAATTGGTGATGTGATAAAAGACTACTCCTATACAAAGTGATGAAACTGGCTCAAACACTTACGGGAGGGAAGACACCATGAAGCAGAGGATGGACAAGAGGCCTGCGTAGACACTGGCCATGTCTCTGGCATCTTGAGCACATTCTCCAAGTCCTATCCAAACCCAGGCAGTCCCATTGGGACACAGGGAAGTAAAGTTTCCATCAGTTGTTGATAGGATGGAGCTCTGCGTAGGGACTATACCTGTCCCCATATTCTGCAAGAGAGAATAATCGTCATAAATAGGAGCTTCATTGTTGACAAACATAAATATCGTATGTTTAAGGTTCTTATAAAACTGCTAATAGGGGCACTGGCAGCCACAGCGCATGTGAACAGATAAGGAACTAGTGTATGAACCATATGGCAGCAATGTAAAGGAGTATCACTGCTACAAATTAACCATTTGACCAAATAAAGAGTAATTGCAAAAACCAGTTTGGCACACTTCACATCTCAGTCACTTTGTCAATAGAGTCTAAACATCATCAGAAAAGCTCAGATCCACACTGTGCTGTGGATACGCTCATTAGACACGTAAATATACTGTAAAAACACACACACACACACACACACACACACACACACACACACATATATATATATATATACATATATAGATAGATAGATATATATATATATATATATATATATATATATATATACATATATAGATAGATAGATATATATACACGTGTCACAATTAGGTAAAACAAAAAACGATATGTTGTTAGCCGCCCAGCTAACGAACAACAACAACCAACCAAATCTTACACTGCAGCGACATCTCGTAAGTGGCTATTACCTCCAAAATAACAGCAAACTAACACAAATCTGTATCACGGTAAAATCATCTTGCCTGTGTTGCCGCTGACATGGCAGCAGAGTCTCTCCCAGACAAAAACCTTCCCTGGACTGAGACAAAAACACGGAAGCAGCTGATAAACAAGCGGCTACAGTGACAGCGCGCTGATTGGCTGTCAAGGGGAAACGTCAGCTAGCGTCACAGCAGGGCTCAGCCGCTCAGCAGAATAAGCACGTGACGAGCGGCGCGTGAGGCCTCGCTCCAAAACAAACCAGCTGAGCCTTCAAAATAAAAGATTCAAGAATTAATATTTGGATGTTCGGTGAAAAAGAGTGACAGACGATTTCCAAGTGTACGTGTCGTGATTTCAAGAAGCATAGGTAACGTCTAAAGTAATACGATGACACTGCATTACACCTTAGTTTAATATCTCAGTCGTGCACCGTAGCTCGTGATCGTGCTAAGGTCACTGAGTCATTGACAATGTTTAGAAGATCTCTGGCATATTTATTGACACACTTTGTTAATAAAGACGTAAATAATCACAATCTGGAATAAAAGTTTGTGAAGAACTCTGGTCTATGATTTCTGGTTGATCAGCACTGGTCTCGCCAGCAGGGGCGTGTCTACACTTTTTTGACTGGGGTGGCCGCACCCACTGATCTATGGAGTGGCATGAAGTATGCATGAACATATGCACAAATTAACATTATGATTGACTCACTGATTAAATCAACTTGACTACTTATAAATAAGTATAACATAAATGTTATGTTACTAAAGATAAAAGTTTAACTTTCAAAAGAAACAGAATACAACACTGTATTCTGCAACTAGACTATTTCAAGCCTGTGTTTGCCCATTTGAGCATGGATATGTACACCTGTAGCTGGCTGAAAATGGACATTTGCAATGTGCTAAACACTGAATAGTCACTGAATGTTACATTTTAAAGGACACTGTAATCTTCCTAAAGCTCTTGTGAAAATTGTATCTTCCTTATCAGCATGACAACAATGGTTGATCTAACTTAGTAAGTCCGACTTCAGATAAAGCAAATAGCCAATTATAGTTTAAGAATTTTGGGTGGCTGATCAGATATCAAAGGGGCCAGTGACCTCCCTGAACACACCTGTTGTCTGTACAAACCTTTCGATTTGTGGAAGATTTATGAGGGCTGTGGAACAAGCTTATGGTATGCTTTCACGTAAATGTTACTTTTCTGCAGAACTGGGAAAAACTTAGTGAAGCCTTTCTGCTGCCCTAGGACTCTCACATTTCACATACGCTCCTCACATGTCTACAAGCCTTGCTAAACTGGATAATTTCCCCTAAATCAGTCATTAGTCTAGGGTCGTCATTAGTGGCTGGGCCTCCAACATTCTTCAACAAGCTTCGCATTTTAGTGTGCAGCCGTGAAAAACAATACACCTCTATTAGCCAGGCCCATACCAGTTATTCCTATGTGAAACTTTTTTACGATCTACTTTAGAAAAAAATTATTCTTTCTATTAAATGAGTGAACAGACATCTCTTCATTTTTTTTTTTTTTTTGTTCAGTACAGAAATGAAGAGCTTGAAAACTGAAGTTACCTTGGTAACAAAATAATATTTCTTATCGTCTGGTGCTGGGTGTTAAGCAATCAAAAATCAACACTAATGATCTTGGATTTACTTTGCTGTAGGTAGCCAGTCAAAGTCAAAGTTAGGAAAAGAAAACTTGCTTGTTGCATTTAGAATAGACAAAAGAAAGAAACATCCTACCTGTTAAATGCAATTAGATCCCGTGCCAGTCTTTGACTGAAAGCAAAAGGAAGGATTACAAAAGATATTTTCTGAAATGTCAAGGATGATGCCGTGTTTGTCAGCTGACTGTTTGTCAGACTGACGACTCAGCACTTCCCCACGCTGAAGTCAGCTCCTCTGCTTTTATGCTCAGGTCTGCTGCAAGTCAAGCGTTTGCTGTTGTCACGTGCTTCCTTTAAACTCTGGGTAGAGTCAATACCAACTTCTTCCTTTCAGTGAATAACTGTGTAGATGTGTCCTCCGCAGTGTCTGGTGGAAAAATGTATGGACCAGAAAAAAAAGATGATGTGGTGGAAAATTCTTTAGGATCAGCATGATACATGCTGAGGGTAATGAGAAAATACCAACATAATCATATTAGGCCTGGGCTACTTCATACCTTGTAGCTCGTGAAGTTTAACTAATTTAATGTTATATCTGCAATTAAAGCTGCAGTAAAGAAATAAGAAGAAAAAATACACAGAAGCAAACTCAAGCACCCAGCACCTGAAAACACCACTCCCTCAGAGACAGTTTACATTTAGTTATGCAACAAATTTCCCTCTGTCAGAAAGTACAGGCTCTGATCTGTTCAAGCTGGCCCTCTTATAAGAGCAGTGATTGAACATAAAACTCACATTCAGGCCAGTTTTTTTCTAACTACACTGTTATGTCACAGAGAATTTCCACTATGTGTGATTTAGACCTTCAACTACAGTTATCAAAAATGTACAAATGAATAGCAAATAAAACTTTTATGTACCTTAGAAAAGTGACTTTGACCTTATATCAAAGTCACTCTGCACCACACTTGGGTTTTTGTTCCTCTGGAAATAACTTGAGCTGTTTAATACTCAATGCACCATTCATGTTGAAGTACACCAAGAGGAAAAGTTGATTCAAAACAACCAGTTTGTGTTGTAGTTTGCACATCTTATTAACTGACTGTTTACGTGGTCAAGGTACTTTGAATCAAGGTAGCCTTATTGAGGACTTTTAACTCAGTGCAAAGCATGCTGCACTATTCTTTCAAAAACAGCTTCATTCTGTTCAGCTGCCTCAGTTTCAGGGTCAGAGCATTTATGTATACTGACTCATTGTCCTTCATTCTCTTGTAGCCAAACAAGGCCTTTTTCTTTAGAAGAGGATTAGCACAGTTTAATTACTGTGCATAACCTCTGGATCAGACCTCTAGAAGGTGTAAGACCTGCAATAATTTTTCACACTCTTAAAGCTCCTGTGAGGAACTGTGTCAATTTTTGTGCCCCTGTTAGCTCTTACATCTTTTCTGATTTTGCCTTGTTTATGTGTCAGTCATGCTTTCTGCGAAAGAAAATGTCATCATGCTTCCTTTTAGTGGTTCAATGCATCAGTCACAGTGGATATTTGCTGTGGAAGAAAAAGATAAAAGGCTGTTTCTCTTATGTGCTGTGAAGCATATCTCCCAATGCCTTCCTCTCAGTGGTTAAATCTTGAAACACTCAGTTCTGTTTCTATTGCTCTGGTTTTCTTTTTTTTTTATGTAATTAAAAAACCATCACTGTCAATATAAACCAGTTTAATAACCAGCAAAACCCTCCCAGGTTGAGCATATTCTATATTAACAGCCCTGTTTTCTGCTTCTGTATGCAATGATATTTTGTTGATTTTTGTAGCCTCTTTTAGAAAGGTGCTCTGTCTTTTCTGGCTATAATAAAGTTGTTTCTTTTACGGTTTGTCCATGGACTATAAATACTATGGACAACTTGGTTCCGCCTTCTATCATTATACAGCTGAATTGCTTTTGGCATTTCCAGGATTTTCTCCACTTCCTGGAACCATCACTTGCGCAGTAGCATTGTACGCATTCGGTGGGAGAGTCACCGAGAGTCACTGTGATGACACTCATCTCAAACAATGTATCCCCTGGGTGAGCTACGCAATCTTCGTACACCCATAGGCTGTATCAAGTGTCATTCATAGAAAACATGAACCCCCTTATAACTTTTAAAAACGAAGCTGTACAGAAAAAAAGAGGACTTGAGCACAAAACAGTCTTACAGTAACTACATGTCAACATCACAGCCAGGGGGGAGATACATTTATATTCTGTGTAATTCATGTCTTAAGATTGTCCACAGCTCCATAGGGATTTCTGAAGGAGGCGCGGTTTATGACCTATACTGCAGTCCATCACCAGAGGGTGCTGTTCTCGGGGTGACTTCACCCAGCGAGGAGGCAGACGGCGTCCATCTATGTACAGTCAATGGGTTTGTCCTGTACATCGATGCATACAGAGAATGTCCTCTGCACCACTTCAAACCAGCTTTGAGTTCTGAGAACTGAAAAAAACTTTGTTAGCGTGACGGCAAACATGGGCCCTGTTCCTTTTGCATTCAAAGTACTCCCATAAAAACTGCAATCTCCGTGTAATTGTCTGGTTTGCTGTTTGTCAGGTCAGATGTGTCCTCCACCACCTCAGTCATATTGAAAAGGTTTTAAACAATAGATATCTTGAATATCAGCCACATCAAAACCAAATCATCTGAACATCTTTTTTCTCATTGTCTGGTTGGTTAGCATGTTCAAAAACTCTCCTGCATCTCCAAACCTACTCCACACCACACATTTTTCTTTGATATATTCCAAGAACAGGTTTTATTGATGACGCACCCAAACATCTATACTGTAGGAATACCTTCATCGGGCTAGATTCTCTTATTTACATAACGCTTCCACAAACTCATACAAATACTTGGTGGGTTTCAGGTCAAAGTATCGATATAATACATTAAGAACTGGAAACAGGGAATTTAAATGCTTTATAAAGCAACTCACAACAAATCTACAAATGAAAATGGATGATAGAAAAGAAACAACCAATCATTAACTACTGCAAAACAAGTCCTACTTCAAACTCTGTACAGGCGAGTTCTTTAGTGTCCATGAAATGAAGAGGGATGCGGCTCTTCTATGTTTCTGTCCTTGAGAGTTCTGATAAAGGCAGACGTCTAATGGAGTTGACATTAATTTCTTTTGAAGGCAAGGATGAGATAGACCAAGCAGTTTGTACAAGCGAGTCCTGTCCTTTTAATATGCTGCCTTAAACACATGAGAAGTGTGGGACGTGAGGAAGACAGTTTTTCACTCCTCGAGTTTCTTCTGTGGCTTTTTCTCACTTTATGTGGAACACTTTCTCATCTGTTTTTAACCGCTTGCGTCTTGGCTGTATGAAGTCGTCATCAGAGTCTTCTGTGTCATTGTCTTGCTTCTCCTGTGTTTCCGGGGACTCGGATTCAGACACCTCAGGGAAGATCTGGCCCGGGAACATATCCTGCAGCTTCTCCTCAAAGTACAGGCCTACTGCCTTGCCTGATATCGCCATCTCTGATCCCACCTGCCAGAGGAGGAGAAGAAGGAGGAGAAGGGCAGAAGAGGAAGAGGGGAAGGAGCAGTAAAGAGGAAGCAGGTGTGAAAAGTAACGTTGAGCAAGAGGAGTGAGTGGGTTGAAGTAGGGAGGAGGAAGAAGAGAATGAGGAGACAAATTAGATCTGGTTAACACTGTTGGTGGCAAGGCGGCCCTGGCTCAACCTTGCTGTACAGAGCAGAGATGTCCTGCCGCTCCATCCCACTGTCCATCCCACCTACTTTTAAATGTGACTACATTAATACTGCCCTGATGTCTTTGGGCAGAATTGGACCTTAAAGATAAAGAGAGGCCTCAGAGTGGCAGCTGCAATGACAGACTGTCACTGTCATGAAAGCTGCTTGACATTTAAACAGAGTTTTCTTCCCAGTCCAAAGACAAACAAACCAGAACTGGGTCAGAATTTGAGAATAAACGTGTAGCGGTAATCCCTCCATATTAAAGATAAACATTCAAATGAGTCTCCATACTGCCACAAAACACCCTTCAGCTTTTAAAGAGGGTATGTGGTTTAAGTTTATGACTTTGAAATGATTCAGTTAAGTCTCAAAACTTCTTAAGTTATTGGCCCATATTCTACGAATTTGTGGTAATTTGTAGGATAATTCAACATTTTCTGAGAGAATTCAGCTAAAGCGGGTGATGTGGTGACCTAGACTTTTTAATTTGGTTTATGCTGAACAGCTCAGACAATACATGACCCTTGTATTTTTTAAACTGTTTATTTTGACTTCTTCTTTCCTACAATTCCACCGATATTTGATTTCTCAGAAAAAATAAACCCAAACAAAACCAAAGATTTTCATTGCTGCTTTTTTCTTTAAAGCTTTGTAGAAAACTCACTCACATAGACATACACTGCACCTCAGGTGATATCTCATACTGGTGCTCATAGTCAGGGGTGCTGCCAGGGATTTTGGGCCCCATGAAAAGAAATCTTTTTGGGCTTCCCATAGCTGGCTGTAAGACTGGCAGAAAATTCTGGGACTATTTTTCATAAAACTGCAACTTAATGATATTTTTGATCATCATTCCCATATTTGTGACATGAACACCATGACAGTTAGTTAGTAGGGGAAGCGCTGAACACAATTAAATTCATTTAGATTCAATTATTTGCTGCGAGGCTGATAATTCTTATATTTCAATTATATTCATAGTTTTGACATTTTTAGGATATTTGTTCTACTTCTTTTTTTCCAGCCATTAATCACTCACTTAAATTTGTTCTAATGCTTCTTGTTTTATACAGTAGGTCTATTTGTTACATGACATTTTGAGTTTGTTTATCCAGAAACTAAAACTGTTAAAACAAGGGGAGGTGTGTGTTTGTTTATATGGCTTGACTCCTGTTTAAGTGTGTCTCCTGCCGAACGATGTTGGAGTGATAAGTTTATTGAGTGATGCATTCAGTGAGTGATGCGCTCACTGAATAGTCAGACCACAGTACATTCACTGAAATTCACTGGATTTTATACACTACTTAAAAGTGTATCCCTCAGTGAACCATACTCTCCTGTATTATTCTCCTCTGAGTGATTCAGGCGCGCCCAATACAACACTAACACACAGTTGCTCACCTCCTTCCTCAGGGGGTACCTGGGCTTCAGAAATATGAGCTAATCTGGGATTAAAAAAGTGAGCTAGTTCATAAACTATGGACAAAGTTAGTAATACACAACAGGCTAATGTTCCAGAACTTCCCATCACATGAACCACTAACAGACCCACTTGAACTGTGAGAGGACTGTGTGACATACTGTCGACCCCTTGCTTCATTCTCCTGTTCGAGCTTTCTTCCTTTCGTTTTGGGCGCCTAGATTTTTGAGGCATCATGCTCTCTGTCCCTCCACTTGCTGTCTGTGAAAAATCAGCACTTAGCGTCGGTGAAACGGAACAGATGGACTGAACCATTTTACGTGAATAGAGATCATTTTTGTCAGTATAGTAATTGTCTTAGGGGCATCTCTGTGCCCCAGTCAATCATGGGCCCCTAGAATCCTTCTACTTTTACTCCCCATTTTGGTGCCCCCATTTACAGTAACTTTTACCATAGCTCAGAGATTTTTAACACGATCCATCATATCAAGTCTTTGATGTGTCAGTCATATCTTCACACAAACACGCAAGCACGCACGCACGCAAATCTATGAATCAAGAGCAATAAAGTATTTATGAACCAGATCAATAGTATGTTGTCTGTAAAATTACCTCAGGCTTAACTAGTGTAAAGGGACATTTTAAACACATGTATTCTTGTTTTACATAAACACTCATTATCATTGAGGAACTGAAATAGAGATAACACGAATAGTGTACATTTTGGTGAAAGCTGATCAAACATTATGTGAGTGGTTCAGAAGTACGTCAATAATTTGTGTCGTCTTTTTTTTTTGACCTACTTTTGCCTCCATGGGAATCTTTATTGTTCTTGAATGCTGTTATTGCTGGTATTTTTGCCCTATTTTATTTGCCATGATTATAGGATCAATTTCTCCTTTGATGTTATAATTATTTTTCATTTATTTATTTTTTATTATTATTCAGCTTTGTCCGTCAAAGCACGTTGCATACTTCTGTTTTTAAAAGGTGCTATAAACATACATATAGTTGTTATTCTTGTTGTTGTCATGGTAATGGTATGTAATCTCATCTCCACGCAGCTGGGGTAATGATGGAGTGGTTTCTCAGATTATCTGTTTCAGAAACTTTGATGAATGGTCCGGCCCTAAAACCTAAAATCTGACCTCAGATAGTTGTCAAAGCAGAGAATTATGATGGTGAATCTAACTCAGCTGGCTGAAGTCACTTTACTCAATTAGCACACGGAGGTGTTGGTTGAAACAACTGTTTCATTTTTTCAAAAAAACAAAACATTTCTAGTAGCCTCAGTGGGAGAGGGGCAGGACATCTGTGCTCCATTAGAAACGGCTTACCTGCGTATTAATCTGTTTCTCCTCATCATAAACCTGGATTATTCGAGACATCTAAAGAGGAGTAATCACATGATAACAAACACAGTGAAGCAGCAAGGGGAAAAAGAGTTAGATAAAAACAGATCAGAAATCTGTTTACAACCCTCTGTGCTCAAACTCATGAGGTGCGCATGCAGCTGTTACAGCCAAAACGGACGGCAGGTGAACACTGCAGCCGTGGAAATGTTGAATTGTTGGTTAATGTTATTTCCTTTCTAGGTTACCCAAATAATCACTCACCCAACACTGACAAAGTGAAAACAGACGGGCCCTATAATTATGTTTTTTTTTTTTTTTTTTAATCTTTTTGAGACTCTGTGTGACCTTGGAGTTGCGGTGGTATGTACAATGCTAGACTTCCTGATTACTTTAAATGTAGGTCAGTAATTTTTAATTTCTTTGAGGGAATTCCCAAAAGGATAAATGAAGTTGTATCTAATCTGATTTTATCTAATCTAATCTAATCTAATCTAATCTAATCTAATCACACTGTACAGTGTCCTCTTGTAAAAAAAAAAAAAGGACTATGTCTTTAGGTCATGCAAATCTAAATTAATCTCTAATAAAGATATAATGTGCTGCTACCTTCCTGTTTACTATTCAGCAGCATCTTTTTAAGCCAAGAATCATATCAACTGTCTATTTTGGAAAAATATCAACATCATATGCATGCTGACACTCTCCAGCAAAGCTCAGAGCTGTCACTAACATCAGTGGCTAAATGAAGTCATGTCTCAGGGTAGTGAAATCGAAGCCCCCTCTAGTGGTGGGAAAGTGTCACATATCATCAGAGACAGTTTTTTAAGGTGAGGCTTTGTCTCATCACATACAGAAGGTTAATGGTGGCAAAAGTAGTCAGACTGAATCCAACACCAGAAACAAAATGTAGAGATAGAAAGATACATCATCGCCCAGGAAAGAAAGTGCTTTAATATCAAGTGAAATGTGACATCATCAAGTGATAACGGCCACTCATCACCACCCAAACTATGGCGTTATCATTGAGATGCAGACAGTGTTAGCAGGATTCACCAAGTGTTCCTGCAGCCAGGAGAGAAGAGAGCACAGTGACGGCCTTTACACTCCATCATCCACCAGCCAGTATTAGTAGGTGTACAAAACTGTACGCACACTGCAGGCTGCAAGCACCACATCCCACTTCAGTCTTCACAGAAGGTTAGATTAATATATTAGCGTGCCAACTCTGAGCACAGTGAAGTCATATGAAGTGCCAAACAGTAGTGTATGGCTAAATCAATCCCTGTCACCACTGCTCTATCAGTTTTGAAAATGTATTCCCAGTGGAGATGTACAATATCAGATTTCTGCTGATATTCGAAATGCTTGTTTTTTCAAACTTATTTTGGCTGATAGAGATACAAATGGAATAAATCAGTATTTTTTCCCAATGTGAGGAGCTCAAAGTTTTTCCTGCTCTAGAATTCATCTGTTACTTACATTGTGACAGTCCATTTCTTTTACAGACATAAAACAAGACTGACCACACTGACTCTGCCCTAGTTGATCGTTGTATTTACTTTCAAATACCGACATTCGTAAATATTTCCAACACTTTAAAATGCTTCTGTACAGCTGTTGTGTGAAGGTGTGAAAGCTGTCACACCTTACCAGCCACCATAAAGGCACAGTTTTATATCAGCTGATACTTCTCGATCACTTTTTAAACTAGTATCTGCTGACACTGGTATAACGACAATGTCATACATCCCTGACTCTCAAACTTAAAATGAAAATGGTCAAATTATTCAGTCAAAGTTATTTCAGTGGATGGTAGCAAGTGTAACTTTATATCAGTCTAACCCTTTTCAACATGCTCACACTCATTCTTAGACACACAAGAAGATGCCATTCTCCAAAGCAGGCTTAGGACTCATGCTGCTCACCTCATTGTACTTTGCACAGTTCTTGAAGACCAGGCGCATATCAGACACAAAGTCCTGGATGGACTGGTAATACTGGGAGCTCCGTAACTGCAGCTTCTTCTTCACCTTCTTCAGGTCCATGGGCTGCTTGATAATCTTGTAGTAGTTTGGTACCTGGTTTAGAAAAACAGTGGGTAAAAGAACACATCCCTGGTTATCGGGAAGAGGGATCAAATGTCCTGCAGTGTGAACTGTTTTGAATAGTCTAGGCTTTTTAGGTATGACAGAACCAAGAGCTTTTATCAATGTGTAAAACAAAAAAAACAGTGAGTTATTTACACAAAGTCTGCAGAGGACAGACTCAAAAGCAACCACAGTTTTGTTTCTTTATTGCGTGTAAATCTGAAACTATCTCATATGAAAACTTCAACGCAGAAGTATGTGACACTTACATCAACATCATAGCTATGATAAGTATAAACCAGGCTTAAAACTAAATGTCTGGGGCCTATATAGTTGTGGGACTAAAGATCTGATCCTCTTTGGTGAACCTTGTTTTGCCTTCATTGTTCGGCTTAAAGGAAATTTAAGGAAATTCAGGGGAAACCAAAAGAGAGGACATATAAAGTTAGATCAAGACTAAACTGAGGATATTATATCTACACTAAAAGAGCAGTGAACTAAAACATTAGTAGACTCTAATCGAAATCATCTTAAAAAATGTTATCCTTTTTCAACTCCTCTAAATTCTATGAAATATGGACATTTCTATTCTGTCTCTCCTTCTAAACCTCTTCAAAACCCTTTAATCATTGTTACGAGATTCCTCAGAAATTAGTGCTATCTGAAAGTGTTCATTTGTACAGTTCTTCATCTTAAGCAGATCTAAAAGGATGTAATGAGGCTTATTAAATAATAACTTGTAATAACTATCACTTCTTCTGTATCAATAATTTAAAAGTTCTTCAACCAATCAATTATTTACTACAATAGAAGTACACAGTGCAGTATGTAAAGCCTGCACACAGGACACAAATGTGGATCAGCCAAGTGTTTACAGTGCCTTTTCAGAAATGTTCTTGTTTACATACACTGTAAATAAACTTTATCTATCAGTGTCTGACAGGCTTGAAGCTCTGTTTTATTTCTAACCTCTGTATAATAAAACAATAAAAGAGAAGTTCAGCCTTTGCCACATATAATCAATAGAAGAGGAGGAAAAAGGTAAAAGCAACAGGATTGAGTCATTTAGTAGTGGTCAGTGTGTGTGTGTATTACTCACAGAGCTGGGAACAGGTTCCCTGAAGCCGACACTGAGCTCATGACAGAAGATATGCAGCAGGACACGTTCACATTTCTGCAGAGAGAGAGAGAGGAGGAGAGAGAGAATCAGCCACTTCCTACCGATCATGAAAAGGTCTTTGAGGTTACAACTGCTGGACTGACCCTTTGGTCCTCAGGATTTAAACTCTGCTCCCCTGTGATTTTCCTGCTGTCATCACAGTACTCGATCTCTGGGGTTTGCAGACTTCGGCAAAATGTGCAGAGAAAGTCACCCCTAAGAAAAAGAAAGAAAGAAAGGACACACAGAGGACATTAAGTACGTCTTTTATTTGATCAACTTTATATGTATGACGTCGATCAACTACTGGGAGAGAAAATGTAAAGATGATAAATAAATACCGTGATTTGTTTAGACATAACATCAAGGATAAGGTTTCTGTGTTTGTTACAGCACATTTTGCACCCAAAGCCCCTTTACACCGACCCTGACAAATTTGTATATAGTTTATCACCAGTGAATAGCTCTCAGTGCAGATGCAAATGACTGATTATGTTCACTATAATATCTGATTGACCACATTTGAAGGCAGACCACATATAACCCCATTCACAGTACAGTGTGGACATGATGGTAAGAAATACAGCAGAACTAGCATGCTGTACCTCCACAGGGTCTTAAAGGAGGAGGGAGTGGGTGAGAGAGTCCTTGGTTGGGCAATACGGGTGGGAATCCCTAGTGGCCCCACGATACGATATTATCACACTACTTGGGCCACAATATGATATTATTGTAATTTTTAACATTTAGCAATACAGTGAGTATTGGGATACAATATATTGTGATTTATGCATTTTTTTCAATTGTTTAGCTAATTTAGCATTTGTCTTTCCTTTATGTTTGTCTTTTTTACACAGTATTTTATTTTCATGTAGCACTTCTTGCAAACCTTATATACTGAATATTTGTTGCACTGACTTTCTCCAGCTCTATGATGTCACCTCTGCCAACCTCACTGGACAAACAGCTGATTTTATTTTTCCATTATCACAGATTTGACTTCATATCAGCAATTAATTTGAAAAATCGATACTTGGTCAATGAGACAAAATATTGCGATATTATGCTGTATTGATTTTTTCTCCCACCCCTATTGGGTAAGAGGAAAAAAAAACATAAGGTGGTCACAGACACACTTGTCCATATGCATATTTATGTCAGGTATGAGCTAACGTATCTGTTCACATGTGGTCAGAGGAGCCAGGATGCATATTAAAGCCAAATTCAAACTGGTCTATATTTCTGATAGTTATGGATCCAATAAGGCTCCTAATTTTCAGTTCTGCTTCTTGGCAGAAGAATATGAATCTTTCAGGGTTCGACCTGTGAGTATTTTTACAGTCTACAGAAGTTGTACTTATCTCTCCAGGACCTGCTGTGGCAAGGTAACCTTATATCACTTGCGATGTACTATGTCAACAAAGCTGTGGAAGAGGATCTTGGTGGTCCACAGTGAGCAGGTGGGGTTTGGCTAAACATCATTCAAAAAATAATGACTCAGTGCAACACATGTGGCCAAAATATGTCAGGGAGGAAGCATGTTGAATATGACAAAGAAGTAAATGTATCTCATGTGTTGTAGGCTCCAGTAGATCAAAACACCATTAACACACCAAAGTGAAACCTCATCCAACCCTCCTTAAGACTCAAACATTCAGGCACCTAGTCCTACATGCTATCACCGCTCCGCTCCTTTTCAAATAAATGTACACAACAGTGTGGGGCTGGGCGATTATGGCAAAAATAATAATCAAGATTATTTTGACTAATATTGGAATCACGGTTAATAAACACGATTATTTATTGAACCAACAAAACTTAAATTTAAATATAACTTAAAAGAACAGCCAAAAATAAATTAGTAACAAGTGAAAAAGAAAAAAAAGAAAAATTAATCAGCTGTGTGATCACCAACGACAACTTGCCAATGCTAATACTATGCGCATGCTCAGCATTGCAGTGCCCATGTGTGCATGCATATACTGATACGAGTCCAAGTTAGGGCCACATAAATTAATAAAAAACTCTAATTTTTAAGGTGTGCCAGCTTTTGTTTTGCTGTGGCGGTACGCCACGATCAATTGCTGAAGGGAAGCCCTGAAGTTGGTCATGTTGCTTTAAGGAGCAGACACAACAGTGTGATAAACTTTGCAAAAAATTTACTTTTGCTTAACATCTGTCAAATTGAAGCCAAAATGTTTCCAGATAACTGAAATCGTCCTACCTTTCTTCTCAACCAAACACTGCCTTTCTGCCATGTTTTCAATCACTCGCTCCTCATATTTTTGATCCACACGTCACACACTTGCTGCAGCCGCATGTAACAGGGGTGCATTCAAGGTGTTTTTCCAGCACAGGAACTTACATAGGTGCTACGCATTAATCATTTTTCTTCAATTATTATGTTTTTACGATCGTGAGACGCCAAAATCGTAATCATGATCGTCCAGCACGACATCAGTGTGCAACAGCTCACTTACTTTGGGAAGATTTTGATGGTGGGCACATGACATTTCATGTGGAACACTTTAGGACAGCGGTCACAGCAGAGCAGGTCACCACCGTTAATACAGACAGCACACCAGTCTTCATTGGGGTCATCTTCTTTCCCGCCAGAGTTGCCTGTTCCTGTTGATGCTCCACTCCCTGTGGTCTCTGTCCCCTTGTCCACATTTCCATTAGTTAGAGGGGCCCCTGCTGTACTGCTGCTTTTCTCTGAGGTTAATGAGGTAGTGATATTGGATGGAGAAGAAGTCGCAGCACTGGAGCCGTTAAGTCCAAAACAAGGAGTCTCAGACTGGGGTTCTGTTTTGATGCGCTCTCCTACAGCCTTGAGAGCATCTGGGCCTGAAGATACAGATCCCACCACAGAAAGGGGGCTGTCCTCCGGACTGCTCATCTGAGGAAAAACAAAAACAAATACCAGTTTTGTGGTCGTGACCTGTATGACAAATGCCACTTGATAGCTGTCTTTATTTTTTTAAGCATTTTTATAACTTTTGAAAAGAAGATAAGACCATGACTTTTTCCTCCTATTTCACTTCCTTTCTACAATTAGTTATCAGCAAGTGACTCATTAGACAGGTAAGACATATCAGGTTGGACTACGATGCACACCGACCACTTGCAGAATCCAGTATATCTAACCATTAACCGTAAGTATGGTAGTTCAACATCACATCTCCAATCTCTGCATCTAAAAATAGCAGCATTCATACCATACAGGCGCTCCTCCCAGCATCTTTTCCCCGCTCTGTCTTCATAGATGTACCCGGACAGCTGTAGCTGTTGTCAGTACCAGGCTCCTGCTTCACCCTCACCTGCTCCACAGCTGCTCCACTGCCAGGCCCTGCCCTCCCTGCAGAGCTACAGCTTAAACACACAAGACAACAAACCATGGAGGAATGTAAACAAAAATATATAGGCTGAAATTCTGTGGCAAAATCAAACCAATTTACTACTGACTGTGACCCTTGAGCAAGTCTTGTCTGTGTCGGTCAGTGCCGAATACTGATTCCTGGTGTGCATGTGATGTACTCTGTGAGCCTCAGTGAAAGCTTTTCAAAACTGGAGTCTTCTCTGCCTGGTTTGATGTGTCTGTTTCTTTAAACCACTGTACAGCTGCTCCGGTCTATGACGGACTAGCTGCAGGTTTTATGCAGAGTGGACCAAAGAGACTCATCTTTCTAACGGCTTCAGACTAAAATACTTTTATGAGATCTTACCTGCCTCGACTGCCTGTGCTGGATGTGCTAGAGGGTCTTGCTGGTGTGTGGGCATTTGACAGACCTGCAGACCAAAATGAGACGGGAAACAGGTGATAAAGCAGCTGCAGTAAAACCATTTGAAACTCTAATTTCCCTGGGGTGTTTTCACATTTATGGGCAGTATCTACCATGAATCGAATGGATATGATTAAAAAGAGGGTAATATAACTGATGTTATATGTTAAATTACATAATCACACACATCTGCTGGTACAGTATCTTTTAAGAAAACTAAATTGAGAAATGGCTTTTATATTCAATTATTTTGTTTTATTACATTATTTAAGTCTTTCAATACACCTAAAAGTAAAGGCAGAATTTCACAGTCAGAGCTAAGGCAGTAGTTTTAGATGTTAGACCCTGAAGGTAAATCCTTAGTCTGACATCACCAAGGCTCTGAGTAGAACAGAGTAGGATTTAAAAGTAATTCTTCTCTCTGGACTTGAAGATACCTGAAGATCCAGAAGAGTGCGATGACAGTCCAGGTGAGGGGTTCATCTCCATGGAGCCCAGCTGGTGCTGCGTGCTGGCTGAGATATAGCGAGTTAGGAGGTGTCCGAGGCTGCTGGAACCTGCGTCCTCCAACTAGTGAGGCCAGAGAAGTACGGGGCGGGAGAATGATTAACAAACAAAAGTCAGTCAGGAGTTAGTCAAAGAAAAACTTTGAATTTAAAACTAAAATGAGCTCACAAAGGGGGAAAACTGACACCAGATAAGACAACACAGGATACCACATCAGACATCACACCTATCAAGTTAGTAGTAACTCATTTTTTACGTGTCTGTCAAACTTCTGCCACATGAGCAAGTGTGTAAGTCTCTCCATCACTTTAGTTTGTAGCACAAGGGAGTACATTTCCCACTCTTAGTCAATAAAGCTGTAGCTGTCACTTGCACTCTGTGGACCATTAACTCCACTCATCATCACAGGTTTGTGTCTCTCTACAGACTGGAGTGCATCTTCTACCATTCCCCTCAGCATAACCACTATCTTACATAGCCCACTGTCCTCTCCTAATACCGCTATCGACCTCCTCAGTCCATTAACTTCTCGTCACATTACCATCATTCATTGTCAATAGCGCCACTGCTAGGCGTCATGAAGTAATGACACGATGGGTCAAAGTGGCGGGAGAATCCATTCGGAGCTCCATCATTTTTCAATTAAACTGTCGATATTTAGCACCAGTGTATTGACTATTGTATCACAAGTCAGGACAAACATATATTTTGCTGTATTGATATCCTGTCCTACCCTCACTTACCATATCTATTTTTTAGGACAAGTGCTTAGGAGAAAAATTAAGCTGTCTAACTTATCATGATTATTTTAGAGCTGGACCTTCACCAGACATCAAAGATTATCATTGTGAGTAACTTTGAGTCTGGAGGATTTTTTTCACATTCCTGATTCACTACAGATTGTCACAGCTGAAAAGAAAAAGGACAGGCAGTAAGAAGAGAGAGAGAGGTGATGACATGCAGCAACGGGCCCAAGGCGATCCCCAGCTGCTGCAGCATGAACTCAGGGAGGTTTTCGTTATGCTGACGTATATAGCTGTTCTAATATTCATCTGAATTCCAGGTGAATATGAGATAAGAGAAGAGATACAAGAATAAAAGGACGGTCATAAAGAAGGGAGTACTTGTTTATTAACTGTCATTTTGAAGCTCCCTTAAAACTAGCCGTCAGATGTAGAGAATCTGTTATGTTTTAAGCTGCCTAAAGTTTTTTAATTGAACAACTTTGATCCTGACTCAAAGCTCTGTAAGGAGTCTCTCCTTTCTTCAGCTCCTAAAGATGAATTCATGGATCTAGAGGATCCCCTCAGTGGGAGGATAGGCACAACTTCAAAGTTAATTATTCTCCTTTTTCTTTGATAAACTCTAAACCGCAGCTCTAATTCTGTGACACTTGTAAGCAGGATTCCTACACAGTTGGAATTTCCATACTTTTCCATACCCTAATTTTGAGGATTATTTTTGGAAATACCTACTTTTCTATTTTAGAAAACAGTATTTTAGAACTGTGGTGATAGTCTGGAGACATCAATATTTTTCCACACTTTATTTTTCATTCTCAATACTTTTTAAGACCTGCAAATTGATAAAATTTCTTTCCATACTTTTCATACTAGCGTAGGAACCCTGTGTAATAAACTTTGTAATATTTGGTGATTTTATTTCTTTAATTGATGATCATTTAAACACTTCACACAGATAACTTTAATTGATGGGTGAAGCATTTTTTGGAGAGTTTGTTAACATTCCATCTAACAGCCAAAACAATACAACTCTGTTTTCAAAAGAAGAACCTTATTGATCCCTAGAGGGAAATTCAGTGCGCATTTCCAGAACCACAGCTCGAATAACCCACTGATGTCAAGGGACGTTGGGCTATCTCTGTTTTACCTCCAATGGGAGAATAGGGGAAGTATTATTTATATCAGTTTAACAGTTAAACTTTCTCAGTTCCTTATGGGGGGAGTGTATGTGTGTGTGTGTGTGTGTGTGTGTGTGTGTGTGTGTGTGTGTGTGTGTGTGTGTGTGTGTGTGTGTGTGTGTGTGTGTGTGTGTGTGTGTGTGTGTGTGTGTGTTTGTGTGTGTGTGTGAAAAGGGTCGAGGTCATTTTAGTGCACCAACTCCAACTCTTCTCATGCATCATGTCATGTAGCTGATGATGAGGAGTCGGCTTTTTGTCCCATAAACAGAACCAGGGGTGTCTACGAACATCAGAATGTTTCATGGAGCTATTGAATATTTTAGTAATCTAAATATTTTAGAGTATTCTACTGAATATTCCGTCGATTAATCGAGTAATCAGTGTTGTTTTCGTCAGGCAGGACGAAAACTTAAATGACGACGTCAGACCCCTTTTTTCCTTGACGAAAATGAGACTAAGACGAACGTCACCAAAGCTCTGTAAAGACTAAAATGTGACGAAAATTGTATTCATTTTCGTCAGACGAGAACGAGACGAGACTAACTTGTTATTAGGTGGACGAACAAAGTTTCAAAACATGCTTTTTTTTGTCCTAACAGTCACGCCCCCATCACACACGCACCAAAAGCCTCGCTCGCGCACAGCTGCGCGCACACACTCATACACATACACAGAGCGGCAGGTGGACGAGGCGCGCGCAAACACACACCGTGGCGGCAGGCACAGCAGCGGCCCGGTGGCTGAAAAAAGAGGGATGATTTTTGGTCCTACTTCAGATACAGTTCAAGTGACAATAAAACACAATGTCTTGTACGGGGGACGGGGAGACGAGACAGACGACAGTTGTGGAGCCACAGCTTCCTCATGCTGCGGCTTCAAACTGTCGGGAAAGAACACCACGAACCTCAAAAGGCACCTTTTCGTCGACTAAAACTAAACTAAAAGCTTTTGAGTTTTCGTCGGACTAAAACTAGACGAAAACTATCAAGGATAGAAATGACTAAAATGGGACTAAAACGAAGAAGCATTTCGTCAAAATGACTAAGACTAAAACTAAATCTAAAATGCCTGCCAAAAACAACACTGCGAGTAATTGGATGAAACATATTTTTTTTTACTTCAAGTGCAATTATCGCTGAACAATCGTGGAACAAGTGTGTGCATTAGCAGATTGCAATGCTTGTAAGAAAGTTAATTACGATATGAACTTACATCATGTCCCTGAAGACATTACTGTCAGAGAACTAAATAGCTCCGATGTTACCTGCTTCTGCTACTACACCGGCAATGTTAGGCTACAAGCTAATGTGAAGAGGAGTATGCAGAGAGAGCAGCGCTGCCTCCGCCCACGACTCAGAGGCAAAGTACTAATGAGCTACTGGAGCTCTGCAGAAGAAAAGTCTGTCTCATCATTCGTTTTTTCGCGCTCCGCAAAACTGCGCTTACTCCTCCTTCTACCGTGTTGATGTAAGCGTGTGGTGTCACCTTGAAAATAATCTGTGCGAAACAGTGACGGTTTGGGCTTATAAACGAGTACCCGAGAACGAAGTTTAAAACCTCCGTTTGGAAATTCTTCGGATTTTGGGCAGACATGGTAAACAGAAAAAGTGCTGAGCGAGATAAAGTTATATGCAAGCTGTGTAAGCTAGATAATTGAATATGTTCGAACCTATGTGCTATTTTTAGAACGAATATTCAAACATCATTTTGGAGCAATTTTGACAGCCCTAAAGTGAACTAAGAAGAGATATCTTTTAAATGTGACAAAAAATTACAATTGCAGACCCTATCTTACCTGGCAGAAACAAACAAGCCATTAAAATATGCACACCTGAATGGGCGGGATCTCGGGTAAGCAGGGCAGGTTCTCTGGATTAGTGACTGATGGGATGAGCTCGATGGGACCTATGATGGGGCTGGCAGGGCCACGGTGGGCATGAGAACCGGCCATACTGGCACTGGTAGGGCTTGTAGGGTTAGCATTATGGAGGGATGCCACCGGGAAAGGGCCTGCGTGTCCTGGGTTCGAATGCTGCACAGAAACAAAGAGAGGAAGAAAAAGAAGAACATAATTAGGTGGGAGAGAAGAAAGCCCTGAGAGGGGGAGATAGAAGAGGAGGGAGGAGGGCAGGAAAAATGAGCTTATACATCACTGGGCTTTATCAAGTTTTTATTGTGACACAACATGGTTGCATGAACATGCATGATTTGGGTGACAACACATGCGGCACAAGACAATGACAAAGAAGGAAAAAGTGCCAAACCCCTGATTGTAGTAAGAAACGAAACCTTTGGTGGCTCATCTCAGATTCTATAGACATCTGGACACAAAGAAAAGGCTGGATATAGTGGCGGTTTCTTTCACCTAGTCCCACATGCAGGCAAGAAACGCACATTGATATACCATACATGCAATCAGACTGAGTAAAAAATAAAGAAAATAATCAGTTTCATATTTACAGAAGAAAACACAAAACCTTACCCTGCTACATCTGCTTAAATAAAAGAAACTTCTTTAATTTCACAACCGTTTTGTAGTTGCTTCATTTGCAGCTTGAGTATGTAAATAAGGGCTTCAAATGATCAGTTTGATTTACATGTTTAGAAATGCACCACTACTTAAAAATGTAAAATCCAAACTTCTCCTAACAACCACTTTCCAGAGCACTCCCAAGTGTAATCATGAAATAATTATACTCAATAATCATACCCGATTTTTAATTGGCAATTTATCTAATATTTAAATGAGCAGACAGTGTGCCAAATTAATGTTTCCTTTGACATTCCTGCTCACCCTGTGGAGCACTTGTTCTCTGAGTGGGCTTGTTTTGTTTATCATGTTATTGCACACTCGGACGCACATGCATATAAATACAGCTTTTAGTGAACACATCTACATTAAAGAGGTAATAATGTGTAATATATGGTATACAAGGACACACCCAAGAGCCCCTTTAAACTTCATTATGGAAAAAATGCAAGCAAAAACTTTTGCATTAAAATTTGAATGAGGCTCAGACATAGTTGTTTGAATTTTCATTTGAATTAAGGCAAAAGTCCCTCCAGGTTATTCAGGGGGAGATTTCAGTATTAACCACCATACCAAGCAGAGAAAACATCAAAAAGCGAGTTCATTAGAAATAGTTTTCTTTTTTCTTTTATCTCAGACATGTAATCTTTTTTCACGTACCTTGACATGTTTCGGTGGAAACTTCTGCCTTCCTCAGAGTGTCACTTGGTGGTAGGTGCGAGGCCTCATATCAGCTGGTGTTACGGAGGTGTAACCCTCTTGTCAATGTTTTTTTTTTTTTTTGACAGGACCGTCACACCTCCCGCTGTCTGTTTGCCTCTGCAGGGTGCTGCTCCAGGTGTGTAAGAGCATGTAGGCCCCCTCATCCCTGTTCATCGTCCGTGGACCCCTGTTTTCTTATTAAAATGGCTTCCCTTATCCACATGGTGCTTATTGTCCTCAGTACAGATGACATGGGCCTTATCCAAGTCCATGAGATGATTTTCCCTTTTGCAGTGGTCCGTTATGGCAGATTTGTAGTTTTCCTGTTGCGCTTTTTTATCATTCATCTTGTTTGTCTTGTTCCCGACTCTTTCTCACATTCCTTTTGATGTTCTTTGCCCATGTGCTGAAGCTCCACCCCATCTCCCTAATGTATATTTTACAGGAAAACTACAAATCTGTCATAAAGGGAAAATCATCTCATGGACTGGGATAAAGCCAGTGTCAACCACACTTAGGACAATAAGCACCAGTGCTGGATTAGGGAAGCCACTAAAATAAGGAAACATGGCCTGGGGAAGATCAACAGGGATGAGGGGGCACACATGCTCTCACACACCTGGAGCAGTGTTCTGCAGAGGTGTGACCGTCCTGTCAAAAAAAAAAAAAAAAAGTCTGACAGGAGGGTCATGCCTCCATAACACCAGCTGATATGACGAGTCACACCTACCACCATGTGACACTTCAGAGGAAGGCAGAGGTTTCTGCTGAAACATGTCAAGGTACATGAAAAAGATTACATGTCTGAGATAAAAGAAAAAAAAAGAAAACTATATCTAACAACCTCTTTGACTGCTCAGTGGCACCAACATGTGTGTGCTGGCTTGGGGTCTCAAACATATAATCTTGTTTATCATGTTAATTAAAAACTGAGGAAAATAGACAATATACCACTCTAAATGAAAGTACTTCATGTATCATATCTAGGGCTGAAACGAGTCCTCGAGTATCTCAATTACAAAAAAATGATCAAGGAATTTTCTCAGCCTCGAGCCTTGTTCTCTTATTTAGTTCAAATCGTCACTGTTTCACACAGATTATTTTCAAGGTGACACGACGCGCTTACGTCACCACGGTAGAGGGAGGAGTGAACGCGTTTTTGGTTTTGCGTAGTGGAGAAAAAGAATAATGAGAGGGGCTATTCTTCGGCAGAGCTCAAGTAGCTCATTAGCACTTTGCCTCTGAGTCGTGGGCGGAGACAGCGCTGCTCTGCGTACTCCTCTTTACGCTAGATTGCAGCCTAACATTGCCGGTGTTGTAGCAGAAGCAGGTAACATAGGAGCTATTCAGTTCTCGGATACAAATGTCTTTGGGGACATGATGAAAGTTAATATCATAATTAACTTTCTTACAAGCATTGCAATCCGCTAACGCACACGCTTGTTACGCAATAACTGCACTTTAACTAAACAAAAAAAGGTTTTATCTGATTACTTGGTTAATCAGTGGAATATTCTGTAGAATACTCAATTACTAAAATATTCAATAGCTGCAGCCCTAATCATATCCTATATATAAATATTGTTTGCTATATATCATATAATATAATTACTGAATATAATCGAACATCTTGTTATTTAGACCAAACAACGCAGGATTGAAAATGTCCTTGAATAATAGAAATTCAGAGTGTGTTAAGCTAAGAAGACACCCCAGAAAGAAAAACTTTAGAAGGTGTTAGAGTCTCCTTGAAAACTGTGTAAGTGGGTTTTAGGAACATATTTTCTATTTCAAACAGTGACTGAATGAGACCCAGTGTTATCTACCACACTTCTGCTTCACTCATTAACTGAACAGAGCATCCTTCCCTTTTCCTTTAAACCCATCATGACAGAGACTGTTTGGTGTCAATGCAAAAGGCTTTCAGAAGCTCTGTGTTTCTAATGGTTCAGGTTTACCGTCACACTTGCAAGTGATCTTTGGTTTGTCATTAGGGTTCCAGACTAAACTTACTCAAGGATTATGCATTTGCAATCATTCATATGATAAGTATAAAGTATGCACATATTTCAGCATTCAAAGTTCATGTGTCATGAGAATGCAGCTTATGAAATTTGGACTGATAATCATTTTTGATCTGATTACTTTGAAGTTCCTTAGTTCTCAAAGAGTTTTCATAGAAGGAAAAACACGAGCCTTTTCTTTCTCTGAATAAACAATTGCCAATGAAACGCACAGCTTTACAAACTCCTTTAACGTCACTGTTCATGTGCAAACACAAATAGTTTTACTGTCAGATGCTGCCCTGGAATTTTTTTTTTTTTTTTCACTTCAAAAAACAACTAACATTTTTGTTAAGGATCATTATTTTTTACTTTAAAATGTAAACCTTTAAAACTGTCTTATGACTTTATCCTTAATAACTTTATTCTAAATTAAAACCACAATCACAAACCCACAAACAGGTGACAAATACTCCTGCACCTTCGATCACTACTTCTCTAGTAGGTAGGTCCAGAGAAAACTTCTTATTCAGTGCATCACTTACTTCAACATTTATAGTGATGAATGTGTCGCACAAAAATACAAAATCACATGTAGTCTGTTCATGTCTGACCGTGCTGTGTGCGGACTAACCTGTCTTTGTAGCTGAGGCTGCATCATGGATGGATACTGCTGTCCGTTATGTCTTGGCTGAGCCGAGAGCATACGGCCCTGCGGTGGACCCGGGAGACGCATATGGTGGGAGGAAGGGTACATGGGGGGGCCTGGCCCACCATTCATACCCCCAGGCCCTCTTGGTAGCTGCTGCATGCTGATGAGCCTCGGAGGCTGTAATAGCATACATATACACATACTTTGCATTAATTTCCAAGGTAGTGTGCGTTCAATGATGCGATTTTCACAAACAGTAGCTGATTTTTAGGTTCATGCAACTGAAAAAAACAAATGATAAACTGTAATTAGTGCTGATGCGGTGAGCAGATTTATTGATTTATAAATCCACAGGAAGAAAAAAGACTGAACACTTGAGCGCAATTCATCACTTGAGTCGTTCAACCATCAGAAATGCCAATACTTCACAAGATGGAGCCTCTAAAATACCGTGGCATGTTAGCTTTTCAATCTTGGACAAGACTTAATCCTCACATGAGTTTGAGGCTTCCTCTTGTTTATGGTACATATTAATTGATCCTGCAGTTCCATTCATAAAATCAATGAATGAATCAAAACGTTGATTAATTCAAGAGTGGATACCCATTATTTTTCACAGCGGTACCTTGATCTGTGAATGCATACCTGCTGCTGAACCAAGGGAGGGCCGGCTTGTCTGACGTGCTGCTGGGACATTTGGGAGGCGATGCGCATCTGTTGCTGGATCTGTTGCTGGTGCTGGTGCTGCTGCTGCTGTTGTTGTTGTTGCTGTTGCTTCTGTTGTGCATAGGCTGCCTGCTGCATGTGCTGCAGCCGGAGCTGAGCCAGGTTGATTTGTCCTGGGTGTTTACCGGGATGACCCTGACCTGGGGAAATGGGCGGCCCTCCCACCATCACATTGGGTGGTTGTGCAGGTCGTTTCTCAATTACCAAATTACCTTTAAAGAAAAACAGGGATTGTGATGTAAAAGTGTTAAGATTTTAAATGACAGTGCAGGCTTGAATTGTCAACGCTTTTAACCACATTACTATTTTATGTTGTGTTCAATTTTATGATAAATAAATATCAATTCAAATGCACTCTCACCTAGATTCACCACGTTTTTGGCCCAGAAGGTTGGGTCACAGAAGAAGCGCACAATACCATTAGCCTGAGGCGCTGGCTCCAGTCTTGCCTCGGATAGCTGATGAAGCTGGTAAAGGATCTACATACATGCACACACACACACACACATACACAGAAATGTGTTCTTCTGTTTCTTAGCCAAGCTGAAGCAGAACAACTGTCATCTAGTTGTCAACATACTCTTTAGGAACAGCATTTGTCAATCCCCCAGTTTAGTTATCTCAGCTAACTGTCTTGTGGTTAACACCTGTAGCAAAAGCCAACCTTAAAAAGGGGGAAAAACATCCACCCCAGGAGGCTGATTATTCCACTTGACCAGTAAGCTGAGCAGTTCACTATAAACAATGTGGCTGGAACATATCCATTCAACTGATAGCTGATTGCATTCTACAGCAAAAGTGTGAAATCCAACCAAAGCTAAATCAAAACCTCCTTGGTGAATGAGAGGCCAGAAGTCATGTAATATAAGCTCTGTCAGAAGCATGTTATTGAAAATGTAGAACATCTGAAGCTCACGAGAAACCCACCAGCCTCTTGCTGTAGAGCAGCGCTGTGCTGCTCCCTGTAGTGATGGCCCAGTGGCAGAAGCTGAGCACGTGGTTGATCTGTTGAGCCAGCAGGGTGGTTTCTCCGTGCTGAGCCCTGAGCCTCATACTGCGCTCGTTGGTCACACTCTGGACAGAAAATCAGATTATTCTGGTTCAGGGACAGAGACTGATGGTCTGAACACAATATTTCAATGGAGGAGTCATAACCTCGCCACATTAATTTACAAGTCAATACAAAACTTTTGCATGTGCAGAGGGATACATGAGACCAACTGACCTAAAATTGATTTCAAATAATAGTCGGTCAATGAGACACACATTTGATCAATTTTCATTGTTTCCCTTAAGTTCTTTGTGTGCTCCTTACTTTTTTTAACTTAGGAGCACATGTGCTCCTTGTGAAAAAAGTTGGTGTCAAGCCCTGTGAGACCATAGCCTACCCACACACATCCAAAACCAACCTTTATCTATTGATTTTTTTTTTTACACCAAATATACCACTATGGGGAAAATGACGTTGGTTATTGTCATAAATTTCGTTATCAGTAAATTTTCTGTTTATCGCCCAGTCCTAATTTAACAGACTAAAGAGAGAAAGAAATCAAACCCATTGTGGTAATAAAGCTTAAAAATGTCTGTGGACTGTGTGTAACCTATTATGAACAAATTACAAGGACATTATAGCTGAAGGGCATTTTTGCTTAAATTTGTCCTTCAGTTTCTAAAAATATATACACATGTTCTTTAAAGATTTGCACCTATACCAATGTCCTTTTAGGTCTATTGCTTATGCAGCTGTTCCTCTTTAACCTAGGTTAATGGCTCTGAACTATATTAATACCCCATTGAAGGCCTTGAGACTGGAGTGCTGTGAATTTACACAAAAATGCAAAAACCTTAACACGGCAGAGCACTGAACCCAGCTGGAAGAAAAACATTGGCAGTTCTGAAATGAAGGTAGAAATACTTCAAGTGTGAAACAGAGAGCTGACATTTTCAGGAGCATCGGCCGTGAATACTAAATGGATTAAAAATATATCTGCACAGATATATCAGATATTATTACTCGCTAAATCAATGCTGCATCTAAAGAAGTTAAGACATCACGTAAAGAGGAGAGTGTGGTCACAAATTAAAAACTGGAGCAATAACATTGATCACAGAGCAGTCAAAGAGTTGATTAATCCTTTGAGGGGGACTGACATTAGCTTGGGGATCTGTAGAGTACAAACACATCATTCATCTCCTGGTGCTTTAATGTTTTACAGTCAGAGAGTGGGCTGTTTTTAATCAGATTAAATCCAATCTCATATTACTTTTTTTTAACACTTTGATTATAAAACTCCAGACATAAATGTGAGGAACAGTGTGTAAAGGCAGATGATTACGGCTGTACCAGTATCTGCTGTAAGAGGGAACCAGATAGATCCCAAGCAAGCCCTTTCCTGCAGCAGCGCCTAAATGTGCACACTGGAGCTGGGTTAAACTGCCCCATGTCTGATGTCAGGGGCTCTCCATAACACCCAAAGAGAGACTACCCCAAAGACTCCCATAGACTGATCCACTTCTAAGACACTCAGGTAGACACTTTAAAACTGGGGTGCCCAACCAGTCGGGTAGATCACGGACTAATTCTCAGTCGATGGCAAAAAGTAGACTTGAAAGCGAAAAAAAAAAAAAGTCTTGTAGCTGATCATCTTTTTGGTAACGTTAATTGGCTATTTTTCTCATGGCTGTGCCGCGGCTGTAAGGTCAGGTCACTATGCGTGCGTGCTGCAGCCGCTGTTTACTTAGCTAGCAGCAATAGAACAATGGCCGGAGCAGAAAGACAGAAAACTTATCATTTTCACCCAGAGTGGGAAGAGGATTACTTTTTTTGTCCACTCAAACTCGAAGACCATCTGTCTCATCTGCAAAGCCAGCGTGGCTATACCAAAGAAGGGAAATCTGGAAAGGCATTTTAAGACACTGCACAAAAAATATGAGACAGACTTCCCTGCTAAATCCGAGCTACGCTTGCAGAAAGTGCAGAAGTTGAAGACGCAGCTTGCAGCCCTGCAGTCTGTTTTTACCAGACCCAACACCAAGGGTAAGGCTGCTACCATAGCATCTTACCATGTTTCTCGTGTGCTTGCTAAACACAAGAAGTCTTTCAAGGACGGTGAAGTTGTTAAGGAAGCCTTTATTGAAGCCGCGGACGCACTTTTTGGTGACTTTAAGAACAAAACGGAGATCGTCTCCACTATCAAGGACATGCAGTTGTTGCGGAATACTGTCATACGACGGTGCGAGGGAATGGCAGAGGATGTTGAAACACAGTTGAAGAAGGACATCGATGGATGTGAGTGTTTCTCCCTCCAGTTTGACGAGTCAACTGACGTTGTGGATGTGCCACAATTATGTGTTTTCATCAGGATGGTTTTTGGAGACATTTCGACAAAAGAACTACTGACAGTTTTGCCTTTGAAAGGACACACAAGAAGCGAAGATATTTTTATGGACTTTCATGGACTTTGTTAAAACGAACAAACTGCCCCTCTTCAAGCTGATCTCCATCACAACTGATGGTGCACCAGCCATGGTGGGCCGCACAAGTGGGTTCATTGCATTGTGCAAACAGAGTGAATTTTTCCCTGACATCCTTAATTACCACTGTATTATACATCAGCAAGCATTGTGTGGGAAGATTTTAAACATGAAAGAAGTGATGGATGTTGCTTTGAAGATTGTGTGCTCTGTCTGGGCCTGGAGCCTAAAGAGAAGATTATTCCGCGCTCACTTGGAGGAGACCGGCGCAGAACACACTGACCTGCTGCTCCACACAGATGTGAGGTGGCTAAGCAGAGGTACATTTTTGGCCAGGTTCACTGAATTACTGCCAGAAATAAAAGATTTCCTGAAACTGTCACAGCACACAGAGCACATTCAGCTGGAGGACTCCCAGTGGCTTTTGGATTTAACATTTCTGACAGACATTACTGACATGCTTAATGATCTGAATTTAGAGCTCCAGGGTAAGAATAAACATGTTATCAACATGATCAGTTCAGTAAACACATTCAAAAGCAAGCTGCAGCTGCTTTCAAATCGGCTGCAACGCTGTGACCTGCGAAACTTTCCTCACATGCAAGCAGAACTTAAGCGTCAGGGTAAAAACTCTGCACAGTTCTTCCGTTATGAAGAGCAGGTTCAGAGCATCCTGTCAGAATTTGAGAAAGCATGTCAGCTCTAATACACGTGTAGGTGTGCTCTTGAGTGTGTGCAGATTTGTTTCAAATTGATCAAATCCCACAAGCGGACACTTTTCAGAAACTTTTAGGAAACTGCATTGATGGGATTTAAGAAGAAATTGCTTTCCAGGAACTGCTGAATGAGACCCATTGTACTTCATCAGCACCTTCTGAAGCTTTTCAACAGTCCGGCATTTATGAATGTTCCCTTACCTCCAACTGCTGCAGCAGGGACTTGCCCTTCTTGTTGATTTCATTAATGAGAGTAAATACTGCAATTTTGATTTCGTGCTCCACCTTCCTGTGTGTCTCGTTGAGCTCTTTTAACCTGGACAACAGAGTACATTAAAAAAAAGTATTTAGAGACACCTGTCAACAATACACCACTTATTTCCTATGTCCATCGGTAACTGAAGTGAATATTCTGGGTCAAAGTACAGTAAGGAAAATGACAAAGAAACTCTTACCTGCTCTGCAACTGAGAGACAGAACAATGGACATAGTTCTTTTTTTCTTGTAGTTTTGCAATTTTAGCCCCAATGATGCCTTTGTGGTTCTGAAAAGCCTCCTCCAAGAACTGGTACCTGAGAATGACAGATTCAGAGTCTTTCAATCTTAAAATTAATAGCAGTATGATTTTAAAAAATTTGGTTCATAAGAAAAAAAAAAAAAAGATAGAAATTGTTGTAAACTGTTGTTGCCTCGCACTCAAGAACAACAAAGAAATAACATCTTTGTCACTTCAGTGCAAAAAATGTATGAATGTCTGGGTATGATTTATTTTGCTTTGCTCTAAGATGGATAAGAACAATATTCAGTTTGTGAGGTCCAGAAGAGACCCTCCATTCTACTCTAAGGATCCAAATCAATCACTGAGGGGTTAGTTTCAGCAAACAAGGAAGGCTCTGCATCAAAACCACAAGGACTCCAAGTCTATATCCATCTATTAGTTATCTTGTTGGAAAAAAAGATTTAAAAAAAGACAAAACTGAAGTTGTCTACTTGCATTCCTCATTACAAACACACATTTAAGATTTAAAGGGATATTCCGGTATAAATTTAAGTTATGGTCAAAGACACCGTAACGCTGAGTTAGACACCCCCTCAAGAGATGAATGTTACTGACTGCTTGCTTCTCTAGTTATACCAACTTTAGTAACAACCGCATGATAGCAATACACAGAGGTCTATGTCTCCACGCGCAAACCTCAACCAAAAAGCCACTCTATATCCACAAATAATGCTCAGAACATCATCTAACTTCATCAACAGTACATATAGGGTCCCAGCCATAGTACTAGCCATCAAACATCTTTTTAACTTTGCCTGATTTCTTTAGCAAAGAGACTTAACACAACTCACCCACTCTCCTCCAGCAGCCGCTTGTTTGTGGGGGAGCCCTGACAAGTCGATCATCGAGTGCAGTGGATCATTTCCTTGAAGTAATAATCATCATAATAATCATTTTGCACTGCAGACGCGGTAGTTCTTCTGCCTTAGCGTCTCGGTCTGATTGTATTTCCATGAAGTAATGTTTTTCTTTGAGCTGCAGAACTCCGCAGCACTCAGTGATCGACTCGTCAGGGCTCCCCCACAAACAAGCAGCTGCTGGAGGAGAGTGAGAGGAGAAAGAGAGAAAACACTGGATCTCTTATGGAATATATTGACAATTCTGGCTGAGGTGATTTAACACCAGTGGCTCAAAGCAGGGTAGAAATTAAAGGTAAACCCCCACAGTATGTTTTATTGTAAAATCCCACTAGAGTGTATTCAACTGTAAAGAGAGACAAGACTCCTTCCTGCCCACTTTTTCAGGGTTCCATCCACAACAACAACCCACTCATTATACATCATCCATTACCTTACAACTAAAACCTCCTCTCACTGTTTGAACTCTTGCAGTAAACAGCTGGAATAGGATAAAATAGGATTTTAAGTGCCTAAAATAAAAAGATATATATATATATATATTCTGTACTGACACAGATGCAGCAACACATTATTGACTAATAGTAGACTACTATGCCAGTTTAGGAAGTTTACAGACAGGGGGAAAGAAGTGGTTAAAGTTGATGTGTTGGATGCTGAGCTACCTGTGGTCCTTGTGCTCCAGCAGCTGACAGTCTCGACATGTCAAAGTGTCACAGGTCTCACAGAAAAGCTTCAGTGGCTCCTGTTTGTGGATGGGACAGAAAACAGGCCTCTGTCCTGATGTACCAATAGATTCTACAAGAGAAAGGACAATGACAGACAGACAGACCCCCAGATTAATCACAGAAAGTGGTGTGAGACAGATGATGACAAGGCTGCCTTCAAAAAAAGTTGTTCCAAAGCCTGGGGTAGTCAAGTCTGGTCAAAGCTTTAGGGTATTTGGACCTCAGGCTAGAGGTACCAGCCAGATTCTGCAGTGCTGTTACCATGGCAACAGGCTGCCAGCAGCACCGAATTCCCTGTGCTTCAGTTAGGGTTTGTCTTACTGAGGCTTTCGCAGTTTTGCAATGAATCTTGATCAATTCTTCAGAGTGAGGGTTAGCTATCTTACCTGAGGCAGCATCAGCATCCTCCTTTGTGTGAATCTTGTGGTCCTTGGTGATTTTGACCCTCTGGTGGGCCTCCACGCAGGTCTTACACAGCCACTCTCCACACTCCACACAAAAGCCTATGGTTCCCGCATTGTCTTCACAGCTTGTGCACACCTTAAGGAGACAGCACCAATGAATATCTAAAAAGAACCTTCCTTGGGTTTAGAGGTAAACCCAGATAATCTGATATCAGGTGCTCAATGGTTCAGCCCCTGTGAGAGTGTTCCCCACTACTGACCCATTACTGCTTTGAAAACTAGTAGAACTTAATCACAGTGGAATAAATCCCACTTTAAAGTTAGGGAGAGCACACAATTGTTCTTCTCATAAATAATTCATCTCTGATTAGCATTTTTATATTATCCAAGCCCAATCTGAAACCGGATTAAAAGTGATTACCTAAAGCACCACTTAGCATCTAACAGAGCTTTGAAACAACTCCAAGTTTCCCGGGACCCATGAAGTTCAAGTTTCGTCATTAAAATGTCATAATAAATATAAATAATAAATCAGTGTAAACATTAATTTGAGAAACTTTTTCACAAAGATAATTCCAATTTAATGGACCTACAGACCCTCCTCTAAACAACCACGGGCTATATTCAGAAACCCAGAGTTTGGTGAGACTGTATCAGAGCATCAAGTTATATTTATTACTATCAAGATCACAACAATTTACATGTGTTTGGTCATGCTATGCTGCGATTCTGACTAAAATACACAAGGAGTGAAAAAAAGCATACTGAGTGTGGACCACCATAACCATAGGGTCTGATGGTGTCTGAGCATGGCCACTGACTATTTAGAAGTGTGTATTTTTTTAAGTGGGTATTCTCGCAGTGAGTGTTTATCTTTTGCTCTTATGTGTATGACCTCAGTGTGGTTCAAAACAAACCTGTACTACAAGATGTAGACCTAAATGACAACACCTATTTAAAAGCAATGCTAAAGCAATGTGTCCCCATATGACATGTATAATTGTTTGTTAATATTTGTTTTATCTTCATATTTCTTTATGTTGCTGTCCTGCTTTGCCTGTGATAAAAAGTAGAGAAGGTTTTATGAGATTCTGCTAAATTTTCAGTTTTGTTCAGACTGAAATTTCCCCCTCCATGTCCCTTCAGGGACTCCACGGTACAAAGTGCATGATCTGATGACACTGCATTCAGAGCTCGGTGGAAAAGGAACATGTTGCAATATTGCAGGCTCGTAATATCTGCATTCTTTATCTCTAGGCTATGATTACCCTACTACTATTAGGCGTCTCTAAGGATTAGGTATCATATCCTGATAAACCTGCCTTACTCCAAATGCTGCTATTATTTAATACCCTTCTTGCTATAATTATCATAACTATAACGTTAATAAATAATAAATAATAAAACTCTTAGAGCATGGTGAACACATTTGCTATAAACCTGCCAGTCTTCTTCCTTGCACCATTAACATATTTATTGTTAACATTAGACTGGTTCACTCTACTTATTAGAACTATTATACCAAGACAATTGTTATTGCTTTGCCGTTGTGGTTCACATTTTGCTTATGACTACTACTTGCTTTGCACCGCTAATGTCTGCACAGGCTGCTGCTTTTGTTTCTATGAGTACAACACAGTTGCAGCACATTGTTTTTCACCATGACTCTGGTTCTGCCTGTTATAAGGAAAAACTTCTTTGCTATTGCTACTTGCTAAATGTAGCTGAGTGTATAAATTGTGTAGTGTATTAGTGTATCAAACTCATTGTGGTTGAATACTGGGTCTCTGTAAATATAAATATAAAAATTATGATCTAGACTTGAGCTTTTTATAAATATCCTGTAATTACATTGTTACGCTCTTGTGAATTGAAGCTGGTGATACAACAGCACACAATATCTGACAAATACATAACATGAGGGCTGCACGATTTTAGCCAAAAATAAAATCCCGACTTTTTTCTCGGAAAACTTGATTTTAGATTTCAATTTTTTTATTTAGCGACAACTTAACCAAACTTCACTTTACAAAAACTTTTACTATCATCTCTCAAAATGAAACCACTGAAAACGATGTAGTGCATATGCCAAGCCAGTAAGTGGCGCTGTATCACTGCACAGGAAATGCACAGAGGACAGAAGAAGAGTACCGAGCATGCAAATCAACCTTTATATCAACAACAGCTTAACACATTCATGCCATTACACATACTCAAAAACCTTCAAACTCGCCAAAACAAACAATGTTCATAACAACAAGCCAAACTCATCAAAAGAACACTATAAAAACAGCTGAACACAAGGGTTAACTAATTCAACACATACGTGCCATTACACATGCTCAAAAACCTTGATATGTGTTAAGCATTGTTTTGCCATACATGCGCAGGCTCCAAGAGTTACACTGTGTGTCACATCATTGTTTTGGAGAGATGCAGATAGACATCCAAATGGAGATGAAATGGTAGTCGTTTACGGATTTCTGCACTCTCATATTCATTTTCGAAAAGTAACGTTTACAGTCACCCAAAACACCATTTCTGTGTGCATGAAACGACAATATGTCAAAAACTTTTGCGTTTACTCCTGAATTCTTTTAAGGCCGGGACATGTGAGTGGGTTGATACCACTTTCAGACAGACTTTGTCGTGGGGAGTGCTTTACATTCGAAACTGGGAAGTCGTGTCAATTCCACATGACTGACTTTCTCTTGCCCTATTTAGCCACGAAAGAATCGCCTGCTTTTGCAAACGCCATGTTTTTTTACACTGGTGCATGTGGGAACTGGGGAGCCCTCTCGCAGGAAGGGGGAGCCTACGGTGGTCTGGAGGCGCGAGACTCGATAGAGAGAAGAGTTCATTTACAATTTTAATTTTTCTAGCACAGTCATAATCAAATAATCTGAATATGATTCAAAATCAATTAATCGTGCAGCCCTACATCATATTAACCTCATGCTCAGACCCCTCAAACTGCAAAGAAAAGCCAGGAAAGTCCAGCTCTGACATGAGTAGGATTTACACAGCATCAAATTAAAACTAAAGACTTACCTGGGCAGCTTTTTCATCCGATGTGCTGGTGGCCTCTGTGGTATCTTTGACAAAGTAGTTGTCAATAATGTCGATCTGCTTGTATTCTTTGTGGCACACAAAACAGCGCATGACGTTAACTAGAGATGAGAGACACAGACAATAAGAGGACACAGGGGTTAAATGACATCAAAAGGTCAAACACTGGACTCAAAGTTCAATGCTTATTGTTGTAGGATAGATGCCGGAACTTAGAGAAATGGAAGTGAGCCCAAACAAGCAATCCAATTTGGGACAACCTCATATGTAAGCTTTTACCTGACTCCTGGGGAGCCCCTTTAGCTCTGGGCTATGAATATTCCTTCTTTAAACAAAAGAGGATTAATGGCAGGCTTTCAACAGACTCCCTTTGCTTATTTCCATAATTTCCTTTAGGAAAAATCCTGTTGTTATTAAAATTCTTGGCGCTGTGGATACCCACTATCTATTCATGGGAGGTAATTGATTTAGCGCTTGTCTCCAGAAGATTCAATCTCGTCATCCTTGGCATTTTCATTATAGTATTAAATCACATGGCCAAATAATGAGGAATGTTTCACTTAATCACTTTAGTTGGCTCCGTTAATAAAATTGGTTGAATAACTCCTATAATCACACGTCCCAACAAATAATTAGTTCAGCGTATTAACTCGGCTTCCTATTTCCTAAAATTATACATGAGATTTAACTTCACAGAAATATTTTAAATTGAGTCAGCATAATCTATTGCTCCTCCCCCCCCCCCCCCATAAACCCATAAATCCCCCCATCACCAGCCAGCTGAGGTAAAAACCGGAATGAGCCGGTTTGAGCCAGTCTACACTGGCTTGAGCAGCACACAGCCTGTTTGTGTAAGCTCCAGCTGCATGGGTCCCTGAGTGATTGGTGGTGAGAGCAGCTGGATGGGGATAGTGTTGGGGAACCCACACAACTCTATAAGCGCGCACGCACACACACACACACACACACACACACACACACACACACACACACACACACACACACACACACACACACACACACACCGTATAAAAGCAAACGCACAGCTGTCACTTTGAACTAGAGCAGCCAATGCTTAGCTGGGCCTTGATGAAAACCCCCTCCCCCACCAACAATAAAAATAACAGAATTACACCTTTATTTGAAAAGTTCATTAACCTTCCACAGGACTTGTTTTTCCCCCCTGTAGTCATAATAATACAATATGAAAAGAAATTAAGGACATAGACTGACCCTAATTACATGTTGGCTTAATGAATTTGGCTCCTGCTTGGCCAAATATTTACCTCTTTTCAGTTTGTTGATACAGTAAAGTTAATGTCTAAAACACAGGTGTGGAAACAGCTGAGACTGAGATCAAGATAACACCAAATCTCCCAGACATGCAGGGAAAGAAGAAATCTTAGAGGACATCACCTATCTAGAGGTGATAGATCAGCCGGCTATCACAAACACACAATTAACATCATAAATTACAACAAGACATGTTCGGAAACTAACACCAACCCTTCAAGAATCCATTTTGACTTTGATGAAGTGATGATTAATGTCCAGCATAAAAGGTTTATTTGTAACACAGATTTTTATACAGGACTTTGAGCTTGCCATCGGGGCCTCTCCGCTTTTATATAACCTGCTGAAGGGAGATGAGGCTCGGAAAATCAGTGGCATCCATTAAATCACTTTTTAAAACTCACTTTTGTAGAGTTGCTTTATGTGATGTTTTCTCTTTATTGCTGCTTATCTGCTCTGACATTTTATTTCCAATTTCCCTTCGTTCTTTTTTTAAGGCTTTTATTTATTTCCTTTATTTGTTTTTTAATGCGTTTTTTATTGCTTTGGTATCTCTCTACTTAGTTTTTTGTCTTTTGCTTTGTTTAATAGCTTTTTTCCTAAATTTCTCTGTTTCCTCTCTAATGCATCTTTATGTTTTTACTTCTCTGCTCTTTTTATGACAAATATCTTTGAAGTGTTTTGCTTTGTCAGCCATATTGTTGAGGTTCTTTTTCTTATCGACTTTCTTCAGTCTTGCTTTTAAAGGTGATGTTAAAGGTTGTTACCATTATTACTATTTTCACACAACATTTTATGACAAAGCAATGTGAATGCAATCAGACTAAAGAAGGATTTTTATGTAGTCAGTTAGTTTTGGGCAGGTTAACTGACCTTTAACCTTTGTGAATGACATGAAGAATCCTTCAGATACACCTGACACTGTCAGGTGTATCAACCAGAGTAACCTGTCAGGCTGACAGGTTACTCTGGTTACTTCAAGATTCCAGACACTTAGCGTTACAGGTTTTCACCAAGACCTGTTTTACGAGGTGAGCTTAATAAACTTTTTTTTTTTTTTTTTTGGTTGTCTGGCTTCGCCAATCCTGATACGGAAGATCTCACACCAAGCAGGTTATCAACCTGATAAGTTGATCCAGAGTTATTTTGAACACATTCACATAACCAGGGGTGTAAACGACATATGGTCGATCACTGACTCAAACAGTCAGCCATCAGCAGATCATTTTATTTTAGAAACTCAGAGCAAACTACGCAACTGAAGAATTATGAATTTTAACTTCAGTGATTACAGCTGCATTTGGAAAATAAAAGAACTGACAGATAAGGAAAAACAGGTGAACATGAATACACACATTCAAACTAGGGCTGGGCAATAAAATGATATATATCAAAAATTAATTTCCCTCAAGATAAATATAAAACATGGTCAATATGCTTTTTGATAGTCAGCATTCTGCCATGTTTTGGTAGACTATACGAATTGTCAATGAAAAGGGAAGTTGCTCCGGGTTGCGCTGCGCTGAACCAATCATGTGCTTAATTAGAACCAAGTAGCAAAAAACTACATAGTAACATGCTGCAGCTACATGCAACCATAGCACTTTAACAAGTGAAGCCGACAGCACTGTTGGTGAGAGAAAAAGAAAATGAGTGCAACCTAAAGCAGAAATGCAGATGAAGACTCAACAGATGACGACATTGTTGACAACACTGGCATGAAAACGTTGATGGTGTGGAGGTATTTTGTTTTTTTGAGGTCAGACATGAAGTAGAGCAGTTAGCACTGCAAATTAAGTCAAGTACATGTTGAATTTCATTTAAGAGTAATAGGGAACATTAAAGATTGACAAGTGATTTGTTTTTTTTATCATGATACATACTGATATCAACTGATATGAAATAAATATATTGTGATAAACTTTTTCCCTTATCATCCAACCCTAGGCTCTGGTGTTTAAAATAATACAAATAAAATAATAATTCCTCATCTGCACACAATCATCTCAGAAGTCTATAGTCAGACAAACTATTGGTCAGAGTTTCCTACGTACTGCTTTCTTTTCCAAAACATAATCTGCCCTGGAGCAGATTGGGCATTCAGTATGGTTGTCAAGGTGATCATCCCAATAAGATGTAAACCACCTTCATAGTACTGAGCAATCTGAGCTAACCCTGAAGTCCCCCCAGGTCCTTCCAGGCAGTACAACCCCATCCTAGCTGTAAAGGAACATATAACAAACCTGGTGCAGAATTAGAGGATATAGATATGAACTAGTCAGTAGCAAAGGAAGAAAACAGTGGAGCCCATCTTCAATATCTCCTCTTTCTATGCCCACACCGTTTCATCAACAATCTCTCAGAATTACAGCTTTGGGGCAAACCACAAATTTTAATGACTAATCATAAGCCTATTTCTCTCTGAGCAAATAGAGCGCAGGGATTATTAGGATCAGTCAGTACACTCGCTGTGTCCTGACCAAAGCAAGGTGAGATAATTTATAATCCGCAGTGGTCAAAGCTAAAAATCCTGTTACCAATAAATGTTTAGCAGAGTTGAACTTCAAGAGGTCAAAGTGGTGATATAATATTTTTGTGACACAAACCCACAACCCACATCCTGAGCCCAGGTAGGGCTGAGTCTCACTGCATCTGTGGCTTCAAATTAAAAATGAAAGGTCTGAGAATGATGATGAAAAATCTTTCTAAAACAGAACATACTCCTGTTTTTCCTCACACGCAATCCTTTGTGATGACATGAGATCTGTACATACAATTCAGATCATGTGACACTGAGTCTCTCCTGAAACCAATACTAATGTAATTCCTGAAAACTACATTAAGACCATGTGATTAAAAAAAAAAAACTCCTCTGGGACAATGACTAATAAAGTTACACTCCACACGCTCGCAGGTATCGCACGGAGGTAAAACCCCTCGCTCAAACCAAGAGAAGGAGTAATATGAGAAGCAATCATGAGACACATGTAACAGTCCCTGCATTGAACATGAAATCTGATACTTCATTTGTGTAGACAGCCCAGTGCTTAGGTCTGTTTTTCACTTACTGAAGTTGTGTTTTATGGATGTAAACTGTAAAAAAAGTGATTGTTGTGACAAACAAAAACTAGACACCTGTCAGTATGGTGTCAGCACAGACACTATACTAAAACATCAACCACTGGCAGCAAAGACTCAGCAAAAACTATGTGGAGATTTACATAGATTAATCAGTAAAAGTGAAAAAAATAGAGTCCAGCCACTGCACTGTCACTCAATCCTACCAGCAGATGGGGGGCTAAGAGGGACACCGGAATCAGCATATATTTAATTCAAAGTAAACAGATTTGAGGAGTTTCTTTGCAGAACTATTACTGCATAAATCATAACTTGGGAGATTCAGAAATAATATCATGACACAGTTAATTGGGCAGGACCTGCTGTTACTGTCCACAATACTGTGTGGACAGTCTGCAGTCTAGCAGATCATTTTAGCAGAGCAGATGGTGGTATAGAATGGAAGTGGCTGAAATTTGTAATATGTCACATATTTCTGTAACAGTTTTAGAGTTGTTAAAGAGGCTTTCCAGCTCTAAGACTCACTTTAAGGACAGAGCATTCCCTCTTGACCCAGTCTATTTTCACTTTAGAGAAGTCAAAACAAAACTCGAACCTTAGTTTTGCTTCCAGGAAGACACTTTTAGTTCATCAGCTGATCTTTTGTTATTTGACTTAAGGGACCTTTGCCAGGTTTCTGATGAGATTTCTAAAAGATCCTTAATGTCATGAAGTCCACTAAGCAGACTGGGATGGGGTGCATGCATCCTACAGAAGTCATAAGGGAGTAAACATAGTGACTGGACTAAGAAAAGATTCCGGCTCTGTAACTCTTGATAAGATTGTTTTTTTTAAATTGTTGAAACCATGGAAAGAAAATGTTAGAATTGTGCTCACTTTTATGACTTCTGATCAAAATATCAAATGATTAAGGCAAAGCAATGATATCTGGGTGTGTATATCGGATCATTGATATTAAAATTATGCATCAGGAGAGTATATATCCAAATCTAAATTGTAACTACAGACAGACCAATCAATCCGTTGGGCTGAGGCTGTCTTTTCCCATGTCGCGTAATTAAGCTAATTAAGGCATTCATTCTATAATAATCGGTGTCAGCCTATTGCCAGCACTCACAAGCCTTATTGAAAAAGAAAAGCCTGCAGACACTGCAGGCAGCCTTATCAGTGTGGCTGGTGTCCAACAGTGTAAATGATGACAGATCTCTTATCTCTATGCTGGATGACAGTGTAACAAATCCCTTCCTGGCTCATTGTTGGCATTATCCAGGGAAAAATGATATAATGCTGCTTCTTCCATAAAAATCATGTTCTGAGATCTGAAGCATCACTAATGTATTTCTTTCATTTATGAATTAATCAAAATGCATCTAAAATGTTTCAGCTAAGATAACCCTCGATTTCAGATTGTGATAATGGAAAACCATCAGTGTAATATATTAGCCATCCAGGCCAATGTGTTTCTATTTCAAGTAAATATATATATATATTATAATATATATATAGATATAAATATATATATCACATTATTTCTTATGAATCTACTATTTAGATTTTGCTCTTTAAAGCATTCAGACAAACACTTACTGTTTCAGTCTTCCCTTGCCAGTTAGCACCAAATATGCTGCGGTCTTTTATCACTTTCACTTGTTTGGAAATTTGTTATCACTCGTGCGTTTGCCTTTTCATAAAGAAACCCCAAGCAGACATGAAAACACACATTTCAGTTACTCTGTTTTCCTGAGATATGAACTCCTTTCTGGTTGTTTTTGAATTAAAAGGTGCAGTGCATAAAATTGGATTATTTAGCTATACCTAGAGGTCACATTCTGGACTGAAATGATTCATTGTTGGTGAAGCTCTAAAAGCAAACGTCTGGTCCTTCATTTGTCAAGTTTATAAGAAACAAAAACAAACAAGTACAGATTCTTTTGCGCACAGCAACAACCTCTCATCTTTCTCATCCTCCAGCTGGTACATTTCGGTGGCCACCCCCTAAATCAAGACCATTCTATGTTACTCGTTTGTCCGTTCTGTGCTGTATAAAATTATGGCGATGTTGGATAGCAGCATCTGTGGATGGGGAACTTCTCCTTCTGTGTATGTAACAGACTTGTTTGACAAGAAAAAGGTTTATATTCAAATGATGATGTACAAATATAAACAATCTTTTGAATTTTCTATTCTATTTTTATCATCCGTTCCACTGAATGCCAGCACATACAACCCACTGCACCCCTGACCGTTTCATTATCTCAAGATAACCATGATGGATTTACAGTGTAAGCCAATTTCAGTCGTTTTCTCAAGTTCTAAATAATTTTTTTTCATTAACTCTGGATAACAAAGTTGGTTTTCCCATGACAATAGAAACTCCTCATTGTGAGAAAACAAGCTTTGTTAACTTAAAAAAAGATCAGGCGTAGGAAAACCAGCTTTATAGTCTAATGATAAATTGGACAGTACTGCATTTGTCACTAGTGTTTTAAATGTTGCTAATATGTAATTTTGACTGCTATTACCATGCAGGAGTTTGTTTCAGTTATGTAGTAGTTATTGTTTAAGAGAAGAGACTTGATAACGAAGATAATATTCATAAGTAAATATGAATTTGTAATAAGTTCACTTTCCTTTATACAGCAGCCTTGGGTCCTTTGAAGGACATAATAAAAAATTCAATTTATTTTGTGACTGCACTATTGTTCTTCTTTTAATAACATCACTGGACATAAAAAATTACTCAGAATGAGCTTTCTGTGTAGACATGAGAGCAAATCCTCTTCCACAGAGACTGTCATTTTGCACAGCCATGTTTCTACTACAGCACAGAACAAACTGGTACTACATGTGTTTACAGTGAGGTGCTACCAAAAAGCACCTGTTGGAAGATGAAAGCAATGTGATTTTTCTGCTACAAGATCATTTGTATTGACAGAAAAGGATGGTAAAACTTAACACATGGAAGTTAATACTGATCATGCATCAGAGAAGCTTTTTTTTCCCCTGAAGGCCACCATCACTTCACTAACAGGAGGGGTGAGCAAGGGAGCATTTCAATCTGAAATCTGACTACTAGATATTACATAATACTCACATTACTACACACTATGCCTGTAAGTACTTTCTTTTTAGTCTGTGAAAATTTTACTAAAAAAGATTCATATGATGTCCTTGTGTTTTTTTAAGTACATATACACACACTCTTATGTGTGACCTGAACATATAGTGGATGTGATTAATTGAGACATTCACATGTGTGTGTGCATAATGTGTGTCACCCCAACACAGGTGCCCTGATTGGGGCACCCTAGTGAAAACAACCTCATATCACACCCCGTACGGTGTATTTCATGTAAGGAGACACTCGCCACATTACACTATCCAAAGGTCTAGATATAAAAATCATTCCAGTACTGTCAGGCAGCTATACGGGTGTCACTGAGCCTGTTGTCATCAAATCAAACTTTAATTTATTGTTCTTCTCACCTGCCCACCGCCCTCACAACATCTCGTCTTGACTAACACCTCCTCACAGAACAGATGGCCGTGCACAGGTAACGTTAGACCGAAGTACGGTTGACGCTTCGTGCTCGCCAAACACTCACCTATGTGTGTTTCAGGTTGCCCGTGTGGTCCAGGCACTGGCAGGCTTATCTGTCTATTTGGTTGCGGGATACATTTGAGGCAAAAAGAATGCAGACAAGGCAGAAGTTTTGGTTCACAGTCCCGGCTCTGTAGACTTTGTTTACACTTTGCGCACGTATCCAGTAAATTAATGGGAGCTGGTACCGGTGTGGCCGCTGGTGCCGTAGGAGGGGGGGACATTTCGGTTGTGAGTCCACCAGTTGGAGCATCTCCGGCGGTAACGCTTTCAGAAGCCGCTGGTTCTGCATTGGCGGTGCTGTTTTCAGACGGGCTCTCGGCGTTGCTAGCGCTACCATTCGCTTCCCCTCCCGCGCCAGCAGCCCCGCCGTCGCTAGCGTTCCCTCCGTCGCTGGTGGGTGTAGGTGCCTCTGTAGCGTGATCGTGGGTCTCTGTTTCTTCGCCGCCCTTTGAATTTGCCTCATTAATTGTTACCGCATCGTCGCCTGTCGTCTCTGGCAGCTCAGTCTCTGGCGCTGAAGGCACTGAGTCCGAATTAACGGACGGTTCCATATCCTCCTCGCCTTTGTTATCCGCCATCTTCCTTCCTCTTTGAACCGCTGCACGTCCTGCGTAACTTCTCGAACCAGGAGTACGCACTGTTACGTCATGACGTCGACCAGGGCCTGACATTGTTTGTTTGCTGATTTGCTTGTTTACTTCAATAATAATGAGCCATCTGTGATTTAGGAAGAACACTGGCCTGTACACTTTCAGGCTATCTTTAATTTATTCTACATTTATGATCACATGGACGCAATTTGGTTTTATTAAAAAAATTAGATGACTACTAAAAGGATAGATTTAATCAAAACAGCCACTGTCTTTTCATTCGTGGGTAGTTAATTAAAATTGTAGGTGTCACAGAGTTTAGGTATTATTTGCATTTATTTTTACTGAGTGTCCGAAAAAAATGTAATTTTGTGCTCACAAAATAATTAACTTGTTTCCACAAGATTGTAATTGAAGAGCACATGATAAAAAAAAACTTGCTCCCACAAGATGATTGGACACACAAAATATTTATCTTACAGGTATATATTCACTATCTTGTGCCTACAAGTTACTATCCTGTGAGAAAAAGACTACTCAATTGCATTCAGTGTAATTATCTTGTTGAAACAATTCAATGGTCTTGTGTGACTGAGTTAATTTGTTGTGCAAATAAATAAATAAATAAAATTAAATAAGACCAAGATCTTCTTTTGCCCACTATATAAGGAGTTTAAATGTATTACTTCTTGGTATTTTAATTGCACTATTTATTTTAGATTTACCAAATATTATAATATGATATATGATATGATCTAATCTTATATAATATAATATAATATACTGTAATATAATATAATATAATATAATATATGAGAGAAGAAATGTGCGAGTAACTAGCATGGCTTACTTTCATCTTGGCTCTATTTTATTTATTTATTTATTTTTATATCCCAAATTACGTTGCATGGTATTGATTTACTCAGCATAATTTGATATTTGTATGTTACCTCATAACAAATTTAATTTGATTCAAAAGTATAAAACATTTTCTGAATTGAATATATTTGTAAATAAAGTTAACAGCTCTATAGTTTATATAGTGAGGAGAGTTTTTGAAGTTGTGATTACATTAGTAACAGACACAAAGTGAAAACCTATAACAGCTGGAGCCTTTTCAACAGACTGCTGACAGTGAAAAAAGCTGTGCAACAAACCTGAACAACATGAATTAGCTGATTGGTTGAGAAAGAGAGCTTGGGTGAATGATGGCCTTGTCCTAAATGGTACCCTGGTGTTCTTGTTGTATGCTGAGTCTGCAATTTTAGCAGTGATGTCAACAATAGTGTGGTGAGACCCATGAGTCCTCAGAGATGAATGGGTTGTTGTGAATCTAGTAATCCACTTTTTCAAATATCTTGGGATCCCCCCACCTCCCACACCCTGGTCTTCTCACATCAAACTGATGTATCTTTTTGGTACATCTCTGATAGGTGCCTCTTTAAGGGTGACTGCAGTTATAAAGGGGCAGAAAGTGAGTGATTTTGTTTTTTTACAAGAGTGTATGGACAAGAGGCCTCTTAAAGAACAAGGACATGGTACTTGTGAATCATTCTTGCATTACGTTAGCAGACCTTTAAACCTGGTTTATGTTTTCAAAAGTGCCTGTTTGATGAGTCTCAAAGCTGTCCTCAATGCAAACTGAAATATAAACAACTTTAACAGCTGTAAGGTACCTATTATTGTGTATTTGCTTTACAGCTGCGTCTTTACCTGTAGAATTAAACCAAACTAACATGGACAAACTTTTCAAGGATCTAATATCATGGTCCAAAAAGAAGCACTTTATGATATGTAAGATGTATATGTTATGCATATGTTAAATATGCAGTAAAATGTTTTATTTATTCTTGTTTCCTCAGAATAATTAATTTTTGGTTGCTTTCAAGTGGGGATAACTTATTTTTCATGTTTACTCAGGACAGCTGGTTTACCGTTGGATAATTAAGTCGTGATTCAGAAAGCAAAACCATAAGCTTGTCATTTTGGTCAACAGATGGGACAACAGCATGGCATCAACTTCACATCTGTCCTTATCTTTGACTGTGTACAAAGATACAATTAGTAGTAATGAAATCATGATTGCTTATCGGTAAACATAGTTTTACAGCCGATAGTATGATCCTCCTTGTCCTTGCAGATCAGCCTGATCAAACCGCAGTTACACTCCACTCCACTTGATGTCGCCAAACATAATCTCACGATTAGTTTTGGTTTTATTTTGAAATTCATGACCGGAAGTTATTGGTTTGGTTAGCGTTCAAGCTCCTTTGGCCGGGAGAGACAAGATATAAATCCATTTTCCTTTTATTAACCGAGTATAAAATGGCCGGAACGGCGTCGGTCGCTGGAGAAGTGTTTGTAGATGCTCTGCCGTATTTTGACCAAGGTTATGACGCTGCAGGTGTCCGAGAAGCGGTGAGTCGGTTTGTTTTAATTGACTTGGTCTGCTAACCTTAGCATGCTAGCTAACCATGTGTAAACTTGGACGCAAACTCGCATTTTAATTACATATTAAAGATACTCCGAGAAAATATATATCCTCTGTTTGACAAGAACGAATGAAATTGTTGAAACAGACATGCTTGTAACGTCTACTTTACAGAAGATCTCCTAATATCAGCTGTTTTGGATAAGTAAACAATGTTTGATCATGGTTTAACAAGGAAGAGGGGAACGATTGATACCAGAAACTTCAGATTCAGATTTCTTTATTGTCACGATACAAGTACAGCGAAAAATAAGCAGTCCTACCCGGTGCAAAATACAGCTATATTAAGTAGACAATAAAAATATCATATCAAAAATAGACATAAAAAGAAATACTACACAGCTATACAACCTCTGCCATCTGACCTGAAAAATAAATTATATATATATATATATATATATATATATATATATATATATATATATATATATATATCAGAAACGTAAACAATTTTTTAGACAAGGTTATTTAAAATATCATATTCTTCCATTAGATATGAATATTAATTGGTATCAAAAACTGACATTTATTTCTCAAATGATCTCTCTTTGGCTAGATTTAAGTGTAGCAGTCACTAATACAACCCTAATTAAGAGATTACAGTACACCAGCTGTCTTTTGCTCGTGACCCAGTTCATCACTAATGGAAATCTGTGCATGATGTTTGAGACCCACACCCATAAATACATACATCCTAAGTGTAGAGTTCTCTCAAAGGTCAGAAATATTGAAATCCATCCTATTCACCCCGGCTGCTTCTTGTGTGAGGAAAGTGGTGAACTTGTCAAACCCTCTAGACCAGTGGTTCTCAAGTCCAGTCCTTGAGGCCCACTCTCCTGCATGTTTTGGATGTTTCCCTGCACCAACACACCTGATTCAAATGATCAGCTCGTTATCAAGCTCTGTAATGGCTTAATAACGAGCTAATCATTTGAATCAGGTGTGTTGGAGCAGGGAAACATCCAAAACATGCAGGACAGTAGGCCTCAAGGACTGGACTTGAGAACCACTGGTCTAGAGTTAAGAAAAATCTTTTTATCATTTAAACATCCAAAGAAAATGTATCCAGTAATTTATCCAAATCTATTAGTTATGCGTGTATATGATATCTATAACATGGTATTGATGAAAATCTCTGGCTAGATCAACATGATCACGAGTGATAGGTTTTTCGCAAAGATGAGAACTTACAGTGTCAGTTACAGTGAACTGTGAGGAGGTGACACCTGCCCCAGGTGTTTTTATGATTTGGTGACATTGTTTTCTTTGTTGAAATGTATTCAAGTCTTTATACTACACTCAAATGTCAAGTTGCGAGGGATGATATTTTTCGCATATTTTGAACTCATATGAGTATGGACACAGCTTGAATTGGGGTGCACTCGCGAACAAATCCTGTAGTTAATTTAAAAAAAAAAAAACTGAAATTGATGCCTTTGTTTTCTCTTAATCCTCAAAGAGTGTGCACATTAATTAAGACTGAGTTATGTTTAATGTAGCTTAATAAAAGGTCAGAAATTAAAATGACTTGATTCACATTTAATAGTTTTTAGAAAAACTGTCTCATCATGACAAGATAAGTATCTACTTATTATGATTAGGGTATATCTCATTATGGAACGAAATGAAATGTTCTTTCATTCATTAATTAGCTTTGTGTAAGTGAGCCAGTTTGTACATTTCAGCTTGTCACTTTGTCCTTTTTCCCTCTTAAAGACGAGCTGTTCGTTTAGAGGTTAATGACTTGGCTCCCACTGACTTCTTCAATAGACGTCTTTAAGCAGCGTCGTGAAATATGCTCAATCTACGCTGGAGTCACAAAAGAGTTTTGGGGCTTTGAGATATTAGTGTCATTTGGAGGAAGAGGGTGCGCAGTTATTCAAGTCACTTTTTTTTTGCCCCCGTTGGACTTAAATACCTTTCTGTATGCTGTAAGAAATTATAATTAGGAAGCAGAAAAAGATAAACGTATGGCTTTAGTGGTAAAATATTACCTGGTATGGTCTCTTTAATAGACACTTTGCCAGGACAAGTGGATTGTAAAAGGTTGCATTCTGAAAAATGTGAATTTATGAATAACAAATGATTTACAATACAACTCTTTGTACAAATAAAGCTAAAGTTGTAGAATGCTTAAAATGAGGGGGAGAAGTTTGCATTTTAAAAAAGTGCCTTTTTAACTTTTGGCTCACTCAATAGTCTAATTGCTCAGTCTGTCACTGACTATTTTATTGTAATGATGTTGGTTGGACTCAGTCAGTGTGACACCATGGTTCTTGAAAACGTGAACACATCTTTTTATGGATTTTACGAATTTGAATCAAACACAAGAAAGTGCTAAATTCAAGAATGTGAAAAATACCAAAAACTGAAAAAGGTAAAATCCTGGCACTTGCAGTGTTTATGCTGCTCATCAAGTGTGTCTTTTGATCTTTTGTTTTTCAGGCTGCTGCACTGGTGGAGGAAGAGACGAGAAGATATCGACCAACCAAGAACTACCTGAGCTACCTGCCCACACCGGACTTCTCTGCTTTTGAGGTAACAGACCCCTAAGACTTCAGAAAACTCTACTGCTTTACACAATGACAGAAATAACAGCATTTCTTATATTTTGTCACTCTCTAGACTGAAATTATGAGGAATGAATTTGAGCGACTGGCAGCTCGGCAACCAATGGATCTCCTGAGCATGAAGAGGTAAACTTAACACACTGCGGAGGACTGCCTTCATACTGTATGACTCTCCATGTGTCTTTAGAGGCACCAAGTACATTCATAGCTGATTCCAGTCCTGCACAGCTGTTGCTAAATCAAAATGCTGTTGTTGTTTCTTGCTGCCTTCTCCTCTTAGTGACCAATGATGTTGATTATTTCCTCTGATTGTTGTTTTTCTGAACAGATATGAGCTGCCAGCACCATCAGCGGGACAGAAGAACGACATCACAGCATGGCAGGAGTGTGTGAATAACTCCATGGCACAGTTAGAGCACCAGGCGGTTCGCATCGAAAACCTGGAGCTCATGTCGCAATACGGGACCAATGCTTGGAAATTCTACAATGAGTATGTGACAGAAGCCCGTCTCTCACAGTCACACATGGCTGTATAATCATGACTGCTAACATGTTAATTCTGCTTCCCTCTTCAGTAACTTGGCCTTAATGATCGAGTTGGCTCAAAAGGAACTGCAGAAATTCAGGTGACCATTCCTAGAAAATGTGTGAATGAGTTATTCAAACAGTTTTCAACCAAATGTTAACTTTGTTTTTTTCTTTTGGTTCACAGGAAGCAAATTCAAGATTTAAACTGGCAGCGCAAGAACGATCAACTGGCAGGAGGAGCCAAACTGCGAGAGCTGGAGTCCAAGTATGTTCTCTGCAGAGCTTGTTTGTTTTCTGCTCATGGGTTAGATTTTCTCCTCAAACATCTGTGTCTTTCCTTCTACAGCTGGGTGTCCCTCGTCAGTAAGAACTATGAGATTGAGCGAGCCATCGTCCAGCTGGAGAACGAAATAACAACGCTGAGACAGCAGCAGGGAGACGAGAACAAGGAGAACATAAGACAGGACTTCTAGGGCAGCTGCTGCCTGATGGACTCTATATCACACAGATGTCTTTCTGTTTGGTTGGTCTAACTGGATAAAGACACGACCTGAGGGGAGATCGTTACCTGGAGATTGTTTTGTTGAACTCCAAGGAGAAACCTTTTCAGAAACACCAGTGACAACATACATCTTATCAGACTTTACAGCTGTTATTCGACCGTGAAAGACAAGTTGAAATATGACATAAAGCATCTGTAAAATTTTACAGCACAGATGTTGGAATTGGGATCATGTGTGGTTTGCATCAAGATACAGCTTTTTACAGATGACAGCTGAATTTGTTTGCAATTAAACATCAGTCCACCATGACCAGTAGCTCTAAAAGGATAAAGCCAACTTTTGATCACAACTATCAAACATTTTGTACACAACAGTTCAGTGTCATTTTGTCTGCAGATAAATATCCTCTAGTTTTTACTGTTGGAATTGGTGCATAGGATCCCTCTGTAGACAACACACGTGATGCAAGCTGGCAAAAGTCACATGATTCCACTTGAAGATGTCATTTTGTACCAGTGTGAAGGTTTTCCTCTCAAGGTGTTTGAAGACTAAAATGTAGACAGTTTAGTCTTAGTCCCATTTCGGCCTGTTTTTTATTTGCTGTTTTAGTAAAATAAAACTTTTTATAACAAGTCAATCTGTTTAAAAGATAAGATCATTTCTGTGTCTTTGTTTATAAAGGAGTTATCTCTTGTTTTATCACTCAAAGGGCTTTACATCACATGTTAATTCATACACTGATGGCAGAGGTTGCTATGTAAGACACCCATCAGTATAGACAAATCCTATTCATACACCACTGGCCACAGCCTGGATTTAGTGTCTTGCCTAACGACACTTTAGACAGTGGGACATGGGATCAAACCCCTAACTTAATGAGAGACTCTACCAATAAGCCAAAGTTGCTCCTCATTTCCCACACTGACTTAGAGCCTTTCTGCTTTCCATCATGAATAATGGCTTTGTATCTTATACTTGTGACGCACACTACAAGTGTTTGTTTAATTTAAAGGAATTCAATTTCAACTTGATTTAATTTTTTAAATTAAATTGAAACCCTAAAAATAATCAAAAATAGCGCAGCGCTAACATGTCACATGTTGAAATTGAAAAAAATTAATTGTTTAATGAAATATGCTCATTAACAATTTGATGCCAGGAACATGTTTCAGAGCAGTTGGGTCAGGAGCCAGTTCACCATTGTATCCCTTCTTCTTTTACATCAGTCTGTAAACATTTAGAAACTGAGATTCGTCTCTGAAGTTTTGGAGACAGCGAAATCATTTCCTAATCTTGCCTGGGGGATTTCAGCAGTTCAGGGTCTTTTGTTGTAATTTTTGTTATATGATGCAGCAAATATTTTCTATAGGGGAGTTGAGTCAGGACTGCAGTTGGACCAGTTTCACCCCTGAGCTCTTCAATTTCAGAGCCATGCTATTGTAATATAAGTAGAGTCCATGTAGATTCTCATTCATCCAGGTCATGGTTATCTTGAAGACTTAAAAACAGGCAACTGGACTGTGTAGAGTTGAGAAGACGTTTCGCCTCTTATCCAAGAAGCTTCTTCAGTTCTAAAAAGTTACGTTGCAGGCCTGTCTGAGAAACTCAAGAGGATCTTTGGCAAACACCACATTCCTGTTCATTTCAAGCCTGGTAACACACTAAGGCAGAGGCTAGTCCATCCCAAGGACAAAACACCGAGACATAAACAGAGTAATGTGGTATATGCTGTCCAGTGCAGCGAGGAATGCTCGGACCTGTACATTGGGGAAACTAAACAACCGCTTCACAAGCGCATGGCTCAACACAGGAGAGCCACTTCCTCAGGTCAGGACTCAGCTGTCCACCTTCACTTGAAGGATACAGGTCACTCTTTTGAGGACAGCGATGTACAGGTGTTGGCTCGAGAAGACAGATGGTTTGAAAGAGGAGTTAAAGAAGCCATCTTTACCAGGCTGGAGAAACCTTCTCTGAACAGAGGGGGTGGACTCAGGCACAATCTCTCTGGCACTTACAATGCAGTTCTCAGCTCTCTCCCCAGAAAGCTCCACAAACATTCACACCTGGAACCACATGACTCAGGTGGCATGAGTCATGTGGTCACATGATAGGAGTCGCTAACGACCCTTTCAGGATAACGACTTGGGGGGGACACACCGAGAGATGGGTTTCTACGACCCATTCTTTTCAACTCCTCCCAGTCGTTAACTGTCCCCCTTCGCCAGTAAGATAAATATCTGCTCCTGACACTAGCACTTTTAGAACTGAAGAAGCTTCTTGGATAAGAGGCGAAACGTCTTCTCAACTCTACACAGTCCAGTTGCCTGTTTTTAAGTCTTCAAGATAATATAAGTAGAATGTGGTTTGGGAGTGTTGGCATATTGTTCTACAGTAACAATGCCCACCAACATGTAAGTTATACGTCACCAATGTCATCAGAGATGCAGGATTTTGGTGTGTATGCTGATCCTAAGTTGGGTGGACTTATCCCTCTTTAGAGCAGAGGATGCAGCAATTATGATTTCCAAACAACGTGTCAAATTTTGAGTCTTGAAACCACAGAGAGACATAAGAAGACCATGTTAACATAAAGTTACCTTTTTGCATAGTACATTTTTAACCTTGATTTGTGGATGCAATAATGTGCTCACAGACAATGGTTTTTCAAAGAAATTTCCAGCCCAGAGTCATGTCTGTTTTTAACGGAGTGGCACCTAAGAGCCCTAAAGATCATGGCTATCCAGCATTTTAGTCGTGTCTTTTTTTTGACAGATTTCCTAGTATTTGCAATTTTACCCTGAGGAATGCGATTCTAAGACTTTTGAACTTTGAGTTTAAATGAAATGCCAACCATCAAAATCTGTGTTTATTTAAATTTTACACAACTCCCAACTGTGTTGGAATTGACCTATCGCTAAGTCCCGCCCCTCGAACGCAGATGAGCCAATGGCAGTTTACTATCAGTGGCACCGGAACTCTGACATCTGTAGCTTTCAGCCCCTTAGAGAAGCATTAGAAGTCGTGATTTTTCATCTGTTTAATGGCTTTAATTTTACTCTACCAAAAAGTAACATGGTTTTGACACCGGCGGCGGCTATTGTAAAGCACTGCTCAGCTCTGGTTGTTTGTTCGAGTTAGCAACAGTAACTAAGGGGGGCGGGGCTTAGCGATGGGTCAGTTGGGTTTGTGGCATTTCATGATGATTTGATGAAGTTTTTTAAAATATAATTTATTTTTATTTATTTATTTTTAAGTTATAGTAACATCACCTCAAAATAACGAGCAACACTTGTCATTAAGTGTCTCTGTTATGGCATCCACCTTATTTTTTTAGCGTCATATTGGCAGAAATACGTTCCCTTAATGAGCAGATTTTACAATGCTGTCCAGCTGTGCTTTTTTAAATGCAACAGTAAATGCTGTACCTAAATGCAACAGTCCTATTCAGTGATAGGACTGCCAAACAACAGTATATTTAGGAAAAATACTAAAAGTGATGTAAGTCTAGTAGACTGGAAGTAGTTCCTGCAGTCAGGCTTTTCATCATTCATCTACCTTAGTTTAATCATTACACATCTGCAATAAAGTGCTAGTCAAGTGTCCGATAATACGTCAACCAATATTAAAACTGGAGAAACATTAAAACACACTTCTAAGATTGTAAAATGTGTCAAATGTTTCTATTTTAACTGACTAATTAAATATCTTCAGTTTCTCTGAGGATCTTTAAGTTTGTCATTTTAGTCCATTTAATAATTCATAACAAATTCCTCATACCAGCTCTCAGCATGATCCTGACACCACTCTTCATTGTAAAAATTCACAATGCTCATGTTCTGATTGCAAGTGTACTTAATGGACAAGAAGATTCTTCTGGAGGGAAGCTGACCAAAGTTAATTTGAACAGGGGATACTGTGCCTATTTTCAGCCTTTATATTTTCCTCATGAGAGCTTTTTTCTTTCTTTTTTTTTCCACTGTAGCTTTTAAGAGTTTATTGCTCCACAAAACCTGGATCCTGGTTTAGTGTCTTTGAAAACCCTCACTTTTAGACTCTCTCTCCAATACTAAATTCCATCTACTATCTCTAAAACAACCCCCTGAACACTCCAGAACCCTCCTCCACTATTGCCATGCTTTCTCGATTTGCAACCATCATGAAATACGAAATATGACTACATGATTTGAACTCCAAACTTGACCTCTTGGAAAAGGGCAAATACTTCCCTGGCAACATAGAACAAGAAATATCACCTCTTTATCTCCGGACAGACCACATTTTGTCATGAGCAATTAAAAGTACCTACATTGCATGCACATGCATGTTTCCAAATCTGGGACTTTCTGCAGGGAACGAGGAACTTTTGGTAGAACTCAGCGCTTTCTATCACTACTACAATTAGGTCTGTATCAGGTTTCAGGGACTTTGTTTGACCCTCCAAAAGTTCTTGCATTGGGGATAAACAGTTCTTAAAGTATAAAATCCTCCAGTTCAGAATAGTTCTGATTGGTTAAGTACCCAGTATTTTATTTTGGCCTTTATTTTTGGGACATGCAGCCCCACTACTGTTTGGCTATTTTCTGTAATCACATCAGTTGAGTGGCACCATAAAACTCTGGACAGATGGTCCAATGAAAAGGTTTAGGCACGATTAAGCCTTCATGCTGGAAGTGAATACTAGCCACCTGTTGTCCAAGCGTTCTAGCTGGTTCAGATGGAAACCGGAGTTATGACTACTGTTTCAGTTATGAATAATTTACAAAGTACCTCATCATTCTGGACAAATGCTCCCATGTTTATTTTGTCCTGAGAAATCATTTTAAAAAAGGACAAGTTGCATGATTCCCTTTTACGTAATAGAATCTCAAACTCTTCTTTAAGTGTACCTGTTGTGTTTGTTTTGTTCAGTTTTTAGATAACAGTTGTTTTTATCAACGAATGGCATAAATGCAATAGGAAACCCACCATGGAAACCCACCAACTCCTCTCAGTGATGTGGATGTAAGGAATTTTTTTAAAAGACAGATTTTAAGAGGTACCTTTCATTTGGTAATCCTGGATGATTTGTGATATATTATTATTTGCTGCACACAAGAACAGGAAATTATAATTTATCATTATGATTTATTGCCACGTTTCATACACAGTGTGCATAACAATTATTCATCTCTCCACTCCACCACTTTGTTCTCTGGTCAGATCAAAAGACCAGAATGACCTGAACATCTGAATGAACACGAACTCAATCTGTGGCAAATCAAAAAGCCCAGCAGCTCGTGAGTATCGGCACGATTATCATGAGAAGCTGGTTGTCCTGCGTAGAAAGGTTTAGGTAGCGTGGTAGGTAGACCAGATGTGAGGAGTTTCTACTTTTACCATCACTAACCAGGGATTGAGCTCAATCAAAACCCCACAAAAACACTAAAAGTCATGCTCTTTCACGCGCTCGTTTATAACTTTCATACACCCCTCTCTTTCTCTCTCCCACACGCACACACACACACACAAGTTTGCAGGCACTGTTTATACCGTTTGCAAAGAAACTATAGGGTTGTCTTTAGGAGAAGTCATCCAATGACTGACTCAATTCTGACTATGTGCAAAACTTTGTGGACAGCGTTAGCCACCGGTAGCAGAAGGTTATTTTGGCCATGCTCCAGTTTATATACTGAGAGTGTTGAGAGCTGGTACTAAAGTAACAGCTTCTGGCAGGTTCTGGTTTTGGTCCTGACCCTCTTTACTCTGGAGGAACTTCTGACGATGCCTTTCCTCTTGCCGCTTCTTCTTTTCTTGCCGCTGCTGCTCTTTCCTCTGCTTGTTCGATACCTGGAAACAACAGAAAGTGAAATTTCAGTCTTTTCACTCCTCGGGTATTTCTCTGCTGCACAGTTTTGTTTCAGGGTGAAACTGCAGCAGTCTGTCCACATTGTGTGATGAAACAACAGTCCTCCAGTGCCTTTATGTGAAACCTAAGAGTATAAACCCCATCCTGGCTCCCTTCCCTGTTTGTTTTCAGATTCATTTAAAGATGCTGCATCCTAACACATCTCTGACCTCTTTAAGGCCTCTTGTAGCCCCTCAGGGTCTTTAAGATCAGCTGATAAGCTGCCTCTTATTGTCCCTAAGGCTGGACTGAACCAGAAATGATCACATCTTGTCAGCCGTAGCCTTTGAATTGTTGAACAAGCTATCTCTAACATTCATATCATCCTCACCTTTTAAAGTATTAAACCATGTCTTTGATTATTTTTCATTCTTGGCTTTCATTCCTTTTAAAGCAGTGTCTTTCCGTGTCGTCTCAATTTCTTAAATACTGTTTTTTTAATGTGTTGCTCAGGCTTACACAAGTTTTTTTAATTTGTCACAGCGCTCTTGTGTCCGTCCACGTTTGTAATGAACTGCTATGTTGCCTCTGCTTTAAAAAGGCTCATACAAGCTGATAACTGCCAACCCTCAAAGAACAAAGCAGAGAAAATAATGAAGATCTATCCAGAGGAGGCTATGTCTGAAATCTTGCGACAGCTTTGCAAAAGCATCTTGCAAAAGTGTTTCATCCAGGTTATGTCGTTCTTTTGATTACAAGTGCAGCAGAACATTAACAACTGTGGTTTGAGCACACACCCTTGAAGAATTTGTTGAAGTTGGTTTAGAAATGAACCTCAAAGACACAGATATAAAGTCAGTACTTAGCTGTTAGCATGGTTCTCTTTCAAGTGAGGGACAGTTTTGCACAACGGGGGCTCTTGTCTCATTCAACAACCCCCCCAGGTACCAAGCTAACCATGAAAAGAGCAATGTGCATCACTCCTCCCACTTTTGCTCCTTGGCTCAGTGAGATGTTATCAGTTATTCAAATGGAAAGACTGCGCCTGTACAAACCCAATGAACAGAATAGATTTGAGAGAATCTGGGGACCCCCTCTGGCCCAGTATCAGACGTGATGCCTGACTCAACTTTTCACATAGTACTTGCTGTACATTACAACTGTAAGTATGTTTTTGTTTTGTTTTTTGCTGTAAGTCTACTCATGTAATTTACAATTGTCTGGTAGCCCTTCTTTCTTTTGTCTTCATTTTATTACCTCCGCCAAGGAGGTTATGTTTTTGGTAGCGTTGGTTTGTTTGTTTGTCTGTGAACAACTTTACGGAGAAAGTTACCCACGGATTGACCTGAAATTTTAACCAGAAGTGCGTCTCAGCCCCAGGAGGATCCTATTACATTTTGGTGGTGATCCGGATCGCCTTCTGGATCCAGGAAATTTTTAAAGGATTCTTTATCATTGTGAGATAGGGCAAATGTTGGAATTTTTGCATTTAACTCTATAAAAATGGCCAGAGTCTTTAGTAAAAAATTACACAAAAGGATCTCAATGAGTTTTATGAGGTGTCAAAGGTTGATCCTGATCCAGACAAAATTCCGGATACTGTGATCCAGAACACACAAAAATAAGGGTGTAGTTGGAATTTTCAATGCTGAAAGATAACCAATGAAGATACAAGGAAGTGTACGCTTACAAATATTGCATAATAAATCATGCATTTATGTATCTAATATGAGCTTTGTTGTTTTAGGAACATTATGAACAGTGAACATACCAGTTTAAACACAAATAAAAGTTAATAAAAGACACGTAACAGTAAAAGTTTTGGTGTGAATCACAATATAAGGGGGGACATGAGCTGCTTGGCGGAGGTCTGCGCTCTCCGAGCGCTTTTCTAATTATTATTATTTTTGTTATCTTTTTTTTCATCTTGTTTGTTTCTTTGTTCTGGTATGTGCTGTACAGTTTTTAAAAGGCAAAAATTGTGAATAAAAGTACAAAAAAAAGAGCGATGTGCAAATTTGTGTGCACTGTTTATTATCCATGTGCAGGATATTTTAATCAGTAGATATGGTTTGGCAATCTGCAGGAAGGGGAATCCCGAAGTGTGTTGATTTGCAAACCATCCACCCAGATATGTTTTAATTTTTTCCTTAACCTGGCACCCAAGAGCTGTGCTTACTTGTAACTGAAAGTTAAAGAGATTTTCATGGCCAGTCTCTCCCTTCCAGTCACTCATAAACCAAGTTTTTACAAAAGCAGCACCTCAGTAACAGCCCTTGTTGTAGCTTCTTGTCTGCTTTAGTATGGTTTAGAAGAGTTTTAGCAGAGCCCTAAGTCTGATGAGTTACTGACCTGAGAAGGCTGGATTTAGTGAATAAGTCTCCAACTTTATGAGGGTCAGGTACAGACACTCTACACAACAAGAATGTCCCTCTGCACTAAGAATTCTCTTCAAATGTCTCACATGTGTGAAAGCCATGGTGGCTGGCTTGTAAAGCTTTTGAAAGATCTTGCAAAAACTTGTCAGGATCTCACAAAAGTCTCTCTGGTTCTCATAAAAGTCTTCTCAGGATAAACCTTGATTTGTTATTTTATTTCTCTTCTCCTAAGATGCTTCGTACACCACTTGAGGCCAGCGAAATAAAATAAAAAAAACTTTTACTCATCCATATAAATTTGAAGCTATGTCGTTGGTTAAAAAGTAAGATACATGTGACAGTGTGTGACGTAAAGGCATTCAAACGTCTGCTAAATGAAAGTGTAACAAACTTTTCAGATGTTCTGTTAGAGCTGACATTGGACTCTGGAAGTTTGTTCTTCATCTACTCATTTCCAAGAGTCCAAACAGTCCCACGCTAAACCCCTGTGTCCTGGACTGATACTTTCTCGGAAGTAGACTGACCGCTATTATGTAACAAAGTTTAAACTCTTCAAGGTTTCACATTTCCATTTAGTGAAATGTAAGAGTGTAGGGATTTGCGCTTTTTTCCCCCCTACAAAGTCATACAGCAAAGGTTAATGTAGCAAACAGAGAAAAAGAAGTACATTTTCTTTGCTTTAAATAGAACAAAAAATGTTGCCTTTCAAATACCTGATAGACTCATGGGCATAGACAGGACCATTTTATGGGGGATCTGGGGGTCCTCCTCCAGAAATGTTCAGTTTAACATGTTTTGATACTTTTTCTTAGCAATCCCCGGAACAAACAAAGAGTTTTTAAATCATAAAACCTCTGAATAAAGAGAGACATCATCTTTTTTGATCACAAAAAAATATTACTCCAGTAACTGTCATAATGTAGATAACCGTGCCTTGTCTAAATGTGTGGAAACATTTATTCTCACAAGAAAATAAATACTGTGAATCACTTAAATGTTGTTTTGAACACTTCAGCTATCATGTGATTCCAGAGTCAAAAGAAGTGACAGACACTGTAATCCAACTTGACTGCCTGGCCAGTAAGTGAGTGTACCTTTGATTTTTGCACATTGCTGCCCTCTGCTGGATGTTTCTGCTCCCTGCAGTCTGCAGCTGCAGCTCTGCAGGCTGCACAGGATCCTGAGTCACACTGGCCCTGGCAGGACTGACCCAGCATGGAGCCAACGAGCCACTCAGCATTGATGGTTGCTGCACTCAGCTGGAGTAAGTTCTCCTCATCCCCTAAAGACGGAAACATGCACATGAACATCTGGATTGGTTATTCAATGTAATGCAATCAGTTCTGTTAATGTCAAGCCAAAGGAGTAACAAACTGCAGGCTGACATATTTGTGGGGATTTTAGCTGAATGGATGAGTCTAAATGTACAACAGTCATGAAGTTTTTCACAAAGTTTTTCACTTTTGACCTTTCAGTCTAATTCCTCCTGCAGCTAATGAGTCAAGAGTAACTTCTGACCCTGGATTCCTCGATTCTTGATGGAGCTCAGGATCACATTGTCCTCCTCTGAGGCTGTGGGAGACGGATTTTTCTGCCTGTCCCTCTGACCGTCACCAAACTCACGCTGTTGGCCTCGTGAGTTCTGCAGATTCTGAAAGAAGAAAAAGAAAGAAAACTTCAGGAATGCATTGGTAGTGGTTACTTCAGAGAATATCTTATAGTTGGTTATAATCGTATAAAAGTGTATAGCTTAATCTACATAACACCCCCTGAACCGGATTTTTTTAAAGTACATTGACAGATAAAGAGAAAGAAATATTCTCAGAAGGGAATAAAACAACAGAGAGAGGAACAGCAGACAAATCTGAGGTTACAATAAAGCTAGAGAAAAAGTATGCAGTAAGGAAAAAATAGAAGGTTGGTTTGAAAAAAAGACGCTGAAAGAGATCAAATAAATTTTTAAACACTTTAACAATACTCAAACCATAAATGTTAAATACTGCCTGATGCACTTCTGACACCAAAAGTACTTAATCTGGGATTTACTGAATGATTTCAGCTGCTGTAAAATGTGAAGTAATTGTTCCCTGATGCTGCTCTATTGATTCCCCATAATACACTGTATACCTGGCAGAAAAAGCAGACATCCAGCCGGTCAAAGAAGTACACTTTAAAAAACATCCACTCAATAACTCCCTTCCTTACAAAAACACAGACAACACAAAACAGACAGCTCCAAAGCACCGGCAATTTTTAACACATTAAGTGCAGGAGACATAGCTTGAAAGCAACATCCAGGCTTCATAACAGAGGGCTGAGTGGAACAGAAGGACCAGGTCTGACATGTTGGGGTGGCTTGTTTTTTAAAATGCATGCTTGGTTGTATGTCATTGTATTGTTGCCTTTTATAACAGAATGAATGTACAGGTGACAGCATGTGTTGAGATATAACTATAGTTCACATATTTAAAATTTCAGTGATGGGGCTTGGCGATACGGCCTCAAATCAATACCACAATACACTGAGCAGTTCACCTCAATAACAATAAATGGATGATAACTACTCCACAAGCTGCTCACCCCCTCCCACATTAACTTCATCTACTTCAGCCACTGTTCTAGCAGCTACAACTTTTGAACCGTCCTCCATCTCCTCACCTGTCTTTCCCTCTTTGTTGCAGACTGGATGGGGTGGAGTCACGTCTCTGACGTAGGACAGTGTCTTAAAGGGACATGAGACCATAGCCTACCTAACACAACTAAAACCAACTTTTATTTATTTATTTTTTTGACACCAAATATACCCATATGGGCAAAATGACGTCGGTTATTGCCGTAAATTTCAGTATCGGTAAATTTTCGGTTTATCGTCCAGCCCTACTTACACTATATCTCTTTTTTTATTCATGCCTTCATTTGGTTGTTGAATGAATGCTAATAAACTCTAATTTACCTCGATACGAAGCTGAGCAGGACTCTCAGAGTTGTCCCCAGTTCGCCTCACACTGTCATAATGATCCCCGTACCGGTAGGCGATGTGCAGCTCTCTGCACACTTGCTTCTCTACACCGTTGATCTGCAAGAAGGTGTGCCAACAGAGAATTAGATTTCATGATAATAGCATCAAAGACTATGTGATAACACTTGAAGGTCTTTGCCTGCGCCTCAGTCCCTACCTCCCACAGTGGTGTGTTGAGCTGATGGATGACCACTTTCACCTGTTGACTTCGAGCAAAAGCAACGATAGCATCATTGCCTGCAAACGTACCAGGCTGTGAGAGGTTGGACACTGGGTAGAGAGAAATAAAACACAGTTTTCACTACTAATCCGCAATCACACAACATCTTAGACTTTGAGCAGTGCATTTAATGCAAGTCAGTGAAGGAATCTAATGATTAACAAGTTCAGAACACATGGTTTAGAGTGAAAGGGGGGTTAATCACATTGTGAATGTATGCTAAACATTACAAGTTTTATTGTGTGATTGTATATCTGTCTGTAAATTGACAGTATGTCCCATGACAAACAATAAATGACATTCCAGCATTAGTTTAGTCACTGCTGGAGGGTCGACCAATCCATTCTGACTCCACAACCACAGGTCCATACTAATGCACACACTGAAGGGAAGTGTGTGGGGAGTGGTAAAGGGGGCAGTTTTGGACAGATTTGAAAAGGTTGCACTTTGTCCATGCAGCAGCAGTGACTAAGGCAAACAAAACTGCTTGCCACTAGAGGTCACTGCACAGTTGTGGTCAAATTAGGAACTTCAGGATTAAAATAATGGCAGAGTCAATTATTACCAAAACAGTCTGCCTGCTATCCGTATCTGATAGTCTTTATTTTTCTACCTGTTAACAGAGAATTACAGACTGGGTCCTTTCCTTACAATGCTGTGCGAAAGGTACATCATCCTCAACAAAGGGTTCGAAGTCTTGGCGATGAGACATCATGTACTGGACAGTCTCCTGCCGAAGACGCAGGTGACCTCGGGAGTGTCCCTCTAATTGGTCGCCTAGAGCTCTAAAGAGGCAGTTCCTGTGGGAAACAAAGACAGTGGCATGTAAGTCTCAATTTTGACATAATGTGAAAGTTTTTCTGCCAAAAAATAATCATAAAAAAATGAAGGGGACACTCAAATCAAATCAGAGACCAGTATTCCACTCATGCTTAAACTGGAGCAGGCATTAGATGGCAACTTTTGAAGTGTTCGCAAATATCAGTGTCTTGCTATTGTTTTAGACTTCAAAACTTGAAAATAGTCTCTCAGTAGGTAAACAGAATTGATAGCTGATGAATTAAAGTTTTCGTTAAGCTGGAGAGACTGAGATATTTTCCCGCTATTTTTCCAAACTTGGAATTCTGTTGCTGGGGTTGTTAGATAAGTTGGGCTAAATTTTAATTTTTTAAAGGTATGGGATGCCAAAGTTTGGCTCCATTTATGTTTTTCCAATAAAAAGCAGCAGCCATAAAGCTGCAAATCGTACTGACTGTGGCCTCCAGGGAGATAGCTTTGCCCCTAAACAGATTATGGCATTAAGTGTCTACAATAATTAGAGCCAAATAATGCAGAGTACTGTAAGACATCTAAATTATTATTTCTTGGTCGTTACCCGTCTCCAGGGACTTCTCTCAGCTTCAGTCCAAGCGCCTGGAGCTGATTGGAGAAACTGACAAACTCCGCCCCCTCATCACAATCCTGAGGTCGGTTCTTGCGGTCCTTCACGATGGCCCGTCTTGCCGCTCGTTCATCCCTCTTCCGTTCTAATTCGCTCTTTTTGTTGCTACGCACAGGTTTTGCCGTCTGTTTCCTCGACATGATGACTGCAGCCTTGTCTGCAGGCCAACAACACCCAAATATTTCTTCTTAAAGTAAAGTGCTGGCACTCACATCAACCACTGTCACTCATCTGGAGTCTATCTCAGAGACACAAAAACAGATGACACAAAGACAAAAATTATAATGAATATTAGTTTTCCATGAAGCTCTTATTTAAAGATTAAAAAATTGTTTTCTATGCAAGCCCCTAGCATACATCCATACATACATGTGAATAACTGTTTTCCTGTGATCATGAGTCATTTTTAGAGATGTAATTATATCAGTCTGACAATATGAAAATATTTTAATAACAAATCCATCGTACAATATTCATAGCAATATCAAAGAAGTGAGAAATGATGCCTTGGAATAAATTCCATTATTTTATAGTTTGGCTTCAGAGTGTTTACCACTCTTCTGAATCTTTCCAGTTCATCGAGAGCCAATGTCCATAAGTCTTTGGTGATGTATTTCGACATCTCTTGAGGTCTGGCAGTGTAAGAGGGATGCAAGGCTGTGATCCCCTTAGAGGTCTTTGGCCAGGCTGGATTTGATCCTTGCAAATACTTATTTGCCAAGTGGCTTCTCGTGTTTCTTATATTCCTCAGCCCTCAGGTGACCACAATTCAACTGTCTGCATATTGTATTTTGTTTGCCTGTCACCTTTTCTCCTCTTTCATATCATGACACAGGAAAACCACTGTGTTAGACTGTGGGCAGAGCTCAAAGGATGATGGGCACCCATTGAGCAATCATTTCAGTGATTCCTCCAGTCTGCTGTCCTGCTGCTGAAACAAAACTACACGTGACTGTGTCAAGTTTCTAACTGCACTATCATAAAAGCAATAATGGCACTACATTCCCAATAACTTTTGGTTGCTGTCCCAAGATCTTTACGTATTTTTCTTGTCAAACTAAAAAGCTGCTGTTTCCATTACAGCAGATTAAATAAACTCATTGTCCTGCTTTTCTATAGATAATGGCAAATAAAACAGCAGGCTTGTCATTGTGCTCTCACATCAGGCACTGTGAGATTTGTCAAAAGCACCTCAAATTAACCTGCTTTAATGAAATTATTGAATAAAATGTACAATCTAAGGATGACTGTCAGCTTGGGGCCTCCATACAAGACACTTCAGCAAATTCAGCAGGAAATCTGACACTCTCCGGCCGAGATCCTTTCACTTCACATGGACAGACACGAGCTTTTAAACCACCAACTATATATTTCCTCTCGTTCTTAAATACAAACATTTAAAGCAGAAATATGGTTTCAAATTAGGCATCATTTTGTAGCTTCATCCAGGATGAGTTTACAAAGTTTTCATCACAGCGTGTTTTAGTGGATGACAGCACGGTAGGATCACAGATAAATAACAGTAGCTCGCTGGTCCTCCGTTACAGTCAAAATATTATTTGACAGTTTGGGGTAAATTTTTATGAGAACGACGCTCATACAGTTCCACCGCGCTTCCCTTTGGCGTTTAAACTTATTCAACGTACCAATATGACAGATTTTATAGGTGGCTCACGGGTTAACGATTTTAAAGTTGACTTCTATCACAGTCACACAAAGTCGTGGCTCTCAATATCTTTTTTAAACCACATTAAAACAAGCGCAGAGTCGCGCCGTCCAGCTAGCTGGCTAGCACCTAGCTAACTAGCATTAAACGACTGAATACTGACGACAGTTACGTAACAAATCACGAACCTCCCGTTTGTGCCATTTAGTACAAGATAACAAACTGTTGATAATGAAACAGCTGATGGATCAATTCGTACCCTTAAAAGATGAGATCGATTTGATACAGCTATGCTCTTTTTTGGCTCAGAAGTTAAATGTAGTGATTGTCCGTTTTTGTTTACAACCGAACTTCCGCATACGTATGTCAACGAACGTCATGACGTACAGAAAAGCTGGGGCGGGCCACAAAGTCGAGCCACTTAAAGGTGCAGTGTGTTAAGCAGGGTTTATGGAGCTGTATGTCGTTCCCTGCTGTTGTGTGTGTTACTTTATTTATATGCTCAGTAATCTACAAATGACTTATTATATTGAATTTCCAAAACTGAATTACCCCAGTTTTGCTTTCCCTGTATTTATTCTTTTTCTTGTGCAATTTTGCAATATTTCATTGCATGAAAATGTATATCCCTACCAAAAAATGTATGTTCTCTATGTTTGTTCTGTTGTTTTTCAAAAAATAAATAAATGAAAATATATATTTTTTTAACAGGCTGCAATGAGTTGTTTTATTTAAAAATAGTTTTGTTTTGTCTTAAAATGAGACTGTCATATCTAAATAGGAGCAGGTCTCCTTCTGTGGAGGCTGCTGTCTTTATGAACAACTATGTTTCTACTGGAACCTTCAAATTCTGTGGTGTTTCTAGGAGAACATATGAACACCCTCCTTTTATGGTATTCACATTATTGCAAGTCAAAACATTCTGTAAGCTTTGAGTTTACAAGCCATGATTTCAGAAATGGTGACACTCTTATTATATCCAGTTTTTGCTGATAGGTAAATTAATACTGTTACATGAAGGGGTTCTTCCTTGTAATTAAGAGAGCGATGGAGAGAGAGGTTGTGCTTCAAAGGAATTCATATTCAGAGACGTTTTTATGGTAAACACTTGAGGGTCATTTTTGTTATGCATCTGTGAGCAATTTGTGAGCAAGGTAAGATTGCAATCTAAAATTTGATCGTTTAATAATGCTAAATGATCCAGCTTCTGATGAAACCTTCATATTATAACAGTAACTCTTTAACTCTTTTTATGATTACAACAGGTACATGCGTAGTCACCCCAACATTTAAACTATCTATCTATCTATCTATCTATCTATCTATCTATCTATCTATCTATCTATCTATCTATCTATCTATCTATCTATCTATCTATCTAGTTGACTGTCCATCTGACTGTGTATATTTCTATCATTTTTACTATCGATGTGATAAATGTATTGAGTCAAAAAAAAGCTCTGAGTCATTTTACATTGCAGACTGTGAGTCAGGACAAGGTAGGAGGCTGAGTTACGTTTTTGAAAGAAATTTTGCTTCTGAAAAATCACTCCACCTTCTGCTCTCCTCAACTCCTAGAAAATCTACTCAACACCAACTCCTGATGACTCCACACAGTTGGTGAAAATAATGTGGGGGTGGAGTGGGCTGGGAAGCAATAAACAGGATGTTTGCTATGTAAAAAGAACAGCAGACACACTGAGACAAAAAAATATAGCCTCAAGACACAAAACTGCATCAGAAAACAGCAGGAAGCAGAAAGACTATTCTATTTCCTTAAACTAGGAAAAAATACAACCCAGCACCAAACCAGCTGGTATTGAAGAACTAGGACATTCATCTGTAGATGTGAGTTGTTGTGTGGTTTTCTATAGACCCCATGAGTGATGGTACTATGTGTGCACAGATGTAATGGCCTAAAGGCCATCCATGCATGTGTGCATGTGCAGCAATCAGCGTCAGGCACCTGAGTGAAACAGAGGAGTAGTCAGCCGAGCGTGGACAACATATCATTCATCGTGTGTGTATGTGTGTGACAGTCCAGCAGCAAACACAAAACTATTAGGGATTGCCATCTGGGCTCGATATCAGATAAAAAAAAAAATGCACAATATGTCAAAACATTTCATTTCAAATGATTTCACAATGTTATTTTCAGGAATAAAATCTGCTGAAAGGCTTTACACACTTAACTGGGTAATATGAATGAACAGCACCGGCACAGTTGGAGATAGTTTTTTTCCAATCTTATCTTATCTTATCCTATCTGTTAGCATGAAACACATCTGCCAGACAGATCTCATTGTTGACAGTATCCAATATAAAGAAATATTAGCTTGGTATATGCAAAAAATGCTGTGTACTGCTAATGTTAAAAATGTGACCCCCAAGATTAATTTGCAAAAAAAAAAGCTGCATAACTTCATGTATAACTTAAAGTTCCTGTGTGGATCTTTTGAAGTTTTAAATTCATATTAATGCCTTTCTACGAGATACAAAATAGACCATATTCAACAACATTCGTGATTTTTATATTGGTATTTTTGATGCCTAAAATTGTAGGTAGAGGGTAGGTGTCAGCCAAGCAGGTAAAGAAACAGCCATGTTTTTGCACCTTCCATATGAAATATTTACAATAAATGTTATATTTCACTGTCAAAAATCAAAATGATGACTTTTTTTGTCAGAAAACGCTTTGTAAGCATGAAGAGGACAAGATAATCAAAGACTGCTTTGTCCACTAGGGGCACTAAATTTGATACAAACCAAAAGTTCCCCTCAGGAGCGTTACGTAGCATGGGTTAATTTCTGCTACTTCCTAACAGTGAATATTGCAGCTATGAGAAAGAAAAAAAAACTTCAAGTACAACTCAAAAAGTTTGGTTGAAAAGCAGAGGGTGACAAACCCTCAATTTATAAACATCATTTTTCAGACTCACTACTTGTTTTACCGTACTAAGAAATCAACATATAAGGATGAGCTCCAGCAAAATAAAAACATGAAAGATTTCCATTTCAAAGCTGTGAGATCTGAAAACATCAACAACAACATGTCACCCTTTGCCGGTGTTTATTCTTTGTTGCTTTTGTGAATGTTTGGCCACATTTACCTTTGATTTCTTAATGTTTGAAATAGTCTTTAAAGCACAATCCATCTGTTTACCACTTTTTAGGCCAACAAATGCCTCTAATTCCACTTTAGGTTTGTAAGCTGTTTTCATGATTCTGATTGTTCATGTTTGGAGTCCTTCTACTAATAAATGTTTACATTACCCCCATTCTCCCTCCTGTGGATTTTAATTAGAGCCTGCTACTCTGGTGCCCAGCTTGGCTGTAACACCAGCAGTGAGCCTGTGGGTGACGACAGCTGGTGTTTCAGAGTCTGTACAAATACAAAAGACCCTTTACAAAGTATATGATGAGCTGGTTATTGATTGTTTTCTCACTTTGTTTCCATTTTAGAATTTGTACAATGTGCATGTAAAGTGATGTATAATTGATAACATTTTATAATAGGGTAAAAATACTTGTTTATTACCATGCTGCTTTTTATTGGTGATAACAAAACATTGATTTATTGCTTATTCTGTATTAGCACATCCCACACCAACTGAAATATTTACCAAGAGTTTTCCTCAATTATTGATTCGTGTAAGAAAGTTAATGTAATCTCATGTAAATATGACAATTATACACCCATAAACACTATAAAACCCTAGATAATTTATGAATTTATTGAACGTGTTATACCAAAATAAACAGAACTTCAACCTCATCAGTCTAATGAGCTTCTTTGAAAGGCAAGTCATTAAAAGCTACAACATCCAGCTTTCAAATGTTTTATATATGGGTAGCTCACCATCATGGACTTGAAGCTGTGGCTGAGATATGACCTGTCATAATGTCTTGACTTTGTTTTGACAGTAGTGACATTCGTCGTTAGCCTCATGTTTAGCTGAAAGTCTTTCTACAAAGTTGGCAATGTTCCAGTGCAGAGCTATGTGCACTGTTTTTATTCATAGACTGTAAAACATGGACATACATAGCCTCAGTAACATCAGCCACTGGTTCCTAAAGCAGAATATTGTAGTCCAGTGATGGTGGTTGCCATAAATGCTGATTTAGCCTGAGATGTGGAGTTGAAGCCGGCCTTTGACCTCCTGACTAACAGCTACAGTGTGCCAACCATAGGCTGTATATAGGATGGACGCCATCTGCCTTCTTGCTTGGTGAAGCCACCCTGAGAACAGCACCCTCTGGTGACTGGCTGCAGTGTAGGTCATAAATCCTGCCTCCTCCAGCAATCCCTATGGAGCTGTGGCCAAACTTTAGAAATTAATTACACAGAATATACATTTCTCTCCCCCCTGCTTGTGATGTTGACATGTAGTTACTGTAAGACTGGTTTGTGCTCAAGTCCTCTTTTTTTCTGTGCAGCTCCATTTTTAAAAGTTATTAGGGGGTTCATGTTTTCTATGATTGACACTTGATACAGCCTATGGGTGTACAAAGATTGCATAGCTCACCCAGGGGATTCGTTGTTTGAGCTGAGCGTCATCACAGCAACTTTCGGTGATTCTTCCACTGAATGTGCGCAATGTTACTGCGCAAGTGGTAGAGTGTGTACAACACTTCTGCGCAATGTTGGTTTCAGGAAGTGGAGAAAAACCCCGGGAATACTGAGAACTTTTCGGCTTTAAATCCATATCCTGGCAGAACCAAGTTGTCAGATAGTATATACAGTCTATGATGCCAGCCTGTTGGCCAAGTCAGCCCAACTCTGAATTATGTCTAATCATGCAAAACCTCAGCCTGTATTTCTTCAAAAGAATCTTGTCTATGGTGGTCTTGTTTGCTTTAAGACATCATTAAAAGGTATCAATAGTAATTTCAGTCTATTTCATAAATGTCTAAAACACTCCTTATTGGAGCTTTACTTAGTTATGAGATATGAAAAGATGATTGACTGACAGCACTGTTGACAGATGGGGGTTCCTGCAGAGTTGTGTTCCAGTTTAGCCGAGTAGAGGAGGAACAGCAGGAGAAATGTAATGAGCACTTACACAAGAACTTAACATAGCTGAAGGTGTCTACTTCAAATCCATACAATAGTCTGGGCTCTTTAGTTGAATGCATACAATGTTACTGCGCAAGTGGTGGATCCAGGAAGTGGAGAAAATCCCAAAGATACAGAGAGCAATTCAGCTTCAAATTCGTATAATGAAGGAAGGCGAAACCAAGTTGTCCATCGTATATACAGTCTATTGTGCCAATAGAGAAATGGTCATTTTACACCAAACTGTTTTGAATACACACATTTTGAACATGGGGTTAAATGTACTCTACTGACCTTTTTGATGCCAGCCTAAATCCAACACTAGAAAAAATGTAGATTTTGCACCCCAGTACTGCATGAATTTTGTAAAGCAGGTGATTACAGGTCGATTTTTCCTAGTCTTGTCTCTCTTTTTACAACAACTCTGAGCCTTCCTGGAGGTTGAGCCTAGCTGTTTGGGAATCACTGACAATAACGACAGCAGCTAGTGAGTGCTGTTGACTGGATGGGAGCTATCCCTGGTGCTGAATCGAATTTTATATCTAGATGTATGCATGCCTCTAAAACAGCTGGTACATGCACACTACTGAATGGTAACTATCCATGGTGCTGAATTCTATAGCGCTGTTCCAGTGATGTCCAAACTTGTTTCTTAAAAAACAGCGGGACAATGGACACATAAACATAGCAGTCAAAAAGGTAAGCCATTCACATTTAACATCACATCTAAGGACGTAAGAGTTTGTTGAAAAAATGACGCCAGACTGAGCTAGTGTGGGATTTTTGTGTCTGCTTCTTCATAAAAAAAACTTGAAGTGTTATTTTCTAAACAGGACTGAGACTCACTTTTGACATTAACCATGTAGGAGAGTGTGAGTCAATGCAACAGAAATGGCGAAGAAAAGAGACAGAAGCTGCAATGTCTGAAAAAAGGGGCGTTTGTGTGTATGTATGTGCGTTTGAAGGGGTTAAAAAGTGAAAGGGTTTGGACCCCTGGACCCAAGAAAAAAAAAAGAAAGATTAAATCAGAGGATTGCCATTTCTGGAGCCCGTCGGTGCATCTGCAGGTATCCACCACTATAAATAATGAGCCTATAGGCCGGTGCCATAAAGGCGGTTTGCAGTTCTCCCCTCTCACACCGCCCACCACACACTCTTTCTCTCTCTCTCTCTCTCTTTCTATCTCTCACATGCGCGCGCACCGATACATGCGCGCGCCCATGCACAGGAGGTGGGAGTGGATGCTCGTGTAGCTGCTGGAAGCCAGGATGGGATAATCATGCGTGTCTGGCTCCGGGCGTTGATGCAGCTGCCGTTGCGGGATCCGGACTGGACTTAGGGCGCAGGGTGGGTCTAGCTCCCGATCTGGACCTCATGTCGATGTTATCAAGTATTCCGAGAAAGGCGAGGGCGATGGCCGAGAGAGGAGTTGGTGCAGCTCTTTGAAAGCGAGAGAAATCGACCGTTTTTGCAGATGGAGGACAGAATTCGCCGGTACTAAAGCGCAGCCCCGGTTTGGAATAACTTGAGGACACGGAGGAAACCCAGGAAGGATATCGAGGGAGCTCTTCACTTCATTTTTATATGTTTCTTTTTTAATCTGGGCCGGAGATAGAAGCGCACAGGGGAGAACGGATCACTTTTGCATCGGTAATTAGGAGAGGACTGCCTCCTTGGAGCTGTAGCGGCAGCCGCATCCGACCGACCAGGGGAGGGTGGTGGTGGTGGTGGTGGGGGGGGGATAGGATACTTGGATGGAGAGGGCGCAGTGAGGGCTGAGAGAGCGGCTCGCCGTGTGTAGGAGGGGGACGGAGGGGAGACCGGGCTGTTTGAAGGGACGGGGAGCCAGGAGCGGCGCGGCGGCTCCATGAGCGGCTCCTGCCGGGACAGAGAGCCCAGAGCCCAGCCGGAGCGTCTCCACCGCCGCGGGTAGAAGCCCCGGGCTGAAGGACGGCGGCCAGTTTGGAAGTTTTGATGCATATGATCACAACCACCATGATTTTTATGATTCTTGGTGCTTCAGTTGTTATGGTAAGACATTTCCACCTCCCTCTGCCACAACAAGGTTTTCTAATGCACCCAAAAGGGCTAATGTGTCATTTCACAATCACAAAATAGCCATAAATGTGCCACATTTGGTGTGAAATTACCTTTTAGGAGGCCTATCAATGACATGTGGAAGTAGGTTAGCCTACCTATAATTACCTGCTGTCATAAATAAATAATCTAAGTCCGTTTGGAGAGAGTACCCCTCTTTTAGAAACGGGAGGATGTGCCAAGGCTATTTTCTCCCCCTTTTTCGTCATGATCCCGAAATGTTTTTATTTATTTTTATACTAACAATGAAATTAATCATCAGCTGTCTGCAGGAATAGCCTAGCCTTATTGCTTGACATGTCCCAGCTGACTTGCATGCTTCTTTGCAGGCGATAGCCTGTTTAATGGACATGAACGCACTACTGGATCGCTTTCACAACTACATCTTACCGCATCTACGAGGGGAGGACCGAGTGTGTCACTGCAACTGTGGAAGGTAAATGCCATCATCCTCCTTCAATATTTGAGATAAACATGGTGGTGTGTGTTTTTTCCACCCGTCAATTCTTAATTGCTGAAGAGGCCTCGGAGATTTCTGGCGGTGGAGCCCCGCAAAGCGACCACAGATCAGCCTGTCTGCGCTCTCACAGCGGCTCATCTGCGCGGAGATTTCATTTTTATTCCTCGCTTTAACACGAATCTCGAGGACACATTTGGTCCCGGTGTGTGTTTTGTAATACGGCTCTCGACTGCGAGAATTTGGGCTTTGCTGCATATACGAAGGTGTGTGTCGGAGCCATAAATAGGTAATGAACTATGAGCAATGTAAGGCCGTTCAAAAACAATCTGAGCATCAAGTGCGCTGCACACAGGCCTACACGGCGAGAATATCAAACCTGCTGGGACAATTATGAACATAGGAGCGTGAAAGTGATGGGGTTATATAGCTGAAGAAGCTACAGGGCTGAGACTGCTCATGAGCCTACCTGCTGTGTGCTGTCACAGAGAGAGCGGGGCTGAAGTGGGGGGAAACAGCAGCAAGACACTCATTAATAAATTACTCCGGATTTAATTAGCATTATTGTGCATTTTCCAGCAACTGTAAGCATGGAATACAGCAGAGGCTGAGCAAAGACACAAGAGGGCCTGTTTTTCTCCCATAAAATCTACACAGCCAGAGGGTACGGCAACAGTGTTAGAGTAAGATTTAGAGCAAGAGTCCTTTAATCCACTGGTTTCACACCTGTATGGTCCTCAGATATTTATATTAACCTATATCCCGCAGCCACGAGAAGAGGACAAGTCTCTATGCTGGTGCAAGCTGAACAGATGCACATTAAAACAAAACAGCAGTCTATACTGTGCATACTGCAGTGAGGGGGCTGATACAAGCAGTTCATTAGCAGCATTAGGAGGCCAGTTTCCCAGTGTGTTTTTGAAACCTGCAAAGCCACAAATGGGTCATCATCAGGTATGATCAGATTATTCCTGTCAGGGAGGGATAATCTCAGTCAAAGTTTGAAAAGGACTCCCACACACGCTGACGGATACAATATGACAGGATTTGGGATGAGATGATGCATCACTGATAGTTTTATTTGGTAATATTTTGACAATCATGTCATCCTAGCTTCTGCCAAAAGGGGACCAGTTACATATGTGAGCAGGATTGGAAGAAAACAAATTCAGAAAAGCAGCATTTGGTTATCAACTCCATCCTGCTGGGACACTGTGTAAAGTGTTCATAAAAACAGAGTTTCATAATTTTTACAAAATTTACACAACATATATAATGAAAAAACAACAACATATAAAATGTTGAAAGTGAAAATGTTATTGTTTTATTAAAAATAGGATATTTTCATTTTAAACTTGATGCCAGCAACATGTTCCAGAAAAGTTGGGACAGAGTTTAGTTGACCATTGTGGGGCATCAGCTCTTCTTCAACACTCTGTTGATGTTTGGGAACCAAGGAGTCCAGTTCCTGGAGTTTGAAAGTAAAATGTTGTCTCATTCTGTCCTCATGTAGGATTTCAGACAGTCAACAGTACTGGTGTTTGATGTTCTTATTGTTTTTATTTTATTTCCTTCATAATGATTCACCAAATGTTTTCAATAGGTGACAAGACAGGACTGCAGACAGGCCAGTTCAGCACCTTAACTCTGCTACTACAAAGCTGTGCTGTTAAACTTGCACAATGTACTTCTTCTCGGTAATTTATTCAAGGTCTTCCTTGAAAATAAAAACATTGGATGGCAGCATATGTTGCTTTAAAACCTGTGTATATCATTGAGCTGTAATGGTCCTATGTAAGTCAGCAGAGGACGTGATTTCCCAAAAGAAAGTCAAATTCTGATTTGTTAGACCACAGGAGAATTTTACACTTCCCTTCAGTCTATTATGAGGGGCTTAGGGCCAGAAAAGTTACCACTGTCTCCAGATCAAATTAGATATGCTTTCCTCTTTGTATGCTTATTTTTAACCTGAATTAACCTGCAGCTACCAACTGTTGACAGTGCTTTTTAGTCAATGCAATGATTTCCACTACAGAGTCATGTATTTTCTTTTAATGCAGTGCTGCCTTCCACCCGGTATTGGATTTTGACCTTGTCTGTTTTTGAAGAGATTTCTCCAGATTCTTAAAATATCTAGTTAATGTTATGAGCTGAAGATGACAAAACCCCAAAGTTCTTTACAATTTTACAACATTGAGGAACATCATCATAAAACTGCTGAACTATCTACTCACGCAGTCTCTCACAGAGTGGTGAACCTCTTAACCTCTTTACTTCTGAGAGACATATCCTCTCTGGGATGCCTTTTTATACCCAGTCAGGTTTCTAGCCTGTGGCAGATAAATCTTATTAGTTTGGAGATGTTCCCTTGGGTTTTTTTTTTAGCAAGGCACAACTTCCTCAGTGTTTTGTTGTCCCTGACCCCAAATGTTTTGATACGTGTTGCTAGTAACAAATTCAAAATTATTTTTTTTCACAAAAAGAGCGAATGTTCTGTTTCATTTGAAGTATTTTCAATTATCAATTGAATATAGGGTTTTAATGAATTATGAATCATGATAATTTGTTTTGTTTAATCAACATTTTACATGGCTTCTTAACTTTGTAGAATGAGTTTTGTGCATCAGCTGCCAAAATTCTTTTTTCTCCCAAAGCATGGATCATATATAGCAACAAAAAAAAAAGTAAAACCATATTAGGCTCATATCAGACTACAGGTTACTGTACCCAGTGCCATGTCTCACTGACCTGGAAACAGTCCTGAATGGGAATCAGTCACTTGTTCTCACAAATACAGCAGAAACATCAGATAAACAGAGTCAACCTGAGCTCGGGCTTCACTCGTCCGCCCTTCCATCCGTGAGGCGTGGAGGTGTCATGACACCCACAGCGCTCACCTTATCAGGCTTGAGGACACAGCCAGTGTCATTTTTATTTGGCAGCCTCTGAGCTCTGATTTGGATGTGGTTGTTGCTCCTCTGACGGGCCAAAGCCTGGCCTACAGTATATGCCTCTGAGGACAGAGGGGATCTAGGAGTGGACTGTGTGCATTGCTGGGTGCACGCTGCTAATTGGTGTCATGCTGTTGTGAAAAGCTGCAGGATAGATGTCCTAAGATGATCTAAATGCTCTTATTGTGGAAGTTTTATTCTTCAATCACACAGAACAACCAGATAAAGAGGACACATGGTCACAACGGTTTGTAGGATACAAGTGAACAGGACTGAGGTTTATTTTAGTTGGGTAAAAAGGTAAAAAGGCAGCTTCTGATCATCCCTTATACTCTGGGATTTGTAGAAAAGCCTCAGAGAAATTCAAGAAAACTTAAGGGTGATGTTTTCCCCCCTTTTTTTAAATACTGAACATCTCCTTTTGAGAAGCTAAAATGGTTAATGGACATTGGTGGCTCTGTTTGGTCTAAGAAGGATCTTTATTCACCCATGTGGCCAGACTCTTTAATCAGTAAGACACTTCAGTTGAAAATCTGCAAGATGTGGGTCTTCTTCGTTATTTTACCTGCAAGGCGTAGTGTTGTTTCTGCTCTGTCCTCAGAGATCACCTGTCAGTCAAAAACAAAAGAGTGGACACTCTGCTAATGAAGTTTAATTTCTACAAGGGGAGTTTGTCCTTTTACCACATCTGTTTAAGAGTCTCACTTCTTTTTCAATGTACGCCAAAAAGGCTGTAAACATCAGTAAAACTTTAGAAAACTACCCAGTGCATCAAAGAACACAAGGTAGCAGCATTTTTCAGAGTTTTACTACTAGTGTGTGTGATCCGTTGACTGTATGAAACAAGAGGAGTTTTAAAGCCTTTAACTCAACCAAACTTTAGATCAACTTAGAAACAGGGCTCTAGGCTGAAAGCTGTAACAGCCAGCCTAGTCAATGCTATGCTTCTGCATCACCAAACAGCGTTAAAAGGTGGTGCCACCATTCAGTTTTGTTGTTACCCAGAGAATTCATGTTGTTATGCTCCAACCACGAAAGACTCTTGTAAGTGATGAGTTTGTGCAGAAATTCTGATATTACTTGCTATCCTGGAGCTACTGCAAAGTTGCAAATGACTGCTAGATCTCCACCATAGACTGTTGATACTATGGACAACTTGGTTCAGCCTTTCACTAATATACGGATTTGAAGCCAAAAAGCTCGCTGTATTTCCGTGTGTGTTCTTCATTGTCTAAAACCAACATTGTGCAGTAGTGTTGTACGCACTCCACCACTTGCGCAGTAGCATTGTATGCTTTCGGCGGGAGAGTCACCGAGAGTCGCTGTGACTACGCTCAGCTCAAACAGCATATCCCCCGGGTGAGCTATGTAATCTTCATATGCCCATTGGCTGTATTAAGTGTCAATCAGAGAAAACATGAACCCCAATAACTTTTAAAATTGGAGCTGTACAGAAAAAAGAGGACTTGAGCACAAACCAGTCTAACAGTAACTACATGTCAACATCGCAACCAAGGGGGAGAAAAATTGTATAACCTGTGTAATAAATTTCTAAAGTTTGTCCACAGCTCCATAGGGATTGCTGGAGGAGGTGGGATTTATGACCTATACTGCAGCCCGTCACCAGAGGGTGCTGTTCTCGCAGCGGCTTCACTCAGCAAGGAGGCAGATGGCGTCCATTCTATATACAGTCTATGATCTCCACCTACACTAGCTGTGTTACTACAAAGCCTCCTAACAAGCAGCCTGATGCACCTGACCTCTATGTCAGCTTGGCCACGCCCTTAATTTAGCAAACCTATACGTACAAATCTTAGTCTTGATATCTTAAAAAAAGATAAGTTATTGAAAAGAAACAAACAACCTGTGCACAGTGTGTATAAATGAAGACACAAGCTTTTTAGAGACCAAGCCTGTCTTTTGATCTGGGCTGTAAACACGTTTTATTTTGCTGTTTTTATGGGCATTTCTACATCAGTGTAAATGAGAATTCTTGGCCTTTGTAGTCAGCCTCAAGTGGACACTCGAGGAACTGCGGTTTTGGCGTTACCTTATTGGCTTCGTATTTTAACATTAGAGGTTGCTGCTTGTTTGGAACAAAATGTTCAGTTTGGTTGCTGGTTTCAACACAGACTCTGTACTGGCACTACTTCTGTTATTTGGAAACGCAGAAGGGAAGTCTCATGTTTCTTTAAGGTGATTCAATCACGTTCAGCTTGGATAGTAGTTTCCAAGTAGTGTTTCAACCTCCTGATGAAGAGTAGCTGTGAGATGTCGTGGTAATGTTGCACTAGACAGATGCTTTATTCAATAAGTGCATTGAACCCTGTAACTAGCCATTCTCACAGTATTTACAATCCTACATACTTGTATCTGAGGCTTTTGTCCTCTTTGCCTGAGAAATTTGCTTAATAAGCTTCTGTCATAACTGGTGGTTGATTATTTCAGGGCAGCCCAAAAAATTTGTAATACAAGCTGTGGGTGTAGAAGAGAATGTGTGGGCATTTACCAAGCTGGGAGAATCTCACAAAATACACTTTAATGTTGCAGAAAAGCTGGAGTGAGTCCTGTGTTTCTGGAGTGATGCCAGTGGTAGGAACAAGAAGTCAGGGTAACTCAGTCAATGCTGCCTCAGTTCTTACTATTATTTTTTTAAATCAGTGTCTTGCACATTTAGTGGATTGAATTCAGGCTGTCATAATTAAATGGCCCTAAAATATTACAACAATGATAGAATTGCAATATTTCTAGAATACTTTAAACTAAAAGAATGCATTCAGTCAAACTGAGGGAAGGCAAGGCAAGGATGGAGTAACATATGACTTCATAAACATGACTGATACAAGCAATTACCTGACATGTCATCATCTATTTTATATGATGTTTAAATGTATGGTTTATCCACATCACCAGCCAAAACTTCCATTGAGGAGACTTTATCTTCATGCTTTTCAAAAATATTTTTCTCTTTTGTTATTATGTGGATTTATTTTCTGCATGCTCTTATTTTTTTAAATATACTACTCCTGGTAGATCATAATTTATAGGACGGAAGAAAGCAAGAATATTGGACATAAAAGTTAAGGAGTAATCCAAAAAGGCATCAGCTTTAAATTATTATAAGATTCACCATAAATGTATGGACAAGCACTCGTCGAAAGACATCTGAGTGCAGGTGTTACATGCTGGTGTGCACCATAAGAAATTTGGGATTTTGTGTCCAAGAGCACCTCGACATTACTCAGACGGTCAAATGACACCTCTCTAGATGCCTTTCCAACCTCCATATGTTGGTCTGTGCACAGATTTGAACCTGCCACTTTCCAGTGCCTAATCCAAACCCATAGAGACAGAGCTGTTTTTGCCTATATATAAGTGCTATGGTAACCCCTAAGTTCAGTTTAATTTTGAAATCTCTCACTGACCATAATAGAATAAACTTGATTTAGTGTCCAAAAGTGTATGAGCAGAGGTCTGTGTTCTTCTATTCAGCAGGTAAATCCCTCAGCTGCCCCCTGTGTTCTTACTCATTATTTGTCAGGCAGTTTAATGCCTCCACCCCTCTCAGGAGGTGCAGGTATAGTATAGTTTACTATATTAGTGTTGTAAAAACGTGTTAGTTTTATTTACTAAGCTGCTTCAAAATAAAGCAGAGTCAACACTAGACACTGTAGCAGAGTGAGCATCAGACATTAGATAACTGTTGACCTGCAGCTGCTGCACACACCCCTGTGGATTTGTGGAAACAGAATTAAAAGCAGATCCAGAATGGGAGCTTTTATGTCTCTTCAACTTGGATTGCGTCTACAGAGACATTTTCAGCCGAGCATTTCTTCTGATCTTACTTTGTGTAGATCATTCGGCAATGATACAAGCTGGATGAAATTCTTTTAGAAGATGCATTTCTCTTTGCAAAATTATTTTCAGCCTGAAAATGTTCACTGTGCAGGTTTTCATGAAGCGAGTTGCTGCAGTGTTGCTTTTTTCTTATTTTGGACCTTGAGGTTTTTTTCCCCCTGAATTCACAAGTAGCAGCCAGTTTCCTTAAACTTTTTCAGCCACAGCTGCCTGGAGTGCAGCCTGGGGACACCCAGCAAAGTGCGGATTAGTGCAATCTGATTAAAATTTAGATAGAAATCTCCAGACATCACCCAAGCTAGAGTGGGTATATAAAATATAAAAACACCATATGCAAGGTGGACAGTTTTTTTCACCTCAACACATGCACACACACCTGCAAACACACATAGACATAGACACTGGATATTTGCGTCTCAGCCATTTGAGTTTGTATATTCCCCTCAGACTAGCTTATCAAACAGTCTGTGGTCCTTGGGATCAAGGAATTTGGAAAATTCAGTTTCAAGGAGGACTGCATCGTATAAGGAAAACATGTCAACAGTGTTTAGTGGTGCAATAATTTATGACTTACAATGTTTAAAAAAATACTGAAAAAGAAACACTTTTTATGGGATGCATTTTTAAACAGTACCTTTGTCACCTGTAATGATTCAAAAACAGTCTTAGCCAGCAGAAATACTTATTGCATCTACAAAGTCTGAATTTTTCTTTCCTCTTACCCTGTTCAGCTATTATGCTAGAAAATCCTGCAACTGGTATCAAATTTGAGGTGTCTGTTTTCTTTCTGGGACTTTATCTGGTTTTCAAAATAGTGTGGAGGCATTGCTCATGTATTCAGGGCTGCATCTGATTGGTTAAATAACATTCTTGCTGAGTGCCAATGCAAAAATTTCATGATGGAAGAATGTTTCAATAACACCTGTCAGCTGTTGTTGTTTCAAGCAAAGGTTACAAGAAAACTTCGGACCACATGAGTTGAGAAAAATCCACTCTGCGTTGGCAATTTTTTAGGCATTTCGTTTCATTTATAATTCCTCTATAAAGGGTTAGAGAAGCAAAGAAATGTTCCTTTCTATTGAGGGTTTCTGTTAGTTTACGGATATCTTACACGTCCATCACCCTCTCCTGTCTGTCGTCCCCTCAGGCATCATGTCCACTATGTAATCCCATACGACGGGGACCATTCCTTGGTGGACTCTTCAGAGAACTACTTTGTGAGTGACAGTGTGACCAAGCAGGAGATGGACTTGATGCTGGGGCTGCTGCTGGGCTTCTGTATCAGCTGGCTGCTGCTGTGGCTGGACGGAGTCCTACACTGTGCCGTCAGGGCCTGGAGGGCGAGCCGCTACTATGGTAAGCATGATATTATCTACTGCTATAGCCTGTTGCAAATACGCCCAAAACCACTCATTGTTGAACTCAGCAATCCTTGAAATTCCATATATTTCTTTTCAATCTTTCTGCATCGACATAACTATGTTATAGGCTATAACGAGTGACAAAGTGTGCACATACAGCAGCACACTCAGAATAACTATAATCCTGGCTCAAAATATCTGTAATTCAAAGCATGATTTGTTGTGTCAAATGCTAGGCTGTTAAGAAATTGCTTGTGTGCAGAATGTGTCTATCTCATCTCACAATGTATGCAAGGCAAGCACTTGGCATGTAAACACAGCAGGTGGTAGAGCTCGGGTAGTTGACCTCCCATTGCTTGGCCCATTTTCCCCTCTTCACGCTGACTTTAAGGTTGCAACCTTGAGACAATTCCCCGTTAAACCTTGAAAACCTGAAAAGATTCAGACGTCTGTTAACATCATCATCATCTTCTTCTTACTGCTAATTTGTTTTCAGGGAGCAGCAGGAATCAAATGCTAATGTAATAGCACATCCATTAAGTGTAATTACTATGTTGTGAATATATCAAGCTCGGTGTTTATGAAGTCTTTAATAATCCACATACAGCCAAAGCTCAGTGAGAGCTGTGATAGTGATTATTGGGACAAAATAAGCAGTTATTTCATACAATTTTTGGATGAGTGACTTCTATGAAAAAAACTCTCTATGCAACAAAGTGATCAAATTTGGCATTTCTTTGTTTCTTTAATATCCCAATGATGTTTATAAGTAACTACTTACTTTGTTGTTTTAAGGGATATTTACATTTGCAGAGTTAGCACCACCTTAGGGGTCAACGTCCAAATACCTGTGCTGGTAACACCAGTTTTGTTAACCAGACAAAGCCTGAACAGAGTTTCAGCTACATTATTCTGGTACAAAATACTGCCAAACTGCACTTGACAACAAGGTGGTACTCATCTTCTTTGCCTGTTTAGATGCAGGTAGTAGACAATTGCATTATTATGACAGCCTTAATAAACTGTGGCTACAGCCGTAGCAAGTGGCAGGTAGCTGTTCCACTGTGTAGACACAACATAAGGCCAGCATCTCAGGCCAAAATTAATAAAAATATAAATAACTTTCCACATGAACAAGTAATTCTGGTGCCAGCAAGGGTTAAGGAATTCAATTGTTAAGTTAACTAAATACATATGTCCCTAATTCATAATTCCCTTTCAGTATATACCTTATAATTCTTTCCTTCACATTTAATGGTGTACAGTATGATCTAAACACTATGTATTTACCTGAATGGAAAACAAAAATAGCTTTGCAGGCTGCAAGTTAGCTAACAGACTAAATGTTAAATCTCATGATATTTGTGGCTAAATTACTATTTTTTTGTTAAATTAAATGCTTTTATTGTGTGAATGGGAAATTTTAGCCATGTGTTTGTATTGTTCATTAAAAATAAAAAAAGTTTACACCTTATTAGGAAACAATCATAACACCTTTCTATGGTTTAAAACAAAAGTTTTCCCTTAAAAAAATATGTCTGATAGCATGGCATTGGTGAAATCAGCATTTTTTGTTGGCCTAAATGATTTAAATTTACAGAGAAAATTGCTCAGGAAGAGCCATTCCTTGGACAGATGTGATGGCCGAATGGGGGAGACAGTAGATATAGAAAGTCATCCATTTGTCTTGATGAGGAGAGACTTGAGTAACCACAAGCCGGGTCCTAAAAGAGGGTCTCAAGAGGCAATCAGGCTCACGTAGGGTTAACACATCCCATAAACAAGCCAACTTCAAACCATTCAATCAGTTTTGCAATTGACAGGCAATTTATGAAAGGAGACAAGGATTTGGGTAATGGGGTCACTTCTCTTGGAGTGTGCCATTAATGCAGGAGTAGTGTTCTGTATTAAATGTAGCATGCTGATATTTCTACTGCCAAAGACCATTGTCACAATCAGCCTGGAGGAGACAAAAGCATGAATGACCCTCTCCAGTGCTGAATCTTACCGTTGTGCTCCAGTTGAATAAAACACAATTGCACCACTTGGTTTAACAATGCCAGAACTGAGACTGAGTTCTTCTGGTTTAATTCACATACAATACTTAAAAATGTGAGAGAAAAAAAAGGATTCATCCCAATGCAGGATTTATCCGCAACACAGAGCTCTGTTTGTATTATAAACAGCAGGTCTGTTCATTCCTAAAGGAGAGCATAGTGACTAAAAATATCAAGGGACCCAAAATAGACCCTTGGGGGACTCCACGGGGAGAGAAAAGCTTCCAGTCTCTTCAGAAGTAAACCACTTTTTTTTTTTTACTATTTCAGAAATGCCATCAAACATTTTTTAAGAATTGATTTAAATATACTAAGTCACATTCTTTGAAGGCTGATCTAAGGCCAAGACAAAATAAAGCAATAGTTTTAGGCCAGTGATTTTGGAGCTGGGGGCATGGTGGAGCTGTGGTTGGCATAATCACAAGAAGGTCCCCTGTGCAAATCCTCCAGCCAGCAGGGCCCCTGCAAGGAGTTTGCATATTCTCCTTGCTTTTTTGGTTAACTGGTGACTTTAATTAAATGGGTATGAATATGAGTACAAATGGTTGTCCCTCTTTTTTAAAATGGACTGTGGTAGACTCATGGCCTTTTCTGGGTGAACTCCATCTCTTTCCCAATGACAGCTGGGATCCGCTCCAGCCCCCTCACTAACCCTAACAGCTGCACAGATAATATAAATTTAAGGACCTTTGGGCTCCTGCAAGTTCCTTACATTTGCTTGGCAAACCAGTCTCTCAATATTTTGTGAAAAAGTCTTATATATATACTTTTTAAACTTGTAAAAAATGTCCCTTTTTGTTTCAGTGAGCAATAAAAAAAAAGATTTCAATTTAATGTATTTTTTTGTGCTTGAAACACAAAAATGCTTTGGTAACTGTCAGTCAAATTGTATCAAGAAAATTACTGGTACATCCATCAGAGTGTTTCACTAAAAAGCCATTTTCTTCATTTTTTTGGAGGAGACCACTGCCTGCATCCAAAGTGATACTGGAGGTCACTGTTGCCAAATCTAAATCTCTCCTTTCCGAGTAGTTTTACTGCCTCAACATGACAGGTCATAGTTACTTTAGAGTAAACCACTGGGACTGTAAACAGTTGAAGTATTTCATTGAGAAAATAAAAAGTGGGACGTAAATCCATACAAAAAAAGAAACTTTGAGACTTTGCGACTGTACAACAGTATCTGACCTCTCAAAGCCTTTTGGGTTAAGGGTAGAAGATAAATTTAGGATTGAACAATTTTAGTTTGAAAGACAGAGTGACTTTGACCCACAAGTAAAATCTATGTATTATAATTTGATTGCTATTTCTCTAGCTGCTCTACAAACTGAGTTACCTGGAAACAACAGGAGCATAGTCTGATCACTGTATTGGCCAGAAAAGAGTTCTAGTTTAAATTCCCTGCATAGCCACAATTTGTCATTTTTATACACACACAAATCCAGATTTGGAGATATAGCACATTTGTATCCCAAGAAATTAGAGGCAGTAGCAGAAATATTTTGATTTTCCCCCATATAGAACCAAGTCAGTAGTTTCCCTTAAGCTTGTGTCCTTTTATTTATTAATGCAGTGATGCTGCATAAATATTTGAGGCCTTGGTGCCTGTTTTGTACTGTATTATGGAGGGTACTTAGCAAATATATTATTTGTCGAGTTTTCCTATGAACATTGCAAGGTAGGATCTCTGGGATCAATTTATGTGAATCTGCAGTGTAAGGGGTTGAAATAGTGTCACTCTCACTGATACCTTTTTTAATGACCAACATAGTAAAATAAAATAAACAGGGTTATTTGTTTGTTCTGAGCTTAAGTTCCTGTGTTTTTTCACAAAAAAAGCTGAGTCAATATTCATCAATCTTATGGCTTTACTGCAGCAGGATTATTGTTTCAGACAGAGAAACCTTCTGATACTGTGATACTACGCTCAGTAAAAAAGTGTGTGAATGCTTCACTTCTTTGATGATCGGAGTTAAAGCTCCTGTAAGGAACTTTTGTTTGTGTCAACTTTGGTGCCCCCCTGTGGACAAAGCAGTCTTTACTTGTCTTGTCCTCTAAATGTTGAAGTACTTTCTCTTCTCAAAAAAATCTTACTGTGCTGACTTTGACAGTAAAATGTTTAATTTATCGTAAACATATGATTTGAAAGTTGTAAAAACAGGGCCGTCTCTTCAGCTGCTTGGCTGACACCTACCCCCTTGCACCAGTTTGAGGCATTAAAATTTACAGAGTAAAAGTCGGCAACACAAGAGCCACGTTATTAGGACAGTGAATGATGGTGTTTATAACACAGATTTCATCCAAAGGGTTCACCAGAATAAACACAACATGAAAGCTCCTAACAGCACCTTTGAGAGTTTTTTGTGTTAATCGAATGGAATAAAATTTATACTGATGCCTTTTTATAACATGCAAAAGCAAATGAGACCATCAGTGGAAAAGTTGTTGACTTTTACGTGAAAACTTTTAATACCTAAAGCTGATGTGAGGGGTGTCAGTGGAGTAGCAAAATGAAAGCCTTGATTTTACATTTTCTACATAACGTATTCATTATAAATGATGTATTTGACTGTCAATAGTCAGCAGGATGAGATTTTCATTAAAAGATTCTACTTAAGTATGTAAATGATATCATATGCAAAGACCGCTTTATCCAAAGGAGGCTCTAAAAAGGACACAAACAGAAAATTTCTCACAAGAGCTTTAAATATATATGTATATAGTTGCTTTTCCCATTGGTGCTTTGTAAGACCTTGTTGTGGTTTGTTATTAAGGGTGCTTTGCTTTAGGTTTGCCTTTGTCCTCTGGCTATAAATGCATTTATTGCTGGTGTATCCCTGAATTCAACCCTAAATGTGTGGAAATAGAGCTTTTTTAAGGTGGACTTAAATCATTTGGGTGTCAGGTTTTGCCTGCCTAAATATTTTATGTTGTTATTTTTGGATGCATTCATCATTCAACATAGAGTGGTTTACTTTCTTACCCTCATCTATGATAATGGAGACTGTATTGTTGTAAATTAAGGTTTCATTTTTATTCCCTCTCAATATACACAGAGGATTTGGTTACTTGCAGACTTACAGCCACTCCTTATTTAAGATTGCCTCTCATTGTCACAAACCATTTGCTTGATGAAGGTCTTGCACCAAATGTCTCAGCAAATAAATGTTTTAGTTGAAGTTGGACAGCAGGCTGGCTCCTGCTCCATACTTAATGCCAGCACATGAGAGTTACCTCTCTCTCTCACTTTACAGGAGACAAAAAATGAATATGCCAGGGTCCAAAAATATGCAACTGTTCTTTTTGATACCCCTGCAGCAGTCCTGTTCCTGTTATAGAACCAGAAACTGTTTTGATCTTTTAAAATGAAGCAGAGCAGAGCAGAGCCAAACTGCACTGAAGATTGGGAGCGAGTCGCTGAGCCAGGATGATGTGTTTATCCACTCATGCTGACAGAAAACATTGTGCCCTTGCTTTGGACAGAAAGATACAGATGTGTGTTATGAAAAAGCCCGGTCACAGCAGACATTATGACTTGTCACTGAAAGGAAAGCTCAGATGTTGTTAATTACATAAAAGATCACTCACTTCTATTTAAATGTTTAGGGTTACTAAAGTTCAACATGAAAAGTATCAGGATACTGAAACTGATGGAATTCAACCATCATGTCTTAATGTGCATGTTTTCTATCCTCATATTTAATTTACTGTTTATTTCAAAAAACTAAGTGTGCATCAACACATATGTGAAGGACAATCTTGCTTAAAATCTGAAGCTCTTTGTGAGCTGGCTGTCTTGACCACAGCCACAGACAATACAACAGCTACCCCAAGTGAAGCCAAAACTTTTAGAGCTCCTCCTGTTGGCTGGCTGCTACTTTAAGTGTTAACAGACAGACAATAGGTCAAATTATAAAATTTAAGTATGCATCCATGTATATTCTCAAACATACTGCCATCATTGTTCCTCATACTTAGTGATGGGAATAACGCTATTAAAATAAACATGTTATTGTAACGATGTTATTTTTTTCAGTAACTGGTAATCTAACTAATTACTATTTCCATTGTTACATCACCATTACCGTTACCGACAATTAAATGAGGCGTGTCACAAACTATTCAGTGGGGTTGTTGTCCTCTGACTTGGCTCATCTCAGCCACAGAAGCTACAGATTACTTTTTTTAGGGCCCGAGCGTAGCTGCTAAGCAGCTGCGAGAGCCCTCTTGTTCCTGATGGATTCTTCTTTTGTTATTAGGGCCCGAGCGTAGCTGCTAAGCAGCTGCGAGAGCCCTCTTGTTCCTGTAGTTTCCTTCTTTAGGGCCCGAGCGTAGCTGCTAAGCAGCTGCGAGAGCCCTCTTGTTCCTGTAGTTTCCTTCTTTTGTTATTATTAGGGCCCGAGCGTAGCTGCTAAGCAGCTGCGAGAGCCCTATTATTCCCCAAGGGGTTTTTCTTTGTTTCTTTTTTCTTTTTCCTCCCCTTTGAACTGGAAAATGGCCCACTTCCCACTAGCGAAAACTCATGAAATTTGGCAGGACGACCGGGCCTGGTGAAAAATTTGATATTCCGAAGTCGCCCAAACAAGAAAATGCAAAATGGCTCCATAGCGCCCCCTAAGGTGAAAATTCACACTATTGAGTGTCACGCCTGTACGCTTTGTCAAAATGACACAAAATTTGACACACACATGTATCTCAATAAGATCTACAAAAAAGTCAGTGCGGGCGTATCTGTCAAATGTACGGTTAAAGGGTTATTTCGCATTTTTTGCCGATCCGCACACATTGGAATTTCGCTAACTCCTCCGAAGGCTTTCGTTCCACCGGCACCACATTTGCTCAGGCCAATCTACACCCCATGGCCATTAAAAGTTATTCAAATCATGACGCTGCACCCCACGGTTTAGGTTCTAGGGGGCGCCAAAGATAACCCTAAAATCCACATATTTAAAAGTCTTATAACCTTTTATTTTTGCCCTCACTGGCCTCCAAGTTTTCTAGGATGATGCAATGTCCAGCCATCAACACATTTGTGAAGGAATTTTTACTCCCCAAAAGAGCGCCCCCCCATGGCAGGAGAAAAAAGTCCATTTTTTCTTGTCCCCTAAGGTGAAAATACACATTGTTGAGTGTCACGCCTGTACGCTTTGTCAAAATGACACAAAAATTGACACACACATGTATCTCAATAAGATCTACAAAAAAGTCCACGCGCGCGTATCTGTCAAATGTACGGTTAAAGGGTTATTCCGCATTTTTTGCCGATTCGCACACATTGGAATTTCGCTAACTCCTCCGAAGGCTTTCGTTCCACCGGCACCACATTTGCTCAGGCCAATCTACACCCCATGGCCATTAAAAGTTATTCAAATCATGACGCTGCACCCCACGGTTTAGGTTCTAGGGGGCGCCAAAGATAACCCTAAAATCCACATATTTAAAAGTCTTATAACCTTTTATTTTTGCCCTAACTGGCCTCCAAGTTTTCTAGGATGATGCAATGTCCAGCCATCAACACATTTGTGAAGGAATTTTTACTCCCCAAAAGAGCGCCCCCCCATGGCAGGAGAAAAAAGTCCATTTTTTCTTGTCCCCTAAGGTGAAAATACACATTGTTGAGTGTCACGCCTGTACGCTTTGTCAAAATGACACAAAAATTGACACACACATGTATCTCAATAAGATCTACAAAAAAGTCCACGCGCGCGTATCTGTCAAATGTACGGTTAAAGGGTTATTCCGCATTTTTTGCCGATTCGCACACATTGGAATTTCGCTAACTCCTCCGAAGGCTTTCGTTCCACCGGCACCACATTTGCTCAGGCCAATCTACACCCCATGGCCATTAAAAGTTATTCAAATCATGACGCTGCACCCCACGGTTTACGTTCTAGGGGGCGCCAAAGATGACCCAAATATCCACATTCTTAAAAGAATCCACACCCCCCCCATCCCCCATCCCCCATGGCAGGAGAAACAGTCAAGTTTTTCCTGCCCATCACTCAATGGCTCAATCGCATCGCTCTTCCGGCAACACCGTAACGAGGAGCAACTTGCCGTTTGGATATATCCTAGCTGTGTTTGTGCCCTCACTCATGGTCCAGACTTTTTTCAAATAGGACATGTAGTTTGTCTGCAGCGAGTGTTTTGGTAGAAACTGCGCCTCCCATTCATTATAATGGGAAATGACCACAGACAAGTGCGCACACCATCTTTGGACCTTGAGTGTGACGCGATCGGGGGGGGAGGCGGTCGCGCTGGGGGCGGCGCGACGCGGCTCGGGCCCGACAGTGCCCCACCGGGGCCCTAGTTATTATTATTATTTTTCCTCCCCTTTGAACTGGAAAATGGCCCACTTCCCACTGGCGAAAACTCATGAAATTTGGCAGGACGACCGGGCCTGGTGAAAAATTTGATATTCCGAAGTCGCCCAAACAAGAAAATGCAAAATGGCTCCATAGCGCCCCCTAAGGTGAAAATTCACACTATTCACTGTCACGCCTGTACGCTTTGTCAAAATGACACAAAAATTGACACACACATGTATCTCAATAAGATCTACAAAAAAGTCAGTGCGGGCGTATCTGTCAAATGTACGGTTAAAGGGTTATTTCGCATTTTTTGCCGATCCGCACACATTGGAATTTCGCTAACTCCTCCGAAGGCTTTCGTTCCACCGGCACCACATTTGCTCAGGCCAATCTACACCCCATGGCCATTAAAAGTTATTCAAATCATGACGCTGCACCCCACGGTTTAGGTTCTAGGGGGCGCCAAAGATAACCCTAAGATCCACATATTTAAAAGTCTTATAACTTTTTATTTTTGCCCTCACTGGCCTCCAAGTTTTCTAGGATGATGCAATGTCCAGCCATCAACACATTTGTGAAGGAATTTTTACTCCCCAAAAGAGCGCCCCCCCATGGCAGGAGAAAAAAGTCCATTTTTTCTTGTCCCCTAAGGTGAAAATACACATTGTTGAGTGTAACACCTGTACGCTTTGGCAAAATGACACAAAAATTGACACACACATGTATCTCAATAAGATCTACGAAAAAGTCAACGCGCGCGTATCTGTCAAATGTACGGTTAAAGGGTTATTCCGCATTTTTTGCCGATCCGCACACATTGGAATTTCGCTAACTCCTCTGAAGGCTTTCGTTCCACCGGCACCACATTTGCTTAGGCCAATCTACACCCCATGGCCATTAAAAGTTATTCAAATCATGACGCTGCACCCCACGGTTTAGGTTCTAGGGGGAGCCAAAGATAACCCTAAGATCCACATATTTAAAAGTCTTATAACTTTTTATTTTTGCCCTCACTGGCCTCCAAGTTTTCTAGGATGATGCAATGTCCAGCCATCAACACATTTGTGAAGGAATTTTTACTCGGCAAAAGAGCGCCCCCCCATGGCAGGAGAAAAAAGTCAATTTTTTCTTGTCCACTAAGGTGAAAATACACATTGTTGAGTGCTACGCCTGTATGTTTTGTCGTATTGACACAAAATTTTACATACACGTGTATTTCAATAAGATCTTCGAAAAAGTCAATGGGCACGTATCTGTAAAATGTACGGTTAAAGGGTTATTTCGCATTTTTTGCAGATTCGCACACATTGGAATTTCGCTAATTCCTCCGAAGGCTTTCGTTCCACCGGCACCACATTTGCTCAGGCCAATCTACACCCCATGGCCATTAAAAGTTATTCAAATCATGACGCTGCACCCCACGGTTTAGGTTCTAGGGGGCGCCAAAGATAACCCTAAAATCCACATATTTAAAAGTCTTATAACTTTTTATTTTTGTCCTCACTGGCCTCCAAGTTTTCTAGGATGATGCAATGTCCAGCCATCAACACATTTGTGAAGGAGTTTTTTCTCTTTAAAAGAGCGCCCCCCATGGCAGGAGAATAAAGTCAAGTTTTTCCTGTTCATCATTCAATGGCTCAAACGCACTGCTCTCTCGGCAAAAGCGAAAGGAGGAGCAACTTGCCATTTGGATATATCTTAGCTGTGTTTGTGCCCTCACTCATGGTCCAGACTTTTTTCAAATAGGACATGGAGTTTTTCTGCAGCGAGCATTTTGGTAGAAACTGCGCCTCCCGTTCATTATAATGGTAAATGACCACAAACAAGTGCGCACACCATCTTTGGACCTTGAGTGTGACGCGATCGGGTGGGGGAGGCGGTCGCGCTGGGGGCGGCGTGACACGGCTCGGGCCCGCCAGTGCCCCAACGGGGCCCTAGTTTGTTATTATTATTATTATTATTTTTCCTCCCCTTTGAACTGGAAAATGGCCCACTTCCCACTGGCGAAAACTCATGAAATTTGGCAGGACGACCGGGCCTGGTGAAAAATTTGATATTCCGAAGTCGCCCAAACAAGAAAATGCAAAATGGCTCCATAGCGCCCCCTAAGGTGAAAATTCACACTATTGACTGTCACGCCTGTACGCTTTGTCAAAATGACACAAAAATTGACACACACATGTATCTCAATAAGATCTACAAAAAAGTCAGTGCGGGCGTATCTGTCAAATGTACGGTTAAAGGGTTATTTCGCATTTTTTGCCGATCCGCACACATTGGAATTTCGCTAACTCCTCCGAAGGCTTTCGTTCCACCGGCACCACATTTGCTCAGGCCAATCTACACCCCATGGCCATTAAAAGTTATTCAAATCATGACGCTGCACCCCACGGTTTATGTTCTAGGGGGCGCCAAAGATAACCCTAAAATCCACATATTTCAAAGTCTTATAACTTTTTATTTTTGCCCTCACTGGCCTCCAAGTTTTCTAGGATGATGCAATGTCCAGCCATCAACACATTTGTGAAGGAATTTTTACTCCCCAAAAGAGCGCCCCCCCATGGCAGGAGAAAAAAGTCCATTTTTTCTTGTTCCATAAGGTGAAAATTCACACTATTGACTGTCACGCCTGTACGCTTTGTCAAAATGACACAAAAATTGACACACACATGTATCTCAATAAGATCTACAAAAAAGTCAGTGCGGGCGTATCTGTCAAATGTACGGTTAAAGGGTTATTTCGCATTTTTTGCCGATCCGCACACATTGGAATTTCGCTAACTCCTCCGAAGGCTTTCGTTCAACCGGCACCACATTTGCTCAGGCCAATCTACACCCCATGGCCATTAAAAGTTATTCAAATCATGACGCTGCACCCCACGGTTTATGTTCTAGGGGGCGCCAAAGATAACCCTAAAATCCACATATTTCAAAGTCTTATAACTTTTTATTTTTGCCCTCACTGGCCTCCAAGTTTTCTAGGATGATGCAATGTCCAGCCATCAACACATTTGTGAAGGAATTTTTACTCCCCAAAAGAGCGCCCCCCCATGGCAGGAGAAAAAAGTCCATTTTTTCTTGTTCCATAAGGTGAAAATTCACACTATTGACTGTCACGCCTGTACGCTTTGTCAAAATTACACAAAAATTGACACACACATGTATCTCAATAAGATCTACAAAAAAGTCAGTGCGGGCGTATCTGTCAAATGTACGGTTAAAGGGTTATTGCGCATTTTTTGCCGATCCGCACACATTGGAATTTCGCTAACTCCTCCGAAGGCTTTCGTTCAACCGGCACCACATTTGCTCAGGCCAATCTACACCCCATGGCCATTAAAAGTTATTCAAATCATGACGCTGCACCCCACGGTTTAGGTTCTAGGGGGCGCCAAAGATAACCCTAAAATCCACATATTTAAAAGTCTTATAACTTTTTATTTTTGTCCTCTCTGGCCTCCAAGTTTTCTAGGATGATGCAATGTCCAGCCATCAACACATTTGTGAAGGAATTTTTACTCCCTAAAAGAGCGCCCCCCCCATGGCAGGAGAAAAAAGTCCATTTTTTCTTGTCCCATAAGGTGAAAATACACATTGTTGACTGTCATACCTGTATGCTTTGTCATATTGACACAAAATTTGACACACACATGTATCTCAATAAGATCTACGAAAAAGTCAATGCGCGTGTATCTGTAAAATGTACGGTTAAAGGGCTATTTTGCATTTTTTGCCGATTAGCACACATTGGAATGTGGCTAACTCCTCCTAAGGCTTTCGTCCCACTGACACCAAATTTGCTCAGGCCAATCTACACCCCATGGCCATTCAAAGTTTTAAAAATCATGACGCTGCACCCCACGGTTTACGTTCTAGGGGGCGCCAAAGATGACCCAAATATCCACATTCTTAAAAGAATCCACATCCCTTTCCCCCTCCCATCCCCCATCCCCCATGGCAGGAGAAACAGTCAAGTTTTTCCTGCCCATCACTCAATGGCTCAATCGCATCGCTCTCCCGGCAACACCGTAACGAGGAGCAACTTGCCGTTTGGATATATCCTAGCTGTGTTTGTGCCCTCACTCATGGTCCAGACTTTTTTCAAATAGGACATGTAGTTTGTCTGCAGCGAGTGTTTTGGTAGAAACTGCGCCTCCCATTCATTATAATGGGAAATGACCACAGACAAGTGCGCACACCATCTTTGGACCTTGAGTGTGACGCGATCGGGAGGGGGAGGCGGTTGCACTGGGGGCGGCGCAACGCGGCTCGGGCCCGCCAGTGCCCCAACGGGGCCCTAGTTCTTTCTTTCTTTCTTTCTTTAGGGCCCGAGCGTAGCTGCTAAGCAGCTGCGAGAGCCCTATTATTCCCCAAGTGGTTTTTCTTTGTTTCTTTTTTCTTTTTCCTCCCCTTTGAACTGGAAAATGGCCCACTTCCCACTGGCGAAAACTCATGAAATTTGGCAGGACGACCGGGCCTGGTGAAAAATTTGATATTCTGAAGTCGCCCAAACAATACAATGCAAAATGGCTCCATAGCGCCCCCTAAGGTGAAAAATTCACCTGACGCCTGTACGCTTTGTCAAAATGACACAAAAATTGACACACACATGTATCTCAATAAGATCTACAAAAAAGTCAGTGCGGGCATATCTGTCAAATGTACGGTTAAAGGGTTATTGCGCATTTTTTGCCGATCCGCACACATTGGAATTTCGCTAACTCCTCCGAAGGCTTTCGTTCCACCGGCACCACATTTGCTCAGGCCAATCTACACCCCATGGCCATTAAAAGTTATTCAAATCATGACGCTGCACCCCACGGTTTAGGTTCTAGGGGGCGCCAAAGATAACCCTGAAATCCACATATTTAAAAGTCTTATAACTTTTTATTTTTGTCCTCTCTGGCCTCCAAGTTTTCTAGGATGATGCAATGTCCAGCCATCAACACATTTGTGAAGGAATTTTTACTCCCCAAAAGAGCGCCCCCCCATGGCAGGAGAAAAAAGTCCATTTTTTCTTGTCCCATAAGGTGAAAATACACATTGTTGACTGTCATACCTGTATGCTTTGTCATATTGACACAAAATTTGACACACACATGTATCTCAATAAGATCTACGAAAAAGTCAATGCGCGCGTATCTGTAAAATGTACAGTTAAAGGGCTATTTTGCATTTTTTGCCGATTAGCACACATTGGAATGTGGCTAACTCCTCCTAAGGCTTTCGTCCCACTGACACCAAATTTGCTCAGGCCAATCTACACCCCATGGCCATTCAAAGTTTTAAAAATCATGACGCTGCACCCCACGGTTTACGTTCTAGGGGGCGCCAAAGATGACCCAAATATCCACATTCTTAAAAGAATCCACCCCCCCCCCATCCCCCATCCCCCATGGCAGGAGAAACAGTCAAGTTTTTCCTGCCCATCACTCAATGGCTCAATCGCATCGCTCTCCCGGCAACACCGTAACGAGGAGCAACTTGCCGTTTGGATATATCCTAGCTGTGTTTGTGCCCTCACTCATGGTCCAGACTTTTTTCAAATAGGACATGTAGTTTGTCTGCAGCGAGTGTTTTGGTAGAAACTGCGCCTCCCATTTATTATAATGGGAAATGACCACAGACAAGTGCGCACACCATCTTTGGACCTTGAGTGTGACGCGATCAGGAGGGGGAGGCGGTCGCACTGGGGGCGGCGCAACGCGGCTCGGGCCCGCCAGTGCCCCAACGGGGCCCTAGTTCTTCTTTTTCCTCCCCTTTGAACTGGAAAATGGCCCACTTCCCACTGGCGAAAACTCATGAAATTTGGCAGGACGACCGGGCCTGGTGAAAAATTCGATATTCTGAAGTCGCCCAAACAATAAAATGCAAAATGGCTCCATAGCGCCCCCTAAGGTGGAAATTCACACTATTGACTGTCACGCCTGTACGCTTTGTCATATTGACACAAAAATTGACACACATATGTATCTCAATAAGATCTACAAAAAAGTCAGTGCGGCCGTATCTGTCAAAATTACGGTTAAAGGGTTATTTCGCATTTTTTGCCGATCCGCACACATTGGAATTTCGCTAACTCCTCCGAAGGCTTTCGTTCCACCGGCACCACATTTGCTCAGGCCAATCTACACCCCGTGGCCATTAAAAGTTATCAAAATCATGACGCTGCACCCCAAGGTTTAGGTTCTAGGGGGCGCCAAAGATAACACTAAAATCCACATATTTAAAAGTCTTATAACTTTTTATTTTTGTCCTCACTGGCCTCCAAGTTTTCTAGGATGATGCAATGTCCAGCCATCAACACATTTGTGAAGGAATTTTTACTCCCCAAAAGAGCGCCCCCCCATGGCAGGAGAAAAAAGTCCATTTTTTCTTGTCCCCTAAGGTGAAAATACACATTGTTGAGTGTCACGCCTATACGCTTTGTCAAAATGACACAAAAATTGACACACACATGTAACTCAATAAGATCTACAAAAAAGTCCATGCGCGCGTATCTGTCAAATGTACAGTTAAAGGGTTATTCCGCATTTTTTGCCGATACGCACACATTGGAATTTCGCTAACTCCTCCAAAGGCTTTCGTTCCACCGGCACCACATTTGCTCAGGCCAATCTACACCCCATGGCCATTAAAAGTTATTCAAATCATGATGCTGCACCCCACGGTTTAGGTTCTAGGGGGCGCCAAAAATAACCCAAAAATCCACATTCTTAAATGTTTTATAACTTTTTATTTTTGTCCTCACTGGCCTCCAAGTTTTCTAGGATGATGCAATGTCCAGCCATCAACACATTTGTGAAGGAATTTTTACTCCCCAAAAGAGCGCCCCCCCATGGTAGGAGAAAAAAGTCAATTTTTTCTTGTCCCCTTACATAAAAATACACATTGTTGAGTGTCACGCCTGAACGCTTTGTCATATTGACACAAAAATTGACAATCATGTGTATCTCAATTAGATCTACGAAAAAGTCAAAGAGCGCGTATCTGTATAATGTACGGTTAAAGGGCTATTTTGCATTTTTTGCCGATTCGCACACATTGGAATGTGGCTATCTCCTCCTAAGGCTTTCGTCCCACCGATACCAAATTTGCTCAGGCCAATCTACACCCCATGGCCATTCAAAGTTGTAAAAATCATGACGCTGCACCCCACGGTTTACGTTCTAGGGGGCGCCAAAGATGACCCAAAAATCCACATTCTTAAAAGTCATTTTGGCCACTGCAGGAGTACAGAGTACTGCAGTTCTAGGGGGCGCCAAAGATGACCCAAAAATCCACATTCTTAAAAGTCTTTTTGGCCACTGCAGGAGTACAGAGTACTGCAGGATACACACACATATACACACACGCCAACATACACACACACACACACACACACACACACACACAGACACACACACACACTCAGAGTCTGTTTTTTAGCACCTGCAAAAACATGCTGTTTACATATTTGACAAGAATGCAGAGGCTTCCTTTTGCCCCTGAAAAAAATCAAATTTCAAACACAACTTGACTGTTCATTTCTCCAAAAGACAACCATGAAGCTCCATTTCAAACCTGAAGCAGATAGTTGGTGCATGTGTACAGTAACCTGAGGGGAGTGAGGTGACTATTTCTGAGGAGAACATGAGCAGTGAAGATTCACCTTGGAGCTAGAACAGGGACGTGCACATGATTATACAGGGGCAGGGGCTCAAGTTTTTTCCAGTCATTTATACAAAATGGAAATTAATGTGAAATTAAACCACAAATATGTGTGATGAACTGTTTTTAAAACTTAAACTTCAAATAAAAATTGTAAACTTCAAAACATATGCAAATTTTTAACAAAGAACATAGTTATTTACCTCTATTTACATCAAAATGCAGGCAATGGCCCAGGCGTTCTTTGTAAAATTATTTACAAAACACTGTATAGTCTCACAAATGTCACTTTTTATTCATGCCACTACAAAAAAACATGATGTAAATGATGCATGATGTAAAACATGATGTAAAAAACTTGTGTAGATCCTCCTCTATGTCAGTCCATGTGTAATTTTTCCATAATTCTTTGTTTTTTGCAGCATTTTTGTTAGTGTAACTGCAGATTGTGCTGACAGTGTCTATGGCACAAAAAAAAAAAAATTAAAATGCCTCAACATGAACCCCTGGTGGTCTCTGAGGGTGAAACCTGCTAACTGCTGCAGCTCTGTCAGCTTCAGTCTCCCATGCAGAGCTCTGAGCGCATGTGTGGCTCTGCACCCTTAGCAGCGTTGCTAACTCCTCAGTAAGGAAAGCCTGCTTCATGTCAGAGTCTCTAAACTCCAGAAGAAGTCGATAAAAGTCCCTTTCTTTCTAAAAAAAGTCGTTAGGGGGTCTGAAAAGTCATTGAATCTAACAACAAAGTCGCTAGGTTTGCAACTACGTGTCCCAGACTGCATCCCTGCTGAGAGTCCCTCCCTCCCTTCTCATATTGCAGGAAGAACGTTAGTTCCTGCCCCTTGTCAATCAGTCACCATATAATTTTGGATTGGTTGTTGTGGTGAAGTTTTCCACCAATAGGAGAGATGTTGTGGTGTGTATTTTTTTTCCTTTGGCAAGCCTTTTCCGCCTGTAAGACCTGTCGCTAATGTCTGCATGCTATGTTTTCCTGTCTCATACAGCGCGATCGAGCGCCGAACGTGATCAAAATAAGCAGAAAACAAGTATCGCGGACATAATTTATCATAACTCTGGTTTTATTTGGCCTATCAACACAATTTAAAAACTGGTATATAGGTTGAGGTCCTCACTTTTGAGATAAATTGAAACGGAGAGTCAACGAGGCTCCGTCTTGCAGCTACATCCGGTTAAATATGTCATGTGACTTGAACGCACACACACACACACACACACACAGACACACACACACACGCACACACACACACTCAGAGTCTGGTTTGTAGCACCTGCAAAAACATGCTATTTACATATTTGACAAGAATGCAGAGGCTCCTTTTGCCCCTGAAAAAAATCAAATTTCAAACACAACTTGACTGGTCATTTCTCCAAAAGACAACCATGAAGCTCCATCCAAACCTGAAGCAGGCAGTTGGTGCATGTGTACAGTAACCTGAGGGGAGTGAGGTGACTGCTTCTGAGGAGAACATGAGCAGTGAAGATTTACCTTAGAGCTAGAACAGAGACGTGCACATGATTATACAGGGGCAGGGGCTCAAGTTTTTTCCAGTCGTTTATACAATTTGGAAATTAATGTGAAATTAAAAAACAAAGTATTAATAGAAAGGTAATGACTGTCCTGTGTAGGTGACAGTGATATCCAATAGGCTAGGCACTCACGAGGCTGGCTGTGGCAAGTGTAAGTGAAAGCAACACGCACTGGCAGGAAGAACAGCAAACGCCGATGAAGGAAAAGGGTCTTTGCAGTGATGGGCGTTACCAAAGAGGGCGATGGCCAGAGGACACAAATGGGACAGGGAGGCAGCGCGTTGGGGGGGGGACGCGACACAGCTCGGGCCCGCCAGTGCCCCAACGGGGTCCTAGTTATTATTAGGGCCCGAGCGTAGCTGCTAAGCAGCTGCGAGAGCCCTCTTGTTCCTGATGGATTCTTCTTTTGTTATTATTATTATTTTTCCTCCGCTTTAAACTGGAAAATGGCCCACTTCCCACTGGCGAAAACTCATGAAATTTGGCAGGACGACCGGGCCTGGTGAAAAATTCGATATTCTGAAGTCGCCCAAACAAGAAAATGCAAAATGGCTCCATAGCGCCCCCTAAGGTGAAAATTCACACTATTGACTGTCACGCCTGTACGCTTTGTCATATTGACACAAAAATTGACACACACATGTATCTCAATAAGATCTACAAAAAAGTCAGTGCGGGCGTATCTGTCAAATGTACGGTTAAAGGGTTATTTTGCATTTTTTGCAGATCCGCACACATTGGAATTTCGCTAACTCCTCCGAAGGCTTTCGTTCCACCGGCACCACATTTGCTCAGGCCAATCTACACTCCATGGCCATTCAAAGTTGTACAAATCATAATGCTGCACCCCATGGTTTAGGTTCTAGGGGGCGCCAAAAATAACCCAAAAATCCACATTCTTAAAAGTTTTATAAATTTTTTTTTTTGTCCTCACTGGCCTCCAAGTTTTCTAGGATGATGCAATGTCCAGCCATCAACACATTTGTGAAGGAATTTTTACTCCCCAAAAGAGCGCCCCCCCATGGCAGGAATAAAAAGTCCATTTTTTCTTGTCCCCTAAGGTGAAAATACACATTGTTGAGTGTCACGCCTGTACGCTTTGTCGTATTGACAAAAAATTTGACACACACGTGTATCTCAATAAGATCTACGAAAAAGTCAATGGGCGCGTATCTGTAAAATGTACGGCTAAAGGGCTATTTTGCATTTTTTGCCGATTCGCACACATTGGAATGTGGCTAACTCCTCCTAAGGCTTTCGTCCCACTGACACCAAATTTGCTCAGGCCAATCTACACCCCATGGCCATTCAAAGTTGTAAAAATCATGCCGCTGCACCCCATGGTTTACGTTCTAGGGGGCGCCAAAGATGACCCAAATATCCACATTCTTAAAAGTCGTTTTGGCCACTGCAGGAGTACAGAGTACTGCAGGATACACACACACAGACACACACACACACAGACACACACACACACACACACACACACACACACACACACACACACTCAGAGTCTGTTTTTTAGCACCTGCAAAAACATGCTATTTACATATTTGACAACAATGCAGAGGCTTCCTTTTGCCCCTGAAAAAAATCAAATTTCTAACACAACTTGACTGCTCATTTCTCCAAAAGACAACCATGAAGCTCCATCCAAACCTGAAGCAGGCAGTTGGTGCATGTGCACAGTAACCTGAGGGGAGTGAGGTGACTGCTTCTGAGGAGAACATGAGCAGTGAAGATTCACCTTGGAGCGAGAACAGGGACGTGCACATGATTATACGGGGGCAGGGGCTCAAGTTTTTTCCAGTCGTTTATACAATATGGAAATTAATGTGAAATTAAAAAACAAAGTATTAATAGAAAGGTAATGACTGTCCTGTGTAGGTGACAGTGATATCCAATAGGCTAGGCACTCACAAGGCTGGCTGTGGCAAGTGTAAGTGAAAGCAACACGCACTGGCAGGAAGAACAGCAAACGCCGATGAAGGAAAAGGGTCTTTGCAGTGATGGGCGTTACCAGAGAGGACGATGGCCAGAGGACGCGAATGGGACGGGGAGGCAGCGCGTTGGGGGGGGGGGGGGGGGGGCGACACAGCTCGGGCCCGCCAGTGCCCCAACGGGGCCCTAGTTAGGGCCCGAGCGTAGCTGCTAAGCAGCTGCGAGAGCCCTCTTGTTCCTGATGGATTCTTCTTTCGTTATTTTTCCTCCGCTTTAAACTGGAAAATGGCCCACTTCCCACTGGCGAAAACTCAGGAAATTTGGCAGGACGACCGGGCCTGGTGAAAAATTTGATATTCTGAAGTCGTCCAAACAAAAAAATGAAAAATGGCACCATAGCGCCCCCTATGGTGAAAACTCACCTGATGCCTGTACGCTTTGTCAAAATGACACAAAATTTGACACACATGTGTATCTCAATAAGATCTACGAAAAAGTCAGTGCGGGCGTATCTACCAAATGTACGGTTAAAGGGCTATTTCGCTTTTTTTGCCGATCCGCACACATTGGAATTTCGCTAACTCCTCCGAAGGCTTTCGTTCCACCGGCACCAAGTTTGCTCAGGCCAATCTACACCCCATGGCCATTAAAAGTTGTACAAATCATGATGCTGCACCCCACGGTTTACTTTCTAGGGGGCGCCAAAGATAACACAAAAATCCACATTCTTAAAAGTCTTATAACTTTTTATTTTTGTCCTCACTGGCCTCCAAGTTTTCTAGGATGATGCAATGTCCAGCCATCAACACATTTGTGAAGGAATTTTTACTCCCCAAAAGAGCGCCCCCCCATGGCAGGAGAAAAAAGTCCATTTTTTCTTGTCTCCTAAGGTAAAAATACACATTGTTGAGTGTCACGCCTATACACTTTGTCATATTGACACACAATTTGACAATCACGTGTATCTCAATAAGATCTACAAAAAAGTCAATAGGCACGTATCTGTCAAATGTATGGTTAAAGGGCTATTTCGCATTTTTTGCCGATTCGCACACATTGGAATGTGGCTAACTCCTCCTAAGGCTTTCGTCCCACTGATACCAAATTTGCTCAGGCCAATCCACACCCCATGGCCATTCAAAGTTGTAAAAATCATGACGCTGCACCCCACGGTTTACGTTCTAGGGGGCGCCAAAGAGGACCCAAAAATCCACATTCTTAAAAGTCATTTTGGCCACTGCAGGAGTACAGAGTACTGCAGTTCTAGGGGGCGCCAAAGATGACCCAAAAATCCACATTCTTAAAAGTCTTTTTGGCCACTGCAGGAGTACAGAGTACTGCCGGACACACACACATATACACACACGCCAACACACACACACACACACACACACACACACACACACACACACACACACACACACACTCAGAGTCTGTTTTTTAGCACCTGCAAAAACATGCTGTTTACATATTTGACAAGAATGCAGAGGCTTCCTTTTGCCCCTGAAAAAAATCAAATTTCAAACACAACTTGACTGTTCATTTCTCCAAAAGACAACCATGAAGCTCCATCCAAACCTGAAGCAGATAGTTGGTGCATGTGTACAGTAACCTGAGGAGAGTGAGGTGACTACTTCTGAGGAGAACATGAGCAGTGAAGATTCACCTTGGAGCTAGAACAGGGACGTGCACATGATTATACAGGGGCAGGGGCTCAAGTTTTTTCCAGTCATTTATACAATATGGAAATTAATGTGAAATTAAACCACAAATATGTCTGATGAACTGTTTTTAAAACTTAAACTTCAAATAAAAATTGTAAACTTCAAAACATATGCAAATTTTTAACAAAGAACATAGTAATTTACCTCTATTTACATCAAAATGCAGGCAATGGCCCAGGCGTTCTTTGTAAAATTATTTACAAAACACTGTATAGTCTCACAAATGTCACTTTTTATTTATGCCACTACAAAAAAACATGATGTAAATGATGCATGATGTAAAACATGATGTAAAAAACTTGTGTAGATCCTCCTCTATGTCAGTCCATGTGTAATTTTTCCATAATTCTTTGTTTTTGGCAGCATTTTTGTTAGTGTAACTGCAGATTGTGCTGACAGTGTCTATGGCACAAAAAAAAAAAAAAATTAAAATGCCTCAACATGAACCCCTGGTGGTCTCTGAGGGTGAAACCTGCTAACTGCTGCAGCTCTGTCAGCTTCAGTCTCCCATGCAGAGCTCTGAGCGCATGTGTGGCTCTGCACCCTTAGCAGCGTTGCTAACTCCTCAGTAAGGAAAGCCTGCTTCATGTCAGAGTCTCTAAACTCCAGAAGAAGTCGATAAAAGTCCCTTTCTTTCTAAAAAAAAAGTCGTTAGGGTGTCTGAAAAGTCATTGAATCTAACAACAAAGTCGCTAGGTTTGCAACTACGTGTCCCAGACTGCATCCCTGCTGAGAGTCCCTCCCTCCCTTCTCATGTTGCAGGAAGAACGTAAGCGCCCGCCCCTTGTCAATCAGTCACCATATAATTTTGGATTGGTTGTTGTGGTGAAGTTTTCCACCAATAGAAGAGATGTTGTGGTGTGTTTTTTTTTTCTTTTGGCAAGCCTTTTCCGCCTGTAAGACCTGTCGCTAATGTCTGCATGCTATGTTTTCCTGTCTCATACAGCGCGATCGAGCGCCGAACGTGATCAAAATAAGCAGAAAAAAAGTATCGCGGACATAATTTATCATAACTCTGGTTTTATTTGGCCTATCAACACAATTTAAAAACTGGTATATAGGTTGAGGTCCTCACTTTTGAGATAAGTTGAAACTGAGAGTCAACAAGGCTCCGTCTTGCAGGTACATCCGGTTAAATATGTCATGTGACTTGAACGCACACATAGACACACACACACACACACACACACACACACACACACACACACACACACACACACACACTCAGAGTCTGGTTTTTAGCACCTGCAAAAACATGCTATTTACATATTTGACAAGAATGCAGAGGCTCCTTTTGCCCCTGAAAAAAATCAAATTTCAAACACAACTTGACTGGTCATTTCTCCAAAAGACAACCATGAAGCTCCATCCAAACCTGAAGCAGGCAGTTGGTGCATGTGTACAGTAACCTGAGGGGAGTGAGGTGAGTGCTTCTGAGGAGAACATGAGCAGTGAAGATTCACCTTGGAGCTAGAACAGAGACATGCACATGATTATACAGGGGCAGGGGCTCAAGTTTTTTCCAGTCGTTTATACAATATGGAAATTAATGTGAAATTAAAACACAAAGTATTAATAGAAAGGTAATGACTGTCCTGTGTAGGTGACAGTGATATCCAATAGGCTAGGCACTCACGAGGCTGGCTGTGGCAAGTGTAAGTGAAAGCAACACGCACTGGCAGGAAGAACAGCAAACGCCGATGAAGGAAAAGGGTCTTTGCAGTGATGGGCGTTAACAGAGAGGGCGATGGCCAGAGGACACAAATGGGACGGGGAGGCAGCACGTTGGGGGGGGGGAGACGCGACACGGCTCGGGCCCGCCAGTGCCCCAACGGGGTCCTAGTTATTATTTTTCCTCCGCTTTAAACTGGAAAATGGCCCACTTCCCACTGGCGAAAACTCATGAAATTTGGCAGGACGACCGGGCCTGGTGAAAAATTCGATATTCTGAAGTCGCCCAAACAATAAAATGCAAAATGGCTCCATAGCGCCCCCTAAGGTGGAAATTCACACTATTGACTGTCACGTCTGTACGTTTTGTCATATTGACACAAAAATTGACACACATATGTATCTCAATAAGATCTACAAAAAAGTCAGTGCGGGCGTATCTGTCAAATGTACGGTTAAAGGGTTATTTCGCATTTTTTGCCGATCCGCACACATTGGAATTTCGCTAACTCCTCCGAAGGCTTTCGTTCCACCGGCACCACATTTGCTCAGGCCAGTCTACACCCCATGGCCATTAAAAGTTGTACAAATCATGACGCTGCACCCCACGGTTTAGGTTCTAGGGGGCGCCAAAGATAACCCAAAAATCCACATTCTTAAAAGTCTTATAACTTTTTATTTTTGTCCTCACTGCCCTCCAAGTTTTCTAGGATGATGCAATGTCCAGCCATCAACACATTTGTGAAGGAATTTTTACTCCCCAAAAGAGCGCCCCCCCATGGCAGGAGAAAAAAGTCAATTTTTTCTTGTCCCCTTACATGAAAATACACATTGTTGAGTGTCACGCCTGAACGATTTGTCATATTGACACAAAAATTGACAATCATGTGTATCTCAATTAGATCTACGAAAAAGTCAAAGAGCGCGTATCTGTATAATGTACGGTTAAAGGGCTATTTCGCATTTTTTGCCGATTCGCACACATTGGAATGTGGCTATCTCCTCCTAAGGCTTTCGTCCCACTGATAACAAATTTGCTCAGGGCAATCTACACCCCATGCCCATTCAAAGTTGTAAAAATCATGACGCTGCACCCCACGGTTTACGTTCTAGGGGGCGCCAAAGATGACCCAAAAATCCACATTCTTAAAAGTCATTTTGGCCACTGCAGGAGTACAGAGTACTGCAGTTCTAGGGGGCGCCAAAGATGACCCAAAAATCCACATTCTTAAAAGTCTTTTTGGCCACTGCAGGAGTACAGAGTACTGCAGGATACACACACATATACACACACGCCAACACACACACACACACACACACACACACACACACACACACACACACACACACACACTCAGAGTCTGTTTTTTAGCACCTGCAAAAACATGCTGTTTACATATTTGACAAGAATGCAGAGGCTTCCTTTTGCCCCTGAAAAAAATCAAATTTCAAACACAACTTGACTGTTCATTTCTCCAAAAGACAACCATGAAGCTCCATCCAAACCTGAAGCAGATAGTTGGTGCATGTGTACAGTAACCTGAGGGGAGTGAGGTGACTATTTCTTAAAAGTACACATGTATCTCAATAAGATCTACAAAAAAGTCAGTGCGGGCGTATCTGTCAAATGTACGGTTAAAGGGTTATTTCGCATTTTTTGCCGATCCGCACACATTGAAATTTCGCTAACTCCTCCGAAGGCTTTCGTTCCACCGGCACCACATTTGCTCAGGCCAATCTACACCCCATGGCCATCGAAAGTTGTACAAATCATGACGCTGCACCCCACGGTTTAGGTTCTAGGGGGCGCCAAAGATAACCAAAAAATCCACATTCTTAAAAGTCTTATAACTTTTTATTTTTTTCCTCACTGGCCTCCAAGTTCTCTAGGATGATGCAATGTCCAGCCATCAACACATTTGTGAAGGAATTTTTACTCCCCAAAAGAGCGCCCCCACATGGCAGGAGAAAAAGTCAAGTTTTTCCTGCCCATCGCTCAATGGCTCAAACGCATCGCTCTCTCTGCAAAACCGAAAGGAGGAGCAACTTGCCATTTGGATATATACTAGCTGTGTTTGTGCCCTCACTCATGGTCCAGACTTTTTTCAAATAGGACATGTAGTTTGTCTGCAGCGAGCGTTTTGGTAGAAACTGCGCCTCCCATTCATTATAATGGGCAATGACCACAGACAAGTGCGCACACCATCTTTGGACCTTGAGTGTGACGCGATCGGGAGGGGGAGGCGGTCGCGCTGGGGGCGGCGCGACGCGGCTCGGGCCCGACAGTGCCCCACCGGGGCCCTAGTTTTTTTTTTTTCCTTTGGCGAGGGGAGGGGGGAGGGGCAACCGCATCAGTGATGATGATTGGTTAAGGCAGAGTAATATTTCATGCTAAGCCAATCAGAGGCAGTGGTCAGTTTGTACACAAACCACACACGTATGCAGTAGCCTCACACACACACACACACACACACACACACACACACACACACACACACACACACACACACACACAAAGAGAACAGCTGCAGCGATGGCGAGTTCGGAGGGAAAGTTTACGTTTTAAAGGGGAAGTACGGGCACACTTTAATCTCCTTGAGGTAAAAGGTAAGAACATACATGTAAAGTGTACACTATGTCCCAGAGCGAAGTGTTTGTTCATGTCCGTTGTAAGCAACTCTAATCTATTGAAGTATCTCTCAACGGCAGACGCTTCTACAAAACTAGTGGCCCAAAACACCATTGTTGACACTGTTGGTGATGATAGCAGGCCAGGTGTAGCTAACGTGAGCTCCACTAACAAAGACGGACTGTCTTTGGAAACCCGCTTAGGAAAAAAATCCCAATTCTTCAACATATTTAAATAAAAATAAATAAAAAAGTAACGCAATAGTTACTTTCCCTGGTTACTTTTATAGTGGAGTATTTTTTTTTTTACTGCCAGCTGTTTAGCAAGTCAAGACAACTTTATTCATACAGTACATTTAAAAACAAGCAAATCTGACTGAGGTGATTTAAGCTGTTTGGACGGGCACATTAAAAAACTAAACATGAACATTCAGATAATTATAATTCTTGAAAGGATTATGGTAGAAATATGATGGGTCTTCAACAATTACTCATAAAATGTAAGAGTTTTAACCCATGATTGATAGCATGCATTAATTTTACCATCATTATTAACTTTAGCATGACATGATAACAATCTATGAGTTTCCCACCCTGAATGTAATACCACAAGATTATGGCCAACGTAAGGATATGGTTGATTTGTTATGCTCACACGTATCGATACAGCATTTAGCCAGTTCTTGGTGCATCTGTGGCCAAGCGGTGAAACAAGATCATCCTTTTATTCCATCACACATTAAACAACAACAAATGGCAAAGAAGTGGAACAGCTGTAAAACAGGAGCGGGCTAAAGTTATTCTTGTAAAGGAGTCGGCTCTTTGGGGCGAGGCTTTCATGACTGACGCGTCACTATTTGAAGTGGTGAGCTGTTGCATCCTCATTCCTTGGCTTTCAGTTGCTGATCAAACATCCAACACATTTAGATGGGAAACTTCTCAGTGTGATGGATGTATGAGTAGAAGTGTCAAAGTTTAAGTCTCAGTGTTATCAGACTGTAAATGCTCCAAGTGCATGTACACTGCATGCAAAGTAATGACTTTCCTTTTGGGGATAAGTAAAGGTCTTGTTTTGTATTGTACTGTATTTTAAATACATATTTTTTAAGGGCAGCTGGAGGACGTATGATAATGAAAAAACATATGTGACTTATGAGACGGGGTTTCTCCTTCTCCATCTACCATGCAGATGTTCAGTCCTTTCACTCTCTAACAGGTGCCTCTATTTTTTATTCCTCATCAGACAGCTTCTCAGAGTTGAATGTGGGCGGAGCTTAGCCAGACGTCTGTGATGTCATCAGACTTTATGAATTAAAAATAATGGGTATGCTCCATTTGGCTGTGCCACTTCTTTTTATAGCAACAAGGGTGGGAAAAGCTGCTTAAATGGAGGGCAGGCAGCAGCTAAGACACCAGGTATGACGCTGAAACTATCAAAAAGAAGCAATTAAATTAATCTCTTCTCAGCCTTTGTGTTTGGCAGATCCACACCCTTACAGTACTACGTGTTCATCAGGTCTTATACAGCACCTAGCAATAAGGATGAAAGTGGATCTGCCACGTTCAGTGAAGCCAACCAGTCATTCAGACACAGTCTGTGCATCCCCCACAGTCCTGAAAAGATCAACCCCAACAATTCAAATCACCTTTAAGCTTCACCATGGGAATGCAGGGCCTTTAGCTCGTCTGATGATCTCACCATTGCCTCAGGAGGAGCTGTATGCCCCAGAAATGTCTGCGTCATCAAGCCCAGTCATTGAGAACATTATGACTGCTCAGTGGCACAGGGTTTAGCTCTGTCACATCACTGCAACATCGTCCTGGTATGAACTGTGGCCAGATGACTCTCTGTATGCACTAATAACTCCTATATGCTCCATTTGTTTCTGCTTTGGCCCAGAGACAAGGCAACTCAGTTGAAATAGAAACTAAAAAAATTGCATGCTTAGAGTCCAAAAGTTCAACTCAAATTTAAAAAAAGTTGGGATTGTTTATAAAAACAGATTCAAATGTTTTTTAAATCATTCAAACGCTATATTTAATACATGGGTCTCTAAAGTTTGGGGTCTTCTTTGTTGTACTTTTGGTTTTATGACGCACCACATGTCTTCAGTGGGAGACAAACAGGGACTGCAGGCAGGCCAGTTAAGCACCTGGACTCTACAGAGCCATGCTGTTGTAATACCTGCAGAAAGTGGTTTGTCATTGTCTTGCTGAAATATGCAAGGTCTTCCCTGACAAAGCCATTCTCTGGTGGCAGCATATGTTGCTCTCAAACCTTTATATACTACTCAGCATTAATGGTGCCTCCTTGAATGTGTAAACGAGCCATGTCGTGGGCTCTAGTGCACACCATCATGGATACTGGCTTTTGAGCCATGCATTAATAACAATGATCAATGAATGAATAACAGTCCGTCTGTTTAGAGCAGAGGAAGCAATATTGATGGTTTCCGAAAAGATTGTCAAATTTAATCTGGTCCATCCAGATAAGTCCATCCCAAATGGACTTGATCAAAGAGGAGATGCCTTTGTTCCCAGATCATGTCTATATATAGTTCCCTCTTGGTGTGGTACAGTTTTAACCTTGTAGATTTGTAGATGCAGCATAAACTTAATTTATTTTTAAGCAATGCCACCTGAAGATCACAGCCTTTGAGATTTAATTTGTGTCCCTTTTGTACAGAGATTTCTCTATATACTTTGAATCTCTTAATGATAATTTGCTGTATGTGATAAAATTTTAAAACTCATTGCAATTTTAGGATGAGGAGCATTGTTCTAGTGTTGCTGAACAATTTACTCACACACTCTCACAATGAGGTGCGAGATGTTCTTCTTGATGTTTATTTCTAGCATCAGTGTTTCCCCTACATTCATTCGGCGCTGCTGAACTATGTGCGATTGCACCGCTACTGACATTTCACATGATCATTAATATCAATGCACCACTAATGATTTCTACTTGCACTGTTTGAGCACAACAACGCGCAATGTTCTTTTCATTGTTTTGAGTCATCAACAAGCTCATCAAATCCTGTCGGACCCCCTTCCATTAATGTGAAGGTTAAAGTTCAAGCTTATACACGGTCTATATAGCCAGTACCGCGGGTAACGTAACGTCATGTGAACATAACAGCTTAGCTCCTTGAGTGACAAGAGTGGGGGTAACATTCAGGGGAAACACTGAGCATTGCACAATTTTTTGGTGTTTTGTCTTGACTTTTTAAAATATGTTGCTGGGATCAAATAAAAAAACAAGCATTTCATTATTTTTCAGTTTCAATTTCTGATATGTTGCCTGAAACATTTTTCAATTAACTGTTTTAAATTTGTTGTAAAATTTGTTTTAATTAACATTATAAGCAGCTTCCTAACTACAGTATTTTGGCAATGAATAGAAAGAAAATTAATTATCGTGCAAAAAAAGTTTGCCAAAGCTGTTGTTTGTTTAAAACGAGCACTCCTTTTATTAGGGGGGATGTCACAATAAAGGCTATGCGTGGAAAGTCGAAAATAAGTTACCAAGGCTGGTTCAAACAAGGCTCTAGATTGAGAAATGACTTCACTCCCACCATCTGCTGTGCTGAAGTGAGAGCTGCATCCCCACATACCATGTGTTTAAATCCAACCGAGTGTGAGAGTTGCTCCTTAATTTCCTGTCTCCTGTCAGCCCACTCCCTCCCTCTCCTTCACCCTGAAATATCTGTTTCATTTCTCTGGCCATCTCCTGCTGACAGATGAAGGATACATGTTACTTTAGCGAAATATGGCAGTTTGAATGAGTGGGGTAACAGTTCACCAACGTCATCTGACTAGTGTGGTTATGCAGACAAGAGCGAGGAAGTAACACGCTTTCGTAGCTAAGCAGATATTGGACACAAGTGTGAAATCATGACATAGCAGCATGAAATCCCTCATAGTCTGGCTCTCTGCTGTGGAGACATGAACCACCACCAACTCAGAGGGTTCATCTCAGTGTGCTGGAGGGATGCTCAGTGATGAGCTTAGCATTAGCTTCCAGGATTATAGTGTTTTAAGTTTCTCTCATTCACAGAGGTTTCACAGGATTTTCCTCCCTGCTCAGATCAAACTCCAGGAGGGAAACACCACGTTTTTTTGCATTAATTCGGCACAAATTAGCTAAATTTAGAGATAGTGAATATTTCAAAAAAGCTCTTAAAATCAGGATTTAGCGCCTGGATTTTCTTTGTGCTTTTTGCCTTTTCGGAGCAGGCCTGTATAATGGAAATGGCCTGGATCCTCAGTTTAAAGGATGAATGCTAAAGTAGGTGATATGTGACCTGGATACTCGGATCTGCCGTGGAAAAGCTCCTCAGGCAGTATTCGTAAGTATCCAGCAGCAAGCAACATGAAAATGACGTCTGATTTTTCAAAATCTGAGGAAATCAAGCTGAAGTTCTCAAAGAGGGTTTTTTTAAGGACAGCGGGTTTTCAGGAGGTGCTTAAGCGCTCACATGGCAGCCATTACCTCAGACGTCATCCTCAGGATGGGAGGCTCAGGAGCTCAAAAAGATGAATGCATCAAGTTTAATGATTTGGGATTCCCATTAGTTATTATGACTAGAACAGTGAGTCGATGTTAAACTCATCATGTTGATCATTTCCACTGAATCGTGTCAGGCCTTACTGTTATATGGTGTGTAATGCCATATCACATCACATCATATCTCATCATATTGTATCACATCATATCTCATTGTATCATCATTTTTGTATTGCATCATATCATGTCCTGTTGTATTGTGTTGTTGTGTTGTATAATATAATATCCTATTCCATTATTCATATCATGTGTTCAATTTGTACGTATCATATCATATAGTATTCCAGCCTCTCTACCCTCTACACACTTCAGCTCTGAGGGACGGCTCTTGTAAGCGCTGAATAATACTATGAAGAGCTGTTTGGGAGCCAGTTCTTGCTGATAGAAAACTCTAAAAGGAGCCAAATTCTCATCACTTGTTGCAGCTAAGATTGAGGTTGTAAATCTGAATGAGGAGATGGATGAAAACTCTGCTCATGCATTGTTCACTGTTAATTTAGGCCAGGATTTTAAAGCCAAAGTATCATCAAAGTTGACATCTGTTAAGGGATCGTAATGGTAATGGAGGCTTTTTTTAAATTAATTGTGACAACCTCTGTTTGTATCATATTGTATCTAATTGTATCGTATTATATCGAATCGGATCATATCATGAATTACCAAATTGTATCGAATCGTATCCAATTGTATAGTTTTGTATCGTATCGTATTGTATCGAATCATACCATGAATTATCGTATTGTATCGAATTGTGTTGTATTGAATTATATCATATCGTACCAAATCGTATTGTGAAGTACAGCATCTTATCCTCTGGTATTGTATCATATCGTGTTGCATCCTATCACATCATGTCATATTATATTATATCATATCACTATCACCAAAACTAACAAAGCAAAACTGAGACAGAAAACAGTAAAGACGTCCTCTCAATCCCTAAGGTCATCCATCATGCATATTAAATTCCCTCACAAAAATTGCCTGGGATTCTTATTTGTCTTGAAATTCATCCTATCAGTGACATTTGTCTGACATTATGTCAGAAATCATGTTTCTGAACCCTGAGCACACAGCCAGAGGAAAATGGCCATGGTGTGAATATGGCGAATAAACAAAGGGCTTGACTGGTACATGCTTTGATAGTTGCAGGCTGCTGCTTTGCTCAGAGGTGTGGACAGTTTTGCAGCAGTGTGAGACAGTGCTGTTTTCTCGCACATACATCATCATAAGAACACCAGGGAGGAGAGGACATCCATATTCATCATCAGCAGAAAGGAGTGGGGGATATAGGCTTCTTCTTTTGTACTGGGAGGGAATGCCCCTCGCTTCTGTGTGTCCCTGTGAGTGTGTGTGTCCCTATGTGTGTGTGTGTGTTTGACGGCAGTGACGTTGATGCTAGGTCAGACTCGTTTAGCCTCCCTGAGATGAGGAGTGAAGGTGAGGCTGACAGAGTGGGGATGGGTGTGTGTGTGTGTGCGCGTTATATGGGCTTGGGATGGAGATGCTGTCACATCCCCACCCCCACTCACACACATACACACACTTTTTCCTCCGGTACTAAAAATAGAATGAGAGAGAGCAGCTGGAATGGCAAGTGAGAAACACACACACATGCATATATACACACACACACACACACACACACACACACACACCCAGTGTACATTGAGATGCACATTGATTCCTATTGCCCCCCTCCTAATTCTATCTCTAGCTCCCCCCCTCCCTCACTTATTGAATCTACTCCTGGCTATTTCCTTCACAATGCTTCCTGCTGCAACTTCTTTTTTTCTTATCTTTGATGTGCTGTGAATATTTGGTACCGATAAGAGTCTTTTTTTACGAGGGGAACATAAAGCTATTTAAATAATTGGAGAAAATGATGACTCCACGTTCACTGCTAACCTCCATATCCCTCGTTTCCTCCCTAAAAGAGCATAACAATTGTGCCTTTGCCTCCCATTTTCTGCCTTGCATTATCATTTCTCCTGACTCCGTCCCCCATCTCCATCTCCATCCTTTTATTCAAATGAGAGAAACCTGTCTTGGTTGCCCCTTTTCCTTTGGATACCCTTCAGAGCAGTCCTTGTGGACAGCATACCCATTCACAGCTATAAATAACTCACTCTCTCTCCTCCTCCACACCTCCTCCTCCCCAACTTCACCACCACCACTTCCACCCCCTCTTCCCTCGCTCATCCTCTAGCAGGGCCATTTGCTTCTGGGCTTGCTGTCTGGGGTTCTCCCCTCCTTTCTCTCTCTCTCCCTCTCTGTGCTGTCTCTGTGGACCTTGCTCCGCCTCGCAGGCTCCAGTTTATAACCCAACAAGCACGAATATCTGCTCTTCCCTTTTCTCTGTTATAAACCTCACATTTATGAAACTGGTTTCCAGACAGCAGCTGATTTCATAGCAGGTCATCCTATCAGTCATAAAGCCTGAGTTGTCTGTAGGCACAGGATTGTGGCTAATTGTACAAAGTGGCATAAAGATGAGGGTCCTGCCTTTGTTGCACCTGGAAGATACTCTTGACTGTAGAGAAATAATGCTAGGATACTAAAAATGTCACATGTGCGACAACTTCCTAAATACAAATACAAAGAATCAAGGGCGACATCGTGCTGCACTCGGACAGATTGATGCAATCTACTTTTTCACATCCAATTTTTCAGTGGGCCAATCTTTTATCTCGTCTCCATGGCTCAGCCCTCACCGTAAAAATCTCACCTCTACTTCCCAGAATTAAAAGTTGTTTCAGCTATGATGAAGCTGGTGACCAAAAGACATATTAAACACCTGCTTCCCCAGTCTGGGGTCTGTGTGGAGCTCATAACTCACTTTTATGGTGCACACGATTGAGTACAGAAACCTTAATGCATCTGATTCTGGGTCATTTTTTTAAGGTAACTGGCCCATTTTTCAACAAACTGAATGCTGAATGGAGGATTTGGTTTTGTAGTACATGACCAGTTTTTAAAAGGAGGATTTTGTTCAGAATTAACTGTGAAATCTCCTAAAGAAATCACTGAATCGTATTTTCTACAGGACAGAACAGCAAAGTTTACACCATCAAAGGGGCGCCTAAATTTCTCATGACAATGAAATAAAAAGACATAACAGAGCCCTAATCTGCCTGCTGAATTTATGCACACAGTATGACAGGACACAATGAAAGTCAAAGAGGACTCTTCCACATCCGCTCTGAAAAGGACAGATTGCATCACAGATTTAAGTCCTCCATGTTGCTGGTTGTTATGTCTGGTCTGCCTCTAACTGGATTTAGAGCCAGAACAGCGGACTAAGACGGATTTAAACCATTGTTCGTTTTGATCTCATTAGTTTAGTGGAGCTAAGTCTTCAAAAGCTTGCATTCAGTTGCCATGTCTGCATAAGTAAATGTAACACAATATTGGTTTACAGCAAACCATATCCTGGTAGTTTTACTTGTTTATGTAAAATTTCAGTCGCATTAGAGTAGGAAAGAAGCGGAGCGAAAAATACAGAATGTGGTTTGTTGGGGTTATGACCATCAATATCAAGATTTATTTTTTAACTTTTAGGCTGTAACCGTAGACTGTATATAGAATGGACACCATCTGCCTCCTCGCTGGGTGAAGCCACCGTGAGAACAGCATCCTCTGTTGACGGGCTGCAGTATAGGTCATAAATCCTGCCTCCTCCAGCAATCCCTATGGCACTGACAAACTTTAGAAATTCATAACACAGAATATAAATTTTTCTCCTCCCTGCTTGTGATGTTGACATCAGTAGTTACTGTGAGATTGGTTTGTGCTCAAGTCCCCTTTTTTCTGTACAGCACCATTTTTAAAAGTTATTAAGGGGTTCATCTTTTCTATGATTGACACTTGATAGCTCACCCGAGGGATAGACTGTTTGAGCCGAGTGTCATCACGGCGACTCTCTGCGACTCTCCCACTGAATGTGTACAATGCTACTGCGCAAGTAGCAGAGTGCGTACAACGCTACTGTGCAATGTTGGTTCAGGAAGTGGAGAAAAATCGCAGAAATACCAAGAACTTTTCGGCTTCAAATCCATATACTGGCGGAGGCTGGAACCAAGTTGTCCACAGTATATACAGTCTATGGCTGTAACCTGCACTGTTGCCTCCTGCTGGCAGTTAGAAAGACTGCAAAATAAAGATACAGGCTATTTTCACTCCTTATACACTGTCTGTGTTTTCATGATTGACTTTTATCCAATACAATAATTTGTGTGGGATTAGACTTGACCATTAGAATATATTCAGATAACTTTTTCCACCAGACAATCAGTGTTGGAGTAAATCTGTGACACCTCAATTGCTGATATTCCCACACACGACAATATCCATTGAGAATGTAATGAAAGCAATAACACCTTCACCCTTTGTCTTCTTCCTGTTTCAGATACCCCATCCTGGTCATGGCTGCCACAGTTCTGCAACCTTCGAGACCTCCGTCGCCGAGCCCAGCTCAGACAGCTGGAAGACTCCAGCGGCAACATGGTCCACATCAAGCAGAAGCTCTACCACAACGGCCACCCCAGTCCCCGCCACCTCTGACTTTAAAACACAAATAAAAGTAAAAAAAAAAAACAATACTCCCTTTCCCTGAGACTCCTCCTGTCTTCTCCAAAACCTCCTGATCCCACTTTCCAAACTGCCCCTCGGCCAAATGTTGCCTCAGAGACCCTGGAAAACTGCCCTCCCACTGTTCATAAAATTGCCACTTAAATCCCCCACAACAGGACTTTCTTATGTCTGAACCGGGCCCCTGTCAGCACTAAAATATTCCCAAAATGGAGCAAGATGATAATTATTTGTTTCCACTAAAATCTTGTCTTATGTCCACGTCCACCATTGTGGGAGGAGGGAGAAAAAAAAACATTTTTAAGGGTGTTTTTTCTGTATAGAGACATTTTCTGTGTTCATTGTTAACTTGGCATGCTCTTTTAGAACAGGGTAAGATGTGGGCAGCGTATGGAGCGGGGCGGCAAGACGGGTGTCAGGATATTTTTTTTCTCTATAGGGTGGGAGTGGGACTTTGTTGGCGTGGGGAGGGGTGAATGAGACTGCTGGGTGGGTGGGTTTTTGTGATGGTTGAGATTGCTGCTTCTGTAAATAGTTATAAATACGGGAAAGTGGGATTTAACAGTCTTTAAAAGGGGGAGCGTGGGGGGATTTTTGTGTGAGTCGTTTATCAATAGAAAATTAATGACGGGCTGTGTGCGTAAAGATTAGAGGAATGAACCAGAAAGACGAGTTTGTTTGAAAATTGGATGTGAAACCATGTGATTTCTGCTAAAAACACAGATTAATTAGCTTTGTTACTTAGTGAATTAACTGAATGTATTAATTTTTCCTGTAAATATGTGAGGGGGAGGGGAGCGTGAGGGGTTCTGGTTGGGGTTCTCTTTGCTATACTGTCATCCTTTAGTGGACACAGGAGGAGAAATAAATGCCAGCCAAGATGAGTCAGTTCAACACGTACACACACACACACACACACATATTCACACACACTTACACACACATACAAAAACACCTCCACCTTCCTCACACTGTGCTCTACAGCACAGTTCAATTTTCTTTATCCAATTCCCTCACACTTATCAGGAGCAACCAGCCTATCAGCAGAGGGAACCCTCTCCCAGCCCTCCCCTCGTCCTCTCTGTCCAGACATTGCTGTTGTGAGGATGAAATGTCTGTTTTATTAAAAGTGCCATTGAAGCACAACAGTGACCTCTGATGTTTGATTGTGTCATTCCCACCATACGAGCAAAGATGAGCACACATTCTCATAGTAAGAGGTTATTTCCGAGCAGCAGCAACAGACAGATTATGAGAGGTCCTGCTGACAGCTTTAGCTCTGTTTATAATAATTCAGATAGAAATTTCATGAGCACTGACTAACAACACTTCTGAGATGACTAACAATGCCAATGACATCCTGACGCTGCTGAGAAAAGCCCTCCAGTGTGATTTACTGGAACAGTGTGACTCGTCCCAGCAACAGTGAAGGCATTGAACAGATTTTTTTCACCTTGGGTCGGTATTTTTAGTGACTACATACAGTCATCCAAAATGTCAATGACTCTTTGACAAATTCTCTACACCTGAAACTAATCATTATTCATCTTTCTCATATTTTTAAGACAAAAGTAATTACCTTATCTATCAAAGATGCATAAGAATAACCTTGATTTGCCATATCTGTCACTATCAGCACCATTCTCACAGCAATATGGCAGTCAAGTATGTTTAAAGCTCCTGTGAAGAGTTTTTGATTGGTCATAAAACAGACTAAAATAAATAGTGATGCATCTCTATGACATGCAAAAGCAAATGGGACTAAAGATAGCAAGATTAATTTCTATATTGTCATTCTTTATGTCTATAACTGCTGTAAGGGGGTTGTCACCCACAAGAAGCAGCCTTTGTTACTTTTCCCTCAACAAATATTTCATAGTGAGCGATACATTTCACTGTAAAAAGATTGTCAAACGTACCATTTATCATAAATAATTTGTAAACACTCTGCATTGCATTGGTTTTAGGTATTAAATATTACTGAGTATAAACGTTTTCAATCTTATTGCTAATGGGTCATTTTGTATATTGTAAAAAGCATCAATATGAAATTCAGTCTACTTCATGAAAAAAAAAAAACAGGAGCTTTAAATAATAAATGGACCCCTTGTTAGCTCAGCTGGTAAAGCAGGTACCCCATGTGCAGAGGCTGCACTGGTTGTAAATCCTCTATGTTCATGAGCAAGTTATTTTATCGCCAACCCTTTATTCACCTAATTGCTACTATCAGTGAGTTTTCTAAACTGCACAGGTGCAAGAAACGGATGTGTTTGCAAATCACTTAAAAGATGCACTGTGTCATGTTTAGTAGCATGAAGCAGAACAGACTTGGTAGAAACAGCAAATACTATCACCTAAACATAGAAATAGTGTTGTTTTTCATAAGTTAGAATGAGCCGTTCCCATCTACATAAGAGGCAGGTCCCCTTCTATGGAGGCTGCCATCTTGCACGGCCAGGTTTCTACAGTTGAACAAAATGGACAAACTAGCATTTGCAGTCATATACAGTCGATGTAGGAAATGCAGCAGTTTGAAGGCAAAGAAGGTAATGATGGTTAAATACTTGACAAATGGAGGATCATACTCTTCATGTATCACTGGGTTAACTTGTCCTTGTGGAGCTTAACCAACAGGAGGGGTGAGCAAGGGAGCTTTTAAATCTACAGTCTGACCCGCAGATAAATATTCCTATTTCCAGACACTGTTTCTTTTAAATGACTGGCTGCAAGAGACCAAAGATGTCAAGGAACCTGTGGATCTACAACCCCTGTTCCAAAAATACTAAATCAAAACAGATTTTGATGGTTTTCAAACCCTTCAAAGAGTATATGTTCAATAGAGAATATTGCACAAACAACATATCAGCTCTCAAAACTAAGCTTTTTATGCTAGTATGAAAAATGTATGCTCATTTAAATTTGAAGAAGTGTTGTCACCTCGTCTTTTACCAACACTCAGTAAACGTTATCATATTCAAATCAACAGAGTACCTCCAAACTATGTTTACAAGAGGCTCTGGCAGAATCCACAGTCCTTCTATGAAAGGTTGAAAAAAAAAACATTTGTCAAGGGCAGGCCTCAGCTGCACAAGCGCTCTCTCTAACAAGTGTCAGGGAAGGATGTTCTGAGCAGACAGGTAGTTGAACTCTTGCCAGAACTGGTCAGCTAACATGCATGAAAATTCCCCTTAGAGGGCAAATTTTCTAAATGTCAGACAGAAACAGACTCTCAATATGGTACTGATGCCCAGAGGAGAGACAGTAAGAAAGCAGAAGACAAGGGTCTTAGTGGTCCACACATACCTTTACTCAAACTCCTACAGTCCCAAGTCCAATTACAACCTTAATTGTGCTATTCACAGCAAGACAATTACAAGCAGGTTGATACAAACACAGAAATCAACAAAGGTGATTTTTTTAGACCCACAGTGTCATTTACAAAATTGTTTAATCAAACCTCATCTCACACATGTGCTGCAATCCTCTAAATCTCTCACTTATTGTTCAAGTGTAAACACAAACAGCTAAACTTTTTACCCCTTGTAAAATGTCTGTGCAAAGTCAGGGTGAATGTTAGGAAAATGTTACCCTACAAATGCACTGAGTGTTTACACTGTTCATGTAAATGTTCATCTCTGCTTTGTCCATGAATGATTTTACAACATAGGGTTTGTTCTGCAGAAATTTCCTTGAGAATTGTGGTGCTGTGTACAGACCTAAACTCACAAAGTTTTTTAAGAAAACTCAGGAGCACTGTCAGTAATTTTCCTGAGTTGATTATTTTTACGTCCCTTTACAGCATTAAGTCTCCCCTGTTGGATGAGGCTGGATGTACAGGTGTGTGTCAGGGGATCTCAGGATGTTAGACATGATGTCAAATACAAATTGCAGAAGTTGTGGTTGAACATTTTCAAAATTTAGAACTGCTAAAGATTTTTCTCTCTCCTATCATTTAGTTTATTCCTAATTCTCAACATAATGAGCACAAGGCACTCTCACTGACTTTTGATTTTTTTTTTTTGTCTATTTCTGGTCACTTTTGCAGGTTCACACCAGTCTACTGTCAAAAAAGGGGGATGTCGGTGTACTGGGACACACTTCCTCAGAAATCATCTATAAAATAGATATTTACGTACCAAGACAAGTCAGTTAAGTCTGAGTGAAAAGTTCAGCTCTTTGTGTTCACACATGCATATTTAGGGTTATTTCCGGGCAGTTTTCAGGAATTTAGTGCAAGAGTGAAAACTGATCTTGTGATATTGACCCAAATAAGGTCACTATGACAGACTCCTCCTCCTAAGGTCACTATGACAGACTCCTCCTCCTGTTTCTGTATGCTCTACCAAGTGCCCCCATCACCCAGACTAAGAGGAGTAAAAGGAGTTGTGGTTGTGCACCCTGAAATAGTCAGGGCTTGAATGTCCTCAATTTTCTGGAAAATATCTGGAGTTCATATGTGAAAAGAGACGAAAGATTCAGCGTGATCACTTGGTCTCAGTTGGCTTGTCCTGTGGTTTCTTGCCGTCGTCTCCGCTCGGTTTGTCTGAAGGAGGCTTCTCGGTTTGACTGGGATCAGCCTCTTCAGTGGTAGGAGCCTCAGGGGATGCTGATACAACAGACTCTGCAGACTTTGTTTCAGACCCGGCTTCCTTAGCAGCAGGAGTATCAGTAGTTTCAGGCAGTTTTGCATCTTCTGTGGGCACAGTGTCTTCCTCCTTGGATGCTTCAGCAGGTGCGATCTCTGCATCCTTCGAAACTTCTGCTGTGACCTCTGCATCTTTTGGAGCTTCAGGTGGAATAACTTCTGCTTCCTTGGGAACTTCAGCCACTGTGGTTTCTGCATCTTTTGATAACTCTGCAGAGATGACTTCTTCCTTGGGGATGTCTTCTTGGATGACTTCAGCTTCTTTGGCAGCAGTCTCTGTAGTCAGAGTCTGATCTTTCTCTGTCGCCTGAGATTCCACTTTGGCTTCAGCTTCTACAGCAGATTCTGGTACAACAGCCTCAGCGTCTTTGGAGACTTCAGCTGTGATGGCCTCTGCTTCTTTAAGAGCTTCTGCTGGGATGATTTCTGCTTCCTTGGCAGCAGTTTCCGCTACTGCAGTTTCAACCTCTGCAGCTGCCATTTCAGGCTCCTTAACCACTTCTGTTTCTACCTCTTTAGCAACTTCAGATGACTCTGTTACTACCTCACCTGTTTCCTTTGCAACTTCACCTTCAACGGTTTCAACCTGCTTGATGACGGCTGCCTCGATCTCCTCGGTGACGGTTGCCACAGCCTCAGCCACCTTGGCCACATCAGCTGCTATAACTTCAGCCTCTTTCACTATGTTTGCTACAGATTCCGTAACTTGAGCTACGTTGCTTGCGATTTCCTCTACAACCTTTGCAGCTTCGGCTCCAGCTTCTGTGGCAGCCGCAGGAGCTTCTGTTTCCACAGCTGCTGACTCAGCTTCCTGAGCAACAGACTCCTGAGAGAGTCCAGCTACTGCAGCTTCTGGTTCGGGTGCTAATTTTTCTGCATCCTTTTCCTCCTTGACCACCTCTGTGGCCTCACTCTCTTGTGCAGCTACTTCAGCAGCTGGTTCTTCTTTACCCACGGCAGCAGTTTCTTGGACAGTGGCAGCCTGGACACCCTCAGCCTCTTTAACCTCAGCGATGATATCTTTCACCTCAGGAATGACAGTGCTCTGAACCTCCTCAGTCAGGTCCTTGATGGCCTCAGCCTCCTGCACCAGTGGAGCAGCAGCAGCCGTCTCAGCAATGGTTTCAGCTGCTCCTACAGCTTCACTTTCTTTAACCAAAGTGGCTGCCTCTTTAAGGATCCCCTCTGCCTCCACCTCTGAAGGTGCAGCTGCTGCTGCTGCTGCTGCTGCTGCTGCTGTTTCTGCCTGGGCAGCGCTGCTCACAGCCTCTACGATTGGAAGAATCTCTTGTATGGTTGGGGCTGTAGCTTCTTGTGCGGGTTGTGAAGCAGCCTCATGGGTTGCAATTCCTGCAGCCATCTCCTTGGGGATGATGACACCGACCTTGCCGACCCCTTCACCTGCTTCCATCAGCAGCCAGTCCATTTTCTGTGCATGCTGCATGACGGCATCATCGACTCTTGCATCAATCATTGCTTCGGTCAAGACTCCATCTTCAGAGGAGTAAGCAGCAGCCTTTCAAAGAAATAAATGTAATTAATGCTTAGCTTTAAATCTGATGAATAGTGGAAATGTGCCGTCAGTCTTTTAAAAGCAATACAGTGTGGAAAATGATAAGAAGAAAGTAATTTGATGGTTTGCTTATATTTGAAGCCTCATGTCAAAAGTTGGACTTAAAAGATCTAATTTGTCCTGAAATGTTTTTTTTTTGTAGTTTAAACTTGATGTAAGAATGATCTTTTTGGAGGTAAATTTGTTCCCATGCAGTGATTTCCACTACAGAGTCATGATTGTTTTAATACGATGCTGCCCGTGGGCCTGAATACCACTGCGCAGCAGTACTGGTTTTTCAGTCTTGTCCCTGTCTCTCCAGACTGGGAATTTTAAAATGATATAACTGACTCCAGATGATCAAATCCTTTTTCAGAAATTGTTGAACTAATCGCTCACACAGTCTCTAAAAATGTGCGCTCATTTTAAAATGTAATGCCAGCCACACCTTTTTGGAAGTGAATTTGCTTTTGTGGTTACCTCCACTACAGAGTCATGACTGTTTAATGCAGTGCCACCCATTGCCTGGAGATTACAGTCATCCATCCATCCGTGCTGTTTTTTGGCCTTTTGTTCAGAGATTTCTCAAAAGTCTTTGAACCTTCATCAAATGATGAAATCCTGAATTATTTACAAATTGTTGAACTAATTGCTTACATTGTCTCTCACAGATTTGTTAACCTCTTCCTATCTTATTGGAGAGACTCAGACTTTTGCCTTTGTAGGTCCAGACAGGTTACCTAGCTGCCAAAGATTTATTTCATTTTGTGTGTATATTTATTTTGACTGTTTAACTGCGCCAGTTAGCTATGAGCTTATTATATTGGTAGTCTCTGGACATGAGACAAAGACAACATTTCTGTTAAAGACAAACACTATGTTATAAAAACACAGCTAAACAACAATACATAACCACTATACAACAACATCAGGTACCCTCACAGCGACATTATCAGTATGATGAAAGTGCTTCACTACAAAAGCAACTTAATAATATCTAATCACCACACAGCATGTATCTCCAATTATGACACTGATTATATGATCAAATAAATGCACCACAGTATGAGATTACAGGTGAATGCAGTAAGTCGGGAGCAGTTTCTCACAGTACTCTTTAAGCATTACACAAATTTTTCAGTGTTTCGTTGCCTTTCCACCAAGTTTGAAGTGTCGCAAGCATCAAATTTGAAATGAGCACACATTTTTCATAATATCTTTTTTTTTCAGTTTTAATATCTGATCCCTTGTCTTCACACTTTTTCTAATAAATACAGGTTTGAATTTCCCTTTGGGGATCAATAAACTTATTTTTCTTTTAAATGCTTGCAAACCATCAAATTCCGTATTTATCAACATTGTACTCAGTGTTCCCACTTTTTGGAATTAGGGTTGTATTATATGAAAACACCCAATCCTACTCACCTGCCAGGCCACACCAAGTTTAGAGATCTCACGGCCGGACATACCCTCAGCCCGCTTTGCGATGTCTGAACACTTCTGGCCATAATCAAACTGAGCCAACTTCAGTCTCCTGTTGATTTAAAGGACAAGATGTTTGAATAGTAATTGAATTGAAAGTGAGCAAGGGGCTATGACTTTTTTTTTTTTTTTTAATCATTGATCGCTAATTCATTTATCAACTAGCCAGTGCACTCTGCAGTAACCTCTGTGCTCCTTCCTGTGGACTCAAACACCATTTCATTGAAGCAGTAAGTAAAGACTCATACACCACTTTGGTTTCAGGACTGAACACATTATAAACACCATTATGCAACTTGAGCCGGCAAGGCTACCCCAGGGGACCAATGCTTTCATTCACAGCAGTAAATCACCTCGGCGATGGAGCCGCAGCAATAGCAGTTATTGAAATACAGTAAGTGGACTCACTGTCTCCCTGTAGTGGCAGGACCCAGCACAAATTTGTCGAAATACAGGCGCACCAGCCTCTCCCTCTCTTCCAGACCCGGTAACGCAAAGTTCACTATCTCGTCAATGCGGTCATTGATGGCCCAGTCAAACTGTTCCGGCTGGTTACTCGCGAGCACCAACATGAACCTGAGAAAAAATGGTGAGTCTGCTTAGACCTGATCAGTGACCTTTTCCGTCATGGCAAAAACCTTTTCATGCGCAGTCATGCACGGTGAATAATTTAAGGTACCAACTTGTTGCTCTGCTCCCCAGTGCGGTACAGGAATGCATTGAGGGTGGCTCGAAGGTCCTCACTGATTTTCTCCTGTGATGCAAAAATAATGACTCATGAATATATGATTAAAACACAGGCGCGTCATCACCATGCATATGGCACTGCAGCTGAACTCACTGTGGCTCTCTTACGCAAGAAGGCATCAGCTTCATCCACGAACAGCAAGAGGCTGCAGAGAATCAGAGAACATCAAAGGGAATGCGCTCTAAAGCACCTTTCGCTTTAAGGCCTTTAATGTAATTAGCCAGCATAATTACACGACTCTGTATATCACACAACATATGGTCTTCACCGCTGAACTTCCAGGGTCAATATTAAACAGGCTGTTAAAGGGAGCAGATTAAAATGCCCTACCCTCGGCGGCTGGTGCCAGCCCAGTCAAACACCTTGTGCATGGCAGTGACTCCATCCCGCCCCATGGGGGCCACGTCCCCACCTGTCATAATGGCAAAGTCCATCCCTGAATGAAGAGCCAGTTTCTGGGGGGTAAAAGTGGAAAAAAGGAATCATGAGAAACCTAAAACATTGAAAGCTAAATAGAAAATAAATGTTAAAAACCGAATTAAAATGAATGAATACTCTCACATAGTAATAAATGAATGTATCATATGGTCAGGTATCTTTGCCAAGTAAACCATCAAGTCCTTCATTGTCTAGCTAAGAAGTTTCCAAGGGATATTCAAAAGGGATATTCTGGTATAAATTTAAGTCATGGTCAAACACACCGCAACATGAGTTAGATGCCCCATCGAGAGATGAATGTTGCCGACTGCTTGCTTCTCTAATTATAATAACTTTAGCAACGACCGCATGATAGCAATACACAGTGGTCTATGTCTCCAATGCGCAAACCTCAACCAAAAAGCCACTCTATAGCCACAAATAATGCTCAGAACAGCACCTAAATTCATCTACAGTACATATGGGGGCCATAGCACTAGCCACCAATCATCTTTTCAGCTTTGCCTGGTTTCTTTAGCAAAGAGACCACACACAACTCACCCACTCTCTGCCAGCAGTCGCTTGTTTGTAGGGGAACCCTGACGAGTCGATCACTGAGTGCAGCGGATCACTTCCATCAAGTAAAAATCATCATAATCATCATTTTGCACTGCAGACGCGGTAGTTCTTCTGCTTTAGCATCTCGGACTGATTGCGTTTCCATGAATTAATCATAAATGTTCCTTCTTGAGCTGCGAAACTCCACTACACTCTGTGATTGACTCGTCAGGGCTCACCCACAAACAAGAGGCTGTTGGAGGAGAGTGGGTGAAACCGTGCTATCGTTACTAAAGTAACTAACTCTGTGTTACGTGTTTAACCCTACCTTAATCTTATGTCAGAATATCCCTTTAGATAGTCAGAGCACCTCTATCAAACTATGATGTCCGAGTAAAGGTGCATTACTCAGAAAACAAGACAAATGAAGGAGAGCAAAAAGAGAGTGCCTGTGTGTTGTACCTTAGCAAAGAGTGTTTTCCCAGTTCCAGGAGGCCCGTACATCAGGATATTTCTGTACAAGCCTTTGTTCTGCCTTGTGTTCCGAGTGGCGATGGCGATGTCCCGAACACGCTCCTCCAGAGTTGCCTGTGTGATCCACACCACAGTCAAAAGATTAAGTATTTTCTTAGACAGTCTTAACCTAAACTTTGATCTCAATGCATCAAAAACTTTAAGCAGTCAATGACTCACACTGAGCACAACGCCCTCCAAGGCATCCTGTGGTCTGCTCCTCAGGCGCCTGGTTGTCTAAAAATATAAAAAGAGAGAAGTTACGCTGTGAACAGAAATAATTTTGGAGATATTCTGAGGCAACAGGTCTTAAATCTGAGCTCTTAAAAAGATACAAAGAAATAACAAAAATAGTTTAGTATTTACTGTACTTGCCAAGAAAAGCCTCAACATTTTAACCCTAAATCACGAGGTAGTGACTCTTGGTATATTTTATACTTAATAGTTTCTATCCTGTTTTTTCTCTCCTCCTTTTCTTGTCGCTGCAAATAACTAGTCAGCCATTAAACACCAGCTAGAGAATGACTTGCATTGGTTTCTCAAGAACAATACTCATAGTTCATGAGATGAATAACTGATATTTGGAGTTGATAGGTATTTACAGTGGAATGGAAAAACTTGGTCAAATTTTGTATTCGGAGTATAAAAACTCCTACGCAAAAAAAGAGAGAAAAAACAACATACTTCTTAGTCAATTTTATCCCATTTGTAAATGAAAGGCCAATGCAGATAATGGGCAAAGCACTGGATATCAGCCCCAATAATCCCAATAAAGTGAGAGTATTTGTAAAGTTTATATGTGTTGTAACTTCTGTCTGTGACTGGATTTCATGTGTCTGATGCGTGATCAAGTTTTGTCCAGTGTCTCCTTTCCTATTAAGAACTAACAGCAGTTATTGAACAGGGTTCTTACACAGTTGGAATTTCCATACTTTTCCATACCCTACTTTTTAGAATTATTTTTGGAAAAACCTACTTTTCTACTTAAGAAAACAGTATTTTAGAACTGTGGAAGTAGTTTGGAGGCATGAATATTTTTCCATACTTTATTTTTCATTTAGCATACTTTTTAAGACCTGGAAATTGATCAAATTACTTCCATACTTTTCCATACTTGCGTTGGAACCCTGATTGTAGGTTTTTGACCAATCATAATAAAGTATTTATTAAGGCCGGTTGATTGGTAAGACAGCCAGGTAATAACTATGTTTATCACATATCAAACTATATAGTTCTGGTGTCTGAAAATAAAATGTACTCGTTCACTCCACACAGGCTGTCTGCTGATGGCGTTTTCATGTAACCATTTTCATGTTGTCCAATTTTCATGCATCCTGTCCATTTAGTGTAATACGCTGGATGTGCTGCAGCCAAAATATGAATTAGCGAATCCATTTAAACAATTGCTTGCCAGAGAATAAATCTGATGGGCTGCTAGCTGTTACAGACTGATGCAGAAAAACTAAATTAAAATGAGGGCCCAAACATTTCACTGTTATTTGTGAACAGTTTTTCTAATCATAAATAATGAAAAAATCAGTGTACAGCACATTAATTTGCATCCAAAAATGCTTAAAAGTGCATAATATTTACACAAAGAGCGTGCACATAAGTGCCATGTGTGGAGGCAGGCCAACACCCCCACAATAAATATTAAAAACAAGAACATGTGGATGTTGTTTGACCTTAATTGGGTGTTTGATAGCCTCTCCAACAGTTATCCTCGATGTTTCTCGGACCAGAGAGGGTTTTCCCAGACGAGCCTCAATGTAGCGCCCAGCCACAGCTGTGGCATTCCTGGCAGAATAAATTCCTGCAGCCAGCAGCGTCAAACCAGCAACCTATGCAACAACAACAACAACAACAAAAAAAACATAAAACACCACATCTATACACATTCTGCAGAAAACATGTAATATAACGGGCACTGTTTCCCATAATCCTCTGCAGTCCTCTTGTGGTTACAGTGTTAACAGTTTGACAGTTCTGACATGGATTTACCGTGGCTGTGAGTTTGTCCCAGTCGGAGACGAAGGCCCTGAATCCCTCACCAAACACCGCCCCGGCCGTCCTGTCAAGAACAAAACACAATTATCACACCGACCGCCTTCCCTGTAGACCAAAACACTCAGAGCCGCCCTCTGAGACTTCGGTTTAACAGCTGAGAGAGATACTAGAAGATAACATGTCAGTTACTCTGAAGATTAGGGAAGGTGCCGTGTCATTTTGCCCTCACTTTATAGATTCAAGGACAGTTTGTCTGTGTTCTGCAGCTTTCAGCCGGATCTGTTCCCTGATCAGGTCTGCATTCTCCCGCTCCACGTGGGCTCGGGCTTTGGCCTCGGCCTCAATACGAAGCAGGTCGTTCTTGTGCCTCAGGTCCATCTCATGTTCAATGGTAGCTGGGAGGAGAGGAGGCAGAAATTAAACCTCTTTTAACATGGATAACCTTTACCAGTGCAGTTTAAAAAGGTATTACTGTAAGCAAAACTAGATTTAAATTATTTAAATAAACAGCTCCTTTATTCTTTATAGCTTCTATACTGGGAAAAATACATTTTGCGCTGAAGAGGCTAACAAGATTTACACATTTATTACCAGCCTTGCAGTGGACTTTGGCAGACATGAAAGTAGTAACATTATCTTTTTGACAAGACTGAACAATTCCAACTTATTCATCTTAAGAGATGATAATGAAATAGCTTTAACTTCACTTTACTGTTGGGTGAATAATGTGTAAATGCAAGGGTGCATTCTGTTTTCTACCTTTTCTCATGGACTCTTGCTTCATCACTGATTCCTCCTGTTTGCGAAGGTTCTCCTCATTGAGGAATTGCTGTTGATTAAAAAAACAAACTTTTGATGAGTGCTCTTCAGGTACTCACGTATACAGTACCTTTAAAGAGTGTATTCAAAGGTTTACCTGCTGTCTAAGCTGATCATCATACCTCTGCCTGGCAAGTTTGTCTTGGTACTGTGCCCTCTAGAGGTGACAGAGAAAATGATTCATACATTAACTGTTTATAACTCCATGTAAACTTTGAATTCAGCTGTCAGAAAAGAACGCTATACTGTACCGCCTGGTTTTGTTTCGTCTCCTCTGCAAGTGTTTTTCGTCTCTCTTCACCCTGGAGGTGGATTTGCTCGCCCTTCAGCTGCTCCACAGCTGCTTCATATTCCTGTTCAAGAGTTTAATTCATGTTGAATGTTCAAACTTTGAGGTATGACAGTTCAGACTCTTAATACAGAAGAAGGAGATAGCACAGTCACAAGTGTAATTTTTTTTTACACCTTTTTATATTTTTTTTTCTTTTCTCCCCACAGTTAACTACAGTTTTAACTAAGTTGGGTGTTAAATATGCTTTTCTTAACTTTTTTGGCTGTAAATTAAATTTTAAAAAATCATTCACAATAAAATGATATTATTACTTAAACTTTCAGAACTTAAAAAACCTGAATGGGCTTCTCCTATTTGGTTATGTGTTGGAGAGTTTTTCCAGCCTCGTTTATCTAACACCTGACTTTTTCTTTTTTAATGGATGTAATGTTGCGACATTTATATCCTGTACACAGTGTGAATTCGCTCATTTGTTTTGAAGTACTTTGCCTTGGTTCAGGGTTAATTAATTAGCATCTTGAACAGTAGAGGCTTTCTGACACTGACCAGAGGCACTTCAGTGGTCTGATCATTGACAGTATAATCATTTACAGTGCTATGGATTCTTTTCATACAGACTACACAATTAGTCCCCCCTCCTCAAGCACCTACTTTCACTTTACTCTGATGCTCCAGCTGTATAGTCTGCTCCTGCATGCGAGCCAGCCCCAGTGCTTCCTTGGCATGTCCTGTGGTGATAATTAAGAAAAAACTAACTCTATCATTAAGCCATTTACATTTTACAACCCAGACAATTATGGATTAGACTTCTGAGTGTAATAACTTTTACACAGCTGCTACAAGGTTATGCAAAACTACACTTGTTTGTCAGTGTATAGAAAGTACAGCAGAAAATGAAGGTTGAACAACAACAACTTTGCACTGCATATGTCATGGGCTGGGTTAAAATACCCTCACACAGTAACAAAAGCAGCAAGCATGTTCATATGCACATACTGACAAGGTATGATGTGTGGGACAGGTGAAAGGCTGATCTTGCAAGGACACTTTGTTCCCTGGTTGCTCCTGACACGCCCACCAAAACTCTGCATGTGCAGTGTGGAGGTCAAACAGGCCAGCATGCATGTTGCAAGCATGTACTGCATTGTAGGGGGAAGGGGACTTGAGAGGACTGTAACATGATATGTCAAAGTCCATTTTCAAAACTTAACAAAAAGCAAGCAATTAAATACAACCATTAACCAAAGGCCGCACAGAGAGCGAAATTGTTGCAGCTTTTACCAGCGGCTGGTCCCTAGAAAGTTTTTTAAAGTTTGATTATTACTTATTTTATTGCTGCATAGTCTGAAAGGTGTACCCCGAATTAAATAATAACACCTGGAAGTTATGCAGAGCTCTCAAAACTTGAGTCGCAGGTGTGTACATCTACCCGAGAGACATTCAGCTCTTAAATTAAATATTTTTTGAATGGGATTCGGCTTGAGGGACTCCCATTCTAAAAAGTACAACGCGTGCTAACGCATAAACTTTGTCCATTCTAGTTATCCACAGACTGGAGATTAAATTATTAAAGTAAATGTGAAAAAATATACTAGAAACAAGATCTAGTTCTTTCAATGAATATTAGTTTAGTTAAAGTAATATTTCTACGCACGTGATTTGTCGAGCTCTCTCGCAGCTTTTGCAGCTCTTTCCAGCCCAGTTGGGTCAAAGTTGCTCCATTTATCACTGGGTTTGTCACCCCCTGAACCTCCAGGAGCTCCCCCGCCACCTTCACCAGGAGCAGCCGCCGACTGCTCCTCCACCGGCGGCGAAGACTTCTTCCCCCAGCCGAAGAGCCACGACATGCTGCTTTCTAATGGAGTCCAGGCAACAGGCTGTACTGAGATTCTCTGTCAGCACCCCCACCCCCTTTGCTTCTCCAACCCATGCTTTTGGACGAGAAGCAAATCCACTAAATAATGCATAGCAATTTCCGGTCAGAACTTTCAAAATAAAAAACCCTGAGGGGACATAAGTAGACTTCCGCAAGATTTACTACAACTAAAACAAAGTGAGGGAGCATTTATGAATTATTTCTCCACACACTTAAATTAGACTATCCCTGATACTATACAGCGCATCCAAGCTTATTCCTTTTGTCAAACTTTATTGTTGTGACAGGCAAAGAATGCTCACTTTGATTGTGTGATAGATACATTTACATTTTAAAAGTTAATACGCTGAGAAAATCTTTAAGTTAACGTGTGTAATACATTTCAGTCCTGGCAGCACTCATGTTTGAGAACTAATCTCACAAAACGTCACGAAATGTGAAGTGCATTTGTTGTCGTGAGGGTTTGTATTGAATTTTCACTCTTTATGAGGTTTGTGGATCAAGAACACTGAATAGGTTAAAATCAACATAAGCACATTCAATGTTTCTTTGACCTTGAAATTCATTACCATCAGTATAGTCCATTTCTGTGACAGTGATGTGATGCATATTAAATGAGATCATTTTGTCCCAATAAATTAAGCATGAACGAGACTCCAACCACAGATAGTGGCTTCAATCATTTTTACTATCCTTTCAATAGCAAAAATAACTGTTCATATATCTTCAAACTAATACCAAGGGGTTCTTTCAGACATCGTACAGTTGAAGGCAAGCAGAGATATAAGCATGAACACTTACCTCTTATTTGTCACTTCATTAGAATATAGGGTATTTTGAGTAATGCAAAATCTGATGGGTTTTATTACAATGGCCAGGGACATTCAAACTGGAACAAACATAATAACTGCAAAAAAGCATCCAAGAATACAAAATTACAGAAGCTCTAAGCAGACATCTATCCATTATTTTTACTATTTTTATCCCCTTTTTGTTGTTGTGAGTGGCCCCTAAAGGACATTTAAAGGCAGCACTAAATGGCACAGGTGTTGCACACACTGAGGCACATACTTTTTGAGCATGGCAACAGTACTTGGATTGTGTTTAATTTTTGTTAATTTAGTCTTATTTTGCTGGTCATCAAAATCAACAGATTGGTGTTCCCAACTTTAAGATTTTAGACTTTTTTTGACGTTTATTTTGGTCAACAAAGGGGACACATTGGTAATTTTGTGCCTGATGAAGAGCCACAATGACTTACTTTACCTTATCAAACCAATGTGTGTCTTCAGTTTTACAGTGATATTGAAGTCAAGGTCACTGAAGGTGAATGAGGCTATATACATATCAACATACAGAGCAGTAGAGTGAGGTCTATTTTAAGTGGTCACTGGAGACATATTTGGAGATGATTGATAAGTTTAAACACTTAAACCCAGGCCGTTTCCCCTGTGAGAGGACCATCCAGGATCTCCTGTATGTTAGAGAGAGTGGTGGCAAATTCCTGATCATTTGTTCTATAGCGGCGCTGACTCCCTCTTGTGACATTGTATGTCCCTGAATGACGTTGAAAGAGCTTTACTCAAAAGAACTTCCCTTCCCTCCAAATGAGTGCTATTATATGTCATGCCAAACGAAAGATTGGCTTTGTAAATACAATTACAGAGGGTTAAGTAGTTTTTTTGTTAAAAATAAAAAATAACAAAATAACAAAAATCAAGTGACTCTCAAAGTCTAGAGCTCAGTAGGTCAAAATAAACCAAAATGGACTCATTACCACAGAGACAGGGGTAGATATGCTCACCAGCTTAGAGGTTCCAGATATTTACACATTCAGAGTAAAATTGGTGGTTTTCCTCTGTTAATACTGGCATCTAAGCCCAAATCCGGATTGAATATTCACTGAATTGAAGGATGTGAAGACATTAGATAAATGGATTGTTTAGAATAAAGTGTTTCGTTTTTTTTTGTTTGTTTGTTTTTTTTTGTTTTGTTTACATTTTCACAATAAATCATGAAAATAAATTAAAATAAATCATCTGGTGGGCCTTGCCACCTGAGCAGCAGCGGCAGCGGGACAGGGAGCCATGGCCGCTCAATGTCCGGCTCCATGTTATTCATACATTGGGGAGAAAAGTTGTGACTTTTTGGCACAATCTAGATCTTATTAAATGTATTTAATTCTTTAAGAACATGTAGCAAAGACTTTAGGTAATCTATGGTCTACTTGGTGGTCTTCTATGTTTTTTATTTGAAAGCACGGGATTATAGCAACCAGAACCTGTTATATTACACCTGCACTCTACAAAGAACAGCATTGAGTAGCTTGATTGAATCCTATACCAGAAGTTATTAAGAGTACAATAAATATTTATGCAAATACTGCACTTAATATTTGCAACAAAACATGCTCTTTTAAACGACTACAGCAAAAAAATAATTAATTAAAAAAATAATAAAGAACTCTGCCCCACTGTCCCAATACATCTAGAGGGCTGTGTATGCACTTAAGAGCATAACAGTTTTTTAGATTATTTTTTTCTTCTCCTTCTTTTAAAGTATTGATGTATCAGAATCAGAATCAGAATCAGAATGCCTTTTATTGTCATTATACGCAGTACAATGAGATTAAAGCCACCCATGTCAGTGCAAGACATTGTAAAAAAGAAAAAAAAAATATAGAAAAATATGGAACTAGATTAATATGAAGTATATACAATGTAAATGTGTGGACCTGAGATTCTTTTGAAAGGATAAATATGGTACGGATGTGCATAGGTGTAAATATGTAACAGTATAAAATCTAAAGTGCACAGTTCTGAGATCCTATTAGCAGAATAAATATGGTAAATATACAGAAATAACATAAATGTAATGTGCAAATGAATCTATATTGTCCTTCAGTGATTTGGAGTATTGCACATGTTAAGGGAAAAAGAAATAGAAATATGACACAAGAATAGTATGAGGTAAATACAATGTAAACATCTGGACCTGAGATTCTTTTAACAGAATAACAGAATAATTATGGTACAGATATGCATAGATGTAGAATGTAACAGTATAAAATATAAAGTGCACAGTCCTGAGATTCCTGTTGACAGAATAAATACAGTGAATGTACAGAAATAGCATAATGTAATGAGCAGATAAGTGTATATTGTCCATTCAGTGTTTTAGAATATTGCACATGTTTTTAGGTATTGCACAAAGGGAGGTCAGTGCATGTTGGAGTTCAGCGTGGTTACGGCTTTTGGAAAGAAGCTGTTTTTGAGTCTGTTAGTCCTGGCCCTAATGTTCCTGTAGCGGGCAAACAGGGCAGAGCCAGGGTGGGAACTGTCTTTGGAGATTGCCTTGGCTCTGCTGAGGCAGCGGGAGGTTTAGATGTCTTCCAGGGAGGGGAGAGGACGGCCGACGATCTTCTGAGCTGCCTTAACAACTCTCTGCAGCCTCTCCCTGTCAGCAGCGGTGGAGCAGCCATACCATACAGTGATGCAGTATGTCAGCAGGCTTTCGATGGATGAACGGTAAAAGGTCAACAGCAGGTCGGAGTTGAGGTTGTGCTTCCTGAGGACTCTCAGGAAGTGTAGCCGCTGCTAAGCCTTTTTGAAGATGGAGGTGATGTTCTCTGACCAGGAGATGTTATCAGAGATAAGGACGCCGAGATACCTAAAGGTGTGGACCCTCTCCACACGCTCGCCGTTGATGTGAAGGGGGACTGGATCAGTGCTGTGCTTCCTGAAGTTGATGATGAGCTCTCTGGTCTTCTTGGTGTTCAGAGCGAGGTTGTTCTCTGAGCACCATTCTACCAGCTTCAGGACCTCCTCACTTTAAGCATCCTCGTCACCCCTGGAGATGAGTCCGACCACTGTAGTATCATCAGCAAACTTGATGATAAGGTTGTCGTTGTGGGCCGGTCTGCAGTCGTAGGTGTAAAGGCAGTAGAGGAGGGGGCTCAGCGCGCAGCCCTGTGGGGAGCAGATGCTCAGCATGCGGGTGGAGGAGAGGTGCGGGCCAAGTCTTGCAAGAACCAGCACCAGCAGCAAAGCTTTTCAGGGCAATTGTTGTTGCTCTGATGTAATAAAAAAGTAATTAAACTGAAATAGGCAAAATAAAATGTACTAATACTAATAAAGAAGTCACAAGAGGGGGGTGGGGGTGGGGCTCTAAAATCAGATTTTTCCTAGGGCACCAAAATAGCTAGAAACGGCCCTGTCTGTTAGTCCAGTAAGAGTTAAGTATAAACAAAAAATGCCTGGAGATGGGAGGGAAGATCATTAGTGCCACTAAAAGCATGGAGCAGTTCAAATTCATTGCGATCGCAGCACTGTATGTTTTGTTTTATTGGTGTGTAACTGACCCTAGTTTTCATCAATGAGGGTTGTGAAAGAGGCAGTTACGTATGATGCCTTCAGGTACCCTGGGATACATTTTCTGTTACTGTATTTTTCTAACATTTACCATCAAATAAAGCAAGTTCTATGTTTTATACGGCAACCTTGCTGGTGGAAAACGTATCAATGATCCTTTTATAATTGAATTTCTTCCACAGCTGCAGTTTAGAACATCCGTGTGCCACTTATTTTTGTTAATATTCTAATGAACGAGCATTGTACAAGAAATTGAAGGCAAAAACCATGACGCAGTCCAACGTATCTTACGTCCCGTAAGAGCGTGTGGAGGGCGTACCTCTCCCTTACATACCGGACAGAGGAGACAAAACTGTGCTGTCGGGTATCGGGTTAGGTCTGTGGTGTTTTTACTGCTGTAAACTTCGAAAAGTCACAAAGATGTCGGCGGTTTGCTTTGCCTTGAGTCGAAACGTTTTGGCTATCAGGAGTTCTGGCTCCATGGTGGTAAGTAGACTGCAGGACCCTTTTCAGTATATTAATATCTGTGATTCGTTGGCAACTATAGCTACGCGTAGACTATAGTTGAACAAATTGGTACTGAAGTTTGTTTACTGACTATTATTACGCGACGCCACACGTAATTATGTTAAAGAATGTTTTGCTCTGTCAAATTGTTGTTTTTGTTATTAAACGACCTGTGGTCAAACCACCCTGTTCCAAGTCTATAAGTACCCTACACGTGTGTAATAAATGTCACAGGATATTGTTACAGACTAGCAGCCTCACGGCTAAGTGTGAAAGGAAATAGCAGAGATCTACTCGAAGTAAAAATATAATAATGTTTTGATACTCACACACTACAATAAACGCCCGTTAAGCCTGAAAGTCGAACTGTCATACAACACCACCCTGCGTTAATAACTTATTATAACCAGATTCCTTTCAGTGAGGATACACATATACTTACTGACGCCTCAAAACTGTCCAAAAACATTGAAATTGTCACTCTTAAATAAGTCTTTCATTGTCCTTAAAGAGTCAGTTAGGTAACCGGTTGTTTAACAGTGATGTAACACTGTGATGTCAGTTCATATAAACTACCACTAGAGGGAGACGTTACAGCTTCCTATGAGAAAGGAATAAATAGCGATACACTGCAAATTTACTTTAAAATGATCCTATTTATTTGAGAGTGATGTTTTTGAAAGAAATTGCATTTACATTTATTGTGACTTAAAATCTGAATGATATTTTATCTGCTTAAATTTTAGTATTCTGCATATTTCTTTCATGATTTATAGACAGTCATTTGTTTATTTACCCTTGTACTGAGTATGAATTGGTAAACCTTATAGCCTTGTTAAAATAGAGTGCCATTACTGTAGTTGTGTGCATACGTGTGGTAGTGCCAGTGGTAACCTCTGGTGACAAGGGCTGGAATTACCAAGAGCTTCCTATTTTAGCTTTGGTTCAACTGAGTAACAGCAAGGTCACCCTTTGAATTTGTAGCCCTTGCTTTTTATGCTCTCAGTTTCATCCATGCCATGTCAAGAATGAAGCCCACTGTCAACTCCACATTCGTTGCTTTTGGATTCATATTGTGAAATTCACTGTGTTTGGTATCACTTGTGCAACAGATGGTTCGGTACGCTCAGACTGCTGCTGCTCCCGCTCCTGAGCCCAGGATCAAGAAGTTCCAGATTTACCGCTGGGATCCCGATACAGCTGGAGACAAACCCCGAATGCAGACTTATGAAATTGACCTCAATGCGTAAGTCAAGAAGTCAAGACTGTGTCCACCAACAGAGCATTGTTGTCACTCTTACCAATATTTGATCAATGTCCTAACCCTCTGGTTTATTCTTGTTTACATAGCTGTGGCCCAATGGTTCTTGATGCCCTCATTAAGATCAAGAATGAGATTGACCCTACACTCACGTTCAGACGCTCCTGCAGGGAGGGTAAGAAGCAAATCCTGTTAAACATATGTCAAGGAAAATAACTGTCATTCAGATGAATTTGAATGAAACGTGTCCAGAGGTTTGAGCGTTGTGAATCTAACAATATATCTCCCTTTTTCTCCAGGTATCTGTGGGTCATGTGCAATGAACATCAATGGAGGCAACACACTGGCGTGTCTTAACAAAATTGACACCAACATAAGCAAACCAACCAAAATCTACCCACTCCCTCACATGTATGTGGTGAAAGATCTGGTGCCAGTAAGTATCATGAGTCCATGAAATGGATGTCTGCGGCCATATTTAAAGCTCCTTGAAGAGGCGGAGGAGATTTGAAACAGATTTAAACAAACTTTGAAGCCTTTTTATGGTATACAAAAGCACAAATCTCTTGATGGTTGTCAATACATTAGATATTCACCACTATTAAATAATCTTCAATTTTGTCTACTGCAAACAAAAAAACATGTATTTGGTCAATTAGTCCTTTTTCGGGTGAGAAGGTTTGTGACTGAATGAAACTTTCCTAGTGGGGCTGGAGTGCTGTCTGTCATAAGAGCTGTTATGTAGTCATAGACAAGGAAGGAGATTCACTGCATCCGCTTGTCTCCCATTACATAGGACACATTGAGCCATCCTTTAATAGAGGCAGGACAAAAAAATGACCCAAAATACTTGGTTACCAGTTGTATTTAAGTTTTGGGCCTCTCAACTGTGCATGGCAACAGAAAATCAATATGATGGCAGTAGATTTGAAGCCATCTTTAAGTTAATGAAGGAAGTAAAGTTGATATAAAATGTATTATATAACTAGATTGGATAATAACTAACACATCAAACAAAACAGGAGAAATCCCTTATTGTAAATACAGTGAAATAGTTTTTCACTTTGATGTGGCTGCATTGATATCATGGTAAGACCACACTGAGCTTCTCTGTTTTCTATGTGTTAAAAGATTGTAGTTTATTTAGACACTTATAACATCTGCCTGTTGTAGGTGCTGTAAGAATTTCTTTTTCACTAGACTTTTGGTTTTACTGGTCACTCAAAAGTGAGGCTACCTAAATTATGTTCAATTTTTTTGTATTTTTGTAAATCAGTTTAAGACAGAGCATGATGGTGACTCAAAGGTGTAAAATAGCTTTAAATTGAAGTAGGGCTTGCTGAATCATTTGGGGCTTTAATTGGTTGTTTGAGTGCTTGTATTGATTTTTTTCTTGTGTTTTTGTCTTCATCAGGACATGAGCAACTTCTACGCACAGTACAAATCGATCGAGCCCTACCTGAAAAAGAAAGATGAAACACAAGAAGGGAAGGAGCAGTATTTCCAATCAGTGGAGGACAGACAGAAACTGGTGAATAAACCCAGTTCTTACTTTAAAAATGAATGATCTTGTAGATGCTGCAGAAGAGGTCTTAACCGTCATCATCTTGACTGATCATCCTCGCTGTCTTTTGCTAACATTTTTAAGTTTTACTAATCCAGATACCACACTTTCATAGTTATCATCGTGATTTTCTGTTGGAGTCTTAATTACCACAGAGACTGTGAGAATAACCTCCTCCTCTCCTCCTCTCCTCCTCTCCTCCTTACAGGATGGCCTGTATGAGTGCATCCTCTGTGCCTGCTGCAGCACCAGCTGTCCCAGCTACTGGTGGAACGGGGACAAATACCTGGGACCTGCTGTTCTCATGCAGGTGGGTACAGACAGTTAGAGGACATCTCTCAATCATAATTAAATCATTTAGAGAATGAAATTTGTAAAGAAAACATGAGTGGGTTTTGAGGTGCGACTCATATTAAGTTGAGCCAGAGGGTGGAGCCAAAGCAAAGGCTAGGCTGTTAATATTTAATCAGATTATCCTCTGGTTGGATGACGTCTTGTCAAACTCAAACTCCCAGGTAGTCTTAATCAGCCTCAGCTGTGCTCACCTGAGGCTGCGGCTGTTCTTTGAGTGCTATGCTTATGTAAGAGTTTAAACCAACTATTTTAGTGTGCCTGTTAAAGAGAGCACGCTCTCCAGTGTGATGATTTTAAAAGACTTGAGATGTTATTCAACTTCCTGGATAGTCTTATAAAATATGCTTGAAAAATGTGAACATATCAGTTCAGTAAACTATCCTGTTCACAGTGAAATTTTGAAAGAAATTTCAGAGTCATGAATTTCAAAAGTCTGAACATTAAGGTATGAGAGCTCCTGCAGAGACAAGTCTGTTCTCAGATTTCATGATGAGCTATTAATCGTGTCCAGATGTTTTACTGTGAACACTTTGACTTATTTACTTTTACACTATAAAAAATAGAAGTAAAAAACTTCTTAATGATGCAGATGATAACTCACAACTGTGCTTTTATCCTGCAGGCATACCGGTGGATGATTGACTCCCGGGATGAATTCACTGAGGAGCGTCTGTCAAAACTTCAGGATCCCTTCTCTCTCTACCGCTGTCACACCATCATGAACTGCACCAAGACTTGCCCCAAGGTACTCAAACAGGTTCACACTCCTATATTTCTGCAGACTTAGGTTTTGGTTTCTCACTGTCTGTCTGATTTGCTGCCCCACAGGGACTGAATCCAGGAAAGGCCATCGCAGAGATCAAGAAAATGATGGCCACTTATAAAGAGAAGAAAGCTGCAGCTTCATGAACATCTGCAAACAAAGCTCACTCAAGATCTGCTAATATTATCATTAACTCAGACAAAGAGAGGAGAAAGGCCAGCCTGGTTTTTCTTTCCTCAATCAGCACCTTTTATCATTTTCATTAGAGTGTGAGAGAGGTGAGTGGACAAGTGTGTGTGAGATTGTGGGAGAGAGCAGGAAATGTAAAGGTGTGCTCAAAGAAGGTGCTGAAAGACTGTAAAGATTTTTATTTCAAATGATGGAACATGTTGGACCACGTTTCTTCTGTTCTTCTGCACAGTGAAGATACCAGGCCCTGCTGCATGTACTATGGAAGAAACACTCATGAACAACTGTAAATATTTAAGTATGTGTTCATTAAAATGTGTTGTGCTCATCAGGGAATTGTATGTATGCGTTTTGACCTTGACATGATGTTTTTCAGGCTCACTTTTAACACACTTGTCATGTTAACATTTACTTTATATCATATTTAGATTCTTATATATAAAGTATTACAATAAGATCTTACCACATGACTGGCAATAAAAAGTAAATTGATTCTAGCTGAGACAGACAATAAGATGAAATATAACCCACCTGATAAATTGTGAAAGAGGAAAAAGTTTGACTGAAATAAAAAGAGTGTGTTTGGTACCAACGAATGCAAATATTGTCATAATGATAACAAGGACCAGGTGTAAGCCTCAGAGAACATGTCAGGTGTGTCCTGTGCTAAATAAATCACATGACTCATGAAGCAAATACGGTATTTTAAGGACTCATTCAAGACCTGCTCACCACAAGGAAGGCACAGCTGTATATTATCCCATCCACCACATATGAGGGCTCTTGTAAACAGGGTAGTGTGACCATGACTTGCACACAGGAACACCAAAGCCCTGAAGCAAAATACATTACTCACTGTAACACTTAAATATTTGTTTTCCTGTTTCGTCAAAATTTTGTCTGTGAAAGAAGGCTCTCTGGTGATGTGTTATTATTCCCTTATTGTATTTACTGATCAGTGAATGGCTCAGAAAGCCTTACTTTGGTCTGTTTTCAGTATTAACTTCCTCAGCCGGGTTTTTATGAGAAAGCTGGGTTTCTTAGAAGGATTAAAAGATTTAAAGGGTCCAGAGAACAACAGTTGCAACTTAGTGGCTTTGAATACACTTAACAAGGCTTTACTAATAATAAAGCTGTCAAATATTAAGGCAAAATTAATGACTCATACATAAACAAAAATGCAGTTACTTGCTTACATTGTAGTTGATTTAAATCATTTTTTTCTATTGAGATGCATCATTGAGGAAGGAAGTTTGCAACCAATCTCACACTAAGATGTGATTTTATAGTTTTGTATTGTGTATGTACAGCTGACCAAACCTTACATGACACAAAAACAAAACTGTGTCACTACACCCAAAACAATATTTTACTTAAAACATTTAAAAGACGTGACAAAGAGCACAGAACATATTACTGGATGGAAAAACATTCATTCAAGTACATAAATCTTTCGTAAAACAGAAAAAGGTTCAGAATATGTATCTTTTGGGAATTGTTTCTTCATTCCATAAAAAAAGTTAGCATGCAAAATTTTTGCATTCAGTGAAATGTTTCTGCTCAGATGCCACTTTAGGCCCTCGAAATTTTTGTGCAATGAAACACCACTTTTCATCAAAAAATCCTCCAATCTACGCTTTAACTTTGTTTTTGGTTCAATATGTAGAATACATTGAACTGTTTGGCAGGTATTACGAGCTGTTCGGGAGGCAAACCCACTTATCTCTGATAGAAAATACTTTTACAAGCATAAGGAGTAGTGATTCTCAGACATGTACTGTTTTTGTTTTGCAGCAGTATGCTTTATTAGACTGACAAGCGCTTGTATCTATTTCGGGCCACGTGACTTCCCGTAGAGCGGTACTGTTTGTGCTGATAGATAGTATAAATGCTTTGAGGGATCTGTTGAACTAGGCGAGGATAGCCTGAAATTAAGGCGTCAGTGTGGTGAAATAATATAATGTGGGGACTGTTATCGTGACCAAAGGATGGAGAGGCGAGGTAAGTGTGCTGTTAGCGGACATTCTTTCAAAAAGAAGATAGTAAGGCTACACTGTTGGACTGCTAACCGTTAGCTACAGACAGTCACTGAGAGATCTCTGAAAGCTGAACCCTGTCCTGTCTGTATTCACAAATATGGACAGAGAGGAGCTTTAATTATCTCAAAAAGTACAGAATTATGCTAGCACAAACAGGTAAAAAGAACCATTTTCATTGCTCGGTAAAGCAAAATGAACAACAACCATTATTAGCCATTAAATACGATTAATACCAAACTCAATACAGTTTAGACAGTATCAACCAACTGAAGATAAGGACTCCAAAGGTCACTGTCAGGCAACCAAGCCGGATAATATACATCCTTAAAAGATATCGTATATATATATGTATAGGACGAGTCATAACTTGAATTAGAAAACGCAAAAAGGGGAAAATAGTCTGCACAGTTACAGTAAACGCTATACTCAGTCTTTTTAGGCTCTAAGATTAAGAGTATACTTAGTAAAAATACAAGTATAAACTCCAAATCCTTCCAGTTTGGTTGGATTTGTAGCACCTTGTTTAATGGTAAAAATTCCTATGATCGTTAAGACAACAAATTAGAAATGAATCAAGTTTAGGTGCAGGTTGGAATGAAAAAACAAACGATTTTACCAGCCATCTGTGAAGGTAAATCCAAATTGATCATAATATTGTGGGTCTTTCCTTTACATTAACTTTAAAGGATCTTTTAAAATTTTGGATCAAAGTATTATTGCAGTTCATTAATCTCGTCTCTTTGTGAGGGAGGTTGGCCAGATTTGCTGTTCATCTATTCTACATTTCTATCATTTAGAAGTGGCCAGCTTACCAAGTGGTTTATGGTGTTATTTATGATCAGCAATCTACCTCAGAAACCACAGATGTTTTTGCCTGGATATTTCAGTTGAAATCTGTACTGGATGTTGTCTGACTACAGCGTGGCAAAAGGTTAAATCTTGAGTATATCTGACCTCACTTCTGAACTCTGAAATATCAATAACCTCTGAGCAAAACATCTCACTGCTGCTGCTGCCACCAGCACTGCTTCATCATCGGGGTCTACTTCTGCATTAGCAAATGCTGCTATGTAGCTTTGTGGTGTATAAAAAAAGAAAAAAAAAACATTAAGGACTGTAAACTAATAAAGGCTATTTCCACCAAGTCACAGAGAGCACAGGCTGTTGGCCTTTGCATGGTTGCAAGATAAAGTCTGTGTCATGCTTCCTGAGGTTGAGGTTTGTTTTCTGAGAATCTTTCCTCATCAGCTCACATGATGGTCTCGTGTTTGTCTCGTCATTTGTGCATACGAATTTCCCTCAGTTAACAAATCACAAAGCTTTTTCCCAGATGATGATCTTGTTGAAAGTGAAAGCCTTGACTTCAGCAGAGTGAATACACAGCTTATGAGATGAAAAGGCATGTTTCATGTTACCATATTGGTAATCTTTGGCCTTTTCTGCAGGCCATTTTTTTTCTTTGGGGGAAAAATCATTTTAATGGATGTCTGGAATTTCAGTGTTTGTTGAAACTGTTTATTTAGGTAATGTATTTAATAAATTGATGCCCAAAATCTTGTAAAATTCAACTCTATCAGACAAAGACAGTCTGACTGCTACCGTGAATATTTATTGTTACTTGTATTGTCTTTAAACAGATGATTTAAAACGGTGTGTGACACTCAGAAACACTGTGAACTCCGGACGTTTTGCTGCAGAACTGAAACTTAGCTACGAGTTGCTTTTAGTAGAGATCTGCAATGATGGAGCAAAGCAACATGTGATGTAGCAAATAACTCAATGAGACATGCTGTCCATGTTTGGCAAAGTACAACACAACATGACGCCAGGTTTACTAGACGCAGGACACAAATAATACATGTGTTAAGAAACAGTATTTCTTGCCATTAGCATTTTTTAAACCTACTGTTACTTAATGTTTTTTCAATGGAGAGAATGCAATAAAGTGACCTCCAGGATAGTCATCTGGAGGTTAAAATATGATAAGACATTCTTTTACTGGAGACAATATAAGAACCATGCATCTAATTGAGGAAAGTCCAATGAGATGCCCCCTGGTGAAGAAAGTGTAAGCATTTTCTAAGATGTGTGTCTATTAAAGAAATTATAATAACGATAAGGAAGCCCTAACAAACATGCATCTGTACTTTTTAATCTACATCTTCCACGTATAAGCAAGTAATTTACATTTACATTTCTTTTTGCATGAAAAATGCTATATAAATAAAGTTTGATTTGATTTGAATTTATTTGAGAGACACCAATGCAGATTTTTCTGTGAAGTAACATTGAATTTTTCCTCAAGATCCCAAAATATTTTTCTGATCTTTTTTATGATAGAATAACTCTTGTTTTCTGACTATAGATTAATTTAAGTTATTCAATTAATTTATCATAGGTGAGAGAAATGAAGAGATTGTACTGATTCAACTTTGCAAAGGCACGGTTAGAAAATATATATATATTTAGTAGAGAAAATACCTTACATTTGATCATTTTCTGCTTTTCTGCTGGAGAAAACATAATAAAGTGACTCACTGCATCTTCAAAGCAGGAACATTGTGAAAAAGTAAAAAAATATGACAATAGCCATACTTTTTTTTGAGCTGGTGCCCTTTTTCTCTTCCTGCCCCTGGCCCTCAGATAGCCTGAATCCACTCCTGTTGTTGCTCAAAGTGCCCAGTCAGTGGTCGTTGCAACAGTTTATGCAGCAAGCCCATTAAAGCTGCTTTCTCAATACATAAATATGCTAAGTAGAAATGGATATAATCTTAAGTTAATTCGTCGTTAGAAATGGCTGCGGGGGCCATGTCCCACTTTCCCCCCAGGAGCCGGTCCAACAGGTAAAGTAGCTTCATCAGGTATCAGACGCTCGAGGCACCGCGCGCAGCTAAAAAAGGGAAGAGCAGCAGCAGAATAAGAGAGAGGGATTCACCGACGGTGGAAGTGAAATGTGTTGTCAATTTAGGAAACTACTTATCTGAAACTGACGGTGCCGGGTTCACGGTAAGCCCAGTCTTCCACTCAGTTGTGTTTTAACCAGGAAGGAGTTGGTTTTGCTCTGATATTTTCCTGGTCTTTAGAAGCGGAAGCGAACATCTGCTTAAACAAACACTTTACTGCTTATTCTTATCGTCTCGGTTATTTTAACGTTTTAATAGAGGCTGGACAGTAAGTTTATTGGAAAAGACGATTGCTTTAGTGGACAATTCACCCTCGTTTGTAGCCTGTTAAAGTTAATGTTTTTGTAGGTGATCAGCTTTACGTCGTGCTCAGGTGTGTTCATTGGTAAACTATCACACTTTATGGTCACCCTTAAATCTCCCTCGATCTCACATACTTTCACGAAGTTTTGTTGTTGTGATCTCCCCATCCACGTGTTCCTGGAAGCAGAAACTGAACCGAACCATTCTTAAAGATGTTTTGGATATATGTAGCTTTTTATGGTAACGAATGATGCCTTTGTGCAGCTTAGTTTAGGAACTTCATCAGGAGATTTTAACAGCAGTTTTTAGGACCTGGCATGAATTCATCAAAACTGATCATTTAAAAAGATGATTTAAACCATGAAACCAGAATGTGAAACTTGACCACAGTACATTCCTTGGGTGTGTATGTTGTTAATATTGACTTTGAGGGTGTCTGTTGTGCTAATGGGCTCATGCATAGGTTGTAACTGAGGACTTGTGTTCTGCTCTATAGGTAGTGTTGCGGATCCGCAGAGCGGACTCCCCTCACCTAGTCCCAGAGACCCCTTGCTCAGTCCTGAGTCACACATGGTAAGAACCTCTACAGTCAGTTCTGCTTTACAGTGAAAGGATTTATGTTTGAAAGAACAAGCATGAAAAAGCTTCCTCTGGTTAATAACAGATAGACATGGTTGTCGTGATTGTGTTTCACTTTGTAAGATTTTACAACTTACAGTGACACCTGTCAGCTGTTATAGAGCAACTCAGACACATGCCTTGCTGTATTTACAGAGTGCGTTTGTTTTTCTGCAACATTTAGCTCAAAGATGCTGTCACCTGTGGCTCATACTTAGACTGATAATCTAATACTAAACTTATGATAGTGATATTTTCCTCCTGTTTTAACTTGAATGGACTGTCTAAACTCTTTGCCCCAACAGGATGTTCAGGGGTATAAGTGGGTGCGATGGCGTGTGTGGCTGTGTCGCCTGGCTGCCCTGCTGTCCTTGGGTCTCCTCCTGATTGTGTTTCACTGGCGCCCGCGGCTTGCTGTCCTTGCCCGCTGCTGCTCCTGTCCTCTAGCTTTGGCAGATGTTCTGCTACTAAAAGTGAGGATAACGTTTATTCCTGCTCAGACCATCTGAAAACAACCAAACAGCTGGCATAATTACCTGAACTGTTAATTTTCGTTCCCCTGTTTGTTACTTTGGTTCCACATTATTTTTCACTACTTGCAAACAGACAGGGTAGGGTTTAAGCATCACTCTTGCAAATTATGAAGGCTGAAACTGGTCTACTCATTGGGTTTATGGTTCATTACCATAAAAAATCATTACCATAACTAGAGTACACTCACTGAAAAGCCACAGATTGAGTATCTTTGAGAGCAGCAGCATATCATCAATATTTGGACACTCAGACTCTTCATCTACATTGGTCACATCTGTTTAGTTTTAATGAGGGACTGCACAGATTTGATATAAGACAGGCTTTGCTGTAGATTTACCTAGTCCATTTGCCAATTTCGCACAACACTTTCATGTTAGTGAATAAGCACAGTGCAACCTATGGTGTAACTGTTGCACTTCTGAACATTGCAATAACAGTAGCTGAATGATATATTATTCTCTACACTAGGCTCTTTTGATGAAAATAGCTACTGTATCTTCTTGTATTTCCCCATCCTCAGTTGCGTTTTTATTTCAATATTGTAACATTATGAAAATATTGCATCAGAATCATACTGGCATTAAACCACATACCCAGACACACAGCGCTGTTCACCACCATTTCCATTCCTATTCTGCCTCTGTCAAAAACTTGGGGAACAACTGCTTCACCATCAAGCTGTTTTGCATTAGATATAGCAGGCAAAGAGTAACTGGAGTCTGAATATTCTGTCTTGAAATGGCAGAACCAATTATGACTCAAACAAACTGATGGTAAAATTATTGTTTTATGCCATTTTAGTCTTGTGGCTCTGAAAAGAGCAATATAACCTCTCGAACTAAATTTTGAAATGCTTTAACAAAGTCTACTCCATGGCCTCAACAAATGCATTCCTCAAGAAAAAACCTGTTTAGTTGTAATTTTGAACAGTACATACATCCGCTTAATAACTTAATATCCACCTTTTATTTGATCTTTTCAAATCCATCTAATTCAGGCTTTGCTTAATAACTCTTCTTGCATCATTGCTGTTTATCATAAAAGCCCATTAATACACGTTTACTCACTCTGTTCAGCAGTGGATTACTGTATTTTCTTAAAACATTTTCCATATTTGCAAACAAGTGCCGCTGAACCTAGTGTGAATCAAATACATTTTATTCATACCTTATACTTGTAAGTTCTTTCTCATGACATTTTGATTTTAAACAACCACGTAGAAAAAGAACAGTGTCCATGAAAGTGTTTTGTATCAGGCTCTGATTGACCTCTATGGATTCTTGCTCAAGTCTCAGGGGTTCAGGAGTCACAGATCTGTTTCTGTTGTTTTTCCCTCAGGACAGTTTTGGCCAGCAGTATGTGGTGGAGGTCCTCACAGAGGAGGTGGAGGAGGGCAGGTAAGCCTCATACTTTCCACATCCACTTAAAGCTTATACCAATTCTTTCAACCTGAGAAAAACTGTAACATAAGATAACAGAAAAATTGGAAAACTCTTTTAGTTTGGACATGCTTGGAGAGCTGGAGGACACTGAGTGGAAAGATACAGTTCAGCTCTACAAGGAGGAGGTAAAGTAGGAGTAATTGTGCCTTTTCTGGCAGAATCTTATGATGAGTGACCGTTTTGCTCATTCTGAAACTCGACCTTTGTTTTGTTGCAGAAAACTCTGCTGCGCTACTATCAGTTTGAAGGACTGCGCTACATCTGGTTGGATAGAAAAGGAGCTTTCTGTCGTGTTAGGTACTGAATCAGGACAAGCATGAACAATCCAGTCAAAAGAGATAGAAATAATGAAAATATCTTCTTATATGTAATCTATAGTAGCTCTTTAGATCTGTATAAATAGGTGCCTTTCACTTTAAAGCTTGTGTTGCACTTAGAATGGAAGAACGACTCTTTGACTACAAAATGTCGATAATCAGGGTGTTGAGGATGAAAACTTTTTTCAGAGAGTGAGCTATTTCCCCATATATGTTATTTACACACTTGTAGGTTGTATATGATTTCACCTCCCTCTTCTTTTGTAGTGTCCTCAATGAGGACTGGACCTATAAGGATCTGTATGGTTTCCAAAAGGGCTTGAGTCACCTGGAGCAGAGCTTGAGGTAAAAAACGGGCGCATGAATGAATGACATTAAACATTTTATCAGACTGAGAGGGCACTGGTGAGTTATTAACGGCAGGAATCCTTTCAGGAGACGCATGTATGGGCCTAACCTCATTGATGTGCCTGTGAAGCCTTACACCAGACTTCTGCTTGAGGAGGTGAGATAAGAAAAACCTTCCCTTTTATACTGACTTTAGTGAAGATAAATGTCATTAAAACTCTGTGCGTAACATCAAACTGAACTCACTCCTGAACTTTTCCCTCTCTTCTTCTGCTTTCCAGGTTATCAACCCGTTCTACGTGTTCCAGTTGTTCAGCATCACATTGTGGCTTATTGATAATTATTTTATTTATGCTGCTTGTATTTTCTTCATCTCTGGTTTGTCCATCAGCATTTCACTTTATGAGATACGTAAGGTGAGCCTGTTGAAGAACACCTCATTGAGTCGTACCATCACGAGTTGGGTTCATTACATTTATTAACATTATACAACTTAACTCCACAGCAAAGTGTCACTCTTCGCAACATGGCTCGGATGATCACAAACGTCACTGTGCGGAGAAAGTCAGGAGGTGAGTTATTGAAAATGTTGCTCTTGTTGTGCCACATTCTAATAAGAAATATTGGAAAGTACCAACAGTTATGGGAGGAAACAGCCTACATTAGTACTTTCTGTAGAAGTTCCCATGAGGAAATGACAGAGAGGGCAGCAGTGGTTGTTTGACGTAGAGATAAAGTGAGGAGAGTGGAGGGACCTACACTGTACTGTGAGAAAGCAGAGACAAAGCTAATGAGATAATGAATTATTGATTGATCAGGCGTAGGTCAGATTTTCTGATAAGAACATCTCCTCAAGTCAACAATTGATTATTTTAACAATTGTGAATATTTTTTTCAGAAAATAAAAATAAACAGAGTTTGTCAGTATCACTATCTTGACACCTTACAGTAGTTACAGGTATTAACTGCCTAGGAGATTAGATTTTGATATAGTTTGATTTATGCTGGTAGAAAAACTACAGATTCTGTTATCATAACAACTCGACGGTACATTGTAAAAATAATCTCTGGAATTACTGTTTGATGGAAATTTAGAATGATTTTATGTTCTTGGCCCTCAGTCTATTAATCATTTTTCTCTTAACAGTACCAAATTATTACATTATGTAATTTTAAAACGGGCTTAAATCTAAAAACAGTGGTTTTGATTTGCTGATACCACACTCAGGTGTTTGAGAAAGAGTAGTTCCCTCTTTTGAACCACTAGTGTTTCAATTCCTCCTTTTCTCAGGACAGAAAATCCAAAGTAGTTTACCTCATAGTCTAACTCCATCAGTCGTATTTTCAATATACTCCACATTCTTGTGTAGGTCCATAAGAGTGACCTATTTCACATGTTTTCCATAAACCTAGACAGAAATGTTAATACAGACCAATAGTTAGTAAAGTTAGCTATGGGTCTGTAGTTTTCTTGGTAATTTTAGCAGCTCTCTAGCTATCATTACTTGACACAATGAATGTCTGAAAATAAAAAAAATAATCTACCAGGTCTGCGTGAAATTCCTTCAAAATGTTTGTGAGCCAAATACACAATTTGTTTTAGTGAGCCATGTGTACTGTAAACAGAGAGGTGGGAGACAAAAATCCTGAGGGCAGCTTTAAGGTTTTTGTGGCAGTTTTCCCTGGAGCATAATCCAACTGAAACAAGTGCTTTCTTTTGACCGCTTAACAGTTACACTCTACAGCTGAAAAAACTCCCCCAGAATAAACATCCATTCTTAACTCAATGATGCTCTTGGAAGTTAATCAGAAAGTTATGTGCAGTATATCGAGTCATGTATTGCCTTAAACCCAGAAATCTCTCCGAAGGCGCTAAACTCTGACTTTTTTGTATGTAGCTGAGGAGCGTGTGAGCTCAGTGGAGCTGGTCCCTGGTGACTGTCTCATCATCCCTCAGGAGGGCCTGATTCTGCCCTGTGATGCTGCCCTGCTGGCAGGGGAGTGTTTGGTCAACGAGAGCATGCTAACGGGTGAGCAACAACAACATCATCGAGCAGAACATAACAGGATAGATTTCTCATTGTTAAAAATGCAGCTCTAAAATGAGTGTGCTCCTCTGGACTCATGAAATCTTTAAGCTGAGAAAATTCAGGGTTTCGTTGCCTCAGTTCTAAATGTATCGAAGGATTTATTTTAAATCTCTTTAAGATGGGGTCACTTCACATCTCACAATCTTTAAGCAGATTAGAGTCACGTATGACTCATCAAAAGTGATCTTTTGGTTGACTGCATACTAACAGCACTAAGTAAGGGGAATGTTCAGTCAAGACTTACATTTCTTTCTTCCTTAAAGTAAAGAAAGAGCTTTTTTTTTCAGGCTGCTCTTTTTCATGTGGCCATATTAAAAAATAGTTCAATTCTTGTCCACATTTAATAGAAAGAAAAGAATGTTAATGCCTCACTTAGTTACCTGGACTGCATGCTCTCTGCTTCCTTAAGGAATTACGAATTTCACAACAAATACTTACAATAAGGTGACTAATGTTTAAATACTGCTTGAGACCAATCTGAATAATTACACTTTGACCACAATCCCTCAGAACAGTCTGAACTTGTTTCCCTGTCTGAGATTTCACCGCAGTGTAAAAATTCATTTATTATCTGCTCAAAAGTGATTTCAGGGGCCATCTCTGCTTTTTCAAGATCATTCAAGACTTTGAAAACATTTTTAAGAGTAAAGCTGTTCCCATGATCATAAAAATTCCTGACCATAAAAACACAGACTTGTTTTTGTCTCCCTTTTCACTCCAGCTGAGAAGTTGTTGCAGTAGAAGGGTTTTGATTGTTCTTTAAAACTTGTTCACTGTCAATATGTCTGAGACTATTATACTTTTGCAAAGATGTGCATGTCACAAACAGTTTTATTGTTACTACAGGCTAACACACTGCTGCATTATCACTGCCAAGGTCATGACATAATTATACTGTCAAGGCATATTGATGCATTTCAAAGCGTGCCACAGTGCCTGAGAGATGTGCATGCAACAAAATCTGACTGTGATCACGCCTAAGGTATTCTGTCATTACTTGTAGGTTTGTCATCAAAGTATATAAGCTACACTGCAGCCTTGAGGTACTGTAAATGATCTATTAGCAGCCAAATATTTGATAGGAACATGATCCAACTGTTTCCACCAATTTCTACTTTTTTTGTAATGTAGTTTTTTCAGAGACAAACACTCAACGTTCCATTTTCTAATCACATGTTGGTCTTTGGTGAGAGGTGAATCCTTTTTTTTTTTTTATCTGATGCAGCATCAGGATAAGAACGTGTGCAAATGGCAGTCATAAATGAAGTGATCACAACTTTGTTACATTCTGTACCTGGAGCTTCTTTTGGATTACATGATAAGGTGTCGACCTGTTTTCATCTTCCCTGTATGTAGGTGAAAGTGTCCCTGTTCTAAAGTCCCCTCTGCCGACCGGGGACGGGAGGTACAGCTCAGACACTGACCGCAGACACACCCTCTTCTGTGGGACTCATCTTATCCAGGCCAAAGGGGGAGGTCCTGAAGGCGGGGGTGCTGTTGCTGTGGTAACAAGCACAGGTGAGTAACTATTGTTCTCTTTATTTCATGTATTCATTATGTCAGAAGTAGAGGCCACAGAGATGGTGTTTACTTTTTCACGGGTGTCCTGAGATGCATATGCAGTGTAAACACAGTTTGAAAGAGTTGTGGATACAAAGAAAAATAAAAGCCGTCTTTTTTCATTCGGTCACAAATCTTGGTACTTTCACCATAAATGAGTTTTGAGGTCTGGCTTTATGGCCTGAACTGTTTAGAAACTGGAGACTTGAGTCTCTGTCTCAAATCTCAAAATTCAGGAAATAAAAGCTTTATATTGAAAAAAAGTGGGGGAAAATGTCATTAAGCAAAATGCTTTTAAGAACCTCTTAGAAAAACTTAAAACAAGCTTAACATTTTTGAGTTTGTTTGTAGCTTAACTCCATAGACAAACTGAAAAAGCCTTCTTTCATTAAGTTCTGCTGCATTTTTTCATCCTCAGGGTTTTTCACTGCGAAGGGAAACTTGATCAGCTCCATTTTATATCCTCAGCCGACAAACTTCCGCTTCTACCAAGATTCTGTCAGGTTCCTGTTCATTTTGGGCACTGTTGGTAAGAACTTGGGCAGAAATTATGCAAACTGCGTTAATATACTTTTCAGTATGTCAAGCCCTCTGAAGGTTTCATTAATAACTGAACCTTATATAATATTTCCTTTTTTTGTCTTCAGCTTTTTTTGGCACCATTTACAGCTTTGTGGTCCTCTTCAAATCCTGTGTAAGTGCTGATAAGTTACAATAAAGAGTAAATAACTGACAGAACTGACAGTGACATACCAGTGATACATGAAGTGATATCTCTGACTGTTTTTCTTGATTTCTTTCTAGGCCACCTGGCTGGAGTTAGTGATCAGAAGCCTGGATATTGTGACCATTGCAGTTCCCCCTGCACTGCCTGCTGCCATCACCACCGGCACCATCTACGCCCAGCACAGACTGAAGATCCGAGGTATCTTCTGCATCAGTCCACCTCGAATCAACATCTGTGGAAAGATTTCACTCTTCTGCTTCGACAAGGTGAGGGGGAATCCATTCACTGAGGTTTGATTTGATGTGAAGGGTTGTGGCCATGTGGCGTGTCAGATTTGAGTTTCATCAGAGTGCTTTTGTTTCTCCAGACAGGTACTCTCACAGAGGAGGGCCTAGATGTGTGGGGAGTAATAGAGGCCAGACCAACTGGTTTCTTGGAGCTAGTACCAGAGCCGAGAAACCTGCCACCAGGGCACATGCTCTCTGGTCTGGCCTGCTGTCACACTGTGACGCTACTCCAAGATGAGCACCTTGGAGACCCTTTGGAGCTCAAAATGATCGAGTCCACTGGCTGGGTATGACAGTAAATATTATTTTCTTGTAGAGGTACTTGACTGGGAATGCTCAGTTCTCAGAGCTTTGACCATCATTGTGTCCTGAAGACTTTATTTTGGTACTGGCACTGGCAAAAGTCAAAAAATAGAATCATTTGTGGTTATGTTAAACGGTCAAACATAGATACTGGATTAAGAATAGATTAAGAATAGAATAACATATTATTCACATTATTTTTCATATTACTGCAAATCTCAGTGAAAACATGTACATTGAAACCTGTGTCTTTACTTCGTATGCATGTTCTTTCAGACTCTTGAGGAGCCAAATGGGAATGGAAATGTACTGGATGAGGAGTTTGGGGGACACAAGGTTTTGGCTGTCATGAGACCTCCTGCTCAACAGCTTCAAGCTCAAGGCACTGTGAGTGTGCTGTGTCCCAGCTATCAATCTCATATAATCTGATTTATAGAGTTGATCCTTTTAATCTCTTTGATTCTGTTTTAAAGGAACTGATCCTTCTTTTTGTTTATCTCCGAGTTATAAACAAAGAGGATCAGACTGAACAGCTCCTGACTAATTGCTCATGCATTATTGTTGTTCCTTTTCCTTTATCTCTCAGTCTGCCAGTGAGCCGGTGGCCATTATCCAAAGGTTTCCCTTCTCCTCAGCTCTGCAGAGGATGAGTACAGTGGTGGTGGCCCCTGGGGGACGGTCGCCTCTTGCTTTTATCAAAGGATCCCCAGAGATGGTGGCTAGTCTGTGTCGAGCAGAAACTGGTGAGTAACCTTAAATTTGTAAAAACGGATAAGTCAACATTTGAGTATTTAACAGTAGTTCAACCATTTGAAGTTATTTGGACTCGGGGCATATTAACACCTATACCTACAGATCAGTTAACTGGTAGATAGATGATTAAATTGTGTGTTTTGTCTATAAATGTTTCATCACATCAACTCTGAATGGGATACTTCATGCTTACAGTGCCGGGTAAGTTCTCCAGCAAACTGCGCAACTTCTCCAGTGAAGGGCTCAGGGTCCTTGCACTGGGGTATAAATCTTTGGCTGAGGACACTGATCTGAAGACCATTGAAAGGTGAGAACACAGTCTTTAATTCAGACTTCTCTGCAGCCACAGAGCTCTGCATTGTTTTGTTCTACATCTGAAGTCTGCAGTTGGCTGAGCTGGACTGAAATGGATCCTGCAAAGTCCAGCAGAGAGTCTTAATGCAGCTGTGTGTCTTTCACAGAGGGGAGGTCGAGAAGGATATGCAGTTTCTAGGCTTTTTGATTTTGAAGAACCTGGTGAAACCAGAGAGTCCCGAAGTTATTAACACCTTGAGACTGGCAAATATTCGAAGCATCATGGTCACTGGTGAGACGTTTTGTATGAGTGTTAGCTGTGCATGAGTCAGACTGTGCACTTCCTCTTTTTCACATCAATCTCACATCAGATCTTTGTTTTCTCTTGTTGCATAGGAGACAATATTCTAACAGCAGTCAATGTAGCAAAGTGCTGTGGGATGGTGGGTTCTGATGAGAAGGTGATATTTGTCAATGCAATCCCCCACACCAACCAGTCCATGCCTATGCTCAAGTTCACTGTGGAAAACGGAGGGCCGACTATGAACCACAATTCAGTCGAGGTCATCACTCAGGTCAGTCCTACTCAGAGAAAACTCTACAGTCCACGGCTCATCAGTGTGTCAAAATATGTTCCTACACCAAAGAAAAAAAAAAATTTCAGTTCAGTTTTCAGTTCGAAGTCTAGACGTGGTTCACTTTCAGTACAGTAAAGGAAATGAATGCCACTTTTGATATTTTGTTTCCTTTATAAGAAACTTTTCTGAGGTCCAGCATTGTTAGCACAGTTTTGTAAGCCTGCTCAATTTTCTTTGTTACAACTTATTTGATTGAAAAAAGTTAGTATAAACATTAAATTAGAGTAATGCAGATTCTGTAATTAACACAAAAACGTGGGCAGATCTTCTGTCTGGCTAGTCGACTTAAGAGGTTTGTTCACACATAATGGGTAAGGTATTTGTACTGTAAGAGTCCCTTTTTCTATTGTCTGTACTGATAGCAGGAGCACGCAGGATAGCAATACACAGCGGTCTACCTCTCCATGCGCTAACCTTAACCAGGAAGCCACTCTATAGCCACAAATAATGATCAGAACAGCACCTAACTTCATCAGCAGTACATCAGACATCTTTTTAGCTTTGCCTGATTTCTTTAGCAAAGAGACCAAACACAACTCACCCACTCTCCTCCTGCAGCCGCTTGTTTGTAAGAGAGCCCTGACAAGTCAATCAGTTTCGCAGCTCAAGGAAGAACATTTATGATTATTACTTCATGGAAAAGCAATCAAACCGAGATGCTAAGGCAGAAGAACTACTGAGTCTGCAGTGCAAAATGATTATTGTGATGATTATTACTTAAAGGAAATGATCCATTACGGTGTATATGATCATAACTTAAATTTAGGGTGGAATATCCCTTTAAGTTACTCTACTATGAAAACTTTATTCAAGATTTCAGAGGTGCATCTCAGTTGGGTAATATCCCCTGTCCTACCAGTACCTGATCACTTCATATGACTCTACTATTCTCTTTATTTGCATCATCAGAGTTGGGGAGCATGTTTTGATTCTGTGAAACAAAATTCTTAATTCAGATTTTAGGAATAAAGGTTCAACTTGTACACTCTATCAAATAACGCTCCCACTGATGACAGGCACCAAGGATTATAGTGCTGCTATGCATGCACACAGCCATATGGCACATTTTAATAGGGAGCATTAGTGGAATCCAGAAGAATGACACTGTTGAGGCAAGGAAAACATTATGCTGTTAGGTGATGTGTGTGAACAATCTACTCAGGAGAACTTTAAGGCAGTTAGTCCTAAAAATTCTGTACAAAAAACATCTGTAGTCACCAAAGTTGCTTACAAAGAGGCCCATGGTATAATCTTAGCATGCATATATAAACTGGATGGCAGGATTTTTGATACTGTTGCGTGTTTCTTGATTGTCACAGGGTCTGTACCAGGCTGGCTCTGGCTATCACTTGGCTATTGGAGGCAAGTCCTTTGCAGCACTCTGTGAATATTTCCCTGAATATCTGCCAAAGGTAAAGTGTGCTCTCTTATCCTAGCATAAATATGGACCATGATAATGCACTATGAACACATGGATTATGCAACTATGGGAGTAGTGATAAGAGAAATCAAGGAAGGACAGTGATAGACACTTAGGTTCTCACTAACTAGCTTTTGACCAACTGTCTTTACTTCCCAGCTGACCTCTTCTTTCTGTTTGACATGCTGCCTTTGCAGATTTTGATGCGGGCCACAGTATTTGCACGCATGACCCCTGACCAGAAAACCCAGCTGGTGAAGGAACTGCAGAAACTGAAGTGAGTTCTGGTGCAAAGAAAGGCGAAGAATAAAAAAACTGAAAAGAAAAAGGAACAGAAAGTTAAAGAAGCAGAGTAGAAATGAAATGGGGGGATACACATGATTTATTATCATTATTATTGGGACATGTCATATCATCATTTCCCTGCAGTCTGCTGTCTTCTGTGAGTTCTGGTAAAGTGGATTAACAGGGAAACTGTCCATGCACAAGGAAGAACACTGGATTAAAATGAAGATAAACAAATCCACCTCTACCAGGAGCTACTCTGAAAAGAGAGGAAAACATTAAGTGGGGGCATACCAGGTGTAAATTTCTCCTCCTCAGTGATGAAGGTTATGTCTTTCCAGCTGCTTCTTAAACCAGTTTTAAAAACTACATCTTGTGGCCATTTAAGGAATTGCAGTTTGGAGCCCATCCACAACCACAGGTGTATTATCACAATTAAAACATGCAAATCTGGGACCAAGGACATAACTTCTGTCAATAAGTAAAGATGACTTGAATTCTTCAAATATGTATTTTAAACAAATTGAAACTTTCATATTCAACGAATAAGTGAAACTTTTTGAGTGATGAGGCAAACACAAGCGACCAGCTGGTGCAGTTACTCTCCAAGAGTTTGACAAAGTTGATCTGGGCGTCTCTGAGGCTATTAGGAAACGGGTAGGGCAGGCACTGGAGTCAGAGAAAGAAGAGAGAGTTTCCTACATCCACATTTCATGATAAATATGGAAACAAATAAAATTCTTTGTAGTGCAAATAAAGAAACAACTTATGTGTTATCACAGCTACCGTGTGGGTATGTGTGGAGACGGGGCCAACGACTGTGGAGCCCTGAGAGCTGCTGACGTTGGGGTCTCCCTGTCTGAAGCCGAAGCCTCTGTTGCGTCACCTTTCACCTCAAAGACCAAAAACATCAGCTGTGTGCCGCTGCTTATCAGGTGAGGAAAATCTGTCTCTGAAAACCAATGTCCTGACTAGGGCTGGGTAACAAAACAATAACGATATATATTAAAAATTAATGTCTTTTCGATAGCTGGCATTCTGCCATGTTTTGGTAGACTATACGAACAGCCAATGAAAAGGGGAGTTGCTCCAGATTTGCTTTTGCGCTGAACCAATCATGTGCTGAATTAGAACCAAGTAGCAAACAACTGTGTAGTAGCAGTTACACGCAACCAACAGCACTGTTGGTAAGAAGAAAAGAAAATGAGTGCTCCCCCCGGCAGAAATGCAGATGAAGACTCAACAAATGATGACATTGTCGACAACACTGGCACAAAAACGTTGGTGGTGTGGAGGTATTTTGTTTTTTTGAGGTTGGACATGAAGCAGAGTAGTGTGCACTGCAAATAGTGTCGAGTACACGTTCTTGCGAAGTCAGGGAATACCTCAAATCTTTGTCACCACCTAAAGCAGTGCCACACGCGCATTGCAAAAGGTTACAAACCCTGAGTGGAGCAAGGAGCCATTCAGTCAGCTTTCCCTAGCGCAACGCCTTACGACAAATCGTTGTAGAGACACAAAGACGTCACAGATGCAGTAGCTTATTGTATTGCGAAAGACATGCTACCAATAATCACTGTTTAATTTCATTTTTTATACCGTGATATATATCAATATCGACTGATATGAAAAAAAAAAAAATTGTGATAAACTTTTTCTCATATTGCCCAGCCCTAGTCTCGACTAATGTTTGTTGCACAGAATTTAGAATAAAATTAAATAAATAATGTTTTATTTCCTTGTCTGTGAAGAGAGGGCAGGTGCTCCCTGGTGACCTCCTTCAGTCTCTTTAGGTACATGGCCCTGTACAGCATCATTCAGTTCTGCTCCGTCCTCATCCTCTACACAGTGAGTACCAGACATAATACAGTTAAGGTTGGCAGCTTGTTTAAGTGAAATAACAAGCTTATCACTCTGATGCCGAGTGAAAATCAAGTTCACAACCCTGCTGAGCCCTTCAGCTGTTTAGATAGGTATGCAGCATGTGCAGTTTTAGGAGGTAGCTATTGTAAAGTAACTACAAACCCCCCTCTGAGGGAAATCTGACCACTCTGTGTATGGCAGTGATGGTCTCTAAATAAACGCGTGTATGATCAGATGTTAAATTCATGACAAAATATTTAAAGACACAGTTGCTGAAGAACTCCCACTGAAAATATTCCTCATGATGTGTGTCCAGGTAAAGACCAGCATGGCTGACCTGCAGTTCCTCTTCTGTGACATCTTTGAGGTGACTCTGCTGGCCTTAGTGATGGGGAAAGGAGGTCCCAGTAATGAGCTTAGTCCCCGCAGACCCCCAGCCAGTCTGTTGGGTCTGCCTGTCCTGGGCAGCCTTTTAATCCACAGCTTTGTGATCGTCCTGGGCCAGCTGGCTGCGCTCTTCATCACCGTTTCACAAGACTGGTCAGTAGAAGAACACAGGCTTGTAGTCAAAGTTGTTAGCAGTTGAATTCATCTCCAACAGTCTGGATAGTCTACAAAAGTGTCTTTGTTTTGGAAAAGTTTAAGAAAGTTTGTGTTTCTGCATAGATCATACGTGTTGTTGAATAACTTTAATAAATGTTGAAATGAAACAAAAAAAACATACACCCCTGTATTTTGTCTCCAGGTACGTTCCACTGAATTCCACAGTGTTTGGAACAGAAAATCTGCCCAACATGGAGAGCACCAGTGTGTTTGCTTTGTCGGGTTTCCAGTACATCATCATGGCTGTGGTGGTGACCAAGGGCTACCCTCATAAGAGACCTCTCTACCATAATGGTGAGGCATCAGAAATCTTGATCATCATGCTAATTATCTGATTAGGACCGGGCCGGTTTCCAGTTTCATCATGTGCTGCGTTTCTTTTCATCATCTCTCCTCCAGTGCTCTTCCTCTGTTTACTGTTTGTCCTCTTCGGCCTGATGACATGGCTGGTCGTCTACCCCGGGGCTTTGGTTTGCAAGACATTGGACCTGTACGACTTCACCGATATGGATTTCAAACTGCTTCTCGTTGCGGTGGCTGCTCTCAACTTCCTCATTTCTTTTGTTGCAGAGGTGAGTGACAAAGTAGAATTTCAATCTTTTTGGTCCAACTTGATCTCAAGCCTGCTGTTTCTGTAGATGCTACACATAACGCACACACTTTATGACCCTGTACTGCACCAGGCATGAAAGCTATCGACATGATCCTTCAATGTAGCTCATCATTTTTACTTTTTTTGTCATTTGCTCAGTTCACAGTCTTATTTACTCAGATTTAGAGGCAGTTCATGAATAAGAGGAGATGTTTCTGAAAGCTTCTATCAATTATTGCAAAAGCAGTAGTGTATGGTACTTGAAAATCGTGGATGCACTACATTATGAATAAACATGGGGGAGTTTTCTAAGACCATGTGCAGTGCAGGTTCACAGTGAAGCTCATGGCTGGCTGAGTAGTGATATAGACTATTATATTTAAATTTTTGGCTGACACTTCAAACAATTTGATCCAGGACTGAGTTTTGTGACCAGGTGAACCTCCGAGTCTCCGACATGCAGTTTCTACAAACAAACAGCAAAATGAGGCACTGACATTTTCATCGTTGATGTAAACTTGCTGGAAAGCAGATTTTAATGTGGTCAATGACTTGGATTCTTTGCAAGTATAGTACACAAAATCAGCTGTGTCACCCGTTCACAGTCCACTGGATGACAGCAAGTGCCAAGCTAATACGACACCTGCAAAGCTGATGTAGAACCACAGGTTCTTGATTATATTAGATGTTATTCCCAACCTACTTGCGATACACAAACAATAATTTTGACATCTTAAGTTAAGCTAATCCGTTTTTAGGAAGGTTGGTTAAGTGTAATGGCTGATTCACTGTCAGCTGCCTTATTTTCAGGGGTCTTCTTATTGCACATGCTGGCTCACTTACAACATCGGAATCTGGCCACGACATCCTGCCACACCTCCATTTTTTAAATGTACAATTGGAAATGACTTAAGGCTAGTGTTGTTTTTTTTTGTTTCCAGGTGCTGATAGACCTGGGTCTACTCAACTGTCTCCGGTTGCTCCGTGGGAATCGTCAATCCAAGAAACAGTATAAACGTCTGAACGCGCTCCTGTCAAACTCTCCATCATGGCCGCCTCTTAATCAGACTCTGTCCCCCACAAATAGCACAGTCATCTTCCTGAGCTAGCAGCTGCTTTTTGAACTCTGTCACTGAGCCAAACGATGCTATGGATGTCTGAATCACTCTGTCATCCTGACCAACAATGCAAAGTCATGTTTACCTGTGTTAATAAAAAGTATTTTATTTAAAGTAATGATTGCAAGGTCTTTATATTTAGAACCATGTTAAAGGAATGTTCCGTTTCTTTACTCACTCACTCTCCTCCAGCAGCCGTTTGTTTGTGGGGGAGCCCTGACGAGTGTAGCAGATCATTTCCTTGAAGTAATAATCATTATAACAATCATTTTTGCTCTGCAGATGCAGTCGTTCTTCTGCCTTAGCGTCTCGGTCCATGAAGTAATGATCATAATGTTCTTCCTTGAGCTGCGAAACTTTGCTGCACTTGGTAATCGACTCGTCATAGCTAGTGGCTAGTGCTGTGGCTAGGACCCTTTAGGTACTGTTGATGAAGTTAGGTGCTGTTCTGAGCATTATTTGTGGCTATAGAGTGGCTTTTTGGTTGAGGTTTACACATGAAGGTGTAGACCGTTGTGTATTGCTATCGTGCGGTCTTTGCATAAGTTGGTATAACTAGAGAAGCAAGCAGTCGGTAAAATTCATCTCTGGAGGGGGTGTCTAACTCGGTGTTATGGTGTGCTTGACCACTGGGACTAAAAACTTTCAAAGTTGTTTGGCCAAAAATATTCAGGTCAGGTTTGCATCCGTCAGCCAAATCACCCGAGTTCTTCTTTGGTACCCTCTTCTCGTATAATGACGGTAAAAGCCTGTTGCATATTTAAAGTGATCAAAGCTTTTAAAAGAAATTCAAGATTGCAGGAGAAACCTCATTTTACAGAAGAACAACAAAATCTAGATGATTGAAGTTTTTTTTGCAAATCATTTTATTAAATCAGTATTTACAGGCAGTTTGTGTTCTCACTTGGAGCACAGCTAAACATGTCTCTCCTCTGCTCTGCTGCTAGATTTCCTGAACTAAAATCTCTTTACAGTATTTTGAATTCTCTCTCAGATATATTCAGCTTCTTGAACTACAGTAATAAAAATCAACAACCAGGAAGTAAAGATGTGATACAGGAGGCACAAGCTGAATTCAACCATTACAAGAACTTCTCTACTGATGATGTACACCACTAAATATGGCTTTGTTGAGAGTTGTTTCTCTGTTTGAACGAACAAAAGGTGAAAAACTAAGTATTTTCTATCGGGCACAATGGTCCTGGTCAGCCAGGTAGTCACATACAGCTGTGTCTCCATGTTCCACTGAAGCAGTGGACCAATGTTGCATTACAGTTGTTTACATCGCTCACATGCCAACAGGTAGACAAAAATATAAAAAATGTTCATTCATTCATCTTGGGACATCTTCTCGGTTACATTTCACTCCACTCAAAGTGCAGCGCTCTGTCTGACAAAGCGCCAACATCTGCTGTCTGAGTGATCACACCTGCTGGAAAAATACAATCCTAGTTCATTTCATTCATTCAGTCTCGTTCACTTTCACCTGAGTTCCTACATACTGAAAGTCAGGGAAGGACATGAAGTGAGCACACCGCTGACGAGATGGAGATATGAAGGGAAGGCTTAAGGAGTACAGCAGTCGGTTTAACCCCCCTGACCTGCCAACACCGTCCTCTCAGTATGACATCTTAACAAACTGATGTATATACATGGATCAATTTTAAAATGGGTGTTTTGGTTCGTTATGATTAAAATACTGCTCGGACATTTCTGCCATCTCATACAAAAAAAGGCAGATAAGCTACTTAAAAATGGCCATAAATCTCAAATCTCTTGTCTTTTTGTCTTTGCTTAAGTTTTAAATAAAAACATTGATGTGACAGTCCAAGGAAGACAGCTGGAAAGCAGTATTTAAAAAAAATGCACTAACAGAGCTCATAATTTAAAAAAAAACAAAACAAGACAAACATTACCCTTACCCTCCGATTTTTTTAAAACAAATGGCGATTTATATATTAGGGGTGCACTGATAATGCCAACAGCTCATTTAATGCACAAGTAACAGTGAGGTACTCCGCATTAGAGGTAAGTTTACTGCAGCCCAGTCTGTCCTGACAGACTGTCAGCACAGAACTAAACGCAGCGAATCTTTTGACTAATTTACCACCAAATTTACGACGGATACTCAGAATGACATGTTGTGAATAAAACCTGCAGGTATCATATGATGTATAAACTCTGAAATGAAGTATTGTTGTAATACACAGGTTACTAGCGGCGTATATATGAATGTATGATGTACTTCTGTAAATATCAGAGCATCCCTAATATACATATTTAATTAAAGACAAGCAAGAAAAAACAAAAATAAAAACTTAGTCAGCCAACTTCTTAAAACTTAAAAACATATGAAAAGGTGTGAGAAGTGATGCCTGGCATTATTGCTGGGGAGAAACGGCTGCTGCTGCTGGACTACCAGCTCATGTCATTTTGCTATATCCCATCATCTCTCCTCCTCTCTCTGCCCTCCTTTTGTTTAAAGTCTTTGCGTCAGCCTCACAGGACCCCTGAAACACTGCAGGGCACCGAAGGAGAAGAGAGATGGAAGTGAGGGGCGTCTCTTAAAGGGATCATCACAGTGAGTCCAGAAGAAGAAGAAGAAGTCCATAATCACAGTGTCAAAGCGACTGGAGGGGTGGGGAGAGAAGGCAGCACATTTTCATTTCATTTCCCCCCTTGAGTTCCTGGCTCCCTGAAAGTTCTGTATGACTGCAAGCTGAGGGGAGAAGTTTTAAGACCTGAATGCTGCCTTTGCTCTCAGGTGGCTCTTGATCTCTCTCCCCTTAATGGCTGGGTGGCTCCAGGGCCCATTTATCTATGCTGCCGGAACCCTTGGGTGCCGTCTGGCCCGACTGGCTGCCCAACAGTGTGATTGTTTGATCGGGTGTCCTCTGAAGGCAGTGTAGGGTTATTGCGGCCTGACCTAGCAAAAACACAGGAAAGAGGAGAGTCAAATTACAGAGAGGTCTTTGGCTCTATTTACATGAAGACTTTTGAGCAACGCTGATATAGAGCTTTGCTGTTATCATGCCTGTGCGCACCAGTGCAGTAAAGACTGAGCTTCAATACCTTTTTACTTTTTGAACGATGCTGCTTTGAATATAACTAGAAAGTAAAATTCATGTAGAAAGTAGCAGACATTCACCTTTATAATGAACAGGTCCAGACCAACAGCTGCCTAAGATTTAAAGCGAAGTAGTGCTTCTCTTCTCTAGTGATATTGCGCTTAATCAGGTGTTTATTGTTTTGCTTTCCAAACAGATTTTAATTTTTATTAAACAGAAATATCTGAGAATGACTAAACTTAAGAGTCTCATCCATGTCAATTGCACTTGGCACCAGTTGGTCAAACTGTACACAATGCTTCAATTGGCTAAGCAAGGTACTTTGACTTCAAGAGGAAACCATTACTTTTCTTTAAAGATCATATTTTTTAAACAGAGATCTATGTACAGCTGTAGAGCTGGGCAATATGGACTCAAATCAATATCACGATATATTAAGCAGTTCACCTAGATAACAATACATGGATGATAACTACTCCACAAGCCGCTCAACCTCTCCAACATTAACTTCATCAACTTCAGCCGCTGCTCCAGCCTCTTAGTTGGGTCACAAAGTGAGATTCTGTGACCATCCTCTGGCAAGGATGGTTTGACGATTGATTTGACCTCTATGGACCCTTTAGAAAAGATTTAGCCCCCAGGTCCCTCGCAACAATCCCGGCATTTTTTGCTAGACAGCTAAATTCAAGATGGCGGCCAGCGCCATCTCTAAAAATTATCTTTTGATCTGGATGACCTAGAATCATGTATGAAGGCACTTTTCCATACAAGTCAAGCATGAGGATTCCAAATCTGACATAGTTTTAATCATACAACTTTGTTTTGACCGCGATATTCAAGATGGCTGCCATCTAGTACTGTGATTCTCAACCTTTTCAGGACTTGATCCCCCAAAACAATCATATTGGAACTGGATAATTTGATTGTCAACTGATTTGTTGACTCTGTTCCACATATAGATATTGTGAAAATAGCCGATTTACAAGCCCGTAACACATGGGGCTCTATTTTCGTGCCTCGCCGGAGACGTGCCGCAGGCGTGGCGTAAGTCAGGTCCGCCGCGCCGACAAGGCGTTCCCAAGCACAATTTGGTATTTTGGTGAGCGACGCAGCCCAGCGTAAGTATCCCCCCTCCCTAACTCAGCTCCTCCCAGCGGCGTAAGTCGTAGCGAGGGAGGAGAAAGGGCGTGGAGTGGGTTTAACACAGCTGAGACCTGCATTGACCAATCACATCAGCTCCTCTCCTCGCCTTTAAATCCGCCACAGGCGAGGCGTATTACTATTTTTATGAAGTAGTCAAAGAGATCAAGAGATGTCTGAAGACAGTAATGCCACACGATGGCGACAGAAGGCAGCTCCTAAACAAGTGTCACTGTAAGCATTTGGCATCCTCCACACTCTCTCATATAAGCACAGATGGATTTGGTGTGTGTAATGTTGGACCCACTAGTAAGACAAACACCCTTTTCCACAAATAAAGACACTCACATAGAGTTGCACATATTCAAACTTCAGATCACAACATAAACTCCAAAAATGGCATTAAAATCGGAACCATCTGTGCGTAAATGACGCATCGCGCTCCGTGGCATGGCTCTTTCTTTCATAGATGTTGGCATATAAAATAAATTTGGCTCACAAAACTGTATATTATAATATTCATATGTAGGCTTTAAGTAAATAACTCATCTGATCACTGAAACAATTCATCTGTTCAGCCGCTGCAGCAGCAGCTGTAGCAGGATGGAGAGAGGACACAGAAATATCCAGGTCGAGCTGCACGAGAAATAAGAGGAAGAGGAAGAAAGAAAAGGAGGGAGACAAATTAAATTTCTTGTTAACTTCATCTTGTGTGTCTATTTACTAGATATTCAATTTAATGCGGTTTCAGCTGTGTTGATTCGGTCAGGTTGTGTGTCCAAACGCGCTCATCAGATCAGATATAGATCAGAATATATCTATATAGATCTAAATGTATGTGCTGACTCAGATTATTAGTTGTTGATGATTATTTATTGCACTGAAATGTGCCTGACACTGTGGAAACCTGCCGGTGAGGCATCAGTGACGTATGCCGATACGCCGCCAGTCTACCAAAATACTAGTAGACCAGCTGCGCTCCGCCATGCGCTGAAAGCTGACCAGGTTTGAATCGGCGAGCTTTCAGCGCACTTTACATGCCACTGGCGAGCACAAAAATGTCACTGCGCCCGCTGATTCTGTCGACACCTCCCCCTGCCACGCCACCACGCCCAGCTTGGCGGATCTCGGTTCGCCTCCGTGCGCCTCAGTCCATGAAAATACCAAACTGGCTGTACGCCGGGCTCCGCCAGAAGAAAATACAACTACGCGGGGCTCGCCGCCCTCCGCCGCCTCACCGGCGTACACGAAAATAGAGCCCCTTGTATTGTGAGGCGTGTGAGCTTGTAGATCGTCTATTTTCACAATTTTTGCCTTTTCCTTATATTATTTGACAATTTGGCGAGTGGTTTAGCATTGTTTGTTGATTACTTTGGATGCAGTGATGATCTTTTTCTTTGTCAGGGCATGTTAGCACATGCTGCTTGTTTAGTGCTGCTGCTTTCCTAAATGTTGCCTCAGTCATTCTTTTGAGCCCACAGTTAGAGGAGCTACACATTTCATCTGTAAAGACAGTGTGCATGCAGCATACATGGCTGCTTGAATATGGAAGAAAATAATATACCAACCAGGACAGACAGACAGTCATGTATTCTCCACTGTGGTCGTCTGTGTAATGAAGCCACATATACCATTAAGTCGACCCAGAGATGATCCCTGACATGAAGGGACAGCCAATCAAATTGCCTGAGTTAAGTACTGCTGCTGACATGAATCAAGCATACTGGATAGTTTGAATGCAATATTCACTGGCCTTTATGTTGTTAAGTTAAGTTTTCTCTCTGTACTTGATCATTGGTTGGTGGCGTACCCCCAGATGACAGTGAAATGATAATGTTAGGACTTGTAAGATCCTCAAAGAAAAAGATCATCACTGCATCCAAAGTAATCAGCAAACAATGCTAAACCATCGGCCAAATTGTCAAATGATATGGAAAAAGGCAAAAATTGTAAAAATAGACGATCTACAAGCTCACACGCCTCACAATACAAGGTGTTACGGGCTTGTAGATTGGCTATTTTCACAATATCTATATGTGGAACAGAGTCAAACAAATTGGGGGTTACCCAGTTCAAATATGATTGTTTTGGGGGGTCAAGTCCTGAAAAGGTTGAGAATTACAGTACTAGATGGCAGCCATCTTGAATATCGCAGTCAAAACAAAGTTGTATGATTAAAACTATGTCAGATTTGGAATCCTCATGCTTGACTTGTATGGAAAAGTGCCTTCATACATGATTCTAGGTCATCCAGATCAAAAGATAATTTTTAGAGATGGCGCCGGCCGCCATCTTGAATTTAGCTGTCTAGCAAAAAATGCCGGGATTTTTGCGAGGGACCTGGGGGCTAAATCTTTTCTAAAGGGTCCATAGAGGTCAAATCAATCGTCAAAACATCCTTGCCAGAGGATGGTCACAGAATCTCATTTCGTGACCCGACTATCTACAACTTTTGAACCGTCCTCCATCTCCTCACCTGTCTTTCCCTCTTTGTTACGGACTGGATGGGGTGGACATAGAACAGCGTTTTAGAGGGACAGGAGACCATAGCCTACCTACACACATCCAAAACCAGCTTTTATTTATTTATTTTTTTTGACATTGAATACACCGATGTGGGAAAAATGTAAATTTTCGGTTTATCATCCAGCCCTATACAGCTGTACTGGTTATTAACTTAAGTTACCGAAGATACCAATACCGAAATTAACGTCAATAACCAATGTCATTTTTCCCATATCGGTGTATTCGATGTCAAATAAATAAATAAATAAAAGCTGGTTTTGGATGTGTGTAGGTAGGCTATGGTCTCCTACAGCTTGAATGTGTAGAAAGCCTTTTACATTGAGCACATGGAATTAATTTGTGACAGTGTTTCCGCCATTAAAAAAAAAAAATTGTGACTTACTTTTTCCATATTGCACACCTATACTCAGATGCACACCTACATAGCTGTTTCCTCTTGCTAGCTGTTCTGCATTTATTACTACCCTTGATGCTGCCTTAACACATCTAAACTACAGCCTGTGCTCGATGTAAAAGGCTTTCTACAAATTCAAGCTGTGAGATAAAAACATTGTCCTAACTACTCTTACGTCAGGATTACTGTGGTGTCACAACACAAGGATCTACACTCTATGTATGTGATAAAGCTCCTTTTTAGAGAGAGATTGAGGGAAGTAATATTGTTGCACTTATATTCATTCTGGCACCTCCCACGACCATTCAAATCCGTGTGAACACAAAAGAAAAGAATTCTGTCTTTTTCAGTCAATGAACTTAAAATGTAAACAAGAACCAGTCAATCTAGTTCAACAGAGTTGCATCATAGAGCTTTCAATCATTGTAGGGCTCCACCTTTCAATCAAAACCCGGTGAAGCCGGAGGAAAGACAAAAACAATGTGCTCCAAACGACTGAGTCTACAAACCGAAACTAAAAAGGCCACAGGCCCGCTGGAGAGCTCACGAGGCTAACTGTGACCCAGCAGATGTGTCACTTCTGATGATTCATCTTGAATTTCCTTAAAAGTATTTCTTTTTTGGAGGCTATTGCCAAAAGTCTGTCAGCTTATATTATTTTCCACTTTTGTGAAACATTATCGATGTCACAACGTTGTTGTCAATAGCATTAACCACATCCGAGAGTCAAACAGAGATCTCTTTGCCTAAAATTGTTCCTCTCCAGATGAAAAACAACACATTCATTTGGCTCAAAATATCACGATATCATAGTTTCACATGATTCTGTCACATTTGTCATAGCAATGATTCACTGTTTGTAATCAATTCAATGTGAGTGAAGATCTCAAAGAGTCTGTTTGTTTGCTTCTAAGTATTTCGTTTACAAAGACTAAAACTGTTTTCAGCAAAAGTAGAGAGTAAAAACTGTTAATGTCCTGCAGCTAAGTCTTAAAAAGCTGGGGGCAAAACACCTGAACTGTCAATATTTGGGGATAATTACCTGTCAGTGTTGGGTTTGTCCTGAGGCGTCTCCTCTGGGCAGGCGCTGCCCAGTATTCTCTTCCTGGCCTCTGCATACTCTGCCTCACGCTGGGCCAGAGACTTGACCTGTGGTGTGGGCCGGTTCTGATTCAAAGGGGAACCCAATGACCCGTTACTCGCAGGCCGCTTTAAAATACGTATCTGAGGTGGGGGGGCTGCTGGCAGAGAGTCGTCCTGTATCACCATGGTTGTCTTCAGTGGAGTTCGTGTAGAGTTATTGCTGGACTCCCTAAGAGAAAACCAACAAAACAAATTGTAATAAGACAGGAAGAGGCAATTACAAAGACTAATTCATAGAGGCAAGACAATTTTGGAAGAACGCATGAATTATATAACTATGGGCTTCAGACAGGAACAGCTATACATATTGTAATGTGAACATTTTCATTCCACTGTTCAAACCATTGCCATCAGAGAAATTTAAGCATATTAGTGAACTTAACACCTGCTTTTTTATGTATACGGTCCTGTTCAGTATTCAAATGTGTAAGACTGAGGCAACTTCTCCTCTTACCTCTCTTTTTGGCTGATTCTTAGCTTCTCTTCTAACCGTTTTTCCATTTCCTGTGGGGTGAAAAGAACAGTCTGAACACGTATTCATGTAAACAAACAACGTGGGGTGCGGAAAAAGTGCTGCAGGTAGCAAACAAGTTAGAGAGTGGTTGGGAAGCAGGGTTCAGTTACAAGCTATTTATACATCTGCAGGACAGCTGCCAAGTCATAACAGACAGAGTGCTCATCAAGCTAACATTAACCAGCTGATGTTGCCTATGAAAGTTACTTATTTGAGGTTGTATGGGGTGCATTTTAGAACATACTTTTCAACTGACAAACAAGGGGGATTAAAAAGCCTTGACTTTAATCTGACAAGCTGCTAGTCCTGTCCCACTGGGGAGAACCTTCTTGGTGTCAAGTAGTGGCGAGGGACTGCTAAACTGCTGTGATGAAATGACGGTAGGTAATGTTTGCCAAATGTTGGCAAGATTTTTTTAATCTCAAGTCTAGCAAGGTAAGTATGCTGTTTCCCAACAGGGTAGAAACTGCCCAGCAGGGCTTAGCCAGACCTCACTTAGGCAGAAATGATATTCAGCATGTGCAACCAACACACAGAAATTCAAGTGTTGATTTCGCATCTTCTTTACCCTTCCAGTAAAGCATCATATTGATATTTATTTCCGTGACTACAACTTCTATTTAACTTCAAAAGTGAACACAACAAGATGACCGTGTAGAAATCAAGTTTAAATCTCTACTTACTTAAACTGTTTGTCCAAAGCCACAATATAAAAAAGTTTAGGATTGTATCCACAGTATAGTTACAGATAAATGTATGTTTGACAGACTGTGAGGAGGAGTGTAGTTCAGTTTTTTAAAGATCAGTGTGTAAAAATGGGAGTAAGCAATAGTGGCAATTACAAGTTTCTGTTCTGCACTGTTGAGGAAACATGGCAGTGCAAGCTAGACGCCCATCAGCAGAGCCCAGTGTAAACACTTTATAGAAAGTTTTCAATCTACGTTAGTAAAACAAAATTATTTATCTAATTGAAATCTGCTACATTAAAATACACAAAAAAGCTAGTGGTAACCTGTTGTACCACACTCCAAAATAAGTTCATTTTTAGGCCCAGCTTCAGCGAAAGCAGATTGCCAAACTGAGGTTCAGATTTTGGAATAGCACTAAAGTTTCAATGGGGACCCATGTCATCCCTGGCCCCCTTTAAGAAACACCCCTGGAATCGACAACCGAGATATGTACGTTACACCAACCCGGTTCACCAAGCTTATAAGGCGTATAAAAAAACATTTAATACCGTATTGTGCTAACCTAATCTTGCACACTTAATCTTGTTGATCTAGTGGAGTTCAGCTTTATCAAACAGGCTGCTAGAGTCAATTTTAGTCGCTCTAAACTGATCCAGAAACAGTCTGGTCGTGGTTCACAGAGCTGTAGCTCAGCTTGTAGCTCCGACTGGGAAAATAAAAAATCATTTTCTATAAAAAGCTTATCGCGTCGCGAAAATAAAACACAACGTGAATTTTAATACAAGGCTATCGTCACTCTGTTAAGAGGGTGAAGACGTGAGACTGGACGTGTTTAATTCATAACTTCCAATAACTCCACGCATATCCACTGACACATTTCTAAGGCAGGTAGCTTAGCATTAGCTACAATCAACCCAAGTATTTTATCATGTATGAATCATTTCGTGGGTGGCTCGCGTCAATTGTATTCTCTAACTGGCTTTGTCAGATCATAATCGACAAAGTATCATCATATGGAGCGAAAAAAAGCTGAAATAGTGAATTTGACTGCGCTAGTTAGCTGAGCCCATGTTCAGCTCGTCAAGTTTCCTCAAAGCTAACGTTAGCATTAGCCACATTGTTGGCCCGTAGTATCCGTGAACGTGAAATGACGTTATTAAAACAACCTAAAGCAACTATATATTTATGAGGGGCTACCACAGTTACATTTACCGTAAACTACAGGTATATTAACATTTAAAATCTTACCCCACTGTCAGCAGCTTCCTCCCAACTTTCGGAGACCTCATCCATGTTTCATTTTGCTCAGACACGCTGTGGGGTTAGTCCTGCTGAGCTCCTTCAGGTCCGCCTCTCTCCCACTTCACTCTTTGACATCACACCAGCGGATTTCCCCACACCATGAGACCCCTGCGCACAGCCGACGAGGTACGAGTACAGCTCTACGTCTCTCTGTGAGGGCTGCAAACGGAGAAAACGCTAGATTCCTCAGTAACTGTGAACTAATAAGGTGTTTTACACTTTGCCTTTTCACGTGCTACAGGTGAATAAATTACCTGTGGGGGAGAGTGGGGTAAGTTGAGCCAAAGGGTAAGTTGAGCCACCCCCTGTTGCTTGGAAATGATAAAAGAAATTGATCATGTGACCAGTTATTTAGGGGGATGGCATCAATTTATGGAGTCTGTGAAGGTTTGAAGCCCATGTGTAAAGGGGTTAGACATTGATTTACAAAAAACATATTCACTCTTGAAAGTGAATACGTTTTATTAGAATTGTGTACAGACCAAAAAAAGATAATTTTAAACTTTTTTTATACATCAATTGTGGTATCTATGAGCTACAACATGAGGTCAAAAACCTAGCATAAAAGTCCATCATTTTAGCTTAGAGGACTAATAAAGTCATAATAGTAGTTCTGGGTTAAGTTGAGCCAGTGGCTCAACTGAGAAAGTAAAGGAGTCTGATGAGAGGATCAGAATTTCTGTTCAGATTGTTGAAATGTGTTACTTTTTCTTTTCAAAAATACAGCTGTGAATGTTCTGAATCTTTCTTACGTTAAAATGTTTTTGTTTTTTTTACAAAACAGCTTTTTAGCAGTTATATGTAATAATAATTAAAAGAATTATTGTACCACTGGAATAGCATATAATAGATAATAATACACATGAATGTGAAGAAGTGACTGCTATTTAAGGAGAGAGAGGATGAGGAAGGGCTGGGGTGGAGAGTGGGGGGGTGGTAGGGATACGGCTTAACTTACCCCACTCCTATGGTCAACTTACCCCATACACGGGGTAAGTTGACCATAGGAGACAACTTTTTTTTAGGCATGCTATATTATCAAGACAGTTATGTTTACACTCATTCTGTAGGTTTGCAGGGATGAACAACATCTTGAAATATATGTAGATACACTAGTTAGAGACAAAACTATGATTGCCTTGATGTAGTGATCCGAAATATAAAAAATGGCTCATCTTACCCCACTCATCTCATCTCTCCCCCTACAGTACAAACATAATAAATGAGCAGGAGCCTGTCAAGTGCTTCCCCACTTTCCTGAAATCAGATTGTCCACTTCAGGTGCCTTCCGATTATCCTGAGTTATGATCCCGTATAGTGTGTCTGCAAAGCCAGAGGCTGCAGCTTAAGGGTCGCAGTTCTAGGACTGTATTTCCCAGCAGTTCACCTGTATGCTGTTACGTATTGTGTAAGCATTTGTGTGAAAAATGGCTAATTTGGTTCATATTTGTAAAGACAATGAAGAGTGGGTGACTGGGGCTCCAAAAGTGGCCTATAGAATGCCATGAAGTGGGCACACAGTATGCAGGTAGTTCTGAGGCGTGCCAATAGGTCTGCAATATACTGTACATCCCCATATTTACACCCAGGGGCGTAGCATCAAATTCTGTGCCCTGTACACTCTCAATGTCAGCGGGCTCCTATCCATGCCAGTGCACAAAGCGTGTGAGCATAAAAAAAATAAAAATCTGTATTTTCATGGGCCCCTCTCCCTACTCGGGCCCTGAGAAGTCAGGTCCACTTTTTCCCCACTTCCACGCCCATGTTTACACCACTGTATTTCATTCATGTAATATTGTGTAGAGCAATTGGCATCTGCCCCAGAGCTACCAGCAAATGCCTCAGACCTATACCCACATATGGCAAGGCCACTTTGAGGCATGCTGTGGCTTTCTGGCTTTTATTATATTCATTTTCAACCAAGTCTGTCCGCTAAATGTTCGTAAATATTACACACTGTACCTTTATGAACCAATGCAATCAGCTCCACACTGAAACTGTTTTAATTTTCTTGTGATTTGTATTCCAGCACAGACCCTGGTCTCTGCCAGTTTGGAGAGAATATTATTCTCAGTAAATTCAGCAAGTGAGGAAAAAGTCATGTTTAAAATAGTCTTTAAAGCAGTTTGCATTGGTGTATTTTCTAGATGTTCTTTGTGTGCTAACTGACAAGACTGTTAGGAAATGACCCCAAATGAAAATACTATTGTATTGCCTCTTAGATCATCTTTTCTTCCGATCATAAATGTGTTCTCAGATAAGAGAGACATTCAAATTAATGACCGGATTTAGAGAAGATGATGTAGACAGAATAAACCAACTCATTAACCTGACTGATATGCATGTTTTGGGTCTGTGTATTACAAAACATTTATCAGAGAGCTGTAAATGTAAATGTTTATCTGACTGGCAAGTTGTACTATACAGATAATTCAGATGGTTTATAGACCTGGAAACATCTCATGTATGCTCTGTTTATGGGGAGCTGTTTTTGGTGTATGCTTGGGTAAAAGTAAGGAGCCTGTATACATTGGTATTGGTGTGTTTGGCCCTCTTTTTTGAATAAACCTCTAAAATCATCTTCCTTTGTACTCCTTGGTTATAGATATTAAATCATTAATCTTACTTCTGAGATGATGTCAGAGTTTTTTTTCCCTACACGGTATCTTAAACCATCTGAAACTTCAGTTACTACATAAGTAATTGGCTACAGCATTGCAGCAGCTATTCTTCCTTGTGTCCACAACTGCTTTACAGTGCGTTATCAAAATCTGAAAATATCATACATTTAACATCACAAAACATATGACAGCTCACTTCTTAATAAATAATATTAAAATATCTATCTTATGACATCTATTTAGTTAAGAAAAGCTCTGGTGACACAAAGGCTAAAACTGTATGATTATTAAAACATAGCACAGTGATTTTATTTGGTAAATGTTAAGCAAGTTTGTGTTAGAGTCCTATCCTTAACAACCTGTTGTGTGTACAACTTTGAACAGCTTTTGTATTCCAGTTTTTAGGTAACAGTGAAGGGTGAAAGATCGATTACTAAATAAAAAAAGTCTGACAGAGATACACCTGAAGACCACAATGAGTGTGTGAAACCGATCAAACTAGTCAAACTAACCAATTCTTGAGAGTTAAATTATATTTTGTGTATCTAAGAGATTTTGTCAAGTGTGTATTGTCATAAAAGATAGTAGAGTGTCCAGTATTTTACTGAAAATGACAGCTGACTCAAGTCGTGGCTCCTTGTCTCAAGTCCAATTTATGGCAGGGATCAAAAAAGGGTCTGTACCTTCAAAGAAATGCTTCTTGCAACTCTTAGTGACATTTTTCTCTCACAGATCTGCTTGTTTGACATCAGGGGGCTGGGAGCTTTTTGTGCAACATGCACATTCTGTTTTAATTGCTGCCCTCAGATCAATTTCTGACGCAGCTCTCATAAAAATAAATAAATAAATAAATAAATAAGGTTGGATGTGCATGACTCCTCATGTTGTTTTGTCCTGATTGTAAACTATCTCTACCATCTTGTTTTTCTGGCCCAGAATGTGTCCGTTGAAAATGCCGTTCTTTATTTAACATAGTCTGCTTTTAGCTGTCATACATTGTCCAGGTTTGTACACCAGGCAGTTCTCGCTTTTAACACAATTGAACAGTGTTTTACATTTTAGAGAGTGAAGCAATTGACATTTGCAACCCAGATTTTAAAGCAGATTAAATTGCTTTATGTCTTTAGTGTCCTCAGTTCACTCCTTCAGTTCCCAGAACTGCCCACTACAGTGCAGTACAAAGAAAGGTTGTCCCACCTCTCTGCTCCTGTTTGCAGTAACTGTTGTTCCTCACCTTGGATATCAAGGAGCAGAATATAATATTGACTATCAATGTATGCAGGCCCAGCACAAAAACAATCAGAGCTATCATGGAAGTTAGAGGTTAACTGAACACGTATTTGTCAGAAAACCATTCAGATATTATGTCCTTTGAAGTAGGTGATATCTGACAGTACCATACTGCACATATTAAACCTCACTTGAGACCTGATTTTTCAGCTTTGGAATTGAGAAAACTCTCATGTATGGTTGTAGTACTCCAGTTTTATTTGAAAATTACAATGAAATCAACAACTTTAAATCTTTACACAACATTATATAAAAAGTGGACAAAAGTTTGATGAAATTTTCAGAGGACTTAACATTTTGTTCATCTTGAGGCTGTTCTTCCTCCTGTTTGAGCTCCACCATCAACACCTATGGACGTAGTACCCCGTCACATATCCAATGATGTAAATGGACACCAGTGCAGCCAAAGATCCTGCTGTCTTCACAATTATTCCAGTGTTACCAATACACAGTCTGTTGTAGATCCTGTGAAAGCAGATCTGGTCAAACATTACTTGTTCATGTCACACATGTCTTTTAACCCTATCAAACATGCCAACATGCCATTCATCTCAACTCTAACTCGGACCTAATTAATTCCCCAGAAACATCAGAACACGGCACACCCTCATCACACTAAATCTCACCTCATCATAGGTGACTGTGATGCCTCCACATTTAAGTTGATGTTTTCCTCATTCCAGCGATTATATTGCACACTGCCAGCACCGTTAGAGTCCATGTGGAAGTCTGTCCTCTTCTTGGAGGTTTATCTTCTACCAGGAATCACTGCTGTGCTGTTCAGCATGAGCACATAGATAACGAGGGTGAAGAGTTTGGTAGAGCGTGAGGTAATGTCAGTAAAGTTGTGTCCTCAAAGCTTTACGAGGTGTCATGATAATGGTCAAAGAATTAGAAAAGTCAGAGTCATATACAATATCCATATAATATAAAAAAAAGAAGTTATGTTTACAGTGTCAGGCAGTTTACAACTAGATTATATTTGAGAAATGTAGAAGTACATAAAATGTCAAAACACTTACTTTAAATTACATTTAAAAGATCAACCATGTCCATCAAATGCTCACATTATATCACCAGCCAAGGTACAAACTCAGATTCTTAACATGCTGATCATCATCTGAAGCAGAATTAAAGTTATATTTAGATTCAGCTCACCTGTCTGGGTCTGAAATGGTCCACCACCTGCTCTACTTTCAAGCTCCTTTTAACCAAGACTGAGACTGGGAGAGTCATGCGTCCTGTTTGATTTGAGTCCTTGGTCATAGTTCATGTGTTCCTTGAGGACAGCCATAAATCCACTGGTTGAATTCCAAGATTTGCCTTTCACCTCCTTATATTACCTTATCTATTGCAGAGATAAAGGGTCGTTTAAACTCTGTGGGGTTTGTTAGTCACTGGTTTTTATTGCATCCTGTGAACGATAGTAGAAATACAAAAATCCTGTGTCAGAAAGTTACCACATTACCCTGATCAGGCAGTTTATTTAGTGGTGATGATGGCTGCAGTAGAGTAAGAGGAAAATTCTCCACCTGAACACCCATGGTCACATCCTATGCCCCTGTTTGAGGTTTTTAAGTTATTGCTTTTTAAAAGTATGTATCCAGTACTTTAAAACTATTAATATTCTGACTGAGCAGTATTCACTTGCACTGAAGGAAAATTTGACCCCGAGTTTCTATACTTTGACTCAAGTAATGAGGTTGTCCCACCACAGCAAATGATGTCCATAGGTGTACCTTTCACACTATCTTAGTGGAGGAGGTTGGAACTGGTCAAGGCCTTGAAATAGCTTAAAAAAACTCCTAGTACCCTCTTGTCATTGATACCTGTGCTTACTCCATTAGTGAGTGTCTGCAGAGCTAGAGGCTGCAGTTTTAGGACCACAACCCTGGGACAAAATCTCTGGAAGTGTGTGTTGCAATAGTAATGATAATGGATGGGACAAGAGTCAGGGTTAAAGCTAGACAGGACAAGTGAGTTTATTACACACTAAATATGCAGTGCAGTGGCGTGCACAGGTAGACACTAGGTGGTGCCAAAGCACCTGCCTATTGCCCTCTGGACCAAGCAAGTGCCCTTTTGAAAGTTGTTTTTTTCCCTTTTTGTGGCCCATGCTGACATGATCATCAATAAGTGCTCGTCGATTAAAAGCATGTGATAATAATGCCCCAAGTAATATTCCCTCTACCCCCCATCCTACTCACACACACCTCTGTCAACGTGAACGGACACAAGAGTGGACACAAATGGAGGCGCGTTGTAAGAGCAGACAGTGCACAGCTGCAGCCCAAAAACACCTCCTCCCACTTTCCGTAGTGACTCTACGAGCAATATCAAAAATAAAAATTAAAAAACACCACACAAACAAGCAAACAAACAAATAAAAACAAAAACAGCTGACTCACCCCTTATTACTGTAGACAGCAGTTGGACTCCTGACCCCTCAAGTGCTTAACTAATCTGCATTAAATTTAAATTTTTACATTACAGTATCCAAAACAGGTTATTTTCCTATTTATAATGTTTCACTTTAAAAAGAAACACAGTATGGAGGAAATATTAATATCTTGTGAAAAACATCCTCAAAAAAAGTCCATAAAGTTGGAGTTTAGCTGTGTGCTGGAGTGTCCAGGTCGCTCTGCAGTCCTCTAAATACTTACAGGTGTGATTCTTGTGCCAGTTGCATCACCAGTTTTAGTTCTGAATCTTGACATGTCTTCATCAGGGACATGTCATATTTTTCTTAATACTTTTCATGAAATAACCTGATAGTTAGCTATCATATATCTTTTATTGTCCCATACAGTTTTATTTTAATGATAACATGCCAAATATTATACGAATATATATATGAATATACAAATTTTGATTTGTTATGTCTATTTCGAATAATATGATTGATAACTTTCCAAGTCTTTTGAATATAGTTTTTACTGTCCTCTAATAATCTATTATAGTATTCCTTCTTCTGTCTTCTCACAATAGAAGCCACTGTGTTCTTATACACAATTGTTCTTATACCGCTTATACTTTTTTCACTTTCGCTGGTTCTGAGTACTAAATGTTTCTTGTATAGTAGATTTTTCTTTTTACAAGCCTTTTGCAAACTCTTAGTCATCCATGGTTTTCCCTTATATTTTTCTGTCACCCGGCAATTTCTAACAGGGCAATGCTTGTTGTATAACTCTGTAAATGTAAACAAAAATGCATCATAAGCCTGATTTGGATCCTCAACATACACCTCATCCCAATTACAGTCTGCAAGGTCTACCTTTAAGGCCTCAATTCTTCCTGGAGTCCTTATTCTTGCTGTTTTATAAGTAGGTCCACTTACATCCTCAGGGGATTTAATCGTTAAAGTGTGCAAGATCACAAATACAGGAAGATGATCACTTATATCACTCACGAGTAAACCACTTGTTGCTGGACCATACACATTGGTAAAAATATTATCAATTAGTGTCGCACTCTCCTTGGTTATCCGAGAAGGCTTGTTTATAAGAGGTCTTAGTCCAAATCTAAACATTGCATTACAAAAATCATTTGTTGGTTTATGTTCATTCCATTTCAACAAGTCTATGTTAAAGTCTCCACAAACAAAATAAGATTTTTTATCACATATTTTCCCAAAGATATCAGCTATGGTATTCAAAAACTGTTCCATACATGAGCCAGGCGCTCTGTATATACAACTCAGGACTATACTTTTACATTTTTTATCTGAATTTCAATTGTCAAACTTTCCATGACTTCATTAACAACTGTGGTATCGATAACCTTACATTGAAAGTCCTTCTGTACATAAAATGCCTCTCCACCACCCATTTTATTAATCCTGTTAACACTGATGAAATCATAACCTTTTAACACAAAGTTTGCTCCCTTTTCCTTTGTTATCCATGTCTCGCTTATAGCTATGACTTGAAATTTGTGAATGACTCCAAATAATCTTTGATTTCGGCAAAATTAGCATTGAGACTTCTGCTGTTAAGGTGTATAATAGTAAAACCTTCCAAATTAACATTACATAGCTTCTCAGAATAATAATCAGCATTGGCATTATAAGCATCATAAAGATTTTCGTCAGGATCAATACCGTTTTCAAAACTGAATGGATTATGTTCAGACAAACTGGAAAAAAGTAACTCCTCAGTGTCATTCTGATTTTGTGAATTCTCATTCTCTGAGAGGTCACTCTCATCTTCAACAAAAATATGTAAATCTTTACTTGTCATTTTACAATTAGAGCAAACATAGCTCCTAAAACAGTTCTCAGACACTTCATTAATTTTCATTTTTGTATTGATCCAGTTCTCTCTGGTGTCGTATTACAACCACCTTGGCCTGCTCAGGTGTACTATTTTGCCTAATAAACACTTTTTCCATTTCTTGTCCATGTTGATTCGACTTTGTTTGTCTAAGATTACGACACTTTCTGGCTATTATTATTATTATTATTATTATTATTATTATTATTATTATTATTATTATTATTATAAGTAGTAGTAGTAGAAGTAGAAGTATTTCTATTATTATTTACCTAGGACCGTTGGAAAGATCCACAGTTGTCTACAATGGCTACAACTCCTGCTCGACCAACGTGTTATTTAATGTTATCTCTCATATTTATTATTATGAGCCTCTTACCAAAAGAATACATCCTCCACTTCCTTTATTTATCGTAATGCAAAACATGAATTTGTGGTTTCGCAAACGTATTTAGCTTTGCATCTGGTGCTGATATCTGTTTTCTTTTTCTAGGTTGTGTTTGTTTCACATCGGAACTTTTACAGCTCTTACCATCACGGTTGTGACTTCCGGTGTAGCAGAACATCGCTGCGCGTACTTCAGGTTTGTTTAGCCTTCCCCATGCTTGTAGGTTAATCCAAGTTTATTCAATAGCCACTTATTAAACTAGAGCTACAGACATAGTTATAGTTACTCTGGTGTATACCTCTACAAACGGAACTCATTTTTCCTTTTGAAGTGGTGTAGTTCGCTGCGGAAGTTGTTTGGCAACAGTCATATGTGCTAATTTAAGCTAGACAGCTAACGTTAGCACAGAAAAGCGGGTTCAGAGATTGGTCTTATTATCCCACAATGTTGTTTTATCTGCTTGTTTTTGTTTTGCTTTTTGCAACAACTGCATAACTGAGGCTTAAAAACCTGATTGTACTCTTGTCACGGTGTAATGTTACCACTCTAAATGTAGTGTAAATGTACAGTAATAACCGAAGAGCGTGTAAACATCATCCCTGATCCTGAAGTCAGGACCATTATTAGGCAGAAGGTCCAGATCCCAAACTACATAAATATAGAGCTACGTAGACGAGTCAGATCTGGTCCACACCGTCCAGTGTAGTCTACACACTTTAAAAAACGGGGTTAACGACTTTATTCTGTTAGTACAAATTAATGCAAGTTTTACTGTTCGGTTTCTCAGTGAGAAGATTTTGTGTTTCTGTAAAAGATATTGATCAACCTTTGACTACATCAACCCCTGACAGTCTCAGATTAACCAGGGGCTTATAAGAAATCAGTAAAAACCTGCCGTAATAATCTCCAAAGGTCAGTAACAACAGCCTGTACGACAGCTGTTTTGTTGATGAATGATTTCATGAAAAGCAAAAATGTAGTGGATCTGATATGAAATCAGTTTCATTTTTTGATTTATTGGCATTTCAGTTTTGAGAGTTAAAAAAACAACAAATTACAATGAAGTTGCAATTAACTTGGAATGCAGACGTGTTAGTTCCTTATTTGTAGTAGTAGGATGAAATACATATCACAGATGAGACTTTAAAGGGCCCAGAAAAATAAAATTTGACCCAAAAAATAAATAAACTGCAAACCTTTTTATTATTATTATATATTTTTTAAATGTACTATTGGGGACATTTTTGGCCTTTATTGTTAGAGGACAGTGGATAGAGAAGAAAAAAGAGAGAAAGTGGGGCATGGCATAGGACAAGGAGCCACAGAATAGAGCCTGAGCTGCCTGTGTATGTGGAGCACGCAAAGACTGCCAGGCTATGGGCTTTCTGAACAGCTCACCATTTTAACAGATGCTTTCAAATACAAAAGATTGGGACTACAACAAACCATTAAGATAATGTGTTCTTGATTATGTGTCAACAATGAGATTTTGACCTCTTGTGTAAAGAAATTTAGTATTTGTGTAAATGGAAAGGTGTTCCACATAGTTTGTCCACTTCAGTAACAAACATGAAGCAAGCATAATATTAGGAACAAATTTCCAGTATACTCCAGTAAACCACCAACACTCAAGAAAACTTCAACAATTAACTTCGACAGGAATTTGTCTGTCTCACCATATCAATGAACCCCCCAAAATTAGACGTTTTTGTCAGTTTTCCTCTATTTTAATTGGTTTTGTGACAATTCAGCTACCTCTTTTTTCCTTTGCAAAGTTCCACGTGTAGTTTTATATAATTTGACAAAAATGTTTTAGACAATTTGTCTTTCATCGTTTGTTTATATGTTCATAATGACAACCCTGATTACTACGTGCATTTATCGTCTATATGAGCCTAACATTTGCTGTGGGACTAAACTGACATGTAACTATGACTCACCTGTGTTGTTTGTGTGTGATCTCAACCAGGCGGTGGAGAGTGGATGCTGATGGGGGACGAAAAGGACACCTGGAAAGTAAAGACTCTTGACGAAATCCTACTAGAGAAGAAACGCAGAAGAGAATTAGAAGAGAGATCCGACCCGAAGCGCCAGAAAAATGTAAAGTATCTCAAAACAAAATTTGGATTATTTATCACAACAGGTCAGTGTCCACGACTTAAAGGGGAAAAAAACTGTTTTGAAGGGAAATGTTTTTTTTCCACCAAGAATTGAATCCCGCTTAATCGTGTTCTTGTTCCCCGGAAAAGGACATTTTATGGATATTTCCTTTAACTGTTGCCACATGCTCTGCCCATGTTGTTTTTTCACAGTTCACCCAGGGCCCTGTTCCACAGGCGGATGATCGGGACGCCAAACGAGACACTCCGGAGGAAGGAGAACTACGGGATCAGAGAATGGAAATAACAATTCGTAATTCCCCGTACACACGGGAAGACTCAACAGAGGATAGGTATGAGCAATCCTAGGAAAACAAACATCAGTGAATATGTGAACTTGTCATTCAGGCTGCCTCTGTCCAAATTGAAAATAAAAGAGCTGTTTCTGAAAATGACACACAGTAATGTCTGCTTGACCTTTTAGAGATTCAAAACTTTTCCCTTACTTTCGTGCAGGGGAGAAGAAGATGAGTCACTTGCGATTAAGCCCCCGCAGCAAATTGCCAGAAAAGACAAATCTCACCACAGAAAGGAGGAGAAGAGAAAAGATAAAAGACGCCATCGCAGTCACTCGGCTGAAGGAGGTGTGGGAGTGCTGCTTGTTTAAATAAACACAAACATGTGTTTCACAGCTGAGGACAACATGCCGTGAGTGTTTTCTTCGATCTGCTTTTCCTCACATTTTTTTATCTTTTATAGTAGGGAAACATGCTCGACCCAAAGACAAAGAAAAAGAGCGAGAGAGCGATCGCAGGAAACGTCAGTGGGAAGAAGACAAGGCCCGGCGAGACTGGGAGAGGCAGAAACGAAGGGAACAGGCCAGAGCTCATTCCCGCAGAGAGAGGTGAGCGCTACATGAACTTTAATCAATTCCTGCAAAGAAATATGACTGTGTGTTTCTTCTAACAAGTAAATTAGATACACCAAACAACCAGCTCATAAACTGGGGTTGTTAAGAGTGTTCATCAATATGTAGATAAATGCAGAACAATTACAGCCATTTACTGTGTGTATTGCTAAGCTTTGACAACCCCAACAATGACAAGATTGACCCTTTGATTGTCTGGGCAGACCTCGATTGGACTCTCCTGGGTTTTTTTTGGACCACAGGGACCGGCTGGAACAGCTTGAGCGCCAGCGTGAACGCGATCGAAAGCTGCGCGAACAGCAGAAAGAACAACGCGAACTGAAGGATCGGGAAAGGAGGGTAGAGGAGCGACGCAAAGAGCGGGTTGCACGGCGGGAAGGTCTGTGAAAAAAGCCAAGTCACTGTCTTGGTAACCGCCTCATTTCGTCAACGTGGCTGCTATCAAACTAGCTGTCTGCCCTCTGCCTTGATCTTTGTGCTTTGCTAGGATAGGCTCTTAAATTCTAGCTCTGCACACAAAAACTGTTGCAGCATTGGGGTTAAAGTTGAATAATCATTGCAGAAATATAAATCTATAACACAGGTCTTATCATTTTTCATGACCTTTTATCAATTCAAGGAGAAGTCTTGATTCAAAACTGAGAGGGATGAGAATAATTACAATCCTTTACTCTCTTTCTGAAGACTGAATAATATTTTCCAAATGTTCTGAACACTCTTGACAAACTACACTTTAAGTAAACAGGGTTCCAGCTCCATTGATTATCATTACTTTTTTATATACAACTCCAAATTTGAAGAAGTAATTAGTCAAAATGTCTCCGTTCTGCAGTGCCATCTCACCATCGGATGCTACCAGAGGAGTATGATGACAAACTGAAACAGAGTCACCGCAGTCGGAGCCCTCCACGAGCTCCCCGGGACAGATCTGAGCACAGTGAATCACGGAAAACTGCAGGTGAGTTTCCCAGCCTTAGAAAACAGGGGTGTTTACTTCTATGCATACTTGTGCATAACTGTGCAGTGACTCCCAGAGATCATCAATATGTTGCAGCTTAATTCATGCTTTGATTTGTCCGCAGCATCAAAGGAGGAGAAGCTTGAGGGCAAAGACCTGCTCACAGACCTTCAAGACATCAGTGATAGTGAAAGAAAGACTAGCTCTGCAGAATCCTCCATAGGTAAGTGATAACATTGTTTACACCTCTGGCTACCAGGGTAGGGTGTTGTACTGATTTCCATAACTGGTAATGCTAAAATACAAATAAATCTATCACCACAATGCCAAAAAACAGAGATGACACAACGGTTCTAGTGCTTCTCAATTCCCTAACATCTCATTTGCCCTCTCTAGCTTCTGGATCAGGCTCTGAAGAGGAGGAAGATGATGACGACGAAGACGAGTCCAGCAGCCAGAGTGAGGGTGAAGAGGAGGAAGGGGAGGAGGAGTCCGTTTCAGGCTCTGGACGGTCTGAGCAGAGTGCAGGTAAAAAATAAAAATAATAAACTGTAGAATACTGCTCCTCTGTTGTGAGTTCAGTCCAGCTCGACTGCAGCAGGTTTGACACAGTTTCTGCCCTTATTCTTTCAGAGGACGTGAGTGAAGATGAGCAGTCTGATGAAGACTTTGAGGAGGAGAGGGAAAATGGAAATCATATTCCTGCAGGTGGGTGAACTTTTGGCCAGGGATATGTGTGATGGTGTTGATTTCTAATGATGGCTTCAGATAATATGAAGCTACCAAGTCATCAGAACATTAATTTACAAACTCTTATGACAAAAATATAATATGCCTTTCAACTTACTCTTTTTGTGGTTTATTTAAAAGGCTTACATCTCTCTGCCCTATAAAAAGGTTTGATGATCATGAGAGAAAAAGTGTAACTCATATGTGCGTCAGGAAAGACATAGTTATATTTACTTAACATATGATTGTTATCCTACAGTCAAACATTGATGCATTTCCACAATAAAATAACAGTGTTTGATTCTGATTACTGGCGTGCAATAGTATATTTCTTTTTCATCATCATTGTAATATGAGCACAGGATTTAAACAAAGCAAAAACCTGACTTTATCACTGTGAATAAATGAAATTATTAAGTAATATGAATATGCAATTGCTCTTCAGTAAGTGTGTTTACATTTCCCTAAAGCATGATTACCCTGATGCTGTTAGATGGATCTTAAACTTCACAGACATCAGAGAGTCATAGACTGTAAGTTAAAGCTGATATGCACATTGAAATATGTTTCTATTCAGTTTCACATTGCTTTTTGTCGTACCAAACTATGTTGTTGCACACTTTTGTATTTTCTCTCACTGTGCCAACCTAATCTAACACAAATAAATAGGTGACCCCTCTAAAATTAAAAACAGTACCCAATGTGAGGATTAAAATCCTGCAGCCTTTTTGATTCTTGTGGCTGAAGGGCACACAAGAGATGGATAACAGATTAATGCCATCAGATTTATTTAAGGTAGCAATTTGCTAAACTCTATTTGGTGTCAATAGACAGAAGTAGTGTGTGATAAACAGCAGATAAACAGGTTATATGTGGATCAGGGTTATATGATCTTTTTAAACCGTTAATGAGAAACTGTGTTATCACACATCACATGTTTAAAAGTTTCTAATATGCAGCTTTGTAAATATTCAAACAAACAGTGACTTTGATGAAGGCCAAAGCAAAATGTGGTATTGTTTTTTTTTATTCCTCTAGTGTTTCTGACCTTTTGTTAAATTCACTCCCCAACGCTAAACAAATGTTTTCTCCACCCCACAGTGCCAGAATCCCGTTTTGATCACGACTCTGAGGAAAGTGGTGAAGACATGGGGGAAGAGGAGGAGGAGGAGGAGGAAGAGGAGGAGGAGGAAGCAGGAGAGGGTGACCCTACACCACAGTCCCAAACTCATTCCCGCTCCCCCACCCCTGAAGAAAACTACATCCCCGACTCGCCCCCCATCTCACCCGTGGAGCTGAAGAAGGAGCTGCCCAAATACCTGCCAGCTTTGCAGGTCTGTACCTGAGATTGTAATCAAACATTATTCCAATGGTTTATTTATTTATTTATTCATTTCCATAATTGAGAGTCAGCATTCTTAGATCCTGTGTTTGTTTGTTTTTTCAGGGTTGTCGCAGTGTGGAGGAATTTCAGTGCCTGAACAGAATAGAGGAGGGAACCTACGGTGTGGTGTACAGAGCTAAAGACAAGAAGACGGGTATGAAAAGAACAAGTGTGCCTGTGTGATGCTGTTTCACAGTTGATTTTTTACTCAAACAACAAATATAATCTCATGTTCGTAGATGAAATCGTGGCCTTGAAGAGGTTAAAGATGGAGAAGGAGAAGGAGGGCTTCCCCATCACCTCTTTAAGAGAAATCAATACAATCCTGAAAGCTCAGCACCCTAACATCGTGACAGTCAGAGTAAGAGAACTTGAAAACGATTGACCAGAACTTTTATGTGCCAAATACATCCTGATGTGTTCTCAATCTGTCAAAACTACACTTCTCTTTGGTTTTAGGAAATAGTTGTTGGAAGTAACATGGACAAGATCTACATCGTGATGAACTACGTAGAACATGACCTGAAGAGTCTGATGGAAACCATGAAGCAGCCTTTCCTGCCAGGTAATGTCAGACACTGTTGAGTTCTGCTCAGTAAAAAGTTTCATGGGATGACATGTCTTTATTAGAGTTGATTTTTTTTAAATTATTCATGGGTTTAGAGTGAATTGCCTTTGTTGAAGCAGGAAGTTTCTCTTTCAGGTGAGGTCAAAACCCTGATGATTCAGCTGCTTCGAGGCGTCCGACATCTTCATGACAACTGGATCCTCCACCGGGATCTGAAGACGTCAAATCTGCTGCTGAGCCACAAGGGGATCCTCAAGGTACGTCTGGACTGTCAGAGGTTCTCATTCAAGAGTAAAGCTCAGGGAGTCCACAGGAAGTTAGAGTTTTCATCTTTTAGAGCTATAGATGTCAAGAGTATGAAATGAGCCTGACATTTGCTGCTCTCTTTTTCAGCTCTTTTTAAACCTTAAAGAGGGTGAGAGCATTTGTATATGGTGGAATCTCTATTTACAGATGCTGAATAAAGTTGTACAATCTGTTCATACAGCTGAAAAACAACAGGGCAAAGTCGTCAATGTGTCTGCTGTTCAACTTAGACCTGCTGGTACTTGAGACAGACTGATGGATTATGTCTCAGGGCATGTAATTGGCAAAGAAACAACAGCTTTTATGTTGCAGTCATCAGAACAGCACAGAAAAGGACGTCTTGGCTGGTAGTCATTTTTGTGACCAATGGCTCCACCAGAAATACTGAAATATAGGCATCAAAGACAGCTATTGCCGAAGGGCTCTGATGATGCCTGTGGGACTGTTGGAAATAGTTTGTATGAGTTCCAGCGATGGTTGTGTTTATGATCACACAAATTGTTATAACATTCAAAGCTGATAAATCCAGCATCTATACTGGTTTAAAAAAAAAACATTTATTAGATATATCATGAAGACTAATCCTAAAATAAATAATGATCTTTTTGGAAATTTGTGAAGACTAAAGAAGCTCTGACAGGCAAAACCTTGAGACGATGTAAAACCTTCTCCTTAGCTCACTACTATAAAGCACAGTTGAACAAAAAACACATGGTTACTAAAAGTCAATTAGAGCGTGAATTTCTGGCACAACTGAACAGCAGAGTCCCTGTGTCAATAAACCAGGCTGTCACTGACATTTGTCTGAATTTATTACAAGCTGGCAGGAGAAAATATGATTCACACCCTCACCTTTCATTACCCACTTAGCTGAACCAAAGTGCATATTCAATGAAAGACCAGCAAGCTAAAAGACATACCCTCAAATCAACCCAATGCTTAGACATGGTTCTTGATGGTGTGATGTCGTGATGCCACATGTGTTGAATTGTAGATCGGAGACTTTGGTTTGGCCCGGGAGTACGGTTCTCCTTTGAAGCCCTACACCCCTGTCGTGGTGACCCTGTGGTACCGATCCCCAGAGCTGCTACTTGGAGCCAAGGTGAGAATTCAAAGTTCACATCTATCTGTACTTTTCTGACACAAGACCACAGAGCTATGCTACACATGACACCACAGAGATCAAGCTGATTACCTTCAGCTGTTGTGACATCTTTTTGATTTATTCATGTGACAAAATTCCCCCAAATTCAACTACCTATAAAGGATTTACTTTGTAAGAAAGTGAATACCTTTGCAAGTGTTTTACAGATTGTGATTTACAAAGCCAGATGGCAGAGGTCCAGCTGCCCAGCAGCTCACACATCCACTTTCACACAAAAGAAGACTCAAACATGGAGGAGACGTCCCAGGCAGACTGTAATCTCTGTTTCTGCAGACTGTCACTATGTTTGTTCTTGTCTCTGCAGGAGTACTCCACAGCTGTGGACATGTGGTCAGTGGGCTGCATATTTGGCGAGCTCCTCACCCAGAAACCTCTTTTCCCTGGAAAATCTGAAATCGACCAAATTAACAAGATTTTCAAGGTAAATGCCCTCGTTTCGCTAGAATAAAATAAATAAATCCACAATTTATAGTGTGAAGCTCTTCTTCCAGCCTGTAAATCTTGTTCAAGTATTGTCTGTCAGAGTAGGTCAGTTTGTAATTCTTGGATGTACCACTGGGTGGAGCTGTTGGTGGACATCAACCCAGTGGGAGTTACGAAACTTTGAAGTTCAGCATTTAGTATTCAGGTCTTAGTTGAGTCAAACTGTGCTGCACTGGTATGTTTGTTACAGGATTCCTACGCAAGTATGGAAAAGTATGGAAGTAATTCAATTAATTTCCAGGTCTTAAAAAGTGTTGTAAATGAAAAATAAGGTATGGAAAAATATTTATGTTAATAGACTATGTTACTACTGTTGTAAAATGATGTTTTCTAAAATAAAAAAGTAGCTTTTTCCAAAAATGAAAAATAAAAATAAAGGTATGGAAAAGTATGGAAATTCAAACTGTGTAGGAACCCCGTTGTTTGTTTTTTTAAAAGTACATTGTTGAAGGTGTGCTGGTCACAAACTTCCTCAGAAGCCTCTCATCTTCTGCACGATGTGGCTGTGTCCTTCTGCACAGTTCATTCCTGCCATATTAATATAAGAATATAGCCTCATATCGAAAACTGATCCTCTGACCTAATGGCACGTTTTTTTTAGACGTGTGTTTTAGCACAGCTGAAGAAGTCCTTAAAGAGTTAAATTAGGCCGATATCTGAAACTATTAACAGGCACACAGAAGTCAAATAAACTCCAGACCACAGAAGTTTGGGTAGAAACTATAAAAGTAATGAGGGCTGAAATCAGACCTTTAAAAACAGAGTTTTGTGTCTGGTCTGGAGCGCAGACATACATTAGCTCAGCTGCTGAGGACTCAGCTGTGGCGAGGAGATTGTCGTAGGGTTGGCTGTGCCTGTCTGCCCACTGCGGTTATCCTCTGCATGTCATCACAGTGCAGCTAAAGTGGACTGACCTGGGGCCTGTGGAAAAACCCTATTAGTTGGTTGAATGAGTTTTAAGTAGAGGATGTGCATAATACATGACAGCTGATGTCATTTAAGCTTCCCAAGCCATCCTGCAGTCTTTACCGCTGATGAATTACAGTATTGAAATACACTTAGGACTTCTTAATGTCTGTGGTTGATGAACACATGTGTACCTCACATCCATCTCTCCTTGCACTTACAGTGTGCTGTCTGCTGACCCGTATATGTGTGTGCCTGTCTTCTCTGTAGGATCTGGGGTCACCCAGCGAGAAGATCTGGCCCGGCTACAGTGAGCTACCTGCTGTGAAGAAGATGACTTTCACAGATTACCCCTACAACAACCTGCGAAAGCGCTTTGGAGCGCTGCTCTCAGACCAAGGCTTTGACCTCATGAACAAGTAGGAATCTGAAAGTCATACAGGATACAAAATTACAGTCTTTAATGCACCACAGTCAGCCTGGTTATCAGTTGCAACTGTTTTCTGACTGTGTGCATATAACAGAATGTGGCAGCTGAATTTTCGAATTTTCTGTAATCCAACATGCCGACAACTCCTAGCTCCTTTTGGCTGATGTCCCTACTGATATCCACACTTTTCAGAGCTAAGCTACCCATAAATGCTGTACTTGGCATGAGGGGCAGAACTTGAGTAACTCAAAACTCCTATCCCCAGTAGCCCTTGAGTTGTGCAATCAAGGGCTGCACAAAAATCAAATTTAGCCAGGAAAGGGATTCTTAGACCCTGAAGAGTCGACTTTTAATTCTTCACACTATCCATGTGCGTGTCTACAGTTTCTCCTCAGCCTTGTGGATTCAGAGGAAAGTATCGTACCATACTAACTGTGCCGTGCAGCAAACAAACTTCAGAGTAACTCCAAAAAGTCTTCAGTAGCTGAAACATAATGACTCACTTGTGCTCAGCGACAAAGGGAGTTGCCAGTGAGACATTACAGGAGTCTGCACTAAGGTTATTGTTTCCTTATATAAAACAGTAATGGATAGCTATGTAATCATGGTATTGCCCTTTAATTCCATACCTGATGATAAAAGGGCACGTAATTTGCAGCGGCAGAATGCCTCCCTCATTTTGCACGGACTGGTGGTGACTGAAGGTTACCATGGTAACCAGACATATTGTGTTTTTTACTAAAATGCTGAAACTCTTTGTTTTGCTTCCACAAATTACACTTTGATGCAGTAGATACTTCTGAATTAGGATCCAGTCAATGCTTTTACTCTTAATAAAGCAAAAATGCTCTGAAATATTTGACACAAAGGTAGGCAACTACAACAGTACACTGTATTTGTAAGAGCTACACATTAGCTTTTAGGGGTGAGAGAAAAAATCTATACAGCATAGTATCGCGATATTTTGTCTGGTGAAATATCGTATCGTTTTATCCACCAAGTATCGATTTTTTTCAAATTAATTGCTAATATGAAGTCAAACCTATGATAATGGAAAAACAAAATCAACTGTTTTTCCAGTGAGGTCCAGTGGTAGAAGTGACATCATAGAGCAGGAGAAAGTTAGTACAACAAATAAATGGTTTGCTAGATGTGCTACATGAAAATAAAATACTGTGTAAATAAAACAAACATAAAGGAAAGGAAAATGCTAAATTAGCTAAACAGTTGAAAAAATTTGTATAAATCGCAATATATTGTATTGCAATACTCACTGTATTGCAAAATATTAAAAATGGCAATAATATCATATCGTATCTTGGCCCAAATATCATGATAATATCATATTGTAGCCCAGGTATCACGATAATATCGTATCACAGGGCCACTGGTGATTCCTGCCTCTATTAGCTATATAAATCAGACTGTGCTGAAGTAGTTCACTGACAGATCAAGATTGCTTAACTTCTTGATGTGAAATTGGACCAAAAGCACAAACAAAGAAATTACATCTATAGCCAAACATGAAAAGACTTAAAAAGAGAAAGGAGAAAATCAGAAATAATGCAGAAACGGCAGAAGCTGGTTCAAAAGAAATTGCCACAAGGTAGGAAAGTTATTTTTTTTTATAATATAATGAGTCATTGGCCTCACATGACATTTAAGATAGTTATTGTTCAGTTCAAAGATTTCATGTTCTGCTCTGCACACTGTCTTTCCCTGCTTTTGCAATCCTTTGCCAGTAACAACCCTGAAAAGCATCTTTAGCTGAAAAAAAAAAGCTTGAGTCCAAAATGGATCAACTCTAATTAAAGTTCCTGTAAACATGTAGTTTGAACTGGCTGTAGTAATGATTTAATAGCTAATGAAAGAATTCGTAGTCACACACAGCAGTGATCTGACTGTCTGTACCTAGCCCAGGCATGTCAGCGTGTGCTTTATAATGGCAGTGGTTATTAATAGTTGTCAGCCGAAGCACCTTGTGGAGTTTTCTTAAAGGTCAAAAGTCCTGAATAAATCTTGAAAGTGTCTCGTTACTTTCCATCAATTATCGATGGAAATATCAATAAATGGCAACTACTAATATCAGTAACAATCAGCATGACAGTGGAAATTGCCTTACTTGGATGAAGGCATTGCTTCCCTGTCAGAGTCTGTGACTCTTTCCAGCTCAGGCAGTGCATTTCTGGCGAGCTGACTTAAAACATGACAACGGCAGCGGACTTGTAATTCATCAACATGCCTCAGCAGCGGTCTCGTTCCATCCCCTTGTTCCCTCTCATACACACTCACCATGGTGATGCTCCACACTACAGGAAAATGTTTTACAAATAACACTCTTATAATACGGAAAATCATTTTCACACAGCAAGTAATGGGTTCATTACTCCTTCACACGCATTCCAGAGATCAGCATTGTTTAGCAGCTGCAAAGAGCAGAGACAGAGTTTTTCACTTCTCCTCTCAGGTCCTTACCCACCCACAGAGCTGTTTTTCCTACACCTGTAAATGACAAAACCATACCACTCGGCCGCCACACAGCTGCAGAGGATGGTAACCGCATGTCCAGAGTGCAAGCGGAGGAATCACAGTTCAGTGGAAGGTTGGCGTCCGTCCAGCACAGACGAAACCTTCCAGCTGTCAGAAAACTCACAAGGCGTTTACTCAACTACAGATTAAGTCCTCTAGAGGTCAACGCGGATGTGATTTTTTTTTTTTTTTTGGAGAGTCTCAGACAGAGGGTCAGAGGTAGAGTTTGGCAGGTAGATATCACAGAGATGTTTGGAATATCACATCCTCTTGTGCACGGAAACGTGTGATGATGGAGTCCTCTGGTGTAGCTTTCAGAGCTCATTTATTTACGACTTGAAACTGTTGAAAGTTCACTAAGATTGTGAGCCGGATAAGGGACCTGCATTTCAGTTCAGGGCCTCCAGATCCAGAATACTGCTCCTTTTCTATCCCACGCTCTAACTTTCCATCACCTTGTGTCCCAGATATAAAAGTGTGCGTGTGGTTCAAACTCAGATCAGCAGCGTTCTTAGGTCCTCTTACGAAAGAATAACAGTGTTTAGAAGAACACCTTGCTGCACTCTTGCAGACTTTAAAAAATTTGAAAAGGCTTTAAAAAGTCTAAAATTGGTACACTCTTACAATTAAGACAATGTACCAACAAGTCACAGTCACTTTGCAAAGGCTTGGGATCTTGCCGAGTCACTTAGTACAAAACTAAACCTAGATTTCTGCTTGAAATTGACAAATACTTTTAAGCACAATCCAACACTAATGCTGGTAAAGTAATCTATAATCACTGTTACTATGATAATAATAATCACAATAACATGTATCAAATATAACATGAATATAATTTCTGACTTGTCAATGGCTTCAGGATCCACACTCATGTCTGTATGAGAGAAAAGGAAAGCTCATAGAAAAGGTCTGCGGCCAGAGTTTTATGAACTGTGGAGATTTGTATCACAATAGAGAAGAGAAGGAGAAAAAAAGGGACAGAAATTTCTTCATCCCTCTAAATCCCTGGTGGGTGTGCTGTAGATCGCTTCATTTAAACACTGCCGAGGATGAGATTTAAAGCTCCTGTGAGGAGTTTTCTGACATCTGAGAAATGGAGTGAAATACACGTTGATGCCTTCTTATGATATTCTTAAGCCATCAGTAACATGACAGATGATTTTTATAACCTAGTTTTTAATGCCTGAAACTAGAACAAGGGGGTAGGTGTCAGCAGAGCAGCTAAAGAAACAGTCCTGTTTTTACAATCTCCACGGAAGGAGGAGTCAGTAGGATGAGATTTTAATACCAGATATCATTACGTGAGCATGTAGAAGACAGGAGAAGTCAAAACTGCTCTGTGATAATAAACACAAATTGTTTGATACGAGCCTTTCAGCCAAGGCACGTTCTTTTGCCTCCCTATCATGTTTATTTTGCTTCCTATTGGCTGCTCTGAAAGCGATATTCCAACGTAAAATCAATTTAGAGTCAAAGTTTAGTTTGTAATGCAGAGACAAGATCAAAGGTTACCCGTAAAAAGGTATGGACCATCTTACACTGGGCTACTAAGATTACAGTAGTGTGCCCCAGCTCCAGCAAAACACCTCTGGTTGTGATCTCTTTAGCTTCCAAATTGGCACCGTGCTGAAGAAAATCCCAGACTGGGGCAGCAGCAGTATGTTGGCGTTGTTTAGTTCAGTGTGCATACTTCAACATTCAAAGGATGCCTTAGCTTCAGGACGAGGCAGATCTCTCTATTGCCAGGTCAGGCCCTGAGTGTTGTAAAGCTCCTGTCAGTCAAATCCCAGACAGTAACCCTCCCACATGAAAACAGAGACAGATCCTTTGAGGCTGGTGTTAATTACTTACCCCACAAACTCTGCTCACATGTTAAGGATTTTTATCACACATCAGGAAGTCCAATTATCCCGATTGGACAGTTTCTCATTTTGCAGTGTTGATCCTGTCAGATGTTGTTATGACAAAACACCCAGCCCATCATGCCAGGGCTGCACCTTGGATCCAGATTGTTTGTCTCGATGGGAACCAGGATACGTGTTTATCAGAGTTTAATTCACATTTATTTTGGTGAAGTCCAGGTTTAGGAGTTTTTAAACATCACTCTGAACACAGAGACACAGACTATACAAAAAGCCCTCACAATTATCTGAGCGGCCTGATTTCTCATGCCGCTTCATTGCAACATCGCTCAATTGCGTAAGCATCTCCATATGAACTTGGTCACCTTTTTCCAGATTCCTCACCTACTGCCCCAGCAAGAGGATCTCATCAGACGAGGCGCTCAAGCACGAGTACTACCGTGAGACGCCGCTGCCCATCGACCCATCCATGTTCCCCACCTGGCCGGCCAAGAGCGAGCAGCAGAGGGTGAAGAGAGGCACCAGTCCTCGTCCACCCGAGGGAGGCCTGGGCTACAGTCAGCTGGTAAGGACATTAGGCTCCACTTTCTCCATTACATACAGCTACCAGGCTTTCTGAACGCTGTCTGTGTTAAATAGATTACAGAGGTACAGGCTTCTGCTTTGTGTCTGCTTATTTCCTCCTTGTGTTTTCCATGATGAGCACCTTCTCGTCCTTAATGTTTTCACCAGTGGGCCTACCCACCCAGAAGCTTTAACCTGATCCTGATATTTTTGACTTACCTTGGTGTTTGTTTTGCTGCCGTACCAACAAACTAGGACATTTGAAGAAACAGCTGGTGTGCTTGTTTATCTCTGTTTTATTCTTGTCCAGGTGGGAAAGCTTGTGAAACTAAACTTGGAACATCATAACTCAATAAATCTAATCATATTGTCAACAGATATTCATACAATAGTGGGGGAACAGTCATAGTGTGTCAGTTAAAGGTACAGTGTGTCGTTTTTTTAGTCACACGAAGCAGAACACACTTGTAGAAATGGATCATTCTTAATTATAAATAATAAGTTGGTGCCTTCTTCTATCTTCGGAAGTTTTGTCCTCTAATGGGAAGTACTTTCAGGCTCTGAGGATGATTCTGCTGTCTTAAACAGTGGCATGTGTGAGTCTTTGAAAATATTTGCCATGAATAATCTAAACAAAAGGCCTTTTTCTATGTGCTGTAACTCACTTTGACACCTTTGACCCTGGTAGCAGGGTCAGAGGTAGGGCTGGGAGAAAAAACGAAAATTTACCGATACCAAAATTTACAACAATAACCAACGTCATTTTGCCCATATCGGTATATTTGGTGTCAGAAAAAATGAATAAATAAAAGTTGGTTGGGGTGTGTATAAGAAGGCTATAGTCTCATGTCCCTTTAACCTCCTAAGACCCGAACTCTTGCAAGGCATGCATTTTTATTTTCTCTTTTATATTTAGGCTTATTGGGACCTGATGAGTGTAAAAACAAAGAATGATCTTTTTACATGATGTTGTTTCTGAGAAAAATGATGTCCACATATGAGGACATTTGTTTTAAATTTTGAGAGAAGGCCCTTGTAGACCAAAATTTAATATTGTGGTCTTGACAACCAAAAATGTGATGTCCACACATGTGGACGCCAGGTCTTAGGAGGTTAAGATGCTGTCCTACCGTCAGAGATGTGACTCCACCTCATCCAGTCCGTAACAAAGAGGGAAAGACAGGTGAGGAGATGGAGGACGGTTCAAAAGTTGGAGAGGCTGAAGCGGCGGCTGAAGTAGATGAAGTTAATGTGGGAGGGGTTGAGCAGCTTGTGGAGTAGTTATCGTCCATTTCTCATTATCGAGGTGAACTGTTCAATATATCGTGATAATGATTTGAGGCCATATCACCCAGCCCTAGTCAGAGGTCAGAAAATCTTGATAGAAATACGGTTTTATTTGCTGTCTTAGGTCATAAAGGAGTGTAACTCTTAACTTCTGCCTTTTTGAAAAACAGTTAAAAAATAACTGCTCATAGGACCTTTTACATCTTCACGGGAGTGGTGGCTTACTCATAGACTGTTTTCTGTGGCAGATTTTCAAAGCCTACTCTGACTGAAATGCTGACTCAACTTTAGTGTAGCTTGACGTGGAGTTGAAGTTGGCATTTAGCCTCCCTGCTGGCAGTCACTGGGAGCTTGTCTATTAGTCAAGTCAATTGTGCCTCTGATAATGCAAAAATTATAACCTCAGTGTATTAAAACCTAAAGAGTTATTAAAAAAAAATGAACCTCCTGTATTTTGTAAAAATAAATAAAAAAAACATGAGGTGTTCAAACTATTTTTTAACATTTTTTGGAAGCAGCTTATGTTTTATTGTGAGGATGGGCTTTTTGTTAATGGATGCTCATTGCAGATTTTATCACCTTTACATTGGCTTCATTTCTCAACACTGAAGGTTGTCATTTCACCCTGGAATCGGACTTCTAGATACCCCTTCATATTTCCATTTCGACACACTGTACCTTTAAGAGTGCCTCAGAGTCACCTGTATTGTGAATATAAGTTTTTTCATAAGATGCAGGAAATTAATATTGTTCAATATTGAATTAATATTGAATTTCGCTTCAGGGATTAATAAAGTTCTTCTTATCTTATGTAACTGAGTGATGGGAACAAAGTCATCAAACTGGATGCGGTCAGTAACAGGGAGTTCTGCTTGTTTCTAAAATCTCTGCAGGGTGATGATGATCTGAAGGACACAGGCTTCCACCTGACAACCAGCAACCAGGGAGCGTCTGCAGTCGGGCCAGGATTCAGCCTCAAATTCTGAGTCCAAGAACTGCAGGAAACCTGGCTGTTGAACTGAGGAGAGGGAGCAAAGAGTTCTGGGACTACTGTTGGAACCGGACAGGATCACTGGTTTACAACACTAAACCAGATCACGATCTGATAAAGTATCACTGAACAGTCAGGACTGTTTCGCAGCAAGACTGGTGACAACAAACATGTCGACTTTTGAGACTTTTACTGACTTTACTGTTTCTCTTTTTTTTTTTTTTTACATGTGGTTATTTTAGCTCTTGAGGAGGAGACACTCAGATCCATAAATCTGTTGGAAGTTTAGCTCTGTTTTGTTTTATTTCCCCGTGTACACTTCATGAGAGGACCAGATTTTCTAAATGGTTGGTATTTCCTGGCTGCCTGAGCTACTGTATAATGATGCAGCATTGGCTGTGTGCTCCATCCAGCATTATGTCAGAAATTTACTTTGGGCTGTCAGGTCACTTCATGAAAGGAGGAAACTGTTTTTGCTAGAAATAAAGTTTGAAACTTTGTTTTGTCTGCTGTTTTTTCTATATTTATAAACTCTGTCCAAACTATGCAAACACAACCGCACACTGCCAAAGAAGAAAAAAAAACGAAAGGAAGTGGAGCTTAAAAAAAAATCCAGCCTTGAACCCAACTTGGTAGTCGCTGTCCAAAAGTGATGTCATTCTTTGCACTGCACACTTTGTCTCAGTACTTTGTTCTTTCGGGGGAAAAGAGGCCCAGACGTCTCTCTGCCTTTGTTTTTAAATGGTTCTACGACTTCAGAATTAAACCAATAAATTCTTTGATTTTGATCCCAACAAAAATAAACAGTACAGTTTAATTTCCTTGCAAGACCACTAGCTGCTTTCACCGGACCAGGTGCTGAAAAGTCCCCTTGCCTTGAGGAGTCTAGAGCCAGGACTAAATGGAAATGTTCATTAATCAGTTTTATCTATCCCCCAGCCCCCACTGGAGCCCTTCTGCAGATTATTACACCTGATGTGTTGAATAAGCTTGGAAGGAGAGCAGCTAGTGGAACTGACGGCTCAGTCTCTGGAGGCAGACTGCTGGCTTCAATGTGCGGCTAGTAAAGTAAGCTAGACGTCTGAGGTGTTCCATATGTGGTTTAAAGTCCAAATAGTTCCAAAGGCTGTAGACAACATTGCTTACTCTGGCTTTTGTAGCTTTCTTTGGTCAGTGAGTAAATTATTCAAATGGCGCTCGTTTAAGCACAGGCTTCTGTAACTTTTTCATGCACCTTAGATGATTGATCACCTTTGGATGACACTTTTTTCCCAGGGACCTTCAGTGAAAGATTTTTGTGCTCATATGATCCTCATATCTATCTCCAACTTGGCTGATATCTTTTAAATGAAACTACAATGACATGAAAGTTGGTCCCATTTTGCTGTGGACACCCTGAGACCGTCTGGGTGGCCTTGGAAACATCACTGTCCTCTCTGCAGGAGGTACATGGAGACATCCTGGTTTAATGATTCCTGAGTCGACGAGGACGGCTGTGAGGACCTTTCATCACCAAATGAAATGCAGACTGCACCATCTGCTTTGATAGCTTTTTACAGTCAGGTCGTATATTCACTGAAACTCAGCTTGTCACAGAATATTTATTATATATACACATTGAAACGCAGTGACAAACATTGATAGACACTTGTATCTGCACAGACAGTTCTATAAAAACCCACAAGTATGTGCCCTAGTGAATGAGGTCGTCTTGTGACCATGTGTGAGACTGAGTCCTCTTCAGTGAGGAGAGCACTGAGGCGGCCTTCAGAAGCGCACACGTACTCTCCACGAGTAGTTTGTGAGAACTTTGTCTTTTTTCTTCACGATGCAGGTGTATGTGCCTTCGTTGATAGCGTTGGCCACTATGGTGATGTGGTCGTCTTTCAGTGAAATGTAGTTTGGGTGGGAGTACTCCAGCAGCTCCCCGTCTTTGTACCAGCTAAAAGAGAAGACAATATTAGACTGCATCACTGTGGCTCGATAGGAGCATAGACTTTGTGTATATCAGAGATGGGATGCAGTCACTCCATCCAAGTTCGGCATTTTAAAAGTGACTATCTTCGTTTTTGTGGAGCCAGAGCTGATGATATTTGGATAAGAAGTTAACAGATCGTTGTAGTAGAAACCCCTCACGTCCTGAATAGTCTTAACATGAGCATAGTTCATTAAATGAACACAAATTAGAGTAAAAGAGAGCCTAAATTTTAAGGCCCTCACCATGAAATATGAAAATGTTTGCTTAAGGTACAAAATACTTGAAAATTTGCATCATTTCATGATAGACTTGCATACAGCCACTCTCCTTTATGCAGCCATGAACTGAATGCATGAAAAGAAGGACAAAATAACCCCCCTCAAAAAGTGAAGCCAATACACATAGGTTACCTCTTCTGGATATCTGTAGGAAATACTACTTTATCATCTGCATAAAGGGTATTTTGTCTGGTGCAATAGGAGGACATCTTAATACACAACCAATAATTGCAACCAGAGAAGTTTATGGTGTTTTTGCATCACCTTCTCTCCGGACACCAAGAAGATCCTCGCTTGTATTTACAGCCCAGGAAAGAGCGATACTCACTATACTTTGCCTTTCTTTGATGCTATTTTCTTCCCACAACGAAAAGTGAGTTTCTTGCCCTCTACAACCAGCTTGTGTTTAGTCCGCGGGGGCATCGGCGTGGGAGCCACTGTGGGGAAGGGAAACTCTGAAAAAGATTGAGAGGAGGTGATTCAGTTGAGGTTCTTAAATGAGAAACTCTAACAATGATCTAACTACAACTGTGAACAAACGGCTGCTGAGGTGGGGGAATGGTGTCTGTATTGGAAACGACTGCCACCAAAAAACTGACGCAGAGCTTAAAAACTGCTTAGTTTTGAAGTGGAGTTGAATTTTGAAGAGGCGCACATCAAGTTTTGTACGTATGCTTCACAAACCTGCATGAATCCGGCTTTAATCTGGTGCATCAGACAAGTGAGCATCATGTATGAGCTGCAAAAAGATGCAAGTATCATAGAGTGCGCCATAGATTTTTTAGTTACGGAGCTATTATGAGCAACTGTAACTTAGAGAGGACAGAAGAAGGTGCAGGCAGCTGATAAAAAGTCTCAGAACGCTGCAAACATCTTGCTGTGCCAAGGGGTTAAATTTAGAAGTGGCGTTGATGCATGCCAGAGCGTATCGACCCACTTAAAGCACTTGATCTGATCAGACACATATCTGAGAGAAACACACACAAAAAAGGGTGATCCCATAACTGTTCATTTCATAACATTTCATAATCTGGAGATGACACAACTTCCCCTCACAAAGAATTTGTCGAAACATGAATTACTGTCAACATTTTTGATTAGAACCTTATCAAGTCAGAAACTCTTTCACAACCCTTCATCCTGGCAGCACCGCAGCTGTCTTATCGATGTAATATCTCTCATCTGGAATCTGACAAACACAACAGGCTGCTTGGTGATCAACTCAGAGTCTGCCTAAAAAACAGTCGCTCTCGTTAATGCCGCAAAAATCCAAATTGACCTTGTGTGTCTCTAACCCTCAAGCCACAGTCTGAAATTCCAGCGGTTTGGAGTCACTCAGGAATTTTCCACAGCCGTACAACGTCTCCCAATCAACAATGAGGAACAGATTACAGCGAGCCAGGAATCGTATCCTCTTGCTTCTCTCCACACTGTCCCTTGTTGCAGACAAAAATCTCAGAGAGCCACAACAATCTGACGTCTTTGATGGTTAAGGGGAGACATTTCCTGTTGTGCAAAAGGAGAACTCAGCACCAGAGCATCCCACCATAAACCTAAAGAGACTCTGTCAGTCTGTCAGATCTCTGATGTGTTATCAATTCTCTAAGCAGAGACAGCACTTAACAGGTATCTACTCTAACCTGCTCTGTCAGTGTCTTCTGAGAACTTTCCACATGACCTCCCAGGGGATAGTAGTATCTCTAGAACTAACCACAAACTCCTCCAGTGGCAAGTGCAATCTCACTTCAAATCAGATCCTTGAAAACCTCCATCGTAGCTCTGCATGGCTGGACCTATTGGCTCCAGTTGCTCCATTGGCAAACGGTTCACAGCAGCTTCTTGCGCTGCTCAATTGAGAGAAAAGATTTTTTTTCCCCCTTTGGAGTGCTGCTGCTTTCTGCTGCTGCGTCTTACCGTAACAGAAATCACAGCTGGAGGGGCAGTGCTTCTGCATCAGTTTGCGCTTGCTGTCGCAATAGCCTTTCCGAGCCCAGGCTGGACAGATAAATAACCGATCCAAACATCCTGGAGGAGGAGAGGAGGGAAATGGGGTGAGTAGGAGAGATCAGACAACAGTTTTCAGTCAGCAGCAAAAGAAAAAAAATTGGATCCCTGATGTGCTTCTAGTTCCAGTGAGAATGACTCACCATTATACACACTAATAATGACTCATGAGTAGTTTATACAATAATTATTAATGCCACGTTGACTTTTAGGGTCTGTCTTTAAGAGGAGCACTAATGGTATACATCCAGACTCACTGAGATCAAATAAACTATCCCTGCTTTTGTAAAGCTGGTTACACGGGTACATCAGGGCTGTCCCAGCATACAGGTGTTGATGATATTGGTATTTCTGAAATGTTGATGTGCCACAATTTAACATATAATACAGAGTAGCACGCTGTCTTATGGTAGGGGCAGTACAAAACAGAAGAGAGACAAAGAAGATGACAAATGAAAGCTCTATCTGGATCAAAATCGTGCTCTTGCCAGATCGGGGGACTTTTTGGACTTTGTACAGAAAAAAAGGGGGTTTGTGGGAAATTTAAACACAGAATCTCAAGTAAAGAAGATGGTGAGTTTTCATGTTATGTACACATCTGTCATAGGGCTGGTGATGCAGATACATCAAAACTTTAAGCTTTATCTATATAGCATAAATTCACAAGCATAGGCGTACGGACCAAAAGCTGGTGGTGCTAGCTCTGCAAGGGTTAGTCATACTTAGCAAACCATTTGACCTGCAGACTCTGTGGTACTGTGTTCAGCCAGGTTAAAAAAATTAGGCTGGATTTTTGTCTGTTTTCCAACTGTTTTCTTTCTTGTAGGCTAGTTGGCTCATCTTAATTTAACATTTCATGTAAGCCATCCCTGTACAAGACACTTAACTCCATGTTGACATGTAAGTCAGTCAGCTGTGTTTATAAGTTAGTCATGAAGTGGTGTGTTGCTTCATCCTTGTCTTGCCTGTCCTTGACTGACTGATAGTGTTGTTGTTTTTTCAGAAATATATTTTGTGACAGCCTTGGTGTACGTCTGTGTAGCTAAGAGTTTCTAACTGCCAAGATGTCCAATGTGCCAGAGTAACTCCTCTCTGATTTTCATGAATTTCTTGCCCTGACATGGCCAGATCACAGTGCAGCTGACCATCAATCAGAGTTAACCATCTTTTTTAGATTTGGACATGTGTGGATGATTGGGAAGGTGGTGCCAGGTTTTATTCTGACTGTCCCACCTGACTGAAACTACATCCTTTCTCTCTGTCTATGAGATCATTGGGGTTTCATGCAAACATTGTGGGCCAAAAAAGCTGGGGGGTTCTGGGACTGGTCTACTTGTTTTGGTGTTTGGGATTGACTGTCAAGTAGGTTATCAAGCCTCATCAGGCGATCTAATCCAACCACTTAGATTGAAATTGCTTGGATTACTGTCCTGAGGACTTTTTATTTCCATTTCAGAGGTGTCTCAGTCATTCAGCTTTTTGGATGACTGACAAATTGCTGTCAAGACAAATGAAGTTCACTGATTTGTTTATGACTTTTGGCTTCTGTGTCCTGGCTGGCTGACAACATCCCAGATGTATTTCCAATTGTCAAAACCAGAGAAGAGCTTTTCATTTTTGTTTTTGTAGCAAAGTAAGAAACAGCAGGCCTGGGAGCATACCGTAGAGACGATGCATGCCCCACACATCATCCTGTGTGATAAGCTTGCGCCCTGTTAAAGTTGCATTCAGGTGCATTATTGCTTTTGGATTCATGGAGTGCATGAGTCCCAGGACATGGCCTATTTCATGAGTTGCCACATGGACAAGATCCGTCAACCAAACCCCTGAAAAACAGACACAGTTGATTATTTTCAGTTGCAGCGCACCTCAGGAGCTGTTTGGTTCGGAGTCTGCTGCATCCATCATTTGAGGGTTAAAAATGAGCAATTTCCAGAAACATGATAAAGACACATGCCTTTCTTCCAGCTAAAGCGCATGTTTCCCAGAATCCAGTATTCATGGTCGTCAAAGTGGATCTCGCCAGTTGGCGGGAAGAATGCGTGAGCCAACTCTCCTGTGATGCCGTCGAAACAATGGTGCAAGTAGGACTGCAGACAGTCTGTGTGGTTGACGGGGTAGAAGCCTGCCAAGACAGAGAGAGACAGATGTACCTAAGAGCCGAGCAGGGGAACCCTCACTCCATTATTCCTGCTCTGTGAAGACAACAGCAGGAGGAATGATGAATTATAAAAGACAGGCCCTCAGCCTCAGCTTTCACTCTGCAGGATAACAACTGTTCCTCGAACTGTCACTGAGAATTTATGCAGGACCCAGGAGTTTGCACCCAAAGGGACAGATAAAGCATAATTTAGTCTGCTTCAGCATGGGCTGACATGTATGGAAGTTGTTAAACATTTATTTTTTTAGTTAGAAATTATGAATCATGCAGAATATAAGCTTGGTAATATAGTCGCGGTAGTGTGATTTAGTGGGTTTGGAGAATACTGAAGTTTCAGCGATGACAGCACGGAGAGAAAAACAGTAACGACAAAGCGAGCTCCAAAGTCTGGAGCTCAGAGCCAAGCAACATCTGTCGGGGATTGATGCAGCCACATGCAGAGTACCCACCGATCTTAATGTCTGCTTCTTGGTCAGCTGGCACCTCTCTGAAGCTGAACGGCGAGACGTCGCTCCACATGCCAAACGCCTTGGCGATGCCTCTACGTGTGTCGCTGGCATTTATCAAGTTTGTAGGGTAGGAGAGCAACCTGCTCAGAGACAACAGCATTATGTAGTTTAAACTGGTCTCTACACACATTCCTCTACAGCAGAGAGATCTGCCAAAACACAATGGCTACTGTTCAGACAGACCAGAAATCCCACAAGCACTCCAAGTACAGCTCCATTACTGAGACCTGATATACTTTTATATCTTGGCTGAACTGATACGGATACTTTTAACTGAAACTAGTCATTGATTAATTGGTTATATCAACTTTTATTATACTAGACGATAAACTGTATTTTAACTGATTTAGGACTGTCTCCATTAAAGTTTGTTTGATCACCAAAACCCGGCGTTTGACCCTTTTCAGTTTGATCCACTCATCTTATTTTTGAAGATTGACTTTCTATAAGAGGTTGGTCAAATTTTGAGAGTATTGCAAAGATTTTTTCTCATGTATTGATTCTGGTGACCCTTTTGAACAAAATTAGCAGCATAATTCTAGGATGAAGGCTTCATTTCCCGTGAACACCATCACCTCTTGTTGTGAACTGTGACTCTTGCTTAAGTGCGCTATTGTTAAATTAAGTAGATAGAGTAATGCGGAGGCCCTAAAGTTAGACAAAGTTATGAATATTATCTTTTGTGCACAAAATAGTTAACTGGTGTGCACATGATTGTACAACCAAGATTATTCTTTCAGAAATAAAACACTATCTTGTGCCACTGAGATATTAACTCATTAGAACAGGATACTAAACTCCACCTCACAAGAAAAAAACTCAAAAGACAAGATACTTCTTTAACAGGAACAAATTATTAACTTGTGTGTTAAATATTTACTTGTAGGCATAAGACACTACACTTGTTCCTACAAGACAAGATAATCATCTCACAGGAACAAAATACTATCTGGTGTGCAAATAAAATGATATGTGTAAAAAATAATAGTTACGAATAATTAATTTGATCAAACAAGATTTTTTCACTGTGCACATGAGATAATTTCCTGCATGCACAGGATAATAACTTGTTCCAGCACGATTATTACACTGTGCTGACACAATGGTTAACTTGTCCTCTCAAGTTAATGTCCTGCACCCATAATGTAATCACTTGTGGGAACAAGGCGACTATTTTGTGTGCACAAGTTGATATTTTTGGCACAATAAAACAATAAAAAGAACTTGGAGACTTTTTAATCCTTATTTTTCTTTGTTCCAGGCAATGATGAGGTAATACATTGAATCGTAGTTGAATGAACTGCCAGCTGTAATGCAACAATGACAAAACTTTGAAAACTCTTATCACTATCAGTTAGTTCACATACGGTGACCAGATGTACCTGTAACAGCCGGGATGTCATGGTTTTAGCCCTGGTCTCCCACTTCATGTCTCAATAATGTAAATATGTGTACAGTTTAACCCTTCAGTCCTTTAAGGGCAACTAAACATTGGCACACATAAATGTTTCAACATTACAGTTTGTTCATCTCTTACTGAGCAAAGCCCTGGCTTTAGAGTCTCTTTGTCTCAAATAATACTTCAAAAGCAAAGAAACATCTTTTTTTACTAACACTGCTTCAGTATCATCTATGAGTACAAAATATTATAAACAAAGAAAAAGTATCCCGCTAACTTACTTCTTTTCATATCATTTTTGCCTTTTCTAAAACTGCAAAACAGTGAGATAGCACAGAGGTGAGTGATGAAAATAAGTACTTGTATGTTAGCTTGAACTTGTCCCATTTGAGCTGCTCTGGAGTGAGGGTGTAGCGTTTGTTCCTGGACAGGTGAAGGACTTGTGAGCGGGCTTCTTTGCGGATCCCGATGAGCAGCACTGTGGTGTAAGCTTCTTCCTTGGACAAAGAAAAACCTTTGATTAATCACACCCGACTGACTTTACCATGGGGACAGAACCCTGATGAATCTTGTATTTTTTTACTCATGGAACAATCACAGAGCAAACTTATCTGTGAGGAATAACTTAATCGATACATCTATGTATAAAACAACCTTGACAACACTGTAATCCACTACTTTTCTTTCAGTGGATCTGGACCCTTTGTATTAGATATTCATGCAAGGGCATTACATCTAAGCGTCATGAGGGCTAACCAGTCACAGGCCTATATTGTGATCTTTAGCAGTAGGTTTGTCCTATGATGATTTGCAGATGGGCAACATCAATTCCAAATGTCCATTCTTGTAGTGGACCAGTATCAGTTTTTTAAGAGCTCATGTCGATCATTTCACATGGAAAAGATGATGAAGGTATGATGCCAATTAAGTAAAAATGCTATTAACCCACCTGATTAATCCACCCACCATTAAACTTGCCTATCTGTAGTTCACGTATATTTTAATATTTTTAAAGCTTCTGTATGTAAATTTTGGTTTGTGCTGATTTTGGCGCCTCACTGTGGATGTAACAATACATCTTATTTCTTTGATGAATTTGCCCCATACATTTGTCAGCCATGCTCCTCTTACTTTCAAAATTCAATGTATCACTATTTTTGACTATTTTAGACTATTACTATTTGATCATTCACCATTTAGAGCATGTAAATAAAAGCTGTTCAGACAGTGTGCTGTAACCACAGACTGTATATACTATGGACAATTTAGCTCCGCCTTCTGTCATTATAAGAATTTGAAGCCGAATTGCTCTCTGTATTTCCAGGATTTTCTCCACTTTCGGAACCACCACTTGTGCAGTAGCGTTGTACGCATTTGGCGGGAGAGTCGCCGAAAGTCACTGTGATGATGCTTGGCTCAAACAGTGTATCCCCCGGATGAGCTATACAATCTTTGTACGCCCGTAGGCTGTATCAAGCGTCAATCATAGAAAATATGAACCCCCTAATAACTTTTAAAAATGGAGCTGCACAGAAAAAAAAGGACTTGAGCACAAACCAGTCTTACAGTAACTACATGTCAACATCACAAGCAGGGGGGAGAAAAATTTAGATTCTGTGTCATAAATTTCTAAAGTTTGTCCACAGCTCCATAGGGATTGCTGGAGGAGGCGGGATTTATGACCTATACAGCAGCCCGTCACCAGAGGATGCTGTTCTTCTGGTGGTTTATCCAGCGAGGAGGCGGACGGTGTCCATTCTATATTAAGTCTAAGGCAGTAACTCACTTTGTCTGACACCCACCCAGCAGCTGTTTTACAATTTGGACAAAAATCAATCCTGTCACAAATACTATATTTTGCTTTTCTGGGTCATAAAGAAGGATCAGTATAAATCTTCGACTGTTTCATGACCAGCCCTAAAACTCCTTACGGTAGCTTTAAAAAGCTGTGTATATGTGCTTTGCATTCAAGTGCTTTCACAAATATTATATGATTGAGGTTAAGTTGTGGTTTGACTTGGCTGCAATATTTCCCCATGAGCTATTCCATTACAGTGATTGCACCAGTTAACTTTTTATGGGGGTTGGTTTAGGTAATAAACCCCCTTCTCTGCGCTTTTATGACCTCACAGTCATACTAACAGAGAAATACGTTAAAACTTTCTGCATCACTTATATACTGGTCTCTTCAAAAAGTATCCTTTCCTTTAGGTGGTGTGAAGGATGTCAAATATTATACTAAGGAGTCTCCAATCTGGAAAAAGTTCAAGCAGTCTACCAGGGGGCAATAGTGAAGCTCACTTGGTAGAGTAGGTGCCCCATGTACAGAGAATGCAGTCTTCATCGCCCTGGTAGTAGGCGCATACTATTCCCCCTCTCCCCTCAAGCTCCCTATCAAAATAAAGGCAAAAAGCCTTAAAAGGAACTATCAAAGCCGTTTTCAAAGCATAACAGAGCTTTAAAGTCATAACTAGTTAGGGTTTTTTAGTGAAAAAGCATTTTAAGAAGCTATTTTTGTTAAATTTGTGAACAAAATAGTGACTCAACTGGTTGCGTGATGATGGTTAAAATATGACCTGAGCCTCTACTATAATTTCTGGGAAAAATCACAACTGGTGTCAATTACCAAGCAGTGGTTGGTCCACTAGAGTGAGTAAGCAGATATGGATTACCGTTTCTGTGGTCTCTGCTGAGGTGTTAGTAAATCTTTAATCTGGCCCCACAATCAAAGGAAAGTATGATGACTTCAGACAGTAAAACTTCAAGAGTAAGAGCAACTCCAAAGAGAGAGAGAAACTCACTGGATGTCCAGATAAAGACAAACAGTTTAAACCTTGTTTGGATGTTTGAAAAAGTATCAGTGTCAGAACCGGGCCGCTACCGTCTGATTATGTTACAGCCTCTGGGAGTGATGTGCAACTTTTCAGGCCCTCCAGTGTAGCCAGCAGTTAGCGGTGAATGACTTCTAGCCAAGACTTCCTTTTATGTGTGTTACCTATTTTACAGTCTAACTGGCAACATGAGACGCAATGAGGGAGTTGGTGTTCAGAAATTTGTCCAAAAGCATAATTTTAGCTGCACTTTCATGCAGATAATCGTTTAAAGATATAAAGTACGATAGTCATTAGATGACCGCCAATGTGCTCAGGGATTTTATCAAAATGGCTCATGTTCTTCTTACTCAATACGGGCTGCTTTTCTGCCAACTGGAGCTGAAACTTAAACAAGAGCACTTTGGATACTTAAGTCAGCTCCCTGGCGTTCAGATTCTGAATTTTTATGCAGGATTTGTAAACAGACATGAGGCTTAGGCCAAGCCACATACCTGCAGTTTCTACCTGTTGATACAGGTGTTGGCAGAAGAGGGTAAAACTAGATTTTAGAGGCTGCTGCCTGAAAAATGTATCTCAAACAGTTATAGAAACATAGGGGTGAAAATCTTTGTCATGACAATTAAAGGCACAGTGTGTAGAAATAAGAATATTTACTGTTATCTGGACTCTTGATTGAAATGCTCCCTTGCTCACCCCTCTTTTACATAAAATGTTTAGCTGCAAACTTACCCCGCCTTTATTGGAGCAGGTGACTTATTGAAGTTTTACAGTATGTTACTAGTTTGTCCATCCCGTGCAACTGTAGAAACATGGTGGTGCAAGACGGTGCCAACTTGGAGGGCAACCCACTCCTATGAAGTTATACAAATATTATATTCCATTTCCACCAAGTCTATTAAAAAGAGAGTCTGCCAAATTCTGTCAAACTCTACAAACTGCACTTTAATGGCAGCAAGAGTTCTTCAAAACAAGTGGTTGTGGGATGATGAAAAACAGAGGAAACCGAGAAATCTATTCATGGTGTACTAACCAACTTGCTGACTTTCTTGAATATCAATTTAGTCTTGTATCTTTGATTATTTTCCTACTTCAGAACACACAAAAATGGATTAAAATAAAGCTTTAACAAGGAAAATCAGACTCAAGTTAAACTGTTCAAATGTGATCCATCCTTCTGGATTTCTCACGGGGGAAAAACACTGAAGGCGGGGAGCGAATATCAAAGCTGTTCCCTCTTTTCTGTATTCTACACCCAATCCTCTGGTTCCTGTTCCTGCTTCGCCCAGTCAAAACAAATAGATCCTGTACTTCCTTCATTTCCTCACCAAAATAGTCACACAGAGGCAGGCGGGCGGTCTGACAGTGTCCACACCGCTGCAGAACTTGATGACCCCTCTTTCTCCGATGTTTTACACAAAGATGCTGCTTTGCATTATATGTACTGATGGCTGTTTTATACAACAGACCTCAGATGACCTCAGTTGACAAAGCTAAGCCTTGTGTTCAGAGATTTATGGGGTGTTTAATGTACTAAGGCCAGTGCAGATCTTTTTGTATCTTGTGTTGTTATAATCACTGCAAATCTAATCTCACTTTGGCACAACTAAAGTCAACCCTTAAACCATGAGGGCCGAAACAAGCCTGCTAGACTAAACCTTGAAGCCAAAACATCCAAGCATAAATCCCAGTGGATCCTCAGAAGAGTTTGGAAGAATCTTTAAGTGCCAGACACTGCTAAAACTGGGATCATGATCTTAATCCCTGCTTTCATAATACTGAAGGCCCATTCAACAAAGACCTTTTAATGTATCTACCGCAAAACACAAACTGTCAAATGAACGTTAACCAAACAAGCACCTCTTCTCATAAAACAGTACAGGCATGAGGTAAATCACTCTGAAAATACATTTCAAAGCTACAACTGTGTGAGGGAGCAGGGGTGACGCAATCTGAATAGGTACCAGCAGTATGGCATGAGGCACACGTACACATAAGACATAATAAATGAAGATGTAGTAGCATTTTGGCCGATTTTGTGAGATCCTCTGTCTCTGTTATCATTACGTAGTTGCACAGACCTGGTTATAAAAGGTGGGTCTAGAGTGGCTTCCACAAAGATTTTTTTGACAGACTAAAATTCTCATTTGTGCCTTTTAATGATACCAAAGAGCAAACAAGACTATCAGTGACATGATCCATGACCCTTATGTCCTTATTTTCAATGCCCTAAACTGTGGAGGGGAAGGTGTCAGCCGAGCAGGTGACAAGACAGCCCTATGTTTTACAATACCCACATTAAAATATTCACACTTAATGATAAATTTGAATGTCAAAAGTCAACATGTTTTGATTCAAACACAGAAAATAGTGTTTAAGTTTGCAGAGGATAAAATAAGCAAAGAGCGCTTTGTTCACAGGGGGCGCCAAAAGATGCAAACTGAAAGTTTTCCACAGGAGCTTTAATTAAGCAAAAAAAGAAAAAGCATAATAAACAACACTAAATGCAAATCCCAAAGGAAGCTCATGTTCTATGAGTCTATAAAGATGCAATGTTGTCCTTCACACGGTTACTCTGAAATTGAATAGTGTAAAGACACAAAGACAGACACATAATAAAACCATAAACCTCTGTTTATGTATTAAACAGTTCGAAAGGAAAACACTTTGTACAGAATTAAACTTAGTCACAGGCCTCGATTAGCAACCAAAGGATATGACCAGGTCAAATCACACGACGGCCACTTTATTTACCATTTATACACTAAGCATCCAGCAGGCACTTTATAAAAAACATTTAATCCAATGAAAAGACATCCAGAGAGAGCATTGTTTACACTTTAGACACTGAAGGAGCATCTAGAGGGTGCTTTATTTACTTTAATACACCAGAACAACACTCTGAGAGCACTTTGTTTACATTTGATCTACTGGAATTGCATACAGAGGGAGCTCTGATTATGCTTTCTACACTGGAGAGGCATACAGAAAGCTCTTTGTTTACTTTTTCACTACAGGGTGAGCATCCAGAAGGTGCTTTGATTAAGTTTTCTACACTGGCAGAGCATTTAGAGGGCCCTTAGTTTAGATTTTATCCAGTGGGAAAGCATTCAAAAGGTGCTTTGTGTGCATTTTATTGATGAGAATACTATCAACAGATATGTAAATTTTGTTTCATGCAGATTGTCTGTTATTTTCAGTACACATTAAGAAAACATTAATAATGTTATTCAACTGGATTTTAGCCGAACTTTATTCATCAACTGACAAATTAAACACTCTTATGTTTCTTTTACTGCTGTATTGCCTAAGAAGCTTATCTAAGGCACTTATGTAACCCCCACACTCAAGATTGACACTTTATGAGAGTCTGTGGCAAAGGAAATGACATAAAGTCATCCCTCAGGCTCTGTCTCTCAGTGGGTGGGTGGCAGTGATAGAGGAACACATTTATCCAATTCACAGCAGTTATTACAGTACAGGGATTCACTGCATGCTCTAATCTGATTATTTTAACTCCTCCACAAGAGACATTAATTTAGTCTGACGAGTATGCCATGGGTACCTTTAACACAGTGATGATATGCAGATAACGTTTAAAGAGGCGTTATAAATGATCCAAACTGCACTACAACAGTGAAAGACAGCTGTATGAATGATGTTTTCAGCTAATTTGAAAAACATTGCTTGTCACTCTTTTATCTGAAGGGGTAAACTTTGTGCACAGTGGATACTTAAGGTCAGGCACCATCTTTGTATTTATTGTCTGGTTGTACAATCGGGGTATAAAGGACCCAGCAAATAACAACTTAAGCACTTGCCCTGACACACATTGCTGCCCAATACACCTCACTACTAAAATGAAGGTTAGTTGTATTTTGAAATCAGTGCAGCTGATATGATACAACTGTGCATGCCGAATTGTAAAGTGGCTTCTAAAAATGGTTAAAACATGGGAATAAATTCAGGCTCTATCATTCAGCTTCAGTGTAGCGCAGGGCAAATCTGAAACCGCAGAATTTTGAATGGAGTTTGTTTTCACGTTTGTATAATGTAACAGACAAACCAGGCAAAAAAAAAAAAAAAAAAAGAGATTTTGCAGAATAGCACTGACATCTCTAAGTGGTCCAGTCATAAAGGGCTTACAGCATACCTCTAACCTCCAGGAGGGAAAGGCTGTGGTTTGTTGCATCCCTGCGAGCAGCAGACTGAGCAGCGCAGCAGCCAGCAGAGGAGCGCAGTTCAGGTCGCCACTGCGTAAACTTCTGGGAGTCTGACAGCACACCATGGCTGCGATATTACTCCTCCAGGAGGAAGAAAACAGGCGCAAATAATCCTTCAGTGAAGAGAGCACAGGTTTACGCCCGTGAACACCACTTCTTTGCCATTGCACGGTTCGGCAGTTTGTCACTTGAGTGTGGTTTCTGTTTCTGGTGTGCTGTGCAGCAGCGCAGTCCAGCCTGCACACCGGGTAGTGAAAGCAGCGCAGACTGCATCAGCTCTGCTCGGCTCTCTTCCGCACAGTGCGTCTGCCAGAAGGCTGGTTTCATATTACTGTTTGATGGGGCAGGGGGTCAGTGTCGAGACAATCTAATGAAAACCAAACGTGCTCCGTCCATCAAACCACTTGTTGCAACCAGAAGAGCTGAGTTAAAGCAGAATCAGATGGCTTCTTTTGAACATGAGTTTCTGAGGGTTATGTAAGGCTGTAGGGGAAAAAATAGTTTAGTCTTCTCTTTATTTAACAGAGGGCATGCACAGACACTTTTCCTGGGCATGCTGGAAAACAACACAGGACATCACTGTGGACTGTTACACATTATCCTGTGACCAATTTAGTCTACTCCACAGACCAATGAATTCACAAATGAATCACAGAACACACTGCACGTTTTATACTTAGTAAAAGTTTGGCTGTTATGGATTGTCCTATTTGCTTTTTCCCTAGTGCATCATATTTTATCCCCTGCACTTCGACCTGCAGGCTCTTGGCTGACCCGGTGGCTCTGGTTGCCAAAGAGGATAAAGTTTGTAGTGCTGTTAGTTGTGGAGAGTTGTAGCCTGGGGCTGCAAGAGAGATTGCTCTCAGATTGCAGCAAAATTTTAAAATGTATCAGCTAATAAGGTCAAATGAAATGCTTTGTCCGATCTGGAGCCTGTGGAAAGCAGAACAGTGACTTATATAGCGAGAAATAGTTTCCCAATTGCAGAAGAAATGATTTGTTCTCTTAAAAGTGTCAACTTATTATTAACCCACCACCTTAAGAAACCAATACAAAGCTTAAAAGGTGTCAGTCAGTCCAATTCCAGCAGGAGCCAGCTTTAACATATGTTGCCTTATATACTGACATTGGGATCTATGGATGCAATAAGATAGTGAGATTAGTTGTTAAAAGATGTGTATTTTCTGCACATTTTGGATAAAAAAATGACCTAACAACAATGAAATTATTTTAAAAAATATAATATGTACCTACTTTTGGCTCCTGTGAGGAGTTTTGAGAAGGTTTTGAGATAGGTTGAGTTAATAGTAACACATTTTTATGGCCTACAAAACAAATAAGTCTATCACAGCCCCCCATAGATGCCAGCCTATTGTTTGGTTTCTTAGATAATCCAGAAGTTATCCAAATATCAGGACAAAACCAGCTCTGCTATTTTGAGATTATCTGAAAGTCAATGCATAATGGTGAAGAAAATATTGTTGTGTATATCCGGCAACTAGAAAAATGAGTCAAAATCTCAAGAAAGCCACTAAAATGAAGTCAAATGTAGCCAAGACAATAAAAGTTCTCTTTATCTGCTTTACACTCAGCGGAAGAAAATCAAAAACACCCAAATACACAATAGTGCACACACAATCAAAAATACTGGATCAATTATGACAAACAATTCAGAGCTGATACAAAACCAAAAGGATACGAGTCCTTTAATGCCTTAAACCAGAAATTATGGCCAGAAAACATTACACAGTTTTAGGTGTTTTTGGAAACTGATAAACCACAAGAGGACATTTTTTTTCATTTATTGGACTGTATTTATGTGTTTTTAAAATTGTTGATCATATTGATTTGATGGAAGTATCAAATAAGTACGTATCAAATGTGATACAGAGGAATCAAAGGGCTAGTAAAATGACTGTCGGATAGCATATAACTAAGAATAAATAAGAAGACTGGTAAAATACTTGATGGTTTCTTGTTACCCCAGGAAAACGTTTACAAAGTCTCTACCAGTATGTCACCTTTAGTGTGTTTGGGGATTGTTTTTGTTTTTCCCCTCTGTTGATATAACAGCAAATTCCTTCCTTTAACAGGAATAATAATAAAATTCAATTTTGGATGAATATTAAATGCCTTCTTGAGAGTGAACAATTTTTATTCCATATTCTGATTTTTCTCAAGTAACTAATACCAAATTGTGATTTAAACACTAGGCGGAACCAATGTGCGAGAAGTAGTTTCTTCGTCCCCCGTACACTGCTGCACTACAGGCGGAGGAAATGGCGCCCGTCAGGTGCTGCAGGGTTTACAGTGGCCAGCCAGTCCAGCACCCTCGAAGTTGACACGTAAGCTAACCAGCCGCGTCTCTCTGTACCAGGCTGAGTGTGACAGGAATATGGTTTTTATGGGAGAGAGGCGCACTTTGAGCCGGATGGTGAGGACCTAACAGGTGAGAGCTGCTGCCTGGACCTGAGCTCCACGGTTAGCCTGTTAGCTTTAATCCCATAATCTCGGGAGTTAGCCGGAGCGGTTTGTCCCTCCCGGGTCCGGTGCCCTTTAGGAGGTGGCGAGTGTGGAGGTTCCCTCCGAAAGGACAGGGTCAGAAATATGAATGTGGGTGGTATAGAAATGAAAGCCACGTGTACTGGCGAGCTAAACAATTAGCCAGTGTGTGAGATCAGCGTGGAAACCGCCCACTTTAGCCTGAACCCACAGAGTCAGGAACCACCTTTAGCCTGTTCTCTGTCAAGTTAAAGGGCCGAATCAGCGTTAATATACGCGGACTGATCTGTACTAAGAGAACATAGAGAATAAGATTCAGCTTTGTCTACTTTTTGCGTGCAGAACACAAACATGTGACTTTCCATGTGGAAATGTCTGACATTTTGAGTGACATTTTTAAACAAAGTTGCAAATTTAAACACCATATAAGAGGTGTCCTCTTGTTATGTGATGTGGAGAAAGAGTAAGTACATAAAAGCTCATGACTCATCGTAATATTTCAGCAAACAACGTAATATTAAACCACGCAAACGTGGAACAGGAGTAGGATCTGCGTTTTGTTCATCAGTTCAAGGTGTGTTTGACAACATCCTGAGTTTCTTCATCATCAGCACTGTTTCATACCTTTTATCTGTAAGAAGTTCACTGATTCCACAATGACACACCTTAGAAGTTAGACAGCTTTTTGTTCATGTATTTTGATAACTTAATGGCTGCAAATTACGGAGCTATAGGGACCTTAACACCGTCTATTTTGATTGCAAAACTCAAAAAAACATGATCAAATGGTCAATTTGTATTAAGTTAGAGTACATTGACTAGGGAGGGGTTGAGATATTTGTAATTAGAGTAAGAGTGTTCATGCTGCTATTATCACATCTGAACGATCTTTTTTTTATGAGCAGCACCTGGTTTTAAAGCTGTGTGAACAGACAGAGGCTGTAGGGCATTTGAAAGCTGTAAACTGCTTATTACAACCCAAGAGGAAGACAGCATAGGTACCTGAAACAGGTGCTGTTGCACTGTGAGAGTCAGAACTGGAGATAAGATATAGAAGAAGACGCAGAAAGTGAGAAAGATATCCATATCCATGTGACTGTATATATCTAACTGGCATACCTTACATATCTGTAATAATTATGCACAGTTAGGGGTCTCTCTCTCTCTGTCTCTCCCTCCACTCATTTGTGTGTGTGAGTGTGTGTGGAACCACCATTCAAATAATCATGAAACAGTTTCAGTCACTATCGATTGGTGTCCTATCTTTAAATGCCTGTCTCTAACATGGGCTAGCTGCCTCCACGTCGTCCATAAAACAGTTATAATTGATATTTTGCCTCACATAATGGCATTAATAAATACATATCCTGTTTTTCAGTTTTAAAACCACTGCCAAACTCAAAAATGCATCTTTTCTGTATTCAACTTCCCTGGTTATGAAGTGGAAATAGTGCAGTGTGTATAAAGTTTGTGATATAAATAGTAGACTGTGGACAGTCTTGTGTTTTATTGATATGTCTTTTTTCATCACTACAGGCACTTCAGACTGATTTTTGGAAATACTGCTGTTACTCTTAACCCCTTGCAGAGGAATGGCCAAAGAGCAGAAACAAAGCAGGGCAGAGACTTTCATACTGCATGGATCAAATGGTCACAATGGCCAGCAGTGGCAGACTGGTATGAATAACCTGACCAGCCACTCTCACGGGCACAACCACATGTCAAGGATGGCCCGTGTTGCCTCAGACATGAGGCACAAATGCGCCGCTTACGTGCTCGCACTGAGGCCTTGGAGCTTTAGTGCCTCGCTCACACCGGTGGCCCTCGGTAGTGCTTTGGCGTACAAACTGGAGGGCTCTGTGGACTTAGTCATCCTGCTGGTGTGCGCAGTGGCTGTCCTCGTGGTCCACGGGGCGGGAAACCTCGTGAACACCTACTATGACTTCTCCAAAGGGATCGACCACAAGAAGAGTGATGATAGGACTCTTGTGGATGAAATCCTGGCTCCGCAGGATGTTGTTATGTTTGGAGCATTGTTATACTCTTTGGGGTGCTTGTGTGCCACTCTACTCTACTTCCTATCTACGCTGAGATTGGAGCACCTAGCCCTTATTTACTTTGGTGGACTCTCCAGCTCTTTTTTATACACTGGAGGTAAGTAAATAATTAACTCCACACTCTTTGGTTACTGTTTCGATGCTGATCTGCTAGTCCAGTCGGTTAAAGCACAGCCCGAATGTTTCACAGCGGCATCTTTGCACGCTGGTGGCTCCAGCTAAGGTTGGCAAAGTGAAAATTGGAATCTGTGTGTGATGTCAGGAGAATGCACACGGCGCATTCATGTTTTCCATTGTGGTCACTCTGTCGTGTGTTATTACAAAAAACAAACACTGCTAAGTACATCTTTCCCCAGACAGAGCATATATTCATGGCAGTGGAAAGGTCAGCTTACCCAAAAAAGAAAAAGTCTTAGTCACCATTCGTGGTATTTAGTCAGGCAAATAGAATTTTGCATGTTGTCAGGGCCACAACAAAGGAAACATGTGGGTTAACCTTATTACTAGAAACAAATAAAGCGAATACCATGTTTAGTTGTCAGTTGTAACACGGAACAGTTTTATTAGCAATGAATGAAAAACTATGAGAGCCAAGGAACCGAAGACAACGAAAAGAGTGGGAAAGCCCAGGCTGACCACTGTCAGACCCAGAAGCCTTAAAACAGTATTAAACCAGAGTAAACTCTACTGTGAAAAAGCTCTGGCCATAAAAGAAGGAGAGAGAAGAAGAGGAGGAACAAAAGAGTAATGCAGGGAAAGGGCAGAATTATGTCAGAGGTTCAAGACTCCCAGCCTCTGAAAGTCTTCTTCCAGCCTTAAAAAAGTTGGCACAACTTTCACTTCCTCATCTAAAACCACTGAAAAACATTCTGCTGTTTTTCAGACAAATACAAATACATGGGTAGAAAGAAAGTTTTCTACCATTACTTTAAGCAGATCATCTTTTCAACATTAACTGTTCATCTGGTGTTTTTATGGCCAACCTCACCAACTGAGTCAAAGACAATTTGGTCACTTTTTGGGAACTGGTCCTTTAAGACAGTCTGTGTATTCTTCAGATGTCACACTCATGTGTTACATTTCTTCATGGACTGATATTCTTTTTGAAAGAACTCCGGTGTCAATTCATCATTATGTATGTGTGAAGGAGCGCTAAGTCCACATCCTCCATCACTGTTTTATTTACAATAAATCAGGGAAACTGTCTGACACCTGTCTTTGGGATGTATTCTCCTTTTCTGCGGCAGCCCCTGTTTTGTCATGGAGACTATTAACTTTGCTTATTAGGAAATCCACTCCTGATGTAGATTATCACTCAAGGAACCCTGCTTTTAAACCTACAAAAAGCTAAGGAATTTTAAGTACCAACTTAAAATGTTAAACGTTTTCTTCCAGATTTCACTTTGAATGAAAAATGTCCCTCTATATTAATTTCAAGAAACATCTGCGGGAGCAAAGGTTTAGCTGATCCAGCAGATCCTTAAGATCTCCCGAGTGTGTATCTGAGACAGACAAGTCAAAACAAATGATTTTCTTTTCGTTTTTTTAGACACTAATGGTCTTTTAACGATTTTATTTGTAAGATGGGACAGTTGACAGAGAAGGAAACTGGAAAGAGAGAGTGGGAGATGACATTTGCCAAAAGAGCAGTGGTGGGATTTCAACTCAGGCTTCAGCCTTCTTCAGGGACTGTAGCCTCTGTGCGTGCTGCCTGCAGTTGAATCGGCCTCAAGTTTTGTTTTTTGTCATTTGTCAGTCTAAAAATTCTGTTTTGTGTCAGAATGTTTTGGAGACATGGCTGCTGAAATGAAGCCATGTGAACACACACTCAGGACCTGCTGTACATCTCCGAAAGAAGCACAAGACAACTGAGTGCTCCTCCAAAACAAAACTTTGACCGATGTCTTCTTCAAAAAAAATGAATAAATTCGTGACACAAGCCCCTTAGTGCTGGAAAAAAAAACTCCAAAGACCACATCAGTGATGGTGTATGAGTGAAGTTTGCCCCCTACAGTAGACTTCTGTGTTTTGCGAGGAATGGTGAAAAAAATTTAACAGTGCAAACAGAAACTACACATCTGATCATTTTGGATTAACGGCCCTTTGTTCTCCAATAAAAGGAGATGAAGTCACATCCCGAACAAACAACAGGCGCTGAGTCGACTGAGTCATGTCCACCTATTCAAAGCTCCTGTGAGGAACTTTTGATTTGTACTGATTTTAGTGTCCCCTTTGCTCAAAGAAACATGCCTTATCTTTGATCATTTGGTTCTGTACATATACAAAAAATGCTCACACTGAAAAAATATTTTATCTTTTTTTGTAGGATTTGAAGAGGCATCATTTGTAATCTTAACATTTTCCATTATCAGTAAAAAAACTCACCACAGGGGCTTTAAAATAGCTCTTAATATTCAGCTGCTCTTATCAGACCTGAACAGCAATGAAACACCATCTTGTCAGGTGATTGCATGGACTGTATGGGTGACGCTTGGCATATACATAGCCACCCATAGACTAAAGGGTGTTTACAAAGCCAGATGGTCCAGTATGTAGAAGAAGACCTTCAGAAACAGACTGTTCAACATGGACTTCACATACAGCTGATTATTTACGACGTCAGCCTGTCATTGATTTTCTTGTCTCCACAGGTATTGGCCTCAAATATGTCGCTTTGGGAGATGTGGTCATCCTCATCACCTTCGGCCCTCTGGCGGTCATGTTTGCTCACGCGGTGCAGGTGGGCTACCTGTCCGTGCTACCGCTAGTGTACGCCGTCCCTTTGGCCCTCAACACAGAAGCCATCCTCCACAGCAACAACACCAGAGACATGGACTCTGACAAGCAGGCAGGCATCGTCACCTTGGCCATCCTAATAGGCCCAACGCTGTCCTACGTTCTCTACAACCTCCTGCTCTTTGTCCCTTATGTGCTCTTCTGCATCCTCGCCACCCGCTACACCATCAGCATGGCGCTGCCTCTGCTCACGCTGCCTATGGCCTTCCCTCTTGAGAAGCAGTTCCGCAGCAGGTGCTACGCCAAGATCCCCCAGAAAACAGCCAAGCTCAACCTTCTCATGGGACTTTTCTATGTGTTCGGGATCATTCTGGCACCCCCTGGCAGCTTGCCGCTCCTGTGATGACGTAGCTTTGATATTTCAAACTGATGTTGTTTTAATACAGACTAGTTTATGTACCTCTTTGTATTTGTACAAAGCTTTCTGAGAGCTTTCATTGGCTTTAATTTATTGTCTAATTTATATGTTGAACTGAGATTTAGTTTAGGTCCTCCTCTGACACTGAAGGCGTAATCAGATCAGATCTGTTTTTCTCAGTATTAAGTGCGCTGTAACCTATTGGTAAAGGTAAGAAAAGGTGAAGTCATTACGTAGAGGTAGGCAACATTTTTCATCATGAGAGTCCAGACAGTAAACCTAAAGATGCCATAATTATTGTTCAAGATACAAACCATGACACTGACAGCTAAAACTTTAACATAGCAACAACATCACCAAATTTTCAAAGTTATAAACCTGTACTTGATACGGTACATAAGGCTAAATTTGTTTGTTTTTGTATGTTTATTTTGGAGAGCCAAATAGTATTTTATTGGATTGTAATAAAACTTACAGATGCTGATGAGCCGTGTCTTTATTTTGGATCAAATGTGTAGAAGAAAATAAAATGGTAAAGAGCAATTTAACATGAAAATGAGCAAATTGTTGTTAAAATTAGTTGAACTAATATGACTTTTACATGTCAACATCTTTTTTTGATCAACCATCTGGTGAAAAGGACTTCAAAACAATGCAAAACATTGACATCAGTGTTATTTCAGTTGTAATAAAAACATGAATAGTGCAAGTGGCACCTCTTATTTTAAATATGGAATTCATGTCTGGTCTGATATTAAAAAACTTGAATTTTCTTTGTATTCTAATGCATTAAAATTGAAAAATAGAATATGTGTCTAGTGTGTCAAGGCATTTAAAAATGAACACAAGCATGAATGAAAATTGAATAAAATATTTACATTATATGCACTTACACTTTAGAAGTTTACATAATGAAACAGATGGTGCAGTTTAAAAGCAAACTATCTATATAGACATCTTTGCTGTTAGAATTATACATGTCAAGTTGAGCTCCCAGTTCCTACATTATAAAACATTAATATGCAAGAAAACCTGCATTTGTGAAGTGGAGTGCTTACCAGCAGGGGGCGGTATTGGACAAATATTTAGCCCTATAAACAGAAGCATTCACAGGTGCTCTGTAATTCCTGTCTGGGTCTCGGATTGAGGCAACATAAATGCCAGTTTCATTAGGAGAACACGTTGCTGATTCATTCTGCATTTTAATATCCAAATCTTCATCAATTCAAATTAATATGAGCATTTATGTTCATTGAACAGCAGCTATAATGTAAACAGACAATGCCATAAATAGATATGCTACTTAGGTTAGCTGTTCTCTCTAAACTGCTTACAGGTCTGAGTGTTAAGTGTGTCTGATTGTCTATATGCCTGTTTTGGATAGGCTGGTGGTGGCCTGTCCTGAGTATACCCTGCCTCATGTCCAGTAACAGGCTCCAGCTGAACAGGTATAAGCAGGATAAACACATGGATAGGTAGAGGCTCTTTCTGCACCCCCCTCATGCCCATCTCCCTGCAGACATGTCAGGCAGTTTAATGGGTGCGCCTATGCTGTAAGTACAGGAGAAATTTAATTCAAATTCCAAATAAAAACTAAGAAGTATCAGTGAGACTTTGATTATATTGGAAAATTAGATACTAGCTTTGTTAATATGTTAAACTCTTGGTCCCCTTGCAGACATGAATGTTTGAAGTTTGTTAACTATGATAACCCAAAAATAAAAGATAAAGGCTGATGGCTGAAGCCATTATGCCATCTGACTACATTCCAAATATTCTTTTAGTATTTGCATTTTTCATTGAAATGAAACTGTACTTTCCCTTTTTTTACTTTTCTTTGATTTTGATGTATATGTGCTGATGTGTTAAAATTGGTATTAGCAAATAGTGTCATTAATAACTGACACAGTACCGAGTGTAATGTGATTTTTCTTATCATTTCGAACCCCTGTGCATCAAGACAACTGTTTGAGAGGTACTCCACAATGTAATAGTTGACACTGATGATCTTGTAGCACCTGTTTTGTTGTACTTTTCTATTTTATTACCCATTACTTAAATAGTTTATGGACAGAATTCCTCCAATTGTATGCTTTACTACACAATACCCAGCTGGGAGGAGAAAACAAAAGGCCAAACCAGCAATAATAGAGTGGTTATATGTTAATTTAAACACGCATGGAAAATGAAATGATTCGTTTTTGTGTTAGCTCCTATGTTGCATAGTCTGTTCAGTTTAATCCACGAGAAGAAGTCAATGTTTCTATTTTCCCGGTTCCTTGAATCCCAGGCTGGCGTTGAGCTCAGGATTTGTTATGATTATTACGGGATGCACGTGAAGGCAGCATTAGTAGTGACGCAATGCATGGGCGTGTTGTCATGGCTGTGTTCTGCAAAACCTTCACATATAGTAAATACTTATTTGTACTAAAATAGGCCATGTCAGCGTTGGTGGTGGACAGCGACATGGATTTATACTCTACCACAAAGTAAACACCCTTGACAAAGGCCCGGTGAGTAGCTACAACATGACACAAGTTATTTTTATAGCGGTAAAAGGTGGTCAAACATGCGTTAGCTAGCTAGCGTGGACGTTAGACGAGCTAGTGGTGCGCACCATCCTCTCTTATTCTAACGCCACGCAGGATCCTGCTCCTAATCCTGACAATTTTCAGGTGACCTTACTGTCAAAGTATGCTTATCTTTTCAATGGGTTACGATAAAAACGCCTGCACCTCACTGCAGCGTTTCACTTCGATATAGATTAAACATGTCAAGGTTGCCTGTCAGAGACAGTCTTGGATCTATAGAGTTTTATATTATAGTGAGCTATAGGAGGTGTTATCATTTGATGTGAAAGACAGGCTGCTAAATTGATATGCTGTCATTTTTGCTTAAATAGGTAATACTAGTGGTTGTATGCCGGTTTATCTAGAGGATCCAAACCATCAATATGTCTCAAGTGTTCTCCTCCAACATTATATAAGTGTCCTTTAGATCAACTTCATCATTTAATGTCTATGATTGTTGAATCATGTTTGGCTGTGACACCATCTCCCCATCAGGGGCGTGTCCAGAGGTTTTTTATTTTGGACAAGGGTGACCCAGCTGGGGCACCACACTGCAGGGGAGGGGTGTCACCAAGAGTATCAGGAATATCTAAATGTGAAAGTCCAGATTAAAACGTTCCCTTGTTCACCACCTAAAGTGATGGGACCCCTTAAGGACAAGAAGCCCCTGTGACAGATGGGAGGTGTGATGTTCCTGCTACGAAGTTTTGTTTATTTATTCATATTATTATTTTTTTTATACTATCAATACATCTATGTCCATTCATATCATTTACTACTTTCTGCATCTTCCAGCTGGTGCAGTTTGCATGGTCACTTACTCAGTGCAAAAACATGTATGTTGCGAGTTACACTGCAAATAGTCACGTCTGAGTTGATATAAAAGGCCTGTAGTAACTTAACAAAATTGAAACTATTTGTATATTTAAGAGATTACATGCTGGTTCGTACACATTTATACTGTATTTCATTTTGTCCAAGTCTGCTCAATTGAAACAATGAAGGCTACAGGCAGCCTGTTGCAACACAGCCCAAATGATTGATTTTGACGCAGACTACTGAGTGTTTTGGTCGACTTTGCATCAGCTCAGTTGCTCTTTGTTGGTTCTTTTAGCATCCCTGTCATCATCGGAGAAGTTGTCAGATACCTCAGGTTGTATTGTTTAAGGTGGAGTGTTATTAAGCTAAAAAGAGTATCACTTCAGCTATTTTCAGCAGTGATAGAAGCACTGACAGAGATTTGCACAGGACTTTGTCTTAACTGTAACAGCACTGTGTGTTGTACCAGGAGCTGTAGCTGCTACATGAGAACTCACATTTACAGCTGTCACATCTCTGGTCATTTGGCAGTGATGAACTAGAGCCCAGCAGCAGCTGCTGCTACACCAGAACTGCAAGTGGTCATAGTCAGGATTGCTCTCAGCCACACCCACTTTAGGAGCAAAGTTTCACCCTGTCTCTTTGTCTTGATGTGCCTTCCTGCCTCACTAATCTAAATCACAATAATCAAGTTTGAAGTGGCGACTGGCTTTCATCACAGTAATGAGTAGCTCTCCAGAGAAACAGAGGTGATCTGCTGATTCTTATTATGAGGAAATGGGGAGAAAATTGTTTGGAAGTTCTCAAGGTAAGACTGTTACACTTGGGAAATCTAGGAGAAGAGTGTGCATCTGTGTTTGCCTTTCTGTTGGTAATTTTGGGGCAGTTGTGGAAAAAACCTGAGGCCTGTTTTTGTTTGTATTTTAGTGTGTAGTCTGTGCGGAGGCCTTTTCTCATAAATTCTTGAAACGCATTTGCGTCTTTAACATGTTTCCTATTAGCTGTTTGAGTCTGTCTGCTGACTAACCTCTTTGTGGAGGGCATTTTTGTAAACATGTCCACCTTTTTTAACCCATCTTTATTGAACTGAAGAATGCTAACTTTTCCCTGAAACCTGTGAAGTTTGTTGGACATTTTTTGTAGCTTAATCTAATAGGAAATGACAGCTTTATACAAATATAAATGTGAGGCTTTGGCGTGTGTGCCATTGTAGCACCATAATAGTTTTCTCCACAAACATGAAGCCCAGCAGCAACATGAATATTTTGGCTCGGACAGCAGAGAGAAGAATTTGCCATTTGAATAACCTCTTGATTTGACTGTGATGGTGTGATATTTGTGTTTTTAGTTGTTGTTTTGGAAACAGTGTAGTCATCTTTTCTCAGATAAACATGCAATCAGTGAAACTTGATCATACCCATAATTCTTCTCCTAGAGGACTCTGACTTGCCGGTGTTCAGTAGTTAACTGAAAGCGTATTTGGAAATTTACCTCTGGTCTGTGTACAAGTGCTGCCTTTGAACAGCTGCAGCGTGCTTTGCCTAAGGTTGGGTCTAATCACATTCTGTAACATGGTGTCGTGAAAGACAAGGTGCAGATAATATTGATTGATCTTTATCTGTCCTAAATGTCTTTGGTTGTGTAAGGCTGTTTCAGAAAAGGTGAGAATAACCGCGATAATAGCTGCTGAACTGTTGAACAAGAGTTGAGCAATTTTTAGATTAATTTGATGTGAAGTTTGCAGATAAATCTGGTGATATCTTGATTATGAATGATCTGAAGCAACCAGTCATCCAATAGAAAATTAAATAGTAGGGCTGGGCGATATGGCTTCAAATCAACATGATACATTGAGCAGTTCACCTCAATAATGATAAATGGACGATAACTACTCCACAAGCTGCTCACCCCCTACCATATTAACTTTGTCTACTTCACCTGCCACTCCAGCCGCTCCAACTTTTGAACCGTCCTCCATCTCCTCACCTGTCTTTCCCTCTTTGTTTCAAACTGGATAGGGTGGAGTCATGTCTCTGACATAGGACAGCGTCTTAAAGGGACATAGCATGTCATAGCATACCTACACACATCCAAAACCAACTTTTATTGATTTATTTTTTTGACATCAAATATACCAATATGGCAAGTTAAACTCTGCATGTTTGTACTGTGTCACATGAGCTTTAGCAGTTATATGGAAGTCTAACCAGATGCAGCTTATTACCTCATGTTTATGACTTTGATCAAACTGCATTAGGCAACAAGACACAATCTACAATCTAACCTCTTGGCTCTTTTACACCTGCATACCAGAGCATTATTACATTGTGGCAAAAGTAGGAGCTACAGCACCAGTTGGATGCAGGTTTTAACATAGGACCAGTATTTCAGGTCTACAACAATAAAACCATCAATAATTCATCTGGACTGCTTGTTATTCTGGTGTCCAATAGTGAGGGTGATGAGGATTAATTGTTTAGTCTACTACGTGTACATAACCGTAATTAGGATGTACTGTATTACTTTGTGGAAATAAAACAATGCTGTGGGAGAAGGTTCACTTTTATTGTCTAAAGGTGAGTTTACCCTGTGACAAAGGGGGGTGTTCAGTGGTTTCCTATTTCCTTTCCAGTATCTTTCGCAAGTAGTGTTCTAAGTACAAAGAAGACTGATCCTGTCCTGTTGGAGTTAACACCTCAGAGTACGTTTTCTCAAACCTAAGATACCTTTCCACATTACTGAGAATTCAACAGGAATTATAAATTTGAAAAAAAAAAACGACTGTTGTGATAATTTGTCAACAGCTAAAACTTTTCCACCCTGTATAGATGTGAGTTGATAGCTTTTGCAATTGTATGCTAAAGTCCAGGTGAAGTCATTTGTTAGAATTGAACTAAAACATACAAAATATTAAGCAGAGCATTAGTTTAATTTGCTTCAGCCTGCTTGTCTCAGCTGCTTCCTGTGCAACTGCCTAGCAACCACTCCAGCTCCTCCTTTGATGCTGTGTCTGATCTCACCAGTGTGTGATGTTATGTGTCATGTGTTGTTACTAGGGGTGGGAGAAAAAATTGATACAGCATAGTATCATGATATTTTGTCTGGTGATATATCATATCGTCTCAGTTACTCAAGTATTGATTTTTTCAAATTAATTGTTAATATGAAGTCAAATCTATCATAATGGAAAAATAAAATCAACTGTTTGTCCAGTGAGGTTGGCAGAGGTGACATCATAAAGCAGAAGAAAGTTAGTACAAAAAAATACAGCACCACTTGGGGGGAGACATTAGGAATGCAAGCATGGCACACATGAGATGGACCTGACACATAAGGTTTGCAAGATGTGCTACATGAAAATAAAATACAGTGTTAATTAGACAAACATGTAGGACAGACAAATGCTGTATCAGCTAAACAGTTGAAAAAACTTGTGTAAATAGCAATATATTGTATCGTAATACTCACTGTATTGCAAAATGTTATTAATTGTGATAATATCGTATCGTGGCTCAAGTATCATGATAATATCATATTGTGGCCCAAGTATTGTGATAATCATACTGTGGGGCCACTAGTGATTCCCACCCCTAGTTGTTACCGATGTCGACTTTGGTCTTCTCTGGATTTTTACTGCTGCTGCCTGCCTGCCATGTATGCACATGAAATGAAAGGGAGGTGTGCCCTCTCCAGTTGCACATGGAAGGACAGGGGGGCTCTTAGAACAGCCATATGATTGCATAGAAGTAATAATCCTACGCCATTGTGTGTTTGAACACATATCTGTTTCTGAGTGTGCATTCCCCATAGGACTGGGCAATTATATGATCATGATCGTGATAAATTTCAGTTTGATCTTGGTGATCAGCTGAGAGCATATTTACACGCTCAAACATAACGGACATGTGCTTCACAACAGCCAATCAGAGTCAAGCTTTTCCTGCTCACTTTTGTAAGTTGCTGGAGAAGTAAACAGGAGAAGTAAACGGAATGACCGAACATGGAACTAAACGCGGAGCTGAGGGCAGCAAGATAGTTGTCAGCTGTGACTTTGAGTCATCCTCCAAAGATGTTATTGTTGAGAAGATATTCAGCGTCGGTTGTGTGGCGGTGGTTCTGGTATCTCCAAGGTGACGTTGAGTAATTACGCCGATGAGCAAGGTATGTCGGCGATCGGTGCCCTCAAAAACTGGCAACACAACAAATCTGTTTAATCATTTGAAGAAGTATTTCCCCAAGCGGAGTCTGTACAGCCTGCCACTGCTGACGGCACGAGTAGCATTAGCAGTTTAGCCACAACTAGCGGTGCAGCCACCAGACCTAGGCAGCGATTAATCGTATCATTTACATTTACATCATCTAATGTTTACATTTTAAGGCGTCTTCATTATCTCTGAGGGGGCAATTTGTTTATTTGGGGTCTTGCATACCTGCAGAAACACTCAGGAATGTGAGCTAATTCACTGTATTATTTAATATTTACCTACATATGTTGTTCTGTTGAGTTAAAATGTTTTTTAGATTCCTCTAAGCGTATCTTATTCAGTTTGCTTTGTTATTTACTTTGTATGTTAATAAAATGTTGAACTAATCTCTAGTTTCTTAAGTTTTTAGTACAGATACTTTAAAACTAGCAGTTAAAAAAAAATCATGATAATAATCGAGATTGGACGATTTGACAAAATATATCGGGATAATTTTTTTTGCCAAATTGCCCAGGCCTAATTCTCCATCATCTTCTTGTTTGTTTGTTAGTCTGCTCTTGTGTATAACCCCTTTGTGTGCAGGCCAAGTGGCAACCAACAGTATTGAGAAATGGAGCTGCTGCAGTAATGCTGAAAGCCGCAGATCCCTGAGTGCCTGCTTGAGGTCGGCTGCAGAAGCACAGGAAACCACACACACACCTAGCCAAAATAAAAGCCTGTTTTCATAGCTAAAATAATTATGGTTCAAAAAACGGTTTAGGGCTGAAGAGCTTGGGGTTCCCACAGTAGCCATTGCACTGGGGGGTTAGGAAGGTTTTTGTTTCTGAGATATTAGGGTTACAATAACAGTGAATCAGACGCAAGACTGACTTGACTGACAGGCGGACACTCTGTAGCTATTTACGAGGGGAATCAAATCTCACTTTCTGATAGGTTGACCTAAAGTTTGGTTGAGTCAGTAATACCATCAGCAATATGGCTGCCACCGCCATAAGCTTCTGAGCTTGGCTTCACAAACAAATGGGTCATGTCACCCCCTCCATGTCCATTTATAGTGCAGACATATGGTGCTGTTCTTTTAGTGCAAAGTTACTGCTGTCCTGGTACGCAAACTTTCGTGTTTTTATTTAGTTTTGCAGATATGTGTGAACATGGAATACTTTTTTTGATGCAAAGGAAAGACGTGTCTGTTTTTAATGGGGCTCTTCTTCTCCAAACATGACCTCAAAGTGAAACACGAACATATTTTTTCGTAGCTGTTAGATTATTTATCAGATCAGTGCAAAGACTGATGTTTTCTCTCATGCCCTGGCTGTTATGGAAGCTTCTCCTGATATCACTAGTGTGATACCAACCGAATAAATATCAGTAATCTCAGTCATATTGGTCTGTGTGCATGGCAGCAGCCTGTTCTAAGTGGTAGGGCTGGGTGATATGGCCTCAAATCAATATCACAATATATTGATCAGTCCACCTCGATAATGATAAATGAACGATATCTACTCCACAGGCTGCTCACCCCCTCCCACATTAACTTCATTTACTTAAGCCGCCGCTCCAGCTGCTACAACTTTTGAACCATCCTCCATCTCCTCACCTGTCTTTCCCTCTTTGTTACGGACTGGATAGGGTGGGGTCACGTCTCTGATGTAGGACAGCATCTTAAAGGGACATGAGACTATAGCCTACCTACGCATATCCAAAACCAACTTTTATTGATTTTTTTTTTTTGACACTGAATATATTGACATGGGCAAAATGATGTCAGTTATTGTCATTAGTTTCGGTATCTGTAAATCTTTGGTTTATCGCCCAGTCCTACTAAGTTTACATATAAAGCAGCAGGTCCGCATAAGAAAGGATGCTTTACATCCCCAAAAGCTAAATGATCTTTTTCTTCACGCCTGTTCTCTGATGGATTGATAAATGTTTTATGTAAGAGAGGTAAAGGATGACTTTGGGCTTTTGCATGGGTAGCTTACTGATAGCACAGACCAGAGAGCATTGAACAGGGCTGAAATTGTGAGTGTTTGTCTTGGGTTTTGTAGTCCTAAGCATGTTTGCAGTTCCCTGCAGTCCTTTGTAATATACTCGGGGTCTCACACAAAGCCTGCTTGCTTACCTGACAAAATGATTGGTTGATCAGACACACCTTGCAGCTATATCCCAGCGCCTAAGCTTTTGTTTTTCCCAGGCTGCATCAAGCCTTGTTTGAACAGTCCTCTAAGGCTGATGATTGCCATGTCGGTGAGTGTGTGTGTTTGTGTGTGTGTTTGTGTACCACGGTCTATTGGAAGAAGAGCTGTGTGAATGAATGCCTCCTTTTTATAGGATCTACACCAACCAGTCTATTACATGGACAGCAGCAGCTTTGTTTACAAGATTGGTAGAGTGGTCTAATAAACTTTGTTATAAGCCTGTGTCTCCACCACTTCCTCAGCCCCTGCTCACTGATTGGCTACTCATGAGCTGGTGGCACCAGCTGTACGTATACCGGTGTGTGCCAGCATCAGCAGAATGTCGTTTTGGCTGCATTTTGAAACCATATTGTCGATGTCATTCACAGCTGTGGTCACTTTAAGGAGCATTGTTTAAGGCTAAGGAAAGCACTAGGACACACACACACACACACACACACACACACACACAGAGATCACTGCCCTCTTCTCTGTGAGTCTGGAGGAGACTGTTGCCGGCTCACCAGCAGCGGTTGCACAAACCGCAAACTTTGCGACAAAAAATGAGAATCACGGCAGGTGCCCATTCATCAAAATCTCCCCCCAACCCCACCCCTTTTTCTCCCCTATAACCCCCATCCCCAAAAAATAACAACGTCAAGCCCCTCCCCCTGGTAGGTATTGCCCCTCCCCCCTCCCCTCTGTCCTGTGCCTGTCTGCTCATTGGCAGCAGGGCGAGCAGTGTCCCTGCAGGCTATGACAGAGAGGGCTGTACATCCTTATGTAGAGCGTGATGCGCATGTGTTCGTACATATTGATCAGCAAACAGCGTGTGTTCGCTCCACATGCGTGGCACAGACACTCACGTCACCTTGTGATGGATTACAGCATCAGAGGAGTGCTATGCGGGGCAAAGACTCATTTGGCTGTTTTTATGTGAGAATGAGAGAACGTCAGCCTGAATGCAGCGCTCGTCGCAAAACAGGCTCTCTCCCTGGCCATCCTCCTCCCTCTCCTATTCTCTCCTTCCTTTCCTTTTCTCTCCTCTCCTCCTCCACGGAGATAATCCTTGCTGACACAAGGCACAAAGGACTAAATGCTGGCTGCATCCTTCAGCAGCGGCAGCAGGAGCAAGGCTCTCTCCTCATCCACCTTTACGGCCGGGCTGTTCGTCTGCACAGCAGGAGGCTGTTTCTCTAAGACTGCTTAATACTGTAGATCTCATCTCTGGAATACCGGCCTGGCTGCCGTCCTCCTCCGCCCCCTGTATCCCCTCCTCTTCCTCTTCCTCCTCCTCCTCCTCCTCCTCCTCCCTTGGCCGGTTCATTCAGGGAGCACATCAGCACAGGGCTACAGCCCTGAGGAGGCGTTTTTTTAGCTTGCTGGGTGCTGGTAGGACCACCGGTAGCTTATTTTTTCACCATCTGATGCGTTTGCACAGCAGGATGTAAGAGCTTTCTCATTTCTTTCCTATTTTTGGCCGCTTCTGTTTTCACCCTGCTACTCATCCCTAAACAAACAGGTAAACCAGCTAAACTGGACATGCTTTATTTATCTAGTGATGTCTGTTTGGGTGATGCATGCCTGTCTCGTGAGATGATGCTGTTCCTTCTTTAAGATGGATCTTTGCTCGGTGTGAAATTAAGTAGATTAGCATATCAGAAACAAGATTAACCTTCTAGTTTCCTATTTCTGAAAATGACATACGACTTCTTCTTTTTGAATGTGGTTGACATATGAGCTGATGCACCTTTTTGCACATGGCAGAGTAATTGCAAAGACATTGTGCATGCATGCAGGCGTTATGCATCCATGGCCATGCTGCTACAAATTATGCCACATGTCACTGCAGACTGTAGTAAAGCTAAGCAGGCAGGCAGACATCTGGCTGGCTTGGCTGCTGTAGTAACTGTTTGTATAACAGACTGGTTGTGATCAAAAAGGCAAAAAAGGAAGGTCCTGAGCTGCAGACACTGAAATAATCTCACAAGAATATCCAAGTCAAAGTTGTGCCTATCAGGGCAGAGTACAGGAGTTCTGATTCAATATGTTGCAATACTATTTGTGCAGCAATTAAGAGTGTCCTTCCTGACTCTGCATGAGCCATAACTTTGGATGGATACCTTTTCGACTTTTTAGATACACTGTCACTGTCAAATGTAACGCAGTATCAACATACTGTTTATAGTGCTTACATAAACACTGGTGACTCAACAGTGGCACAAGTGTAACCCCCTTCACTGCAAAGCTCATCCCTGTATGGTGACATCCCGACACCTTCTGCTTATGCATAATGCCCTTCATTGCTTTAGTGACTGAAGTTTCTGCACTACAGGGTCTCTATGGGAACAGACGATGGAGGCCAAGGTGGTCTCTGAGCTTGAACCTCATGATATAGCTTAACTGTGTTTTGTACCTGAGTGTGAAAAAAGGCATTGTCAAAGCTGGCTGTGTGAAGAATGCTGCAGCGCATCAGTGTCATACAGGGCATCACCTCATGTTTAAGTGAACGTTTCAGTATGATGGACACACTTTCCCTCCTTATGTGAGACTTGGCTAAACTTTTGCTAATTTGTGGTGGTCCACAATGGTCGTCTGAGCTAGAGTGAAGGAACCCAATAGTTGAAGATGGGATACAAGACATAATTTACTGCTTTTGACAGGCTAGGGTGGCATAATTTTGGACAAAAATAAAATCCAGTTTTTTGTTTCTTAGAATTCGATTTCAATGTTTTATTCAGTGACAGCTTCACCAAACTTCACTTTAATCATACGTTATTCTATCGTCTCTCAAAACAAAACCACGAAAAATGCTGTAGTGTATATGCCAAGCCAGTAAGTGGCGCTGTAACGCTGCCCAGGAAATGCACAAAAGATAGAAGAAGAATACAAAGCATTCGGTAAAAGTTGTTTTGGCCGGACAAAACTTAATAGTTTTCAGAAATGCAGATAGGCATCCCCACAGAGATGAAATGGTAGTCGTGAACAGATTTATGCGCCCTCTGACCCATTTTCAAAAAGTACCGTTTACAGTCACCTTTCCTTGTGGATGAAACGCGGATATGACAAAAAACTTTTGCGTTTACTCCTGATTTCGTTTCCGTGTGGACGGGTTGATACCAGCCTCAGACAGGCTTTTGCAGTGGAAGTGGTTTGCTGTTCATCGGAAACTGCAAAGCCGTACCAATTTCACACGGCTGACTTGCTCTTGCCCTATTTAGCCATGAAATCATCGCCTTCTTTTGTAAACGCCATGTTTGTTTGCACTGGTGTGTGTGGGTAGTGGGGAGCGCTCTCGCGGGAAGGGGGAGCCTACGGTGGCCTGGAGGTGCGAGATATGATAGAGAGGAAAATCAATTCGATGATTTGGATTTTTTTAACATTGTCATAATTAATAATCCGATTACAATGTTAAATAGATTAATCGTGCAGCCTCACGACAGGCAATTGATAAAGGCTCTCTAGACTGGTTCAAATGCTTAGGTGTCTTGGTATGTTGTTGCATCTCTTTTGCAAACAGTATTGATTTTCAGTGAGCAGTTTTATGATCCCAGGTAGCCTATTTGCAGCATGTCTAAGGCCTGGAATTACATGTTTGAGGTTATCAGAAGACAGCACAGCAGTTTTAGCACTGTGAGGATCAGTATCAAGAAGATGCTCATCAGGGATAATAGAGGATTCATTTAAGGGGGATGATTGTGTGTTAAAGAATACCGTGCTGATGAAATGATGTTATCTCTGCTCAGCTTTGATAAGATGAAATAGCCGTAGGAAATCAAAGAAATGATCAAGGTTTCCTCAGACTGCTGATTGTGTAACAGGACAGTGCCCCGTCACTGGACAAAGAAATGCAGATAAATAACTCAGTCCTGTCACAGGATCAGCACAGCTCTGTTGTTTAGTTATTCCTCTTCCAGCTTGCATGTTATTTTAGATAAGGCACCAGGCTTGTCCAGTCCTTGAACAACATCTGTCACATACTCAAAAAAAAAAAAAAAAAAGTCCACCCAAGCCGTGGAGAAAAGAACCACATGTTCCAAAACAAAGAGCAAAGTTCACAGCAAACCAAATACTGAGAAAGAGCCAAAAAAAAGTCCACTCCTCCTGCTGGCATGATGACAGTGTCATACTGCTCAGGATTTCAGATGGCCCCGCTGGTTGATCTGAGATAATATCAGTAAGGCTTGTGGTGTCAGGGCACGTTGGATTCATACAGCAGCCAACATGTTCAAAAGTGGGCTGAAGATCATGGGGAGTGAGTATGATTATAATCCAGGATAACTTTGTGTGTGATAATCTCCGCATAAAACCACGTACTGTGTTCTTAGATGAGCTTCTTCGAGCTTGCTGTGGTGGATGTTTTGCAAAGGGCTGCAGGGATAAAGTTTGCTGATGGGAACAATCCTGACGGTATCAAGTTGCTTTTCTAAAACTGTTGTTGCAGACATCACACTTTATAGAGTTGCCTTTGGACAAAGCTGACAAGACAAGAAATTTTAGATGTTAGAGGGGACATTCTGTATTTGTTCCAATATTTTATTTAATTAGGGGTGATTATTATGAACTGGTGGAGTGACTGTAAGACTGACATGGATGGTTGTGAGTTTTATCTTAGACCTGTCTCCCACAGGGACTCTGTCTAAATGTGTTTTTTTACTCTTGGTCCTTATTGATTTTCCTGAAAGTCCTCGCTCTGGCCACCAGATGTTTCTGACACAAACCAGTTCCAGCAGGTTTTCACTGATTTCTCATATTAATGCTGATGAGGCTTAAGTCAAGAGGAGTGCTTGTATGACTGCACTTTGCTGCTAAGTGGGGATATGGGACGGCCACAGCACATGGCAGAGGACGTGCAGTCCAAGCAGGCCTCACACAGGATCTGATTGCCCAGGATCTGCCAGTAATAACACTCCTGTCTCCTTTTCCAGTTTGATGCTGCTTAGAGTTGGTATATAGGTCAGCCTGTATGTTGTTGGGTAAAGACTATCTAGTATGCTGTATCTGATAAATAATCTTCAATGTCTGTATAGGCAGTTCTGAAGTGTGTAGTTTGAGCATGTCAAACTGAGAGAGGACTTACATAGAGCTCTTTGTTGGACTGTTTTTCAGTTTTGCTCCCGCAGAACAATCGTCTCGCTTCCTCTTGCTTCTGCCCAGATTTAATCATGTGGTCTAGTGCTACACTATTTGACAGTGTGTGCCTTTTAGTAACCCTTAAAGGAAATACTTTATTAGCCTCCTCCTTGTTCATATCTACCCAGTCAGTACAGAATGGTATACTACCATTTTTTATTTATTATTACACCAGCAGTGATTATTTCTTCTTCTGTTTTCTGAACTGGGACTGCTGATAAGGATTTAACATTCAAGCCAGATTTTTTCCATCTCCTTTGTTTATCAAAATAATAATGATGAAGCTTCACTGTTGTATAAGACTTTGTACATGAAGTAGGGGTGGGAAAAAAAATCAATAAAGCATAGTATCGCAATGTTTTGTCTGCTGATATATCGTATCGTCTCTTTGACCAAGTATTGATTTTTTTTCAAATTAATAGTTAATATGTCAAATCTATGATAATAGGGAAATAAAATAAACTGTTTGTCCAGTGAGGTTGGCAGAGGTGACATCATAGAGCAGGAGAAAGTTAGAACAACAAATATAGCAGCACCTGGGGAAAGACATTAGGAATGCAAGCAGGTCACAAATGAGATGGACCTGACACATGAGGTTTGCAAGATGTGGTACATGAAAATAAAATACTGTGTAAATAAGACAAACATGAAGGAAAGACAAATGCTGAATTAGCTAAACAGTTGAAAAAGTGGCCCAAGTATCTTGATAATACCGTATCGTGGGGCCACTGGTGATTCCCACCCCTAACATGATAAGTTGCTCAGAGAGGTTTTAAGAACATGTTAAAAGCACTGTGAAGAGTAGTCTTGAAGTGTTGTCCTGGAATGAAGACTGCATTACCCATGAGCACCATGGCTACCTGTTGTAGCAGTGTAGCTCCTTCCAAAATGTACACTTGTTAAGGAAGCAAATGATTAGAGTACGGATTTTTTTTTTTACACAACTAAGATATAGTCCAGGGTAATGAGGAAAAGTACTGATTTGTAGCTATGCAAAATTATAAACTGTACTGTATCCATGACTACATTGTGTTAACTCTGGTTTATTATTGTTAGATATCCCATAAAAAGTCAAGGAAAAGGTTTTTTGGAACTATAGAGCTGAGCAATACAGCCCAAAAAATATGGTCTCTGATTTTTTTTCACACCAAACTTAACTCAAAATTCTGATTTTTTTCCCTCTTTAAAAAAACTACAAATGACAAAGAAATGACTCAGTTTTTAGCCTCTGTTGTCAAACTAAAGTAAGCACCGTCAAACACGTGGAATGCTGCATGATAAGACTGGACTGTATGTTTGTGGTAGAAGAACAAAACAACATCTTCTCCAGCTCCTTGTACAGGTTTTTCTACTGTATATACTGTACAAAAGGACACTTTATCTTTAGCAGTGTGCAGCATGAGCGCATTCTTGACCTTGCTAATGTTTGCTGCTTTTAATCAGTTGTTTGTGGACTGTAACAGTCTCGTTCCATGGTAAGAGATGTGTCTCCTGCTCGGCTGCATTCTTCTGTTCAATATGTTGAAATAAATTGGTTGTGCTGCTTCCTGCAGTTGCTACAGACTTTGGACAGACTTAGCAGCGGACTGTGGCTTATTTGAGGTCTGATGTAGCAAAACCAAACCAATTTCAAAGAAGTAATGAGACTGCACTGTTTTGGGAGCAGACTCCTCATACATGCTGGCAGCCATGTTGTTGTGTCTGAAGGAAGTAAATGAGAGAGAGGATGCAACATCAGGAACTTAAGGAGAACGGCTGAGGAAGTTAAAGATTCCCATAGTTTATGTACAGTGTATCACAGATGCAATGGAGAATTGCAAAACAAAAAATATGGAGTAGGCTTGTCCAAAATGGTTAAAGCCTCATAAACAAGTTGAAGCTCTTTGAAATGAACTCTTAGATAAACTGAGAAAAGTCAGGCTAGCTGGGACTATATGGCGAGAACACAGACTATATATATACTATGGACAACTTGGTTCCGCCTCCGGTCATTATACGAATTTGAAGCGGATTTGCTCTCGGTATTTTCCGGGATTTTCTTCCCTTTCCGGAACCACCACTTGCGCAGTAGCATTTTACACATTCGTCTGGAGAGTAACTGAGAGACATTGTGATGACGCTCAGCTCAAACAACGTATCCCCTGAGTGAGCTACGCAGTCTTCACACACCCATAGGCTAATTCAGGTGTCAATCAAAGAAAACATGAACCCCCTAATAACTTTTAAAAATGGAGCTGCACAGAAAAAAAGAGGATTTGAGCATAAACCAGTCTTACTGTAACTACATGTCAACATTACAAAGGGGGGGGATTTATATTCTGTGTAATAAATTTCTAAAGTTTGTTCACAGCTCCATAGGAATTGTTGGAGGAGACGGGATTTATGACTTATACTGCAGCCCATAACCAGTGGGTGCTGTTCTCACGGTGGCTTCACCCAGCGAGAAGGCAGAAGGCGTCCATTCTATATACAGTCTACGGGCGAGAAGCCCGCTGTCCTATGTTCTGGTAAAAAACCAAGCAGCAGAGCACTTTACACATCTTTATACTGGATAATTGAAAGGGGGGAGGGGGATATCATGCTTTTCCACATTCACAACAAAAACTACAAAGTTACAAAAATTGGTGTCCATACTGTATAATGTATGTGAAGTTTCAAATCACAAGGTAAACGTATTTTGTCATCAACTGAGAAAGAGACAGCAGCTAAAACGAAGCGTTTCAGATGGAGGCTAAAATAATGATATTTTAATACACCACTGTAAGAAATTTGAGGTTTTTTTTTTTTTTTTTTTTTATCGCGTAAAGAGGAATCAGAAAGGAAATTTTAGAGTCTGAAAAGAAAAATCATGATCTCCCCTCTTAAAGCTCCAACACAGTTATTTAAGTACATGTATGGTTTTTAAAAATGTCATATATAGTAGTTGAAAAAGTGGCAGTCACACTTTTGTGCCTTTTATGGAAACGGGACAATATTCCTGTGTATTTTTGGACTGTGTTTGTTTATGGCTGTGTGTTTACCGGCGTTGTGGCCAAACGCCTTTCTTGTTGTTTGTGTGAAGGAGGTTGACGTTGCCCTCGCAGATTGGCCCTCAGCAGTGTGTATGACGGAAGCCAGTCCATCTGTTATTGCAGGCAGAGCTGTAATCCTCCTGACTAAGTCCTCACTCTATCTATAAACTATGATTTGTCCAATCTTTTCGGTTTTAATTTCCAACAGAGGCATGTGACTCAGCTGACTCCCTCCAAGTCACACTTCTTATGAGTCAAATAATCAATTGAACACACTGCTGTTTGACATTTGGATGGAAATTAGCTGATTAGACATGGTTTTTCAACTATTACATAATACTTTACAGACAAAATTTAAACTGTTGCGTGTCTCTTAGTGCACCCCTGAGTCTGAGAGCATCCTGTAGATTTTTTGTCCTTTCTTTTATGAGTCACACCAACATTATAGTTTTTCAGGGCAGCATTTCAGTGAGCACAGATTTCAGAGAAGTCGGGTTCAGTGTGTTGTTGCTCCTGCTACAATGGAAACAAATTTCGTCAGTGAGTCTGTTGGTGTAGCCCTGGAATTTGGCCTGCTGGCTGCAGACAAGAGCACAAGATATGAAAATGCAGAGGTAAACAGAGAAGTGTAAATGCAAAATTGAAGGTTGAGTGCACCCAGCTCAGACCAGCAGCTTGTTTGAGTTTCGTCAGCCCAGATTGTCATGTGTATTTTTTCACGACCAAGCTCTAAAGGCTAAAAACGGTTCAAGGGTTTTGGTTGAATCAAAAAAGTGGCCTCTAAGTCTGTTTCACGAACTCCTCATTGTGGTTTATTAGTTCCTCAAACACCTCATTTCCTCCAGATAAACTGTGGTAAAGGGTGATGTTGCGGCTCTTAGTGTGCAGCACCAGTAGAAACTTGTGAACAGCATCTTGACACAAAATCCTGTCGACGGGTTGCTGGTTTTGTTGCTTTTGCACTGCAGAAGGGAAAAAAAGAAACAGATCATTCTTCTTATCACCTTTGAAGTTTCCAGCTACTAGTTGAAACTGAAGTAACAGGTGACCTAAACCCCACAATTTGACCTGAAGAGGTGAGGTCACTCCCTCCCCCAGATCCCCGTGACTCATCAAATCTGGACATTTTAAGCAGCTACTATACATAAAAAATTAACAGAGGTTACCTACCTAACAAATGTACTGTTTTTGTTGAATTAACAGATAACAAACAATTAATCTGACAGTCCTCTCACTCTGGTTCTTAGGATCGATTTAGAATTTTTATTTGTTGTGTAAGGCTTTAAATGCACTGGCTAATCTCTTTCACTATCACTCTCCACTTAGACCTCTGAGATCAACTTACCAGCTGCTCCGAAGATCCTGAGATCGAAATTGGAGAACAGAGGGGATCAAGCTTTTGTGGTTTCTGCTCTCAAGCGATGAAACGGTCTATGGTCCTGACCATATCGGAACTTCTCTGACTTTTTAAATATTTTTAAGTCACTGCAAAAAAACCATCTTTTTTAGTAGTGTCCCGATACAATTTTTTTTTCTTTCCATACGATACCAATATTGCAATGTCTTTTTCTGACATCACTCCTACTCCTTGCTACTTTGTTAGTATCTCAGCACACACTGTTGTTGTGATCAACTGGGCTCTGCATGCTGGATCCGAGTCCTGCTGGATAGAGGTGCTGAAGCGGAATCTGGAAAGGACTGCTTGTATCAGAGTGCTGATATCGGAGATTTTAGATGCAGGCCGATACAATCCGATATTTGTTTTTTGCTGATATCGTACCAATATCAATATCGGATCAGGACAACCCTAGTTTTTATTTTGTTTTTGTGGAAATAGGTATAACTTGACTTGTTTTTTGGTAGAAGAGGGGGATGAAATGAGATGAGATGCAGAGAAAAAGATGAATTGTTATGAGGTAAAAGAATCAAAGGTGAGGGACTGAAGATGTAAAACTCAAAAAGAATCGATGATTGTTACAGTAAACATCTAAAAGAGAGACGTCCAGTGTGTCTGCTCTTCAAATACTCCCATATTACCGAGTAGCTCCAATGATCAGCAAGGTCAGGCTTACAGATTGTGCAGGCAGCTCTTTTCTCTGCAGTGTCTGGGGAAGTTTTGAGACACATTTTGCACTGGCCTCTACCTTGTTTCTGTTCTTTAAACAGCTGTTCCTCCTCGGTTGTTGTTTTACATGTGCTACACAAAGCAGAGATAGTAAAGATGCAAGATGTCTCACTCCTGAGTATTTTATGTTTTTGTTAACCTTTTGCTTCACGGTCACTGCTTGGCGTGTGCCACTCTCCGTACAGATAGTGAAAATGCAAACGTCTTACTCTTCAGCCCAATTTTTGGGGACAAATCATTGCACCCCTAGCATGCACATATAGATACTTTTAAAATCCATATCCTGCATAGTCATGCAGAATATGAGTCACATAATCAGGGCAAAAGATTCAATCAGGCATATATTTAACAGTTAATCAGACAGCAGAAGGTTGTCTTTCTAGAGAACAGTTGAGTTCAGCGAAGAGGGAGGGGTCTGTAGGGGTCACTCATATCACTGCAAGTGACTTCACACTTAATTTATTGAAGAGCACCAGAAAAAAAGAGGTGTACTGAGTTGAGCTTTATTGCCTTTATTGTATTTATTTTTAATTCTATATCGTTTACATGCCAACAATATTATTAAGGCTTTAAGTTTAGGGGCTTGGTGGCTCTCGATTGCAGTGCATAAAAATATGAACATCCATCCTAAAAAAGCTTTCTGCAAGGTTTTTAGACTGGATTCTGTCTGTGGTAGCTAGACTGTATTATTTTTAAAGTAGTGCCTCTGCTCAACTTTCCACAGCTCCTGTCCCAAATTTCATCAGGAGGTAATAACTTGTTGGTATGTAGTAATTGCTCTCTGCTGTTTGGGATGCAATTTTGGGATTAGCTTTCATTTTCTGGCAGTGACCATCTGTCAACGCCACAAAATAGCAGTGCACTGGGATTGAAGAAGATAAAGGTTTTATTACTAAATGTTTTTCCAAGTGAGCTTCTTCTTGAATCTGTCAGTGATGTTTTGGATCTGTCAGTGGTGTTTTGGATCTGTCAGTGGTGTTTTTGTAGAGAAAAAAGATGAGTATCACTGTTGGAAATGTTGACATTGTTGTGTAGGTAAAGTCGTCCCATGCATTCCTAGTGTTGTGTCTGCTTGTCAGTGCTGGTTCTGGTCTATTTAATAATGATAAGATATCAGTGTGCTCGGCCTGAAGTCTCTCTGGAACAACACGCTGTGGGGGTAGCAGAGTGGAGGAGGTGGTGGGGGTAGTGGGGTAGTTTTAAATGTAGGTGGTAGGTTAATAATCTTTCTGTCTACCTCTGTAAAGTCTCTCCAGCGTGCACCAGAGGGGCCTGCTTTGTAGGAAAGATCTGAAGTGTGATAGCCATCACACATCCTCCCTCTCAGGTTTAGGTGTACTGGTTTTAAGTCATTTACAGATTCACCCTGACTTTATTCTCAGTTATATTTCACCTCACATTTCCTGCACTCGTCCACACCCAGAGGGCTGGTAGCTGCACATGCTGTCCCCAGCCTGTGACAGCTCCTCTGTTTGCTGCTGAAATGTTTAATGATTAGGTGGGATATAATTCCATTGTATAAAAGAGGCTAAGCTGTCATTTTGGACGGAAAATGGAACATAAGCAGGCTGCTTTCCCTCCTTTGATCCCCTACATCCCATATGCTTGCCTGCTTAGGCAGATGCCTTTAATACCAAAATGACATTGTAATCTTGATAAGCGTGCAAGTGTAATCTGAGCCACATTACAGACATCTGTCTGCCTGGTTATTCACTGATTTCTTTTCAAACCAAACTCCCTGACTGGACTGTCGGGCTCTGCATGGAAAACACAGACTCGAGGCAAAAACAAGGTAAATAGTGGATATTGTCAAGCTGAAGGCTGTTTTCACAGAAAGATGGATAAACTTTAATAGAGTGTTTTCCTAGAAAACAATTTCATCCTATCTTTCCATATATAGATTATTTAATGCATTTGCACTGCTCATAAAAAAAGCTCAAATCCTTTCAATTTAGGTTAATGGTGATTGCAAACAGAGAAATGATGGATTAACGTCACCATCTGCTGAGGAATGTGATCAGATGTGTGGTAACCAGCATGGTGCTTGATTTCACTGTGAGCTCTTGTCTGCATGTTCAGACTCTCCATGCACTGATTTTCAGCTCTGCATATCAAATCTACAAACGGCAAACCACATTGACTTCTTTGCTACTACTGTTATTCTGAAGGTTAATAAATGTCTGTGTAAGTTAACATAAATTAATCTTCTTTGGTGCTGATACCACATTAGCATACCCACCATTAATTAGCCACACGTTACTCTTGATTGACGTAATGACACTGCGCCTCTTAGGCACTAGTAATCAACCAATAGTCACTGTATTGGCAAATGAAACAAGAAGCAACCAATATTTTGGAGTTGTGCACATGCTCCCAAATACATTTTAAGTCGTACAGAATAAACTTTTGGATGCATGGGCAACCTAAATGATCAAAATTTTAAGCCTCAATTTGAAAGTCTTAAATGCCGCCAAGGCTTATGCTAATGAAAGCTCCAACAAGGTGATTATGAAAAGAACTGACATTTTAGTTAACTGACTAGTTTAGAGGTAAAAAGGACTCGGAGAACAGTCAACACTGAGCACCAGAAGTTTGTCGTTACATGGGTTTACATCGTCAGGTGGTAAACAGTATCAAGTGGTTTGTTGAGTATGCATAATGGATGCCGTGCTAGCACTATTAGCCTGTAATCCTCCTTGTGGTGGTTATGCATTACTCTGGTCAAGTGAAAATATGGCAGGCAAACTAGACATACATAACCTTATCTCCATATTTTATGTCTTTCGAACTGCCATCTATGCTTGTTAACATCTGGTTAGAGCATTGCAGTATTATGGCACTGGCCCCCTAGTGGTAGGTGGCAGCACTGCGAGTTCGACACGACATATGACCAGATTTTCAGAGCGACATTTTGAAATCCTCTTTTTTTCAGACTTTTCTGCTGTTATTTAATTTTTGTAATATTTTTTGAAATGTATTTTAATGGTGATATTTATCAAAAACTATGTGAACTAGGGCTGGGTGATATGGCCTCAAATCAATACCATGGTATATTGAGCAGTTCACCTTAATAAGGATAAATTGACGATAACACTCCACAAGCTGCTCACCCCCTTCCACATTAACTTCATCGACTTCAGCCGCCGCTCCAGCTGCTACAACTTTTGAACCGTCCTCCATCTCCTCACCTGTCTTTCCCTCTTTGTTACAGACTGGATGGGGTGGAGTCACGTCTCTGACGTAGGACAGCGTCTTAAAGGGACATGAGACCATAACCTACCTACTCATTTATTTTTTTGACACAGAATATACTGATATGGGCAAAATGACATCTGTTATTGTCGTAAATTTCAGTATTGGTAAATTTTGGTTTATTGCCCAGCCCTAATGTGAACTCAGTAGTTTGTCGTCCCTATCATGCCTCTCACTGAAGCTTTAGCATGAACAGTATGTTTGATCTTAGCTGCTTAAAGATGCTTGTGTAGTAAAGGGTGTGACTGAGGAAGCAGTTTGTTGAAATCAGCTGAGTGAAAGATCAAGTCTCTAAAATGCTCCAGTTTTCTGTGAGAAATACAAGTAGACTCCCCTGTCTGTAGTCCTTGTATTGCGAAGATTGTGTAGTGATATATTTGTTTCCCAATGCCATCATCTGACAATTTAACTGTTAATTGTCTTTTTTTAGGGTTTTGCAGTCTTTATAGTTCAGCATTGGAAGAACCTCAGTGTCTAGTTTAAACAAAGTAAGATAATTGTAATGATAAAAAAAAGAATCAGTTTGTAGTGGAGGCAATGTGACTGAATGACAACAACAAAACCTTGTGTTTGCTCCTGAGACTGTGCATATGTCTGTGCTGACTTGGAGTTACTATCACAGTAAACTGAATATTACTGTGATCCACTTTGTTCTGAAAAAGGAAAGAATTCAAATTATAACTCCTGCTCTATGATAAGGAGCCAGTTTGCTGCTATTTTCGGACTTTTGGCAGCACTTATGGACAACTGTTTCCAGTGTCCTTCAGTTTTACAAGCTTGCAGCTTTTCTTTTCTGCAACGTCTGAAGCAGTTTTGTTGCATGATCAGACATGGAAATAAAACTGCAGCCTTGCCAAAAAATGCTGTAAATGAGTTTGAAGCTTGTTAATAAAGAGAAAACACTGCATCAGTGTGTAGAGGAACATTACTTATGTGTCACATGTGATGAATGGACACAATTTCTGCTGATGATCAAACTTCAATGAAAGTTCCTCTTGACACTATCATGCTGACTCAAGCTGCCATATGAATCTTTTTTCTTTCCACCCTGTGTTAGTTTTTGATTTCCAGCACCCAGCGTCATTCATTCACAACAGCAGAGTCATCAGTCAATGGTGAGAAAGTGGGAGTTCATCACTTCTGTCCTTGTGACATGATTTGTACTACTTTGTGTCTTCCTGAGAGAACGCTTTAATGATTTATGGCTCATAGTTTCATGGCTGGTTTGGGATCAGGTTGAAGCACATGTGGTTGACTGAAACGGTTGGTATGAAACAAAAAGTCAGTGGCCTGTTCTGCTAAGGATGTAACTACATGTTATGTGTGTGTTTGTGTGTATGTGTCAGGTCAGGGCTTGATTAGCACAGCAGGGCGTAGCACTCATGTCCAGCTGCTCTCTCCAGAAGTGTGCCATAATACACAGCAAGGACTCCACTGATTGATCCACCAGCAGAGGGAAAAACGCGGTTTAGAAATTAATGAGACATATGGCATGTTGCTTCTCAAGTCCCTCGACTGCCTCTGACAACAACACACAGGTTGTGTGATTTGTTTGCTTGTTGAAAGTGGGGAAATGAACCTGGTGGTTTCTACAAGTTAGCAGAGATCAAGGATGTGCAGCATTGACTCTGTTGTGCAATATAATGATGTTACATCCAATCCGTGACTTAATTTGGGCCTGAAATCCATTCATCTGTACTATGTGGTAGAATTTAGTGAGAAATGACCCCCATGATTATAAAAATTTGACAATCCAGACTAGGGCTGCACGATATATCGTTTGAGCATCGTCATCGCGATGTATGTGTGTGCAATAGTCACATGGCAGAGCCTGCGATGTCGGAGGTGAATGAACTCAGTTAATTTCAAGGGTAACTGACTGAGATACACTGCATGTGACTCTGAATGTGCTTTGCAGCGATCCACCAATCACCTTCGTTCTTTATTCAGTTGCCAATCAGACTCAGTTCTCAGTTGCCAATCAGACTACCCTGCCAGCTGTCAATCAAAATCAGAGAGGAGGAAACCCACCCCTGCACATGTCCTGCACATGGAGGGAGTCGCTGGCGCTACCGGAGTTGAGCCGAGAAACGTGTGTCCAATGAGAATTACTTTCGGAACATTACTCATCACTGTTTAGCCCAACAAATAAGAGCTGTATGTGTTTTAAATTGTACATTTCCGTGGACCACTCTACTATAAGCAGGGCGCTTTTTGTGAGGTGCATGCAATTCTCGGAGGACATGCGTTTCTCAGCACAACCCCGGTAACAACAAAAACAACGATTCCAGACTGAGCAACAAACAGAGAAAACCACAGAAGATGAAGACTTGTTGCCAAAAAAAGAAAAGGAAAGTCAGTTATCTGGAATTATTTCTCTTACAAGAAGGATGACGTCGACCAAAACACGTGTTCTGTGTTCATCTGTTGCCACAATAATGTCCCAGCACAATAAAAGCTAAAAATATCTCTGAGACAGACAGAAGCCATTCTACTAACATTCACAAAAAGAGGTAAGATCAGAGCAGGTTAACTGTCCTCAAGATTTCAGCAGTGCAGCACAACATTAAGTGCTATTCAGGTCATCTGGTGAAAATTCCTGTATTTTTTAATATCACAATATATATCGCAGGGTTGAAAAAAATCACGATGTTAGTTTTTTTCCAATATCATGCAGCCTTAATCCAGACTAAACACAGCAGTGTTGTCTGTTGTGTTGCTCTTGTTTTGTTCTATGTGTTGAATGAAGCAAACCTTTCCATGAATAGCCTTTACTGTCACTTCATAATAAGATCAAAATCAAACAAAGCTTAATGACATCAATGGTGGACCACCTTATCGCAAACACTTGTGCAAAAGTGGTACAAACTATCAGGTGAGAGAGGAGAGCAGGAGAAGAGGGGAGGGCAGGGGGAGAGAGACGAGAGCAGCAGAGAGAAGGGTAGGGGGAGAAAGAAGTGTAGGGGGAGAGAAGAGAGCAGGGGGACGGAGAAGAGCGGGGGAGAGGGGAGAGCAGGGGGAGTGAAGAGGGCAGGGGGAGAGAGGAGGGTAGGGGGAAGCAGTTGTCTGAAAAGCCAAGGGACAGAATGAACATGACAGGGAAGAGTTTTTGAGTTTTTACGAGTTTTTTTAAAAAGTTGCATTTTAAATGACTGTGATGCAGATGTGAAACCATGGGTTATTGTTTTGATTGATTGTAATATCAATATCAATGAAAACGATTGTGATTATGATTTTTGTCATGAACCAGCAGCCCTGTTATGTGATGGTTATTTGCTCAGGGTCAGATGGTTAGATGCTGTTGAAAGTCCTAACCTGTAGAACATCAAAGAAACTTGTCCAAATGATTAAATGTTGTCACCCCCTCAAGTTGTCACCAGAATTACTCATCACTTAAATGAGTTGGATATATTTTTATTGTGGCAGTAGACTTAAAAATTCGGTTATGTGTAGCATAGCCACCCACGGGTTTAACAGACATTGTACTGGTTAATGGTAACGGCTGTAATGGTGTTTACTCCACTATAACCATGGATGCAAACAAGCACAGATGACAGATAGCACATCATGGCACATCACAGTCTGGCAGTATTTTGATCTGGAGAATTGAGGTAAATTGGATGTAGGCTGTCTCTGACTGGCTTGCATGTGGCACAGGTTTGTTGACACCACCTAAAGGCTGATAGTGCTGACTCTGCTAGCATTAGCCACACTCAGGTGACTACTTAAAAAACCCAGGGTCTTTGTAATCCTGTGTTTGGCCTTGGTAACTCGGTCATGCCCAGTTTGGACTTGTTTCTTCTTACTTTCTTATCACTTGAAAAGCTGTGACTTGCATATGTAATATTTCCTGCACAGACAGATCTCATCATTGTGGCTCCCCAGCATGAGTATGGTGCCAGAGGAAGAGAAGTTATGTGTGCATGTGGTAAATTGTTGCTGCATTTGTTTCCAGGTAACACTTTTTTATTTTCTCTCGCCTCCAGTCACCCCCGATCTGTTCCCTGAAACACCCCTGGTTCCGTCCCTGCCTGCAATATCACGAGCCAGCTCTGTTCCTCAGAAACCTCAGAGGCGCAGCAGCGGCGGAACTGACAGCGCTGCCAGGCCCCGGCCGTGTCGCTCAGCCTCCAGGCCAGGCCCCAGCAGAGGCAGCATGGAGGTGGGCATGCGCGTGGTGCGTGGCCTGGACTGGAAATGGGGAAACCAGGATGACGGAGAGGGCCACGTAGGCACTGTAGTGGAGATTGGGCGGCAGGGCAGCACCACCACACCAGACAAGACAGTGGTGGTACAGTGGGACAGCGGCACACGGACCAACTACCGCACTGGTTACCAGGGGGCCTATGACCTGCTGCTCTATGACAACGCCCAGATTGGTAAGTGCCCATGTTCAAAGGTCATCAGAAACCCTCGAGCTTGTTAAGTTCAAATACACACATGACACACACAAATATGATATCTGAGTTTTCAGTTTCAAGCTGAAGTGCAAATCCCAACACTAATGCAGAATTAGTTCAGCAAGAATCCACATGCAGTCAGTGCTCAGGTCTAAGTCATCTGTGCTGGAGTCCAGGTCAAGTCCTGAAAATCACAACTTGAGTCACCCGTGTGTCTGAGTCCTGGATTTAAGTAGCACAACCCTGCTCTGAGGCAACTGTACCAACTCAACCCAGGCTGTATGGTGTAAGAACAAGTGTTTTTAGGGCAGGGTGGGATCAAAAGACCAGTTTCCTTATTCCAACTCTCTGTCCCAAAACTATTATTTTGATGTCCAACAGTGTTTAACTGCTATAGAGGAATAAAGGTGTGTTTTTTGGGGGGAATGCAAAATATTGTCAATTATCCCTATCAGCCAAATTCCATAAATATCAGTATACTGTCTTTGTCAATATCACACACCCCTTATAATTTGCAAAACCTCTTTACGCTCCAGTGAAATGAAAGAAATCGCTCAGTTTCAGTGTTGTTCTAATGATATAAATCAAAACCACAAAATGATTTGGTTTATTTCAAACATCAGGTAAATTCTGCTCTTAAGGCTGAAAGTGTGACCAAGCAATAAATGCGTGCAACCATATATCTTTGTTTGCTTTACTGAACACATATGGTTGTTGTATCCTAAGACTTGGTCTCTGTTTGACATGTTTTGAACTTATTTATAATTCATAATCGTGAAGTTTAGTTCACTGAAAAATGTCTGTTCATTTGATTAGATGATAAGAGACCAAATGAATCCGTTTTATTCACATCCTGTCTTTTGCTGTTGGGGTTACAAAAAACTATTAGGTTAAGATGGGTCTGTTGACTAGACAACATTAAAAGCACCTTTTAAAACCGATTTATCATCATTACCCTTGGTCGCTTGGACTTTTCAGAACTCTGAATTTAGAAATTCATTTTCAGCTCCAATAATCAATTTTCATAGCATGCCAATTAAAAATCAGTAAAAACAAAGCTTCTCTTTTGGCCTCTTTGGTCTCATGTTTTCTTTAAAAGCTATTTTCTCATGTTTATCTGATATGTTTTTCTCCAGCTCTCCTCTACTTTCACAAAGCCCGTGTTGAGATGGCCTGATACAGTTTGGCCTATCTCTCATGGTCAGCCATCCAGCTCTATTTTGGAATTGAATGACACACACATTAATGCAGGACTCATTAGGATTTTGCTCCATTTAAAGCGACATTTTTCTGCCTCAGAAGCTTGCCCTTCAATTAATGGAGCAAATGAAGAGGAGGAGGAGAGATGAGGAGCTGAGGGGGTTGGGGGTATTTTTGTCGTGCTGTTTGTGCCTCAGTTCTTCCACATCTCATGATATTAGCCATTGTGAAAAGTTACAACCGTAAGGACATGACATATGCCTTGAATGCTTCAGTGACCTGCATATCACAGATACAGAGAGGAGGATCCTATTTACTCGACAGGACATGACAAGTTCCTTAGACTTTGTTTCAAATGAAACGGAAATGGAGAGATGGAGACCCAGCTCATTTCTCTTCTCTTTCCCTCCAGGTGTGCGCCACTCAAACATAATCTGTGATAGCTGCAAAAAGCATGGCATCATGGGAATGCGATGGAAGTGCAAAGTGTGCTTCGACTATGACTTGTGCACCCAGTGTTACATGAACAACAAGCACGACCTGAGCCATGCTTTCGAGCGTTATGAGACAGCACACTCCCAGCCGTGAGTACTACGCCGCCAATTCCCAGACAGCTTTGTCATGTGAATTCATGCATCTGGTCTGTCTTTTTTTGCCTAACCGGTTTTGTTCAAATCCAGTTCATCTCATAGGAGTTAAGACCTGACTGACCTTATTAATTTCCCAAATTAACTTGTCTGCACATGCCTTCTGATCTAGGTTGTGATATTATCAGGTTTCAGTGTTGTTGTGGCTTTGTGCTGCTGTCTAAATAACGTCAGAATTTCTTCCCAAAATGCAGAATTTGTACTGAATGGAAAATCTGGATTTAAATCAATGAAGACCACTGAGTTTTTAAGTGTCATATGAACATGTAAAGATGCATCCCTTTTGCTCTCAGACTCTAGGAAGTTTAAAAAACTCTTTCATATTAAGAAAAATGATAATCCTATCCAGGGAGGCATATTTACTGTCTGTGCACTGTCCTGTCCCAGCTCAGAACAGAATTCATGCCGATACATCTGACGCTGATGCAATAGCCATTAAAAAAGAAGTGATATATGACTAATATTGATGGAAGATTTTTACAATCAAAAACTGAGAATTCAGAGGAATGATTTTAACAAAGCAAACTGAGAGCAAGAGTATCAGCTGTGTGTTTGTAAAGCAGAGGAACCCAGTGAGCATGAAGTGTAAAGCTGCAGTGTTAACAAGCATGAATGATCATTAACGAGCATTACTGAGTGTTAATGAGCCTTAATGAGCTAACAGTGACCTTTTGGTCTGTATTATAACAAGATACATGCGCGTATGTTATAGGCTGATGCCTTCCAGCTATAAATATAAAGGCCAAAGACAGAATGAAAGGGTTACATCTTTAACTGTGCTCTGCTGCAATGTATGTCACATAATATGCATGTTATTACCACTTTGAGAACACACTGTACAAGAATCAAAGGTCCTTTGTTCAATTATAGACCCTCAAAATTATCAGTGAGGCAGAGATCTTATAAAATCAAGGCTGTGATGCTGTTAAATGCAATATTATAATACATTTTTAAGCCAAAAATGCCATAGGAGATATTTTTTGGTTCAGTCCAGCGCTGTTTACACACACAGTGTCCTAAAAAAAAAAACAGGAATAAAATAATGTCCCTTTAATAGAAAATAATTATGATCATCATGATGTACATAATCGTGTAGTTGTAGTGACTCAAACATTGCGCAAGAGTAATTATGTGTTTAATCCTGTCTTTGCTTTAATCAGTAAAGTCTGCGTTTCAAGAATTCTGGATGACCTCTCAGGATGAGTGTTTTAAGCTTGTGGCTGAGAAATGCCTTTACTCTGAAACCAAGCTATTCTTATGTAATCTAATATGTCTTTAATTCAGCGCAATGCAATGAGTTTTATTCCAGCAAGCCTTGTTCACAAGCAAACCAGGGTCATTTAAACTTAGTTGACCCTTTCACATTAACATTAGACAGAATTATTCGACTTATTTCTTCATGTAAAGGTCTTAGTAAGGAGGTAGTGCTCTGTGCCGTGTCTGTAAGCACTTTTAAATTGTTGTTAATCTAGCAGCAGACATTTTTAGCAAGATTTGCACAGAAACAAAACGTGCAGTTGTTTCTGTGTGTTTAGTCAGCTTAGGCAAATCCCGCTTGGCCTTGCAGTGGATAAATGTTTAGTGAGCTGATTCCAAGTGTCCCGTGTATCCAGCTCTCCCTTCAGAATCCACTCTTCTGCATCAATTCACAGTAAAGCTCCAAACGGCTCCAGGCACCGTCTGAATGTCAGCTGGATGGCCTGTTCTCTTTTTAACGAGGTGATATGTATGACCCAGATATCTTCTATAGTTTGGTCTGGTCCAGGTCCAACTCAGTTCCATTTATTTTCTGGATCTTGCTGCCCAAGACTCTGTGAAAATAATGATTGCCGTCATGATTGTCTGACCTGAAATTCTGACTTGTACTTTTAAAAATGATCAATAGTTAATTCTCTCAAGTTAGGAAACCATAAATTCTTCTGGAGTTGTTGAACCAATCGTGTGTTCCTAATGAAAGGAATGTTCCCTGATCTAAACCTGAACCTTAATGATCAGAGCGAAATAAACAGTAATAAACAAACGACCTTCAGTCTTTGTCAGTGTCAGTGGTTGGTTACTGTGTTGCCGGCTGATGCATCTTGATTCACAATTTGTTTTCTCTTCGAAGAACTACAGGCTTAGAAGAGTGATTATTTGAGCAATCTTTTATTGTCTGTATTGCAAACAAAGTACAAACAGCAATAATAGCATCCAGAATGAGAGTAATAAGAATTATTTTAGGTAACATGAAGAAAATAGAGGCATTTAACAGTGTTAAATTAGACAGAGCTGTCTATGGCAGCTGAAATGAAATACATGCTGGTATTTATAGGGCAGGCGCTGTTGGCATGGCTCCTAAAGAACTCAGTTTGCTCTGTAAATATAACATTTACTGACAAATGCAGTGCTTCATTCTGTTTATCATCAAAACTGGTTGTGTAGTCACATGAAACATAAGATTCAGCAAGAATCCCTTTCAAGTATCTACAAGTAAAAATGGAGAGAGAGAGCACTTTAACCACAAATCCATGAATTTAGAATGTCAGTAAAATAGTTTAATATTATGGTTGTTAGGCAGAAACCTTTGAACTCCATATTTTGACGTTTAAGGTTTTTTTGTATGAAACAGTGCTATTAATCTCTCCTTGAGCCTGTAACAGGCTTTTACACATTTATCAGGTGAAAGGTATTGTTAAAACTCTTGTCAGCGAATCTCATTGGGGTGTCTTGTAATGTGAAAGAACAAAAGGTGTGTACTGGAGATACCAGGTTTCTACCTGACAGCAGTTATATGCTCTGAGAAACCAGATGAATGAAATTTAACATCTTTGGCTCTAAATCTGTAAATGGTTGTCATATTCAGTTTCATCTTAATATGATGACCTGTTTTTTACGGAAGCGTATTGCATTCACCAAAAAAAAAAAAGCTGTTTTTCAGAGTAACTTTTTTGTCTTCTGTTTTCAGGCTAATTTTTCTGTTTTTCATACATTTTTTTGTTTTGTTTTTCAGAATAATTGTTTTTCCTATTCTCTGGGATCATGATGATTTAAAAACAGACACTGCCATCCCCCTCTGCTCAATTTATTGGAAGCAAACATGGCCCATTTGTTTAGTTTAATCAAGTTTTACTTTCTTTTGGGTTTGAGACACTGGGAGATAAAAAAATAAAGCAGTATGAAAAACAATAAAAAATTGTCAGAAAAAAAAAAAAAAAAACAGAAAGAGGGGAGAAAATATTAGTACAAAAAAAAAAACAAAAAAAAAATAGTCAGAAAAACAGAAAGAAGAAAAAATTAGTCAGAAAAACAGCTCTAACTCGGTATGAGAGGCATGGTCATGGTACTTCCACTCTGGATGATGGTGGGGTCCATATGTTGTAGTGGACCAGTTTATTTTTGGTGATCATGCTGAATCCAAAAAGCGCAGCACTCATTTGGCACTCTGACAGTTGTTTGAAAGTCATTTCATCTACCACCTCAGTTTACCCTTAGAGGTATTGATTGGTAATCAAGGCTCAAATGTTGTTTGCTTCAGCAGTGTACTTGATTAGAGAGCTTTTATATATATGTATTTTTTTTTTTTTTTTGTGGAGCCACTCCTTACCCGTGGGAAACTGCACACTCAACCTGACTTGTTATGTTTCACAATTAGAAGACCTGCGTATTCCTTTTGTTTATAAGATTCGTAACACCAGTGATTTACAGTTTTACCTTTAGAAACTGGTCGGATTAGCTTAATCCTTGTTTCTGTATCTATACAGCAGCCTGCTTTTATATAACATGTTAAAAATAAAGCCATAGTGAGCAACCGCATCTTTAATCTGACTTACTTAGATGTTGCTTGACATGGTGCTCAGATGATGCGTGACATGAGAGTGAGATCAGGCTTTACCCAGAGAGCTTAAAATAAGTCAAAAAACACTCCTGACTTATTTTGGGATGAAGCTACTTCATACCAGTGCTGCCATTTAAATGTACAATAAGAAGCAGTGTTAAAATACTGCTGTTGAAAAGAGACTCAAACCTTTGGGAAGAGTTTATTTCTGACAAACTGTCAGAATTTAAGGGTGCATTATACGAGGTCAAATAGGAGATAAATTAGGCCTGGACGATATAGAAAAAAAGCATATCGATAAAAAATAAATCATATTGATCGATATCGATAATTATCGATATAATTATTATAATTATTTAACATATATTTTAATTGCAGCCCTGGATGTTTTATGCTATTGCTTAATGACCTACTTTTAATAAAGAACACACAAGCACTGAATTCAAATTCAAACCTTTATTCAACCACCTTTTTTATTTTACAACTGAAAGTTTTTTAAAAAAGAACTAAAAAAAAAGAAATCAACTTAAGTGGCCTGAGTGACGTCAGTAAATACTGACAAACATAAAGACTAAAGTGACCAGAAAATCTGATAAATAAATATTTAAATAGTCTTTTGATGAAAATAAACAAAACAAACAAATATATAAATAAACAGAATAGCTTTAGGTGGGAATAGCATACTACCACTTCTAACTGTGTGGGAAACTGCCCACAGCCTGGTGTCTGAACACTGAAATATTTCTCCCGGGGTCGGGAGATTTATTTTTTTTAATTATCATGTGATTGACTTAATACACAAACTAAGCACGCGAAGCAGGACTTATCCACGCCGGTGTTGTGTCGTAGAATGCACCCCTGCCGAATGCACCCCCTGCTAGCAGCCATGATCCAAATACTCGCGTCTTTGTAAAATATGAGCTCATTTTCTTCCACTCTAAGAAGCTAATGAGTGGACGGGATGCAGGGATGCATTCTATAGCACAACACCGGAACGTATTTCCTCCGCACCCTTCTCACCTTATCAACCCCTGACCCATTTTCATGCCTGAAGCGCTGTGTTTGAGAAATACTTGCGGCCGGGCACTTCATATCGCGGGTCGAGAGTGGCTAGAAGCTGGTCGAAGCCAGGCTTTTCAACGGTAGTTATTGGCAGTATGTCCCTCGCTATGGAGCATGTTACTGCATGGGTGATGTCCTTATGCCGCTCGGACGCTCTGTCGTATTTTGGCAAGAAACGAAGTCCAGTTTGGTCTGCTTCACATGCTTTGTGCTGGTGCTGGCAGCGGTTCCAGAGGATTCCTCCTCCGACGTGGAGCCGCGGCGCGACCGACACAGCTCGTACTCCTGCGGGTGCGATCGGTTTAGATGGTAAAACAAGTTGGTTGTGTTACCAGACTTGGTTTTTACTAATTCTCTGCAAATTTTGCAAACGACCGCTGTTCGCTTCTTGTCAGACTTCTAAAAACCAAAACATTGCCATGCTGGAGAACTACTGAAACCTTTTTTCGGGACAATGTCCTCCGCTTCTCCTTGCTGTATCATTTTTTCTAATACACGTGATGTCTGTTGTGGTTTGATAGGGGCTGGGCTTGGTGCCGTAGCGTACCTGGGTCTGCGTTTGTGATTGGTTGGGAGGAAGTAATGACTGTAGTAAAAGCTACATGATAGGCTATGATGAAAAAGAAAGGGAAACTGTTTTCTATCGAACTTTTTATCGACCCGTTTTTTTTCTATCGCACCACACTGTCAGAATTTAAGGGTGCATTATAGGAGGTCAAATAGGAGATAAATAGAGAAGAAACTACAGTTACATCGCTTGTGTTATTTTGTATTAAAAGCCCAAGTTAAAGCATAACCAACCACATAAAACACTTGTTGAAAACTTGGTGAATTTTCCATATAGAGGAGTATAATGTATCAAACTCACAGGACTGTAACTGTAAGACTCTCAAATTTCAGTGCTGCTTTTCCTGAAAGGATGATTATTGTCTGCTGCAATTAGCTTCACTTATCTGGAAAATGTAAAGCTTTTTTTGTAGGCAGCACTTCTGAATGGTTTGACGTCACTGATACAACACTGGGCCTATTTCCATTATGGCTCTCAGGGATATTATTTTTATGCAATCTGCAACATGAATGCTAGACTGATGTCTGTAAGTGGCATAAGAGTGTGTGACTCAGCTCAAGTCTTGGAGCCAGCCAGCGTTGATGGGAGTTAAAACTTCATCACTGGTCTTGGCCTCTGTGTTGATTAAAATGTTCGATTGGTTTTAATCCCCGAAGTTGTATAAGTTTAGTTTGTTTAAGAACAGTGGCTGCAGTCACTTTCAGAGTTGTTTTTTATTCTGATGAAATTGTTTGAATGGAAGATTTTTGATTTCATGAACTGACCCTACCATTCAACATGAAACCACTCAGCAGTGTTTCCTCAGCTCCTGTTTGGTCCCTTTCTTCAAGATGAATCGCTGTCACCTGGTCAGAGCAAAAGTTGCCCTCAGATATAAAGTGGAAGAATGTAATTCTCTGTAGGGTTGTTAAGTCCTAGTCGGCTGGTCGACTTATTGGTCAATACGTGCTAAGTTGACCAAAATTCTGATTGGTTGACTCGATTTTTTTCTGCGTCAATCTACAGTCTATGGTTAATTTAGTCGGGAGGAACATACCAAGTGCTAGTAGGGGTGTTTTCAGAGCACCCCCCTTGTTTTCACCATTTTGGATTTACCCAACCCACTGGAGACAGAAAGATTAAAGAGAATCCACATCAATCAAGGTCTGGTGGTTTGCTTAGTATTAACTTTTACTTTGAGCATTTTAACTTTCATGTGAGTCCTCCTCTACCATCCATCTCAAAGACATTGGCAATGTGGCAGAATTTTACCAAAATAGATGGCAGATTAGGTTGTGTTTAATTGCCTTCTCCAGATCATAATATTTTGACCTCGCCAAGCCATTCTCTGCAGAACCGTGTTGTCCCCCCGCCACAGAAGGGTTTGCCGTCGGAACCCCCCCATTCGTCGATATTTGGTCGAAAATTTCTTTTGTTGATAACAGCTCATAGACTGTAAATACTATGGACAACTTGGTTACGCCTTCCACCAGTATACGGATTTGAAGCCGAAAAAGCCCTTGGTAATTCCGCGTTCTTTCTCCACTTACTGAAATCAACATTGCGCAGTAGTGTTGTATGCACGCCACCACTTGCACAGTAGCATTGAACGCACTCGGCAGGAGAGTTCCTGAGAGTCGCTGTGATGACGTTCAGCTAAAACAGCATATCCCCGGGTGAGCTACGCAATCTTTGTAGGCCCATAGGCTGTATCAAGTGTCAATAATAGAAAACATGAACCCCCTAATAACTTTTAAAAATGGAGCTGTACAGAAAAAAAGGACTTGAGCACAAACCAGTCTTACAGTAACTGCGTGCCAACATTGCAAGCAAATAATATGTTCTGTGTAATTAATTTCAAAAGTTTGTCCACATCTCCATAAGGATGGCTGGCGGAGGCGGGATTTTTGCCCTATACTGCAGCCTATCACCAGAGCATGCTGTTCTCAGGGGTGGCTTCACCCAGTGAGGAAGCAGAGGCTGTCCATTCAATATAAAGTCAATGTTACAACCCTTATTCTCTGCACATTTACATTACTTTCAGTCAACCTGCCATGTGTTTGGGACTTTTATCCTGACAGAGATGTTAACACAGAGCATCTCTCTTCTCTTTTCGTGCTATAAAAGTCAAAATATCTGGCTCCACACTAGGAAGATGGCCAGTCGATGTAATATCCTCAGCTTCTTGCCAGCTCATTTGGACAGACATCATTAGAACTGGCTGATTTTATAATCAAGTGGTGCTTGTTCTGCTCTCACAAGTATTATAATCAGTCCTTTAACTTGTACAGTCCGTGTCCTATTTGAAATGATACACCCCCTGGAGGTGAAGTCAAAATGAAGCTCTCTGAAAACACATTTTTAAGTTGAACAGAGAAGAACAAATTGATTATTATGTAATGGAGTGAAATTAAATGAATTGAATTACATGGTGCTATGTCACGAGTTTAAAAAAAAAAGCATTTGTGATGATTTTTCACACCTTCTTTTGATTAACCAAAGTTTTTCAGCAACCTTTTTTAGTCTGTAAAGTAGTAGTATGCATGTAGGTGTGTGAACATGGTGAAGTAAGAGTTGTTATAGTGTAAACTAACACAAAATGTATCTGGAAACAGAATTCTGCAGACTCCAGCTGATCAAGAGTTAGTGATCAAGGTGCATGCATCTGCTCTAGTGCTAGGGATGGGCAATAAATTATCGTTCATGATGTATCGTCAGAAAATTCCCCCACAATAAATATTTGTCATCTGGGGATGAATGCGATAAATGCAATGTGATGACATAAGCGTGAGCAACAGATTCTCAGCCGTAGCCCACACAGATCAGAATAACAAACAAACATGGCTGAAGGTAATGAAGAAGATGTTTCAGAGCAGCTGGTTACTGAATGAGGCTCCACTTCAAGATTGGGGCTGAGATGAGTGCAATCAGGTTTGCCTGACATCGGACAGTGTCTGCTGCTGTTCACTCTGTGCAATAAGAGTTTTCAACAAATGTTGAAAGTGTTCTTACATTTCATTAGTTTTCTCCATAACCTACCACTTATACTTGTAGTTAAGTATCTTATTTGACTTTGCCAACTGGTGTTCTCAAGACACAATGAGTAAAAAACAAAGATAGGAATTATAATATTTTTTATTGGAACTTTTATTGTTATCGCCATAATGGCAAATCTTATCGTGATAAATTTTTCAGCCTGTATCACCCATCCCTATCTTACACCAGCAGCAGCTGAGGTGGTCAGACTTCAGCTTTCCCAGTAGCTGTAAAAAAACAACATCTGAATGTCTGTGGTTTTTGAAAATTAAAATTGAGATTTTGATCAACATAATTCACACTTTGTTTTCATCATGATAGCGTGAAATCACGCTTTCTTAGCATCCAGTCTTTTTTCCCTCTGTCTTTGTCCCTCCATGAAAGACTTCTTTTATAATCACAGTGAAAACAGAGTCAGGATCAGAGGGACAGTGTGTTCATTTGGGAGAACATCACATGAGAGTCACTTCTTTTCGTATCAGATAAATGAAATAGATGAGTGCGCTACAGTTTGTGGTGTCAAAGACACAGTACCTCTTTATTTTCGGACCACACTGACCCATATTTTACTGATAAGACTTTCAAAAGACTTATTTTTAATCAGGCAGTCATGGGACACTCTTGATATTAGCCTCTAAAGTCAAATTTAGCTCGGTTTCATAACGGCTGGAGCTTGTTTTTCTTGCCGGGAGTGATTTGTTTGAGAGGACTAGGGCTGGGGTTTAGTGTACTTAAGAGGGGCTCCTTTCATGTGGACTGAACATGTGTGAGGGTTTAATAGCAGCTTCAGCAGGATGGATCTATTTGTAGTTTATAGGCGTGCTGTTGACAGGAACTCTAACTATGTCCTGAGGGGACAATGGGAAGTCGTCGTGCTGACACTCCAGTTGTACCATCACAAACATGGTGTGAGGCCTGAGCCGGATGTACCGTACACCAGTGTCCCATTGTAACCACAACAAGTTTAATTAGATTAGCATGCTAACATCCCCAGCCATTGAGATAAGCGTGTTGACATATCCCGCTTCCTTTAAGATAGGTATTAGATAATGAGAGCTGGATATGGAACAAATACTGTCCACATATTAAGCTCTCCTCACGCGAAGGAGTTAGAAATCCTCTTTAGATATTTTTGGGATGTTAGCCTGTAAATCATAGAGATGTGACTTTAATGGAATAAGCACTATGATCATTACATTTATTATGATATAATCATGATAATAGTGATTTGTTGTTACTAGAATATAGAGCAGGGCTGCACAGTTAGTTTTACACAATTTTATATCCCAGTATCAGCATTAATATGAATGTCTGAATTTGTTGCTATAAATTAGGAAAACTTTTCTGGTATATTGTTCTTGTTTCTCACTTTTCTTAGATTTGACCTGAAGATGGATGCCGTGGTATTACCGCTCTGCTTTCACACTGTTCTGATGCAGTCAAATGAAGTTTATGCAAACTTTTAGCTAACCTCAGATGAACTGAGAATTCAAGAGAGTCCTGTTGCAAACACAGGCAGTAAAAAAACATGAAGAAAGACAGATAGACAATAAAACTGGTTATCTTATTAAGGTATTAATATGCACCCTTCTTATCTGACTTCACTTCTCTTTTATACTAATACTCATCACACATCAAATTTGTCATTAATATCATGCAGGACTGTTGTAGATATGCTGTGTAAAAGTTGAACCAAGTGATAGATGGTTTTTCTTTTGTTTGTGTAAACCTTAAGTCACAGATAAGGGAGGATTATCACTTTTTAGTTTATACATAAGTTTTAATTTCCAGATTTTTTTTTTCATATTGCAATGAACATTACTGAAAAAGCCTAATAATGCCAGTTCATTTTTCCAGTATCATGCAGAACTAATACAGAGCAAGCATTACATGAGATGAGGTGATTGAATGAGATGTAGAAAGAAGTGCTTTAGCAGCTTTGTAAAAATACTCAAAAAGCTGACACTCATGATTTGTAAAGGTAATATGTTTGATTTTCAGGTCTATAATACAAAAGCTGCACTGTAGATTAGACATCTTTTCTGCATCCTGGATGGCCCACAGTGCCCTGCCTTTGCTAAACACTCATGTTGTAATACACAGACGTGTGTGTGTGTGCATGCTGACTGCACTCAGGGCAGCATATGCGTGTACCATATGTTTACGAGGAGATGGTTGGTATGCAGCTGGTTAATCGGCTCTTCAACACACAAACAACACACACATGCAACCTGTCGGCTCGACTCGCTGCCTAATCCTTCTCTTGCACATCAAGCTGCAGTGCTGCAGCTGACCTCCTCAGTCCCCCCCTCAGTCACAATTAAGGCATGTCAAAGCAATACCCACTAGTGGTGGGCAATTTTTTTTAGCACCTGATCTGACTTCTGGCTAGAGTTACCTTCAAAGTTCATCAGAATTTTGTCCTCACAGGGTTAACTGCAACTCCAGTGCTCATTTCTCATAGGGAGTATTTTTTAAATTGTATTTTTGTAGTTCTATTGTAGATTATAGCAGTAGTTAGCAGACTCAGGAGAAGTGGAATAATGTCCTTAAGTATGTTAAAATAAGTGTTGATACGAACATTGAAAACAAACAGTCTTGTTATTATTAACTCGCACCTCCTTGCACCTCCATGTTTTCACATGTGAGAGACCACAAAAAATGCAGTGATTGGAAGTCAAATAAGAGGAAGAGAGTGGTTGTTGTGTGCAGATTAATTTTATGATAGATGTTTTTAATGGTTAAAAACTTGACAAATGGAAAAATATATTTGTCATGGATCGCTGGAGCTTAATGTCCTTGAAGGCACTGTAGCCTCTGGAGGTTTATTAATAGGAGGGGTGAGCAAGGGAGCAGCTCAAGCTAGAATCTAACTGTTTATGTTGATCAATTTTCCTATTTCAGTTTACCTTTAAAAGCCACTGTACATTTTAGTCCATGTACACTTTTTTTGGCGCACTTTTTTTGATATTTGCATGAAAAGTTGTAGTTTGAAAAATGATGTTATGGAACTGTTATCAGAAATGCAGATCCCACGGCTCTGATTGCTTACTAAGTCAACTTTCTACAAGTACAATTGCTCAGACAGGGGTGCAGTTATATTTAAAAAATCACAACTAATTGTATTGCTGACGTATTGCATATAAGGCATGCTATTTAGTTGTAGCCTGAGTGTTGTACGTCATATCTTTCTGCATTTTGTTTTCTGCTTCAGTAAAAGCATCACTAAAACAGTCATGTACAGTAAACAAAAACACCTCTGACATTTGATCACTGTCTTTGCTCTCTTTCCAAACGTAAAGCTAACCCTTGGCTGACTGTTGACCCAGCTGTCATGTCAGTAGGTGTAAGTTTCTCGTCCTCATCCTGTCTGGGAGCTGAGGTGACATTTGGTCAAGCAGGATTAGAAAGCTTGATCCTCTAAAAGAGCTGTTGTCTTTCCCAGAGAAGCTACACTGGGAATCAAAGCAGCAGCAACAACCCCAACGTGACGTCGTGTTTGTGTTCCAAGAAATAGGGAGGTCTGTCGTTTCACATTCTTATTACTATTGGAATAATCTTAGCTTGAGTTTGAGGTGACGCTTTTTCTCTGAATGAACTTACTCTCATATGATAAACAGTTAAAACTACCTCATCAGATCTGATCTAGATCCTCTTTGTGCCATCAGGACATTGGCATGGGTTGCCACACTCTCTGTGACCCTTGATACTACAAGTTCAGGAAGTCTAGAACATGCTCTAACCTACACTGTTTTAATCAGACTTATCAGAATTGAACTATTTATACCTTGATTTCACTGAAAAGATCAAAAAGCACATCAACACATCAACACAGCAACTGCATCGTTATCATGCAGAAAAATGCCTCTTTTTGTGCAGACCTTTTGATATGTATCATCCTTGTGTCGTATTGATCAACTTCCATAAGTTTAGATACAGACTTATAAATATACAGTCCTTTGTATGCTCTTTGCTTTGCCCTGAGGTGGCCTGTTTTCTGATGGCTCTGCTTCCCAGGGATTAGCCTCAAAGCTCTCTGCTCAGATACTCTCTGTTCTCAGACCTGTCCAGACTCCGACCCACTGCTGAGGGTCAGTGTTCGTTGGCTGTCAGAGCCTGATGTGCCGCTCTTTCCTGGTGTAACTCCAGAGAATTTGGAAAATCCGGCCAGTGACAGGGGGTGAAGTTAGCTGAGGCTAACTTTAAGCTAAACCTCATCACAAGAGAGAAATGTAGGAGCAGCAAAGCCTCCATGAAGCTCCCAGAGGACGACAGCTCTCCCAAGGCTTTTTTTCTTTTGATCACACAGGATTTATATGACTTTGAGGCAATCCGAAAAGCTGTTCGGGTTGAAAGGAGGCTTGGGTTTGATCTTGTCAAGAAAGTATGGGAATAGGCAGCTCCTTTGCACCAAGATCTGATCAAATCTTTACCATAAGGTATGTCAGATATATCTGATTCAATGATTGTGTTACTTTAGCCTGAATCTCTTAGTGTTGTCAAAGTTGTCGATCAGTGTGATGATAAAAATGATCATTCTCTCAGAGAAAAACACATTGTCTTAAGTGCAGTACACTGTTTATCATCGAAACCAGCGCCACAGTATAGACGCAGTTAAGCAAGCTGAGCAGTCACCTGTTTGACTAAGGAGCTGGGATACTGAGTGTGTATCGGTAACAGTGCGCTGGGAGAGGGTATAATTAAAAAAGGGTCTCACATATTTCAGCATCACAGCAGGAAACAAACACCTATCAACAGCCCAGGAGGACATGAAACATGTGCTGATGAAAGAGGATAAATAAGAATGACTGAAACAAAGGAAACGTGGCAATGGAGATGACTCTTTTAACAAATAACAAATAGTTAATAACTAGTAATTAACAATCAATAAGCTGTAAGCATTGATAAGTCCATACAGGTGTTAATGAAGCATAATTAATACATCATTACTAATCAGTCCTTTATATTTCTGCCATAAACATCATGAAGATTTTTTAAACATTCAGTACACTGTATCTTATTAAGTCTCTTCAGTGACTTATTGACTGTTCATGACCCTGTATTATAAGACTTAAAATGAAGTGTTATCAAGTGCAGTGCTATGTTAAAAGCTCTGTGATAATAACGTTTATTTCTAATCTAGTACCAAGATCCTGGTTGCATAAAGATAATAGCCTTAGCTCAACTCAGGTTTTCTGCAGCAGAAAAACAGAGTAACCTGTTTTACATTTATTCTTGTTTTCCTAAAATAAAGTTAAGTTAAAAAAAATAAATAAAAGCAAATATGTTGTCTTGATAATATAAGAAAGTTTTGCCTGGACCTGTTCATATTTGCTTCATCTAGAGTTGAATTCTTTGTACCAGCAGCTCTTTGTAGATTTGATTTGTGATTTATAATCCACATTTAAATGGGATTTTATTGGTGATGTGATAAACACAGCCTATGCTCATGGGTCTTCAAGAACATTTTATATTTATATTTCATGAGCTTGTGATGATAAATTGATTATGTATCATTCATATGTCTGACAAATGTCAGGCAGCCCTGATCATGAATCATGTATAATGAGTGTGTGAGTGTGAGTGTGAGTGTGTTTGTGATTCTCTGGCCTTTCTTTGGCTCACCGAGAGTCAAAGTGAACACCAAACGCTCTGTTGAGGTTTTAATGAGTATATTGGGACAAAGTGGTGTATTAAGGATTTTGTAACAGGTCTTGACATTGTGTAATGGTCCCTTGTTCAGTTTATTCAGCTGTGTCTTCATGCCCTTATCACAGAGTGAGCTTGGCACCGAGGCAGAACCTCCCGCGGATCATCCTCAAAGGAATCTTCCAGGGGGTTAAAGTGGTTCGTGGACCAGACTGGGACTGGGGAAACCAAGACGGTGAGTGGTGGTGCTGCGAGGTGGACTGATCTTAACCACTAACACTGCTCTGCAGACTCAGCAGGCCCCCCTACCTTCTTGAGCATGAAGCTGTACCTCTTCAAAGTCTAACCCATAATAACGCTCTAACCTCACGTCTCATTAACCTCCGAAATGTCCTGTTAGTATGTGTCTGTGTGCTTTTATATTGTTGGTGACTCATGAGTCTGTTCCACAGATGTGCCTGTCAGTGTGTGTCTTCACAGAGTCCTTGCTCAGTAACATTTCTCTTTGTAGGTTTTTGTTTTTTCTAGACCTGTGTGGTGTCATAAACTGAGAACCACATTCACTTGAGATTAGGTGTTTGTTTGCAGGTGTTTAGAAAGTAGAGACATCCTCTCTCACTCTGTTCTTGTGTTCTGTGCTGTCCGTTATTCTGTTTTTATTATGTAATAATGTCTGTACTGATGCCGTTTTGAAAATATTGAGCTGAAAAGAACAGTCTGCCCTGGTAAATACACGAAAAAGCTCAGACTGTAATTGAGAGCAATCTTCCACATCAGCGGTCTAAATTGAAGCCTCGGACTGTTCCCTTTAGGAAAAAGGGGGAATGCTAACGTATCTTTGTATGTTTCCTGGTTCGGGGTCATATTTGTTTCTGAGAATAGCAATGTTCCCTTTTCCCTGGCTAAAGCGAATGAGTCAAAATGTCCTTTTGGTGTCTTTCAAATCAACGCCCTGGGGTTTGGTTAAGTCATTCATCAAGCTTAAATGGTGTATGCTCCTAGTGGCACACAGGAGGCTCTGAGCATGCTCAGTAACCCCTAGCCTGCCATGTGCTCTTTCAGGTCACTGGTTTAGCTGGGGTGGTTATGCACTGGGACAGCTTGATGACTTTAACAAGGACTCTTTTACGTCACAAAACAAGATGTAAAGCTCTGTGGACGTTGTCCTACTTCCAACCCTAATTCCAAAAAGTTAGTACAATGTACAAAACAGTAATAAAAACAGATATTGGTGATTTGCTTTTTATTTAAACCTTAGTTTTATAAAGTACATGGGCAACATATCAAATGTTGAAACTTGTTGTTTCATGAAAAACATACTCATTTTAGATTTGATGGCAGCAACATGTTTCCAAGACTTGAGAGGTTTATGATTGTGCTACCTCTTGAATCAGCTGCTCCTCCCCGATTGGTCCTGCGAACTCACCCCATTAACCAATAATCAGCTGGTTCCTGTAGGATCAACATCCTCTCATAGCCAGTCACACACAGACACTACCAAACAAGGTAAACAGGACAACACATGTAATGAACACCCAGAGCGGTGTGCGGCTACTGCGGCTGTAATATCTGTATTTTAGATTAGGAAACTTTGAAAAAAGCATACTCTGAGGAACATTTCTTTAGCCTCTCTGAAATGTTCTTAGTGTGACAGTCATGTCACTAACCTGTCACAGATGTACCTCCAGGTATTTCTTTACCATGGTTTGTTCACACAAAGCAGGTTTTTGGGGCTAATTTACTCATGTGACAAAAAATGTGTTTGGTATGTACTTTCCCAGTTTTCAGTTGACTCTGTCTATATTACGTATAGAGTTTGTAAATAATCAGGCTGTTTCATGAACATTATACACAGCATCCTAACTCCTTTGGATTTAGGGTTGTAGAATGGACACCATTAATGTTGCTTGAGTTTTTTTGTTGTATCGTAATGATCCTTAATTTTTACCTGGTGCTTTAGTATTAGGCGGAATAGCAAGACATGAGTCTGTCGAGTGTTTTTTTGATTCATAGAGGACCATTAGGGTTGAGATAGCTTCAGGAACTCACGAGAAATGACTGTGGGACTTGGCAGCTTATCAGGGGAAAGTGGTTCTCTCTCTCTTGTGTCTGCCATCTCATCTGTCTTATATGTTGACATTGTGCTTGTCAGATTTAAATGTGCATGGTTTCATGTGTCCTCAATTTCCTCCCATTTAAAAAGAATCTAATTCTCTACCTTTCTAACCCTGCCTTCCTCAATGAGATGACTTTTTTCTCTCCCTCCTCTTCCACAAAGTGATGCAATATTGTTTCTGTGTATTTGTGTATGTGTTTTATACATGTGTATGTATGCGCAGGTGGGGAGGGTAAAGTTGGGAAGGTAGTGGACATTCGTGGCTGGGACACAGAGTCTGGCCGCAGCGTGGCCAGTGTCACCTGGTCTAATGGCACCACCAATGTCTACCGAATGGGACACAAAGGCAAAGTAGACCTAAAATACGTGTCTGATGGTCAAGGAGGCTTCTATTACAAAGACCACCTTCCTAAACTAGGTAAGACAACAGATTCCTGTTCCTGACAAATATGTTCATTCCCTTCACTGAAAACTTTATACAATTTTTCAGTTATTCAGGAAGCCAGCTGCCATCATGTGGAATACATTTTGCCTTCCTTAAACATGGATCTGTTTCTAACCCTAGCAGCCAAGATTTCCAAGTGACTGTTTAAAACTAAGCCTTAACTTTTTAGCTCCTGTTGAAATTTTAGCACCCTGCTTAAGTTCTATGGCTGCATGGGTTTAATGTAAAACAATTCAAGTTGTGTCATCTTTTTTGAAACCCAAGAATCTAAGTTAATGAGCTTGTGAAAGTGCCTTATGATGATCGCACATTTGAAAAACATGGTTTCCACATTGTAGCTGCATTTCTGGTGTTTCAACTAGGGGTGGGAGAAAAATATCGATACAGCATAGTATCCCGATATTTTGTCTGGTGATATATTATATTGTCTCATTGACCAAGAATCGATTTTTTCTAATTAATTGTTAATATGAAGTCAAATTAATGACAATAGAAAAATAGAATCAACTGTTTGTCCAGTGAGGTTGGCAGAGTACAAAAAATATAGCATCACCTGGGGAAAGACATTAGGAATGCAAGCAGGGCACGAATGAGATGGACTTGACACATAAGGTTTGCAGGATTTGCTACATGCAAAATAAAATACTGTGTAAATAAGACAAAACAAAAGAAAGACAAATGCTAAATTAGCTAAACATTCGAAAAAAAATGTTGCAAAATGTTAAAAATCACAACAACATTGTACCGTGGCCCATTTATCGTGATAATATCGGATCGTGGGGCCACTAGTGATTCCCACCCCTAGTTTCAACCTTTTCTAATTGCTGGTTTATTCAACATTTCACTCATTTCATAGTGGGTAACATGACTCTTTGTAAAGACCTCATGAACAACAAGAAGGGCCTGTGTCCACTAATGCTGCTCTGCTCTGGCAGCTCCTACTTTCTGCTCAAACTAAATGTGGTTCGGTGTTTTCCTCCGAGCAAAATCGCAGTCAGAATCAGCTGATGGAGTAACAACACACTTTTTTAGAGGTGCAATTTCCAGTTGTAAAATTCCCGCTAAACCACAACAATATTTCTATGAACTATTATTTTATTATTCTTTAGAAATGCTTTTCAAGAAGCTTCCTTGGCCTTGTGGTTTAAACACACCTCAAATACAGAGACTTTTTTCCTAATTATAGCGGCTTCTCTGCCTACTGTATTTCCTTGTCTGTCCCCTCAGCTGTCCCATATAATGAGGGCACAATGTCTTTAAATTAACTTTAAAAAGATAAAACACGAATCAACAAAAGTAAACATGAATACAGAGCATTTTAGAACAGACTAAGAAGTCACTACTATAAAGAGTGGAAGCCTCTCGGGACAACTTTCTCAACCAAGTGTGGTGAAGGTGAAAAGCATCCTGAAACGGATGGGTGCAGTCAGTACACGAAAAATTAAATCAAAAAACTAAATAGAAACACTGAGTTCAAAGTTACCTCTAAGAGGCCAGAGATGTATGATTGTGGATAAATAGGATTATTTAACATGATTTTAAAACCCGACATTTCATCCTCTGCCATCAGTGTGTAAATAGGTGAATCTGACTTATGGTGTCAAATGCACCTTTAATAAAGTTCTTTTCATATTACCACACCAACATCAGTGAATATTAAAGTGATATAAGTATGAGGGTCTGTGAAAATCTATTTTTTGTATATTAAATACTTATTGGTCCTGACACCTGTTCATCCAGGGGAGCACGCAGAGCTGCAGCGTCAGGAGAGTGCTGACGGACACTCCTTCCAGCAGGGAGATAAAGTCAAGTGTCTCTTGGAGGTGGACATTTTACGGCAGATGCAAGAGGGCCACGGAGGGTGGAACCCTAAAATGGCAGAGGTATGGAAGTCAGAAATACCACATGGTAACAAAAGTCAGCTCTACATATCTCCCACTGAGTTCTTCTTAATGTAAAGGTACCAAATCAAAGTTCACTACTGACATTGACTTCTTTGAGATGTGCTCATGGTTTGTACTCTTTATGATTTCGACAAACACAGCCTCACAGTCAAAACACAGGTGTCCCTGTAAATCTGTACAGTATATTTATGTAAGTGGCTCAGATGGACGTTGGCATGCATTAGAGTGAAAAGAAACGGAGCATCCATCTCTCAAATCACAGCTGCTAAAGGGAACATGAAGGTCACAGCAATGCAGACAAAGACCCAGAGTGACACAGTCTGTTTGTGTTTGCAGTACATTTGCAGGATCGGGACTGTCCACCGAATCACAGACAGGGGAGATGTGCGAGTCCAGTACAGCAACAATATCCGCTGGACTTTTCATCCAGGGGCCCTCACCAAGGTACCCATGACAGACCAGCTTTTTTCTCAGTGATATTTACACACATGGAGCTGGATTTAGCATAAGTGTTGCCGGTTTGAGTCGAGTTTAATAGTTTTAATTGTTAACCAACTGTCCTTTCTCTCCACCAGGTGAACACTTTTGGAGTCGGAGAGCTCGTAAGAGTGCTGGAGGACATGGACAGTGTGAAGAGACTGCAGGCTGGCCATGGAGAGTGGACAGACAGCATGGCTCCTGTACGCTCATTTAGCCTGATAATGCAAAGACTATATTTTCAAACATTAGCTTTGAGTGCAAGGCAGAGATGTAAACAGAGACATATTCCCCATTTAAGTAAACTAGCCAAAATATGGTGCACTTAAAGGGATATTCCGGCGTAAAATTAAGCCATGGTCAAATACACTGTAACACTGAGTTGGACACCTCCTTGAGAGATGAATGTTGCAGACAGCTTGCTTCTCTAGTTATACCAACTTTAGTAAAGACTGCATGATAGCAATACACAGCGGTCTACCTCTCCACATGCAAACCTCAACCAAAACGCCACTCTATAGCCACAAATAATGCTCAGAACAGCAGATAACTTCATCAACAGTACATATAGGGTCCAGCCATAGTACTAGCCATAAAACATCTTTTTAGCTTTGACTGGTTTCTTTAGCAAAGAGACTAAACACAACTCATCCACTCTCCTCTAGCAGCTGCTTGTCTGTGGGGGAGCCCTGACAAGTTGATCACCGAGTGCAGCAGAGTTTCGCAGCTCAAGGAAGAACATTTATAATCATTACTTTATGGATATGCAATCAGACCAAGATGCTAAGGCAAAAGAACTACTGTGTCTGCAGTGCAAAATGATCATGACGATGATTATTACTTAATGGAAATGATCCGCTGCACTTGGTGATCAACTCTTCAGGGCTCCATCACAAACAAGCGGCTGCTGGAGGAGAGTGGGTGAGTTGTGTTTGGTCTCTTTGCTAAAGAAACCAGGCAAAACTAAAAAAGATGTTTGCTGGCGAGTGCTATGGCTAGTCCCCATATGTACTGTTGATGAAGTTAGGTGCTGTTCTGAGAATTAATTGTGGATATAAAGTGGCTTTTTGGTTTAGGTTTGCACGTGGAGACGTAGCCCACTGTGTATTGCTATCTTAAAGTCGTTACTAAAGTTGGTATAACTAGAGAAGTAAACAGTCTGCAACATTCATCTCTTGAGGGGGTGTCTAACTCAGTGTTACGGTGTGTTGTCCATAACTTAATTTTACACCGGAATATCCCTTTAAGCACTTATGGTTCAGGCTTAGGCTTTAAACTTGGAATTTTTTTAATCATTTCCTCAGTTTGCTTTCACTAAACCAAACTGAGGCATGTAGACTCAACTCTTAGTGAGCTATCTGGGATAAGAGTCTGGATCTGTGTGTCTGGAAGTTTTATTTTTTTGACTAAAACTAGATCCTGACCTGTGACTTTTTCCTCTCTCGTCTTTTTGTTTCTTCTGACTTCTCAGAGTAACTCATTTTTAGTGTGCATGGTGCTATCTATGTCACTTGCCAAGTCAAGCCTTCTTTTGGCAGACATCCCTCTAAATTGGGAGTGACCTACTTCCTAAAAAACAGGGGTATATGTGAGGAAGTCAACAAGTTTAGAGCTGCTGTCCTGGATGTGGCCTGGTTCATATCCTCCTGAAATTTAACTCATTGAGTGCCATTGACGAATTTCGACAGATTTTTCAGTTTTTTTTGTGTTCCAGCAGGGGGCGCTCCTCCCCAACATGCGACTAAGTTAGGGGTCATTCAGATGCAGAAAAGCGACAAATACGTCATAACCATATTACAATAACAAAAACAAGTTCTCGCCAGTGAGAAGGGTGCCATCAAGTATGCCAATTAGCCTAGTTGTGGAGTTTTTTTTCTCTATGAGGAGAGTACGAAAATGACGAATTCATTAGTCAAGAGCTAAGCGGCCTCGGCGCATTGGATCCTGTGGGTGCGGTGCTACCGTCTCGGGATCCAGTGAAGACCTTGATGCCACCGGTGAAGCAGTTTGATGTGAAATGAGATGGACGATCAGAGTTCTGCTTGAAAGTCTTTCATTCGTAAAAATGTGTTTCTCCCAGGTCTCTTTTTTCAGATCGGCAAAGATGATTTTACCACGCTGCATTGATCAGGCAATAACTAAACACAGGAGTGGGTTAGAGACTAACTTTTTTTTCTGGTGAAAGAAGAGAATCACCCCTTTTTTTAGAGATATGGCACTTAATTCTAGTCTAAGCACAAGATATTCTGTGGGTCCTGAAACATATGGAAATTTCTATTGAGGTCATTGGTGGCACTGGGTGAAAACTGCATGAATGAACCTGGCGCTGAACAAGTTAAGAGTCACAGAAATTTGTCTTGGGTATTGCATAAATAGATCCCTAGATATAGATTTCTAATATTTTTCTCACCTTTACATGTTTCATCTTCTTTACTTTCTTTTGATCACCTTAGGTTCTTGGGCAGGTGGGGAAGGTGCTAAAAGTCTATGCAGACGGTGACCTAAGGGTGGCATTTGGCGGTCAGACATGGACGTTTAATCCAGCGTGCCTCTCAGCCCAGCCCGTGGAGGTGGACGCCAACCTTATGACAGCCGAGAACCCCAGCGAATCTGGAAGTAAGGCCTCTGCCGGGACGAGGGGGCTCATCTCTGACACTGCAGCACCGGCTTTACCCTCTTTGTGCTTTCATCCATCCCTCCATCCCTCCCTCCAGCTCTGCCACGCATGCTTCCACACACAGGCAACAACTGGGGTGTTCATGGTCACAGTCACAACCATTCCCTCTCTGTTTTCTTTTTCCAGCTATGTGTGTACAGGGTGTCATTTCCTGAACTGTTCGTCTCTGCGCCATGTCATGATCCTGAATGTTGACAGCAGGAGGTTTTGGCAGCTCAGCAGACATTTGTCATCATTGCAGCAGCCTTTTAATCATGACCAAATCTGTTGTGTGCATGTGTTCGCTTCAGCAGATAGGAGATTGACAACAGAGTTATTTATGTGAGTGTGTTTGTGACTGTGTGTATTCTGGACACAATACACTGCATGGTGGGACATTTTGACTCATTCCTCTGGTTTTGACGTGAGCGTAGCTTTGACTTCAGATGGCATGTGTTTGTACTGGAACCTCAGCCCTCCAGAGGGCTCCTGACACTGTTTCTGATCATGTCAGTCACATTAAACTGATTACACTAAATTAATCTTATTGTCCATCTGCCTGTGTCTCTGTTCAGGTACCGTCATCTCAGTGTTGGAGAAGCTGCTGTCTCAGTCCACAGAGCAGGACAATCCCAGCCGGCTGGTGATTGAGGCAGCACACGGCAGTGCCAACAAAGTGCGGGAGTTGGTGCAGAAGTATCCTGACAAGGTTAGTGCACCACTCTTTGCTGCAGTCCACTGTTTGTTCCAAGAGCTCACACCAGGGCGCCAAGATGGGGGTGGAGGATTGAAGGGCCAGGGTGACTTAGTGAGCAAGAAATAGACTTAGTATTCACTGGAAATTGCCAGACATTTGTTTGTTTGTATATTTTATTCATAAGAAGTTTTGTTTTCAGAGCTGCAGCTGCAGTTTGAAGTACAACCTCTAGCTTAAAAGAGATGTGTAGTGTCTGTTGTTTCTAATTGTGACAAACTGGAAATCCTCTAAACCAGTTATCTAATTGAAAATAGTGATAGATGTGAAATGAGGCATCAAAACTGTTGGGACAAGGGCATGTGTCACATCAGTCCCTGTAACAACACTATGCAAATGTTTGGAAATATTGTCCTTCCTTGCCTGATGGGAGATTGTAGATGCTCAACAGTTTGAGGTCTTTTGTGTCATATTTTAAGTCATGATGCACAAAATGATTTCAGGGGTGTAAAGTCAGGACTGCACACAGGCCATCTTATCACCTGGGGTTCTATTTTCGTGTCTGTTGGTGACGCAGCGGAGGGTGGCAGACCTTCAGGAAGTGGTATTTTTGTCTGGCGGAGCCCGGTGCACAGACAGTTTGGTATTTCTGCCAAGCTGGGCGTAGATGCGCGGCAGGGGGAGGTGTCGACAGAATCAGCTGCCGCAGTGACATTTTCATGCTCGCCGGTGGTGTGAGAAGTGCGCTGAAAGCTCGCTGATTCAAACCTGGTCAGCTTTCAGCGCAGACGGAGCGCAGCTGGTCTAGTGGTATTTTGTTAGACCGGCGGTGTATTACGCATACGTCACCTCGCGCAGCTCGATAGGTGTAATATCGTAGAATGCACCCCTGCCATAGAATGCATCCCCTGCATCCCATCCACTCATGAGCTTCTTAAAGTGGAAGAAAATTATCTCATATTTAAAAAGAATGTCAAATGCAGCAGCAAACTTTTGTTGTTTTTAGGTATTTAAAAAATGTACATACAGAGGTGTACTTGGGTATATAAACTGTGAAGTAAGGTGTTAAGGCAGAGAACATTATATTTTCGGGGCAGCAAATATTCAGAATTAGAGGGCTATTGTTTTCGGCATATCTGAATAGCCTGAATGAAATCATTAAAGGCACACGCTTTAGAATCAGTCCAACGGTAAGGAAAACTTGGATTATTTCGCCTTGTTGTGTACTTCAACCGCGCTCCCTTCAGGGGGTGCATTCTAAGGCAAGGTGCATTCTATGGCACAACATCTGACATGTCTCCTTGTCCTTTCTCCGTCCTGCTGCTGCAGCGGTGGCATGGCTGACCAGATGATTTATTTTTATTATTTATTTATTTAGTTATTTACTTCGAAAATTTGAACAAAAAAAGAAAAAAAAAAGAACCTTTCACTCAAAATTACCTGTTTATCTGATTTCCTCACATCATAAAAATTCTGTAAATATTCAATCTGGAGTCAGGCCCACATACGAATATTATAATATTCAGTTTTGTGAGCCAAATTTATTTTATATGCCAACATCTATGAAAGAAAGAGCCAGGCTACAGAGCGTGATGTGCCCTGTACGCACAGATGGTTCCGATTTTAATGCCATTATTGGAATTTATGTTGTGATCTGTGTGCACAACCCAGCTTTGTCATGTGGGGATTAAATAAAAAATTTTTATGCAACTTTATGTGAGTGTCTTATTAGTGGAAAAGGGTGTTTGTCTTATCAGTGGGTCCAACATTACACACACCAAATCCATCTGTGCTTATATGAGACAGTGTGGAGGACGCCCTCTGCAGCGCTTACAGCGACACTTGTTGAGGAGCTGCCTTCTGTCGCCATCGTGTGGCATTACTGTCTTCAGCCATCTCTTGATCTCTTTGACTACTGCACGAAAATAGTAATATGCCTCGTCTGTGGCGGATTCAAAGGTGAGGAGAGGAGCTTATGTTATTGGTCAATACAGGTCTAGGCTGTGTTAAACCCACTCCACGCCCTCTCCCTCCCTACGACTTACACCGTTGGGAGGAGCTGAGATAGGGAGGGGGATACTTACGCCGGGCTGTGCCGCTCACCAAAATACTAAATTGTGCTTGGGAACGCCTTGTTGGCGCGGCAGACCTGACTTACACGGCGCCTGCGCCACCTCTCTGGCGAGGCACGAAAATAGAGCCCGTGGACTCTTCTACTATGTAGCCAAGCTGATGTCATACATGCAGAATGTGGTTTTGCACCTTCTTATGTACCATGGAAAGCCTACCCTGAAAAAGTCATTGTCTGCATGGCTGCATATGTTGTTCCAGAACCTGTGTATGTTGTTCAGCACTAAAGATGTCCTCTCAGATATGTAAGCTGCCCATGCTTCCTGTACCTCCGCATGATCTGGAATGCTGTCTTTGAAACTGTGCGCTGATAATCAAGCCATGTGGTCCCTCTCCCCTCTAATATATAAAAGAGTCCATCTTAAATAGGCTTGGGCCCAGAGAAGTAGGCAGCATCATTCTAGATCATGTTTACGTATAGTTTCCTGTATGCATGATACAGTTTTAATCTGCATTTGTAGACGGAGCAACAAACTATTTTTAAAGGCTTCGGTTTTTGGTATTGACATTTGAGCCCATGCCTTAACTTCCACTATAGAGTCATGCCTGTATTTTGTCTAGTGCTACCTGCAGATCATGGCCATCCTGTGTTGGGCCCTTTTGTACAGAGATTACTCCACATTCTCTGAATCATTTCATGATAAGGATCGACCAATAATTGGCACGAACGATAAATCGGACGATATCCAGCATTTCACAATGATCGGCATCGGCCTTTTTTTTTTTACACTGATTGCCGATAAAATATGTTTAATAGAAAACGTGCTTGTTCTGCTCTTACACAGCTGCCTCTCTGCCTGAATCACCAAGAAACATGGAGAAATAAAATAAAAAAAGAAACAAACTAGCAGGTAACACCACTGCTAGCGGTGCTCCTTGGTCTCTGTGAAGCACACAGAGCTACCATGTGCTACTTCCGGTTCTTTTCTCATTTCAAAATAAAAGCAAATGTTTCACAATAAGGCCAAAATATACATTTTTACTGCAAATGAATATCGGTTCTACATATTGGTTATCAGATTCTTTGATTACTATTAATTGGTATCAACATCAGTCCTAAAAAAAACATATTGGTCAATCCTTATTTCATTATGTTTCGGAACATTAACGTAGAATTGCTTAACATTTTCCTCACTCTGTGTTTCACAGAGGGGTGAACCTCATCCTATCTTAACTGCTTAGATATGCTACTCTTCTGTAGAGCCCTTTTTATACTTAGTCAAGTCATTAATCTAACTAGTTTAGAGATGTCCCAATTTGTTTTTTGTCTTGTTTTTTTTTTTTTTTTTACATTCTTGGGATTTGTGCTTCCTAAACAAATTGATTTAGAATTTCTGGTTGTAGTGTAATAGAAAGTAAAAATATATGGACATATAACTTATAGACACGAAATAATATCTGAGATTTAATCATTTTGTTTACATTGCTAAGGACACACAAATGTTTGTCTGTCTTGTCCAAGTAAGGTAAAAACAGTGATGTTGAACCAAGCTTTCTTACTAAGTGTCAGGTACACCACTAATCAGGATTATCCTGTATGTATACAGGATATAGTGTATGATGAATGTGGTTGTCATTCCTGCTCAGATTATTTCCAGCCAGCATGTGCTCAGCTCAATCTGTGTCCAGATTATGATCATCACTAATGTATCTTCCTCCATGTTTGTGTTCTTGGCAGGTGGATATAAAGAACCAGGGCAAGACTGCACTGCAGGTTGCCGCCCACCAAGGCCACATGGAGGTAGTGAAGGCCCTGCTACAGGCCAACAGCTCCATCGAGGTCAAGGATGAAGATGGAGATACGGCATTGCACTACACTGCTTTTGGGTGAGAACACTCACACACAGTTTGTCCCATTACACATACACACGCATGTAAATGCAAAAAGGGGCCGAAGCAGCACACTTACTCACGCAAAATTTCTTCACTTCGTGACAAGATGCTGGTCTGTTTTTCAGAAAATCCTGAAGACCAACAGATGTACATAAGAGCTTTTGCGTGTCTCCTTCCTTGTAATGTGATAATCCATTCACAGAAGTGACAGCATTAGAGTGCTGTCTAATCAGCCACCCACACCCCCTCCTCTAACCACATTAACACATAATCAGGAAGGTAGCATTTGACAAAATCTTCTCTGTAATTTATACAAGTTAAAAATAACTTTGTTTTAGTGCTGAGTGGTAAACAATGAGGGGAAAAAGGCAGTGTTTCCAAATGATGAAGTCTGTTTGACTCAGAATGCAACCCTTAAGCTTTGTTTAACTCCTAGTTGTATACTGGTTTGAATGGCCTTAATGGAAAGCACTGTGAAGTCATAACTAATCACTTAGTGGAAATAGAAGACAGTGAAAAATAATCTGTTTGTGGTTTTCTTTGTGTGCAGTAATCAGGCAGAGATCGCACGGCTGCTTTTAAGCAAGGGGGCGAATGTCAACCTCCTGAACAACTCCATGTGCACGTCGCTCCACATTGCTGTAAACAAGGGCTTTACTGACGTGGTGCGTGTGCTGACTGAGCATTCAGCTGATGTCAACCTGCAGGTGAGAAGGCCCAGCATGCCAAATAATGAAGACTGACTTTTGATTTTTATTGGTCGCACCAAACTGAAAGATTTATATGACTCTTTTGTGTACTTTTTTTGAAATTCCTTGAACTTGTTTTGATCGATTCAGTTTCAAAACCAGTGTTAACATTTGTGCCATGGGTAAAAAGGGCAAAAAAGGCAACTCAATTTGCTTTAAACAAATAAGAGCATATTCCAAAGGAGGATAAAAACCACATGCTCAGACAGACAAAAATTATGATGTTAGCTTATTGATCTGATACGATTGTACAGAAGTATTTCCAAATTAAGACTTTACGATATTTGAAAATACTACCACTAGGGCTAGGTGATATGGCCCCAAATGAATATCACAATAGATTGAACAGTTCACCTCAATAACGATAAATGGACGATAACAACTCCACAAGCTGCTCAACCCCTCCCACGTGAACTTCGTCTACTTTAGCCTACAACTTTTGAACTGTCCTCCATCCCCTCACCTGTCTTTCCCTCTTTGTTACGGACTGGATGGGGTGGAGTCACGTCTGATGTAGGACAGCGTCTTAAAGGGACATTTTTTTGATACCAAATGCATTGACATGGGCAAAATGACGTCTGTTATTGTTGTAAATTTCGGTATCGTAAATTTTCTGTTAATCACCAATACAAACACCTACATGTAAATTCATCCATGAGAGTAAAGCTCAGGGACATTCATGCTAAAGCCCACTTTATATCTTTTTACACATTCAAAACAACAAAAATAACAGTATGTGTGCCAAAATTAAGTCCATTTCTTACTATCCTAAATGTGTTTCCGTGTCTGAATACTGAAGAGTGCTCATGTTTAAGAATTGTCAAATCTCTCTTCTCTGTTTTTTGGGCACATTTAAGGGGAATTTGTGATTTGTACTCAGACTGTTTCTACTACCCTCCCCCCATTGTTCTCTGTTACCAGTCAGAATGAGTGTCATGTGAGCTTAGCAGACAGTTTGTGAGTGTGTGATTGGAGATCAACACAGTAGGTCTATGCAGTCGCCAGTAAATAAGCGTCTTGGACAGTGTTTACAATACACATGTCAAAGTGACTGCAACATTTTCCTTTCAAAAGCAGTTGTAAACAAACAAATTCAAATATTTATGTCCTTTGAGTGAGACCTCAGTTTTACTTTTGACCCTCAGCCTTGTTCGTGTCTCTTTACCGTGTTTCCAGACTGTCTAACATGCCCGCAACCAGGCCTGGAATTCACTTACAGCACATTATTCTGCTTGAGTAGAGCGGCTACTCATCTAAAAGCATGATGGTGTAGCCGCCCAGTTTGTTTGTTTGTGCTTGGACCAGAATGCTTTGAAGCAGTCTGTAAAAATAGACCCACAAATAGTGATCATGGTCTGTGGAAGGTTTCAGGGTTGCAACAGATTTCAGCAAACAAAATTTTGCAGTGGCAACAAAATGGCTTATGTATTATAGATACTGAGTGATCAGTGATGGAGTTTGGAAAATAAAGTTTCACTCCGTTGTTCCCTCTGCTGGGACACTATGATTTGTTCAACTGCCATCACAACAAATTGAAAACGGTTTTCTGACATTTTTGCTTTGTCATGTCTCAACAAGTGTCATGACAAGGCTCCAAAAACCTGAAAAACTAGTCCAGGCCCAGAGTGTGTCACAGCCTTACTATCTATGCCTCTGTTTTTTTTTTCCTCCAATCAGGATTCATACGGGGACACACCGCTCCATGACGCCATCGCTAAGGATTTCCGTAACATCATTGAGATCCTGGTTTTGGTGCCCAACATTGACTTCACCCAGCAGAACCACAGAGGCTTCAACCTGCTGCACCACGCTGCTCTGAAAGGAAACAAACTGTGAGTGGAGATCACGTGCAGAAATTTCTGCAGCTGTGTTTTAAAGCTTGTATAATGATTTCTGATATGTTCAGTGGAGTATAAAACAGTTCAGTGACTTTTTGGAAACACCAGCAGACGATCAGCTTTCTGGCCCCCGATCTGATTTTTGTCTGAATAAGTATCTGTTGATACTTCAGTCCCAGTGAGATGCTTGTATTTACAGTGTTTCTATTTTGTGATACATTATAAATGATCATATTCTACGAATAATGAAACAAAACAGATGCGTCAGAGCAAGAAATAAACAGATATATTTGTAGAACATCTCTATCTGCAAAGATCAGCCCTGTTGATGCATCAGTATTGAGTTTTATGCATAGACTGTATATAGAATGGACTTTGTCTGCCTCCTCGCTTGGTGAAGCCACTAGCACCCTCTGATGACGGGCTGCGGTATAGGTCATAAATCCCGCCTCCTCCAGCAATCCCTATGGAGCCGTGGACAAACTTTAGAAATTTATTACACAGAATATACATATTTCTCCCCCCTGCTTGCAATGTTGACATGTAGTTACAGTAAGACTGGTTTGTGCTCAAGTCCTCTTTTTTTCTGTGCAGCTCCATTTTTAAGTCATCAGGGGGTTCATGTTTTCTAGGATTGACACTTGATACAGCCTGAGGGCGTACAAAGATCGCGACTCTCTCGCTGAATGCAAACAATGGTACTGCGCAAGTGGTGGTTCCAGGAAGTGGAGAAAATCCTGGGAATACCGAGAGCAATTCGGCTTCAAATTCGTATAATGATGGAAGGTGGAGCTAAGTTGTCCATATTATATACAGTCTATGGTTGTCAAACACAAATGTTAGATGTTTGTTTGTATTCTGTTGCATCCTGCCTTAATCTTCATCACGGTGATGTAAATCTGAAACGCTTTAAACACCTCAGAGCAACAGAAAGAGTCTCCTGCTAGAAAAACGTCATTTTTTTGAAAAGACACGCTCCTGAGATATTTTTAGAGGGGAATTTTAAAGGAGGGACTATATTATTTCTAGCTGTTACTTAAAAATAATTCAAGTCTCATGGCTGGTTAAAAAATCAGACACAAAAAAAGTGGTCAACAAAAATCAATTCTAGTGTCCAGTACTGATGCTGATTATTCTAGAGCAGCCAGCTGAAGGCCTTGAATCATCTTGTTATTGTTGTTTGCTTTAGATAAAATATAAACATTCAATAACATTAACAGCCTTTACTCCATGCACATTACAATATAATGTACATGAATGATGGACTTCAAAACATGACACATTTATGACAAACTCAATTATTCTTTAAATTCAAACAGAATATACATTCAAAGTTGTGAGTGAGACTTAGAATGAGAAAGGCGGACTATCATTTAAGAGGACGCTAATGTTGTTTGACAGCCACCTGACAAGGGAAAAAGTGACTGCATAGTGACAAAGAAGAAACCTGTAACTACAGTTTTTACTCACTTTAAACCAGTGTCCTATAACATGAGCTTGTTAGCTTTCCACGTCTGCATTTGTATGTATGAGAACTGGAAGTGATGGTGTGGGGCGTGTGTGTGGGAATCTCTCCTGTGTGTTCAAATGAGAACTCAAAGGTCATCTCTCAAAACTATCTGATACAGATAGAGCTCATCTCCCACACAGCTTCTGCTGCTGTCAGCAAGCTGGATGTCAATATCAGCCAAAAAATGCTACATTAACTTCTGCATCCTCATTTTCCTGCACGCATTCATGTCCTTTAAAGTTCGAGCATAATCCTTCTTCAGCATGGCAGGGCGTGAGATCCATGAGTGGACAAAAATGTACAAAATCCCAAACAAACTATGACCACTACACAAGGAAGAGCTTCTGGTAGCAGTGCTACCGGTGCTACCAAGTCTGCAGAGGTTTCACTGCTGTGCCAAGCAGTTTTTGAAAAGGTTGAGAACATTTGTTTTCATGAAAATATCACAGAGTTTAATTGTATTCCTCCCAGAATGGCTCCTGGTCCTTTTTCTTTTCTTTCACGGTAAACAATGGGGATCTGGTGAAAGATTAGCTCCTGCATTTTACTCGACACTGAGGTTGCTGGAGGCTGAACGTTGAGACAGCCTCACTGACACCTGTCACAAAGGCTTCATTGTCCTCTGGCTGTGTTGGTTTCAGGCTGGTTGACACTGCAGGTGCTTAATCTCGAGGTGAGCCCAGAGAGGGCAGCGACCAGGCAGAGAGGAAAAAACATTACAAAACATTCTCACATTGATAAGGTTTCATCTCTCAAACACAACTCTTGGTGTGCCAGAGTCCTCCTCTGTTCATGTTGCATCACATCAGCCCCCACTTACCCTGAATAGCCTGCAACTGTGGAGATAGAGAGCTCCAAAAGTGAATGGGCTCTTTTTAGAAGTTACCACAGGTCCGTTATTTAAAAATCATGTTATTTTCATACTGTAGAAACGGCTCAAAGTCATCACATCTGTGTGGGTGAAGCAGGTTTTGTAAGCAGGGGATCATTTAGCAACCTTTCTCTTGAGTGAAGAGCACCATTTAGTTGAGATTCATTTGCATATAAGACTTTGATTTTAGTTATGAAACAAATATATCAACAGTTTCATAATAGCTTTTTTAGAGCTTATGAATTACTGTAAAATAATGAACTACGTATCTTTAGACCTATAATTTTTACTGAGACCAAGGACCTGCTGGAGGTTAGGGGCTCAGCTTTTGGTTCTTTCCTTGTGCTGCTTGTTTGTTCTCTGTTTCTTTGACTTGCAGATTCAAATACCTGAATATAAGAGGGTGTTTTTAAGAAAGTGAAAACTGCCAAGCAGAGTCACAGAAAGATGGAGGGCATAAAAACACCACCTTGAAATGTGATCGTAGGTTAAGAGTATGTTAATTATCAGACAAATCAACCATCAGAAAGACTGCAAGTGATTTTTATTTTTATAATACTTTATGAGTGCTTCATATACATATGTTTTCTTCGTTACTAACAAGGTTTGGTCTTCTTGGGTCTTTTCCCTAAAGTAGGTCTTATAGAGGAGGGGTTGTCTTGGAAGCTGGCACACCTAATGAAAGAGTCAGTTTGCTTCTTTTCATTGTGGCGCGAAGTCGTTCACTTTTAGTCGACCAAATTTCTCTTTTTGACGAAATGGCTCATATTATTGTCAGGAGGCTAATTTCAGCCTTTATTTAATATGTTTACATTTTGCTCTTGTGTTTTTATTGTGCTTACGTTTTCATGATTGTTTAATTATATTTTTACAGCATTATTTTGGCTTAGAAACGGACCTGGGTACTAATTTTGTACCACAAACTGTAAAAGGTGTGGGGTACGACAAATCAAGTTCCTTGAATCCTCAATTTAAACATGAAACCCCGTTTCCATCAAAGCGAAATGAAATGTAATTAAAAACAGAATTTGATGTTTACACATCATTTAAACTCTGTTTAATGGACACTTATTTTAATGTTGGAGTTGAACATTTTTCTTATTGTTTAACAAGAAATATGTGAACATTTTACCTTTCCTGCCAGCAACCACCACTGTGTGGACTTTTTAGCAAGGTGCCCCCCTGGAGATCACAGCTGTCCTGTATTGGTCTTTGGCCCCTTTTGCACAGTTTCTCCAGTTTCAGTAAATCCTCTTATGATATTATGTAATGTAAATAGATGAGATAAGACAATTCCTTACAGTTATTATCTGAGGAATATTACTCATTTTTTATTGTTCACCATTTTCTCATGTAGTTTCTCACATAGTGGTGATCCTCTTCCATATTCAGAGAGATGCAGCCTCTGCAGAGTAGGGGGAGATGTTCTGGCCTGTATTGTTTTTGCATTGTACCTTTTGTTTTTTCCAGTGTAATATTAACCCCGCCTGAACTTTTTTGAAATGTGTTGCTGGTGTCAGATATTTGTAAAATGGTTAAATTGTTCATTTTTAACAATTGATTTGTGTTTTTTTCACTATTTTCAGAGGACCTTAAATGATTTCAAACCACCAAATCTGTTTTTATTAACATTTGAAGAAGTGTCTGAGCTCTCAGGAATCATGGCTGTACATCAAATCTTGCTTTCAGGTGCAGTCGTAGTCTGCCAACACGTCAGAACTGGCAGATCCCTCTGATAAGATCAAGAAAATAAATTTTTCACCACCTGTTTGAAAAATGAATAGGAGAGTTAGTCACCTTAAGGCTCTGTCGTCTTAAGAGTTCATATTTTTCACAGTGCATCAAGTTTGCCTTGCCATCGGGAGGTTTCCGCTTCTTTGCTCCAGAACTTTTACGACCTTGCATGAACTTTCCTCCCCAAATATAACAAAATTATGTCATGGAAAATTGTCCCAGGCCCTTTTTTAAAGAGGTGACATGAAGGAAAGGAAGCAAGACTGAAAAACACCAGGGTCGCCATAAATTTCCTCTCTGAAGGAAAGCCACTTCATTCAGGGATTTTGAAAGTATATTTTGTGTAACTTGATGGAAAACATCTTGAAGATTTATATAACAAAGCTCTGTTATTGTCATCAGTGGAGTTTTTTTGAAGGCTGTGAATGGAGTATGATTTCTCGTCAGTGTCTCCACCATCTCCTCACACCAGTCTGTCAGCTACTAAAACACTCAAATATGAGCAGAAATCAATTCATTTTTCCAGCGCTAAATTCTGACTTCCCAGTTTCACATTTCCACATCACTTCATCAGCCAGTCTGCTTAAAGCTACTACTGTGCAGACCCTGAAAATGAGCTCTGCTACAAATAATAAAGTCAGGAACACAATGTGGACAAATGTCATATGAAAAGAGGGGAAAAAAACAGTCGCAAAGCAATAACAGCATGCGAGAGAGGAAAAAGAGCAGCAGCAGCAGCCTTTGCAGAGGCCACGGTAGACACTCATTTAATAAATGTCCAATCTGTTCTGGCAAGTGTCATATGTGCAGCGCAGAGAGTTTAGGCTGCACTGCGCTGCATTCATTTAGCTTGACATCAGCCACCGTGCCAAAAGCAGAGACGCAGGATTTACAGTGTTCAGGATTAGCTCGGTTCACCACTTCAACCATATTTCATCATCAGAGGCCCACACTTCAGGGATAAAGTCCAGGCGCTGCAGGGTTTTTTTCTCAAGTTTGTTTTGGCTTGAATAAAAACTGTACTATAGATAAAACAGGTCTCATCTGAGGTGATCATCTAATCTATTTGTAGTAAACTCAAAATTAATAGTTTTCAATATTTTGTTGATACAAACAAAGGATGGAGTGATTGAAATTTTTATTTCAGGACAAAATGAAACTCTAAGAAGGTCGAGGCTGAAGCTCATTTACTACTATCTCTTAGCTCAAAGGAACATGGCCATCACAGAAACCGGTTCATAACTAGAACAGCAGTAACATTACCATTATGACCATCATTGTCATTAAGTTATTTTTAACTTTAAAAGTTATTAAGTTATTTGTTTAGCAGAACAAAAAGTCGATTATTTGGCTTGTGATCGGCTTTGTCTCTTACAATTCCACTGACTTTCTTTAGCAATAAAACATAGAATCTGGATTAGTTTTAGAAGTATTTCACCATACCTCTACACAGTAGTTGTTGCGCTGGACTATGAGCAAATAGTAGAGTTTGTATGGAGAGTTTTGGATGAAGAAATCTTGAGTATTGTACAGAATTGCCATTGGGTTTGATGTTATGGCTTCAGTATGGCTTGTGTGTTTTTCAACTTAGTTTGCTGTCAATCTCCTGAAAATGTTCCATGTATTAAAAAGGTAAAAGCCCCAAAATGCTAACTTTAAAAAAATATACAATATGCACAGCATTGGTCCAAGGACTGGACCCTGTGGCACCCCACGCAGAACTCTTTGTTGGGTCATCATTTTTAGTGTATGTCTTTGTTTTATTGTCCCCGGCCTAAAAAGAAACCTCATCCAAAAAACTACGTTTTTGTTTTTCCAATAGGACTCTGTTTAGAGTTTCTGCGCGCAGCTGTGGCCCTCTTGTTTTTTTTGTGACAGTAAGATGAGAATGTTTTGTTTATTGGTATTTATTTACTGTGAGGAAATGGAAAAAGAGGGCTAGAGGCCAAGTTCTCAAACAGTCCTGGGAAAAGAAAAGAAACAAGGCAAAAAGCCAGATTTCCTCTGGACCTTTCTGCTGGGCAGAGGAGGCAGATGAATGTACAGGATGGTTGGTCTGTTTACTGTATTTGCTGAGTAATAAGAGTATTTGGCAGGATTTCTCCCTCTTTCCAGTAAAATCATCGCCTTGGAGCTTTGTTGCTTGTCCTCAGTGTCACCAGATGTCTTCTGTTCCTCAACATGTTCTCCCCTTCCTCCTATTTAGCCAACTTCTCCTTTGCAATTCACCCCTCTCCTCTGGAGTTGCGTAGCGCCTTCTGACAATACACTGTAAACCCAGGGACACACACCAGATAGATTTCAAACAATGCTTACTTCCTCTTTCTGGTAAATTTCTTCAGAAGCAAGTTACAAAGCAGCATGACACCAACTCCCAAAAATAACCAAACGATGACTTCAGCTACTAGAAAAAAAACTCATAACCACTCTGCCCTCTGGCCCATACCTCCTAGCTGTTGTGTGCAAAGGCCTGACTGTGCGGACTGCCTCCAAAACGTCAGCTCAAATCTGAATATTCATGAACACTCAGGAGTAACAATTATGGAAATAAAGCAGAGAAATGAGGTGTGGTGGTGACAAACAGCGTGTGGGTATGTCTACCTCAGATCTGCGAGGGTGAGCGCTTTAGTTTGTGAAGGTGCTCCCTGACAGTATTTCCCTCTATCAATACCTACACCAGACACACAAACACACTCACTCACACACACAGAGCTGCATTGCAGGCACCGATGACCTCCAAAGTCTCTCCAACAGCTTTAATCTATATAATACACCCAGAGGAGAACCCATCCGTATGTGTCTGTACATTAAACCACACCGCCGCGCCTCTCAGCGGTCTTGCCCTGAGAGGTTCATTATAGATCACCATCACACTGCTATGAATGAGCCTGTAAAGACTGTAACTTTGCTTTTATAGTAATTAAAACTGTACAGACTGATACTTATTTCACAAATGCACAAATAATTTACAGCAGGTAACATACAACCTTTACAGCAGCTAGCTTTTTACAATCCTGGGTAGAGATCATTTTAGATTGTGTGCACAATATGTCAGAAGAATCTGCTGATGGACAGAAAGACATCTGCTGTGTTAAATTACTTTTATTTTTATTTTTACGCATTGTTTTTTTTTTTTTTTCACGTTTCATGTAAAATCTAAGCGGGCCTGAAGGGTTAAATTATCACAGCTGCAGTTCAGACATTGTAAAAGTTCTGTGAGTTCTTAACAAGAGACAAAAGATCCTTTATGTTGAGTACCCAAAATGAACCCAACTGTGACTTCAAAACCAAGGTCACTGAGAGACCTGAGAGTTTTGTATGCTGTTGAAACCCTACCATCCACAGATGAATGTGATTCATGTGAGTTCATTTTTTTCCGTGTCACTGTTGAAAATAAATCCCTGTTGATGTAAAGTTTTGAACATTTAACACATCCAAGGAATAACACAGTGTAACACAAGCACAAATAATCGGAATAAAGGCCCGATGGGAAAAAAAAATGCGTCATATAAACATGTCGATCGGAAGATTCTGATCCAATTCGGCTCAATCGGATAGAAATAGTATTTCGATCGAGAGGGGTGGTTTATGCCGATCGTTATTCTGAAATGCGTCCATGTAAACACTTAATTCGATAATGACTCTCTAACCTGACTCGGTCTTCACTCTTTATCCTTGTCGCCAATACAGGAAGTTTCATTATTAACACTCTGGCATAAAACCCAACTGCAAGTTCAGTGTCTGCTCCTCCGATAACAAGGCAAACATACAGTGTAATGATGTCACATCTGCACGCACAGAGTAACCTTTAACAGAAAAGTAAAATAAGTAGGCAAGGGCACCATCTATTGACAACATCTAACAGGGGGAAAAATCCTGAATTAGGTGGAGTGAGTCACTACCACGTTTGTTGGTTTGTACGCACAGGCGTACAACTCTTACAACTCTTCTTCTTCTGCAGTTTTTTTAGCGAAATCAGATTACTCATGTCCAAATGCTTCTAATCTGAATAAAACTTGGTGCATGTATACGCACGTCATGATGGGATTATTAGATTTTGTGCCCGTATAAACAGTGGATTCAGATTTTCTGATCCCTCAAGAAATGTCCCTAAACGTAAATTTAAGACTGTGATAGAAAGCGAAATCCCAGCTGCCTCTGTCAAGATCAGTAAGATCAACGAGTTAACATTAACTCTCAGCCCCATGTCCACTGAAGAAGGGTTGGGCCGTGTGGCGTGGTGGCATGCAGACTTCCTGGGTGCTTGCTAAGGCTGTCGGCTTCAATTTCACACGTCATAAAGCATGCTCAGCTATAGAGCAGAGGACAAATCCACACTGCAGCCCAGGCTCACCGTGCAGCAATGACCAGCTGCATGAAACATGGAAAAAAGTCTTAATGGTGTCAGTTGTCACAAAAAGAAAAACAAAACGTGCATCTATCCTTTGACCATGTAGGTGACAAAAGGATATCAGAGAGGATGATTGAAGCTTTAACCTTAAAAGGGTTCAGTGGCTAATGTTCTTAGCTGTGGCAGGCTTTGAGTTGTGAGGTGCTGATTGCATCAGCTGTGATTTTCTACTCTAGTTTAACACTGAGTATTAGCAAAAGCTCTGAGGATGAGAGGAGTCTCATATTATTTAAGGCTTCAAGCAACAATTGACCTGTAACATTTGAGGTAGGTGAGAATTAAGGAAACATCAGGAGGTCGCTCGGCTGCATTAAGTGAGAACTGGCCTCCTGTGGTGCCTCGGTGTTTTCTTGTTAGATCAGCTTGTTAGCAGCTCTGCAGCAGCTGCGTCTCATGCCAAGTCTGCTGTGGCAGAGAATAATATGAGCTTTAGAGGTTTATGCTTTGTGCGTGTTATGCAGTCCGCCAATGGTTTCGTTGTTCATGCTCTGTCGCTCTGTCTGATTAGGTGCATGTGCATTATACAAGGTGAAACTGAGGTGTAAAATTGGACTTAATAACCAACCTCAGAATACTTTTAATCCAAGGTGAGATTGCAGGGTAACTCGCAGTGGGATAGCTACTGATTGCTTGGGTGAACAATAGTACATAATAAATGGATTCTTTGATAGAAAGATAGCCTTGAAATGATTAATCACAATGCCTTTAAACGTGTAAGATTAATGCCACTACATTGTGTAAAATTAGAAGGGAAATGTTAGAGTGCTGTAATGATACTTTTAATTTATGCAGCCTTTATGGATCATCACAGACATGTTGGTAAAAGCACACAAACATCAAGATGTTAAAAAGAAAAAAAAAGAGGATCTGGGGTAACTGTTCCAGCTGTAAGTGTTTTTAATTCAAGCAGGAGTGTTGTGTGCTCTGCCTAATTGAGCCTTGTGTTGTTTGTCCCGGCGGCAGGGCCACAGAGAAGATCCTGGCCCGGGCACGGCAGCTGGTGGACGTTAAGAAGGAAGATGGATTCTCCGCGCTGCATCTGGCTGCTCTCAATAACCACCGAGATGTTGCAGAGATCCTCATCAAAGAGGTGAGTTCAAGACAGGAGCAGGTTACAGCCCTTAAAATTAGTTTCCATGATTTAATCACTGCTGCGTTTACATTTTAAGTTATAATTTAAGAGGTGTATACATACTCAAATTTTTATACCACTTCTCCATAACAAGAGATCTTCTACTGAGCTGATAGTTACTGGTTATTACTGCTTTGTGTTCCAAGAATCCTGCATTTAACAAATTTCTGTGGGGTTGTTTGAATTGCCTCCAGAAAATTTATGATAAGACAACATGAAAGGTTGGATGTCAATTCTAGGGGGCGTTTTTTAGCTGACAGCACCCTCAACCTCAGTTTAGGATCTAGATGTGGATCTAAAAAGCAAGCATGGGGAGTCTGTCCTTGGTACAGGCCATCATAGGAGGTGACCAGGTTGACACCAGAGTTTGAACAGATTTAACAAAGAGCGCTGAGAGCACAGTGAAAAACATCAGATAAAGTTTAGGTTATTTACACACAAGGCAAACATTTTATTGTGCTGTAAATTGAGATAAGAGATAAGATATACTTTTATTAGTCCCACAGGGGGAAGTTTGAAAATTACAGCAGCATAAATACAAAAGAAAAATTAAAGGATAAAGAAACTTAAAAAAAATAAAGACATGCATAAGTCTTGTTTACTATATATATATAACCATAATCTTGTCTTGACAATTAGTACCATGCCTCAGGAGTGAGATTTACGTTTTAATTTCTTTCAGAGAAAATTTACCCGCCTTTATTTGTCTACCACAGGGGCGCTGCGACATCAACATTCGCAACAACCGGAACCAGACGCCTCTGCAGCTGGCGGTGACGCAGGGCCACACCGAGCTGGTGCAGCTGCTGGTGGATGAGGGTGCCGATGTCAACATGGAGGACGAGGACGGAGACACGGCCATGCATGTTGCCCTTCTGCGCCCACAGCTTGCAAACATCATGCTCAGCCCAGCAGTGGGAACCAGCAGCACAGAGGAGAGCAGTGAGGGCTGCTCATCCACGTCGCTCTACTGCAGGGTGAGAACCATGACAGAGAGTCTGTTGTTGTCATTCAGAGTAACTTCATGCACATTTAAAAACAAATCAAGGTTTTTCTCTGGTATAGCAGGAAACTGATTCAAAGATTTGAGCAAATGTGACACAGTGGAGGCCTGATCTTTTGCACTTTTTTGTGTGATTATCTACTTTGTTTGCAAATGAGGGACTGTTAAGTCCTCCTTAGCTTGCAGAGAATTGGCTATCAACAAATGCAAGCGTAGGTAGTATTCAATTGACAGTATTGTTTAAACTAAATCAGAATCAGGTTTATGCCAAGTAGGTTTATACACAGAGAATTAGTCTTAGTGTTTTAGTGCTAAACAATAGACACAAGAAGAAAAATTAAGGTCAAAAGCGTGTGCACAGCAGTATTATTGCTCTCAGAGTGGGATTTGGATTTAAAACTGGTATTTTTCTGATCCTGTTGACTTCACACACAATTTGAAGGTGCTGTACAGTGACTGCAGCTGCTCACTAACCTATTAACACTGATTTCATAGTATTGGTTGAACTGAATGAGCCGAACACCATTTTCTCATAATGTTGACACGTGACCAAATATCAGACCCAGTGTGTCAACATCAAGCAAAGGTCGCAAATACGATTACCCAGATGAAATAAGGGTTGTTGAAACACTGGACTAGGGGTAAATAGAGGCTAAATGAGCGATAAACAGATGCTAGGAGGTAGCTGAGGGCTGAAGGGGGGTTAAATGGATTAATGTGGTTTTAAGGGTGTAAAAACAGGCTTAAAGGGGGTAGATTATGGGATAGATTGACTTAATATAAAGCAGGGAGTGAATGGTAAACAAAAACAGGGTCAATAAAAGTGATGTTTACAGTCAGGGGTTAATCTAGGATAAAGCTTTAAGGTAAATGAAGAGTGAAAGGTAGCAGGAGGGAATAGAAGTCTTCAGGTAAAAGGTTGACTGAGGTGAAAGGTCTTTGCTTTGTTGTGTAAACAGGGGGAGGCGGGTAACTGAGGGGAAAGCTGTCAGATAGAAAGGTCCTCTTATGTCAGTGAAAGCTCTGCTTTTATTTATAATACGCTGTTTTTTTTTTCTTAGAAAATCAGAACAGTATAAAAATGTGTGAGCATTTAAGTCTTAATGGATTATTTTCCTAGAAGAAAAAATAAAATCCAACCATAATCTGACAAAGCTTGTTCGCTTTGAAGGTACAGTATGTAGTGGTTAGCAGAACAGACAGAGTACAAAAGAGGGCTTATTCACACTGACTGGCACAGAATTTTTTTTAAATTAAATTTTATTTTAACCTGTTCAACCTGAGCAGCAAAAAGTATGACACTATAACCATCATATACTGTATAATTGAGATCTCATACTGTCACTATATGGTGCTGGACAGCAGGTGCTAGTATAGACCTTTAAAAGTCTAACACTTAAGTAGAGGTCTTACTCTCTGTACCCCATGAGTATGTAACTGTTAAAAAAAAGGATGTTATATGGAGCACTGCTGCCATATTGATTAAGGCCCTTGCCCAGTGTACAGATGCTACAGACCTCATTGCAGGGGCCTCCCAGCTGTGATCATGCTTTTTCCTTTCTCTCCTCAACTTTCATATCCACATAAGGCAAACATTACATGAAAACGGCATTACACTTTGGTCTGCACATGCCCAGCTTGATGATAAAAATAAGGTTTCATTTGTTCATTTACTAACTCTTAGGATTGGGAGAAAAAATCGATACAGCACAATATCGCGACATTTTGTCTGGCGATATATCGTATCGTCTCATTAACCAAGTATTGATTTTTTCAAATTAACTGTTAATATGACGTCAAATCTGTGATAATGGAAAAATAAAATCAACTGTTTGTCCAGTGAAGTTGGCAGAGGTGACATCATAGAGCAGGAGAAAGTTAGAACAACAAATATAGATTAGGTTTCTAAGATGTGCTACATGAAAATAAAATACAGCCTAAATAAGACAAACATGAAGGAAAGACAAATGCTAAACTAGCTAAACAGTTGAAAAAATTATATAAATTGCAATATATTGTATTGCAGTACTTACTGTATTGCAAAATATTACAAATCACGATGATATTGTATCGTGGGCCCACTGGTGATTGTACACCCCTACTAACTCATAGTGAATGTTACCTCAGGACACAAATGAGTAGCTCTAGAATGAACTGCCACTGAAGATAATTTACAGAAATCAAACATGAGCGTCTAACTTGACAAACACTTGATAGAAGTTTCCAACAGTGGTAAGAACCTCTGTGTGTGACACCATTTACTTCACACATAAGAAAAAAGATAACTGCAGTGTTGAACACATGCTGACGATCATTAGATTTTAAAATCCCCTCTGTGACACTTTCTCAGCATCCCTTTTTCACCCCAACATCCCACCGATCCCACCAGCACTGATACTAAATATTAAGAACCCTCCACTCTTCGCTTTTTGCAGCATCTTTGAATGAGCACTGAAATCACTGTTACATCAGATCATGCTGATATCATTGAAAAATGTCCTTCCCAGTCTACATGACCGCAAACACTGCAGCCTCCACTCAATATCCTGGACACCTGCCAAACCAGCACACACACACGCTAATACACACATACAAACACACACACACATGTCCCTTGTAGGTGGCTAGACTTAAGTGCTCAGGGCTGTTTTGTCCGCTGTCAGCAGACGAGTTATTGGGCGAGTTCTCGGGCTGATTAGATTTAGCTTTGTGTTTCAGCCTGAGCAGGATTGTGTTGATTTTAATTCAATTACCTTTTTGTTTTTTCATAATCAGCTGTGTCCTCGCCCACTAATTACCCTTACTTCTTATCCGTATTACGAGCATGTTTGTAGATTACACTCTGCGTCAAAATCCCATTTGTTCAAACTCCTCTACTTTCTTTTGTTTTTCCGTCCCGGATTCCCCTCACCGTCCTCGTTGTTTGTTTACAGCTGAACGCATCGGGTCTTTTGGGGAACACAGAGATGAGTGTCGGCGCAGCGATCGCTTGTTTTCTAGCGCAGGAAGGAGCTGACATCAACTACGCTAACCACAAGGGCAAGAGTCCGCTGGACCTGGTGGCAGACAGCACCATGACGCAGCTCATCAAGAGCTTCTCTGAGAAACACAGGTTGGTGTCTGTCACAGTAAGAGTTATATTCTTGATTTAGAGTCCGTTTAAAGGTGGAAAATGCTCTTTCTGTGATGGCATGTCATCAAACTGTACGTTATCTTGTTAGGTTGCAGCGTCTACAGGCCATCACATGTGGACAGGGCCTAAGCAGCGCCAGCCTACGGAGAGTCCACACTACACCTAACACCATGACAAACCTGGTTCTTCCCACACCGCCGGGGCCCAGTGAATGCCTCATCTGCTCTGAGCTGGCTCTGCTGGTTCTCTTCTGTCCCTGCCAGCACAGCGTGGCCTGTGAAGGTGGGTGGAAGCTTGGAGTTAAAGCAGGGGTGGGATGAAGCCAACGGCAGCAAAGGGCCACACCGTTATCAGTACTTGGAAATGAGTATGTGTGAAAACAGGAGAGAAAATGAAAGGTTCTTGTCATTTTTTGGTTTTGGTTCAATCTTGGACTGATCTAAAGCTGGATTATTAAAACAACAACTGAGTTTCTATGAGTATCAATGTTAGTGATGTATCAGCCCATAGTAGAGGTCTGAATGTTTGAATGTTAGACAATGCTGAATGAGATGACTTCCTCTTCTTAAGAGTTATAAAAGAAAAGACTTGAAGATGAAAAAAGAAAACTATTGAAATTAAAAAGGATGATGATGAAAAAATGAAGTAAAACAGGTCAGGCTGCCACTTTAAACACCTTTGAAATGAAATTGGTTTTTTTTCAGTACCTTTTCAAATTCACACCAGAACTGTTTGGCCCACTTTAAATGAACCACAGTTTGTTTCCTCATATAGTCTGGTATGTTTGGAGCGGTCTGAAAGCTCTCATGAACTCTGGACCAAACAAGTGAACTCTAGCATTTAAGCATTTGCTTCTTCCTGTCCCTTCTTGAACAATTATGGTTGTATTTTATTATTGTTGCTGATGTATTGGTGTTATTTGTTCAAGACAAATAAAATAGAAAGAAATAGAAATAGTCCCCTTTAAAAAAAAACAGGGGGAGGGGCTCAATTTGCTTCTAAGTGAACCCTGGTGCAGTTTGAACAAAGCAGACCATCTCAGGAACCAAAGGCTGGAAGTGACATGAAGGGCAGTGCACCTGTTTGTCAATATCCCACTCTGCTTCTGCGTAACTATGGCAACAACACGTTGTCTTCTCTTGCTAGGCAGGCCTACTGATTCATTTGTCTCATGTTAAGAACAACGTGCTGGACATCTTGCTGCCCTGCTTTCTGTTCATACTTCGCACACTACCCATGACCTACATGTTCCAGCCTGTGGCCTTTGTCATTTAAATAGAGTAGATTTAAAACAGCTGAATCAGTCACATCCAATCATAAGGATCCACAAACATGTCAGCCAGTTGGGCGATTGCAAAGTTGGGACGTGTGATCATGTGACAGTCCCAAGTTGAGTGTTCAATGAGGCAGAGAGGTTTTCTTTGATTTCTCCTTATTCTCCATGCGCCCTGAAAGTAGGAGAAAAAGTGCCAGAAATCCCCCGCTCTGGAATTTGATCAAATTAAACGTTTAAAAAGACTCAAACCAAATGTGTTTTTTTTCCTTTCATCCTTGCTCTGACAGAGTGTGCTCATCGAATGAAGAAATGCATCAAATGCCAAGTCACAATCACCAAGAAGATTAGACAAGGTGAGAAGACGGGTGTGTGGGATTGTTTAGAGGAGGATATCGACAGTCGTGTTTCACACATTTTTATTTTTGTTTTGATAAAAAGAAGGAAAAACACCCAATAAAACCTGTATTTAATACGGATGGTTACCTCTTTGTTAAGGATAAGCTACTTGTAGAACTTCTAGACATGATTCCTGATACAGCCTTGAATTCTGTCACAGCAGGAAAGTGTCTGCATGTGTCTGAAAATCTTCCTTTTCTAACACCACACTTGTTGATGACCCTCCTCCTCCCCACAGACCAAACAGAGGTGGACTGCAGCCCCGGCACCGAGAACTCAGAGCAGCACAACCTGCTGGAACAGCTGCAGTCTCGCTACCGGCAGATGGAGGAGCGGATCACCTGCCCCATCTGCATCGACAACCACATCAAGCTGGTCTTCCAGTGCGGACACGCCTCCTGCATCGACTGCAGCGCCGCCCTCAAGACCTGCCCCATCTGCCGGCAGACCATCAGAGAGCGCATCCAGCTATTCGTCTGAGCTCCTCTTGTCTTCTCAGCTCTTCAACAGCCAAAGAGGATGTCAGAGGGGGGACGGGGGGAGGAATGGGAGGGGGCAGCTGTTACATTTTCAGAATCTGTGACCTTTCTCTGCCTGTCACACCTTCCTGCTCCCCTGCTCGCCCCTCAAACTTTACTACATGACGCTGTGTTACATCGCTGAGAGTCCGCTGTTACATTTGCAGAAGTTTCCCTCGTGATCAGCACAGACAGGAACCTGTCCATGACTTTTGACGTGATTTTCAGCGTAAGAACTGATGACGGGAAACGGATGAGGGGGAGTCTGACTCTGACTGGGTAGCCTGGGTGAAAAAGGTCCCCCGCTACTTCTGTCCCTCACGCCCGCTCAGCCTCCACCTTCTGTAATCTGTCCTCTCTTTGCTGCTTTAAGTGGATGTCTGTTACCCATCATCCTCTCTGGCTGTCTGGCCTCCTCTGTTTACACGGCTGCGCAGAAACAGTCCCGTCTTCTCGCCCCTCTCGGCCTGTCCTGTGAAATATGTTTGCTCTCATTTGTACCAATCTCTTAATAATCAGTGTTAGTCTCTGCAGAGGGAGTTGGTATAACTAAAGGCTCTCTATATAGTCCCCAGCCACTGGCCTGTATGCAAGGGGGAAATACACTATGTATGCATGAAGAAATGCATATTGTAAAGCTGAAAATGACTGTGTCGTCATGGGTGGTTCGTCGTCGTCGTCAGTGTTTTCTTTCTCTCTGGTTACATTTGTGGTTTTTATCGTTACCAATGATAAGTACAGGTTTTTATTTATGTGTGAAAGATGGTGTTCTGTAGTAACGTCCTTTTATCAGTTAGCGTGTTTTCTTGGCAAAAACCTTTTTGTTTGTATTGAATTTCACCCCAAGCCTATGTCCTCTACTCAGGGTATCAAATCATTGAAAGCACTTGTGATATCCATAAAGGTCAATGAGCGCCCCCCTCCACACACACACACACACACACACACACACACACACACACACACACACACACACACACACACACACACACACACACACACACACACACACAAATCAACACAAACATGGCCTGCATTACAAAGCTGCAGATCATCTTAGTGAGGGTTCACGTTAAAGAGAAGGTCAAAAAGTTTAGCTAATTCACGTGTGACGCTCAGAATATCATCTTTATCAGTGAAGTGAATGTTTGTGGAAGAGTTTCTGCAACAGAACAGACATTTATCTCAAACAGAAAAAAAAAACAAAAAAACACCCCAGTCAGCTCTTTTAGTTGCGTTGAATTGAGTAGGTTTGCCTGTTTGTGTCTGAGGATCGCTTTCAGGTGTACAGACTTTGACCAGCACGGGGTTTACAGGGGAGTACCTGTGTTCAGTTTTTTTTTCCACCACATGTATTGTAAGATATAGAAAATCAGAAGGGCAAAAACATGACATTGTTGTGTTGCACCTCAAACTCCATGTCTCCTTTCTTAGTCCGCTCATGTCAGAAAAACCCTCCGCCTTTTCTCCTCTCTAGTTCTGGATTGTACATCATCATCTTCATCCTCTCTGATGTTTTGATGTGTTTTCTTGAAGGGCTTATGCATATAAGAAAAAAATACTATTTTAATCTTTATTTAATTTTAATTTTTTATGATAAACTTTTGAAGACAGGAGTTCATTTTGTTTTTTTTTGTTTTTTTTTTTCTTATTTTGATCCCAAATTTTGGGAGAGCCAATGTTAAAGATGTACATTTGAATGTCGGGGAAAAATGTATCCTGTCTCACTCTGCCTTTTTTATGTGTAAAGAAAAAAAGATGTGAGAGGACAGAGCTGGAGCAGCTGAGATGTGTTTACCAGGAGGTTTACTTTGAGGAAAGAACTTTTACATCAGTGCCAAATCGCATGAGGATGTGCATGGGCATGCACGCCCAATTTTATCTAGACACTCTATGCTAAAACCCTGAGCTGAAGCGAGGGTTCAATTATTCCAGCAGTGTTACTGAAATAAAAGCAAAGATTTAAATTTAATAACGTTAAATTCAGACATGTTCACTCTGCTCTCTCAGTTCTTGGTGTTAGCTGTGAAGCTCATGGTGTTAGCATCCTGATTTTAGCTGTAGAGCTCTGAACGTCCTCTCTCACGTCCTCTATGACGAGTGATGAAACATTCACTTTGAGAAAATGATAAGTCCCATATTGTTTGGAGCTTTTTACAAGTCTATATTTATATTTATGAGACATTATCAATCAAGGGACGAGTTTCTTACACAAATTTCAACATTTTCAAGGATTGTGCGATGGTGTTCTGAGTTTAGATGGATTTACAGGCAAAGGCAATAAACATGGAAACATGAGGAAGATGTTGAGTTCTTTCTTTTGTCCGTCTGAAGGGGGCGGCTGTGAGGGCGGGAAACAATTTATGTATAAAAAAAAACACTATAAAAGCAGCAAATGTTACTCTTGGTGTTTGTACAGTTCAGCTCTTGGAGTTCTGATGTTGGCCTTACTTTCCATTCCTCCTCTGTTGATGTTTTTTCAGTTGTATTCTGTACAAAAATATTTTGCAATAAATATGGAACTGTTTTATAAGGACTCGGTGTAGACTGGCTGTGTTTGTATTTGTTGTGTTTTTGTTGCATTGTACATTTGACCGTTATTATGCTCCTATTTGTCCCACTGGTGACCTGGTGTGATGCTGTGCCAACTCCGATTATGAACAACTTGTGACATTTCGAAGGGGTAGAGATTTTTTTTTCCTTTTTAAAGGCTCCCACTTTCTGTTTTCAGGTGTAAAGCGAACATCAACCCTGGGGCAACAGCAGTTTAAATCAACTTGTTAGATTTTGAACCCGAGCGCGGCCTCTAAAGCAGCTTGGGTGGGTTTAGGTCCCACTTGGAGGTGTTTCAAAGGGACTCATTTCCTCGCTGTTGAAGTTACATTTTTATTAAATAGGACAGCTGAAGAGAGACAGGAAAAGTGGGGGCAGACATGTAGCCAACCCCAGAATCCAACTAGAGGAGTACTGTCATGAGGACTGTAGCCTCTATACATGGGACCCTTAGACTGCTGGGCCATTGGGGCCCCAAGTACAAGCTATTTAACCCAGCTAACAACCAGATCATAGAGTCTGTGTGTAAAGATGTCAAAACCCCACGCCTGTCTCCTTTTTGTTTCCAGCTCTATCCACTGTCCTCACCTCTCTATAACACAGCTGAAGAAGGTCGTCAAATAATAGAAAAGCAGATTCTGACACCACTCAGAAATGTCATGATATATGTGTGCACTCGTCTCATTTTACAGGTATTTTAAATTACTGCTCCCCCAGGTATGTCTGCAATCAACCAGTTTGACAGGACTGTAAAACTGCTGATATTACATCATTTCCTGACCTATTTAGCATCCCCAGCCTCCTCCAGATTCTCCTCTGAGCAGTGGAGCAGGTTTCTGTTTGCTGTAACCCTCTTAGTCTCGCTAGTATCAGTGCAGCGTCTCCAGTTAAATGCTGCTGTGTGCCACTTCTTAGTCCTAATTGTCTTACAGCTCAGATGGCTTTGGCATATGACTCAGCGCTTTAGCAGTGACGTCCTCCCTGAGGACAGACAGCTCTGGACACTGTGGGGAACCACAGAGCAACAGCAGTCTAAAAAAGTGTTGTTATGACATTATTCACAGAGCTGGAGAAGAAATATGCAATCATTTATTCATACACCCATGCACAGGTGCGCCGGATCGTATACACTATGTAGAGGTCTGTCAGTAATTATTTGATAAGTTATTATTGAGCAGCTACAAAACAAAAAATGTTCAATTAAACATTAGAAGAGAAAAGTTGTATTCGTTTGAGAACATCAGCTATAAATGCAGCAGCAGCCATATGTTTATACAGCATGTTCTGAATTTTAAAGATGGACTTGTACGTGTTATTGTTCCTTTTTATTCACACTGTAAGGCATTCATGGTATTAAAAATGACCAGAACAATGTAAGGATGATCTAAAAATAACATGTAAGGGGACTTAATTGTGACAAAGTTGTCCAGTACATCCAATTTCTTGGATATGAAGTCAATACTTGAGGGTGAAAATGCTGGAAAAGTTGATGATCAACGTTTTCACAGATATAAATGAATGAACTTTATCTGTTAAGCCTATCTTTTGCTCCCGATATTCTGCAATTATCACAGCTATATAATTAGTATTATTATTGTTATTATTATTATTATTATTAAATTGTTTAATTTTAACTTCAATGAACAAATCATGGTCCTACTATTTGTCCGGCTCATGTGTATGAACACAGAGTGATATAAGAGCACCATCTAGTGGCTGACAATAAATCAGAATGATGAGTAATGTTATTTCCTGTTGTGTAACCACACTGATGATAATCTCACTGTTTAACAAACCACAAGCCTATTCAAAAAACACCTTTCACAATACAAACCACCTTGAAGCAAACCAAATAGACAATAAATGGGTTTGATTTTATTGGCACTTAGTTTTTCACAGAGGAGACTGGAATAAATTGATGCACTTTGTGTCCCTTTAAAATCTGAGAGGCCACCCCAATATCTTAGCTATAAATTACTATTTTTACAGCCAGTAGTAAACATTGTATAAAAATAAACAAGTTGGGCTTCTGTGCTGGATAAACTTTTTTTTTTTTTTTTTAGACTTTTTTGAGACTTAATTTTTGTCTCTGTGAGGCAAGTCTGCTGGTACTTAACTTTGTTGGACCCTGAGCAACATTGTCTTTATAATTCCTCGAGAAATTACCTTGTGTTTTTGTGTTACATTTTAAAGTGAAAAAAAATGAAACTGGGATATAACATCTTTTGGATGTTTTAGTGTTGGTAGCCAGATAGAATAACAGAGAGTGCAGATATCTACTTTTCTCTTTTTTCCCTGGTTTGGTCACCTAAGTTTAACCAGTCTGACCCCTGCAGTTTCATCTCCTGGCTCCCCTAAGACTCCATTGCTGCTTCTGGCTCTGAATAATGTTCATTTCTCCTGCTTGTCGTCTATGTTTGCTTCCTGCAGTCTCAAATGGTGAATTATTTTAGTTTATTTTGCCAGCTATAAACAGTATTTAACTGCACACCTGTCATTTATTATTATTTGTTGTTGCTGCTGCAAAGTTCAATCACATTATAGTTTCTGTTATTAGTAAAGATCATTTTAAAAGGTGGTAGAAGAACACCACATTCAATGTTTGAACCTGATGATATTTATTGCCAAACTGATATTACAGTTTTCCTCAGTGCCTTAGAGACAGTTTCTGTGCCAGGAATTAATAGAATAGCAGAATATTACACTTTTCTTGAGTAATAGTTAAATTTTGTTGGGCTTTAAATCTAAATGAGGGCTGTATTCATGAGCTGATCATAAATAGTATGAGAAAACTTAGGCTCAATTTTCAGCTTTTCTTCTTTTTCCTGTGAAAAGGTTTTTATTCATCCTGATTTAGATTAAAGCATATCAGTCATTTGCTTTATCTGAGAAGCTCACTTTAAAAATAAATATCATGAATGCTCCCGGTGAGTACTCAAGGCTTTTGTTCCTATTGATGCAAATACATAATGAAAAAAAAGATGCATTATCTGCACAACATTATTTTCTATTTTTTAAAACCCTGCTATGATGTGCTCATCTTATAGAGCATCACTTTTGTAAAGATGGTGAAAATTCTTTTAATACAAATGTAGTCTTATTTAAATTTTTTCAAGATATGAAATTTATGAAAGACTGGATTACTGTAAAACACTTTAGAAATGCAGAGAATAATTCCATTATTTATTTTATTTGCCAAGATTTCTCATTGCCCTGTTTTTTTTTTTTTAGCTTCTTGCTGTTGCTTTAAGAAAAAAAGAAAAAGAAAAAAACGACAGAGAATGGCCTTGTTATTAGATGTCCCACAGAGGGCGCACTTGCACTCAGAAGCTTCTTGTTCCTTGGCTCCATGAATCCTGACCCTGCCTCTATCAACCCACCGTCTCCTCAGTATTTGTCCTGTACTTTGACATCCGCTCTCCTGCAGTGTGTGTCCATCATGATAATCCTTGTGTCCTTGTTGACGTGAATTAATTCTGAAGGTTTTGACCTGACGTCACATTAAGTTTACTGCAGGCAGAGATTTACACAAAAATTACAAGTGTGACACAACAAAAGGAAACAAAACACTTTAATGTAAACGTCAATTCACACAGCAGGTCTGTCATGATCTGCTTAAGTTTACCTTTTATTACTTCCACACATGCATTTAAATAAATAAATCAAATAACAGGTTTCAGTCTGATGATGAGTGTGGTACATGAAAACCTTAGATCGGGTCTGATACTTGGTGAGTATCACTGCCTGTCACACCTTCGTAAGTGTAAAACTCATAGTAATGTATGACTCATAATTATTTCACACACTAAATATTACAGGAAGTGACGTGTATTCCTGTAGCTCACCGTTAACAAAAGATAATAATACTCAGACTTTCCTAATGAGCTTGACTTTGAATTATAATGATCTATCTTTTCTTTACACTATAACTTTGTCATTAAGCATTTTTTAGAGGATTAAAACATTATATTTCATACTCTTATAGTTGCTCTGTCTCTGAAAGCAGAACACCATCCTGTTCTGGTCAAAACTACAAGGTTTTATTTTCATTCATGTTGAGAGCTGCACAGATTTGTAGGATTTATTTTAAAAACACAAAGATTCACAATATAAAGTTTTGTATAGTTAACTGCAACTCAAAGATTTTAAAACATGAATTTAAAAAAATGCATGTACATAGACATAAAATTATATTTAAGCACTAAAAACAATTATTATTAACATCATATCGAGATGTGAGAAATTAAAGCTCTTGGTTATGACTAGACACCACCGTACCTTAGCTGTATTCTGGTTTACAGCCAGTATATGAGCTGCGTCAGACAGTGCTGATATGTGAAGTGCAATATGATGTACAAACTCTGTGTACTATTTTCTGTATTTACACCATGTGGATCTAAAAAATTACTATACAAATATAGCACTTTTACTGCTAAAATATCCATTTAATAGCATTTGTTGGTTAGCTGCTGTGCTAACGTCACCTGTTGTACTTTAGCCGTGTGCTGCATGAGCTGCTGTGGTGCCAGTTCTTATTCTGCTCATGTTCAGTTAGCCCGCATATTTGTTTATCTTTACCCGGCCTTCTTTCTAATTACCTGGCTGTGTTTAATACTCTTTTCTGACTGGTCAAAACCCTTTAATGATAGTACTTCATTCTGAATTATGAGCCAGGGTAAGGAAAAGTTAAACTTATATTTATACAGTTTATGATTTCACCTCCTTCTGTTGACAATGTGGCAAAAACCTTAGCAAAGGTAAATAATATTGAGGGAATTGAAAAATTACTCTTGATTATTTTGGAGTGTATAAAACTTCAGATTGCGGTTACTGATTGACCTGAGCATAAAAAAGATGACAAGAGAAAGAAAACTGTACAGGAACTAGCACTAAATATAAAGACACAGAAGGAGCTGAGTAAAAAGAGGCATCAACCAAATTGAAGACAACAGACATGAAGCAACCACGATAGGGGATGGACTTTGGTAGGTCCTTTAAAAGTTAGGAAAAATGTAAAGTTTTATGTTACTTAGACCTGCAAATACGATGATAAGAATACTGTTGTCAAAGTTAAACTAGCAAACAATTTTAAACTCTAAATTTAAGTGACAATAGGAAGCCTGGGAGAATAACACCTTATTATTATCTGTTCATGCAGCTTACCTCTTGCTAGTAAGCTTACAGTTAACACACTAGTAGGCATTTTAACAGCTGCTAGTCAGCAAAAAGCTTTTAAAAGTTAACTGGTGAGGTTCTGCAGTCCGTCACTAGTATTAAGTGCTGGACATTTTTGTGCTCACTACTTCACCATTGTGCAAATGAACTAGTGACTAGTGATATAACTAAACCCTTAACTATATTGGTGGTTCCTAGCAAACTTATACACCTTTCTCGGCTCATACCAACATGCAAAAGATTTCGGCCTTTACAAATCAAAATGTCAGAGCTTTTGCTGTCTACTGGTCAGCGTGTATGAGTTTTAGCATTTAACTGGTTATTTAGAGCTGCAGAACAAGTGCAGGATTTGGTGTTAGATATGTAAACTAAATCTCTGTCTTTGAAATGGTACTGATCTCATGTAACAAACACTCCAGGTAAGCAGCTTAACTTAATATGTCTGAGTTCTACCAATAGTGTAAGAGGAAATTTTGATTTGACTTATTTCATAAATGAGCATTAAAACAAAATATTTATCTGAAAGTGAACAAAGTTATTTTTATGTGTGTACAAGAAAGAATTATTACTGATGTAGAGATAACCTCTCGACAGGATGTTGAATATGGACAGACAGTGACTTTGAAAATAAAATATTTCAGTTGGCTGGTTGTCTGTTACTTGTTCCTGTTTTCACCAATGGGGATGTAGAGACAATAAGAGGACAGTATTTCTTTGAGGTTTTACACTGTCACTCAGGAACAAAACATCTCTATGGGACCACATTTTAAAAACCAAACCCTTGACCATCTTTTTTTATTAATCTTCAACTGAATTAATGTACGCTTTAATCACCTGTGTGCACCAAGTATAGTACTTATATGACCTTAATCTGGTTAACACAAGTAAATGCGCTCAACACAAAGTGCCACAGAGCTGCAGTCAGATACATGATCCCCTGAGAATCAGCTGTTTGTTTCAAGGTGTGGCACTGTGAGTGACTCTGTGATTCTTCCTGCTGTTTTACCACCACAAT